TGTGCATTCACATATGACACAGAGGATACGGTGTGGTTAACCTGACTGCAGTCAAATAACCTGAACTAAGATTGCTTAGCCCTTTCTCTCCATGCACACGGGACGAGCTTGATGACCCCTAAAAGTTCTTTTAAAAAACTATTTTTAGACAGATTTAAACAAAACTCTTCTTAATATTTATTTCGTGTATTATAAAAATAAGCTCAAAAAGTTAACTCAAGCACCACATAATCAATTATCACGCTTATAAGAATCTTTTGCCTATTTTTGCACTCAATTTTTGCAAACGTGATAGGAAACATGATAATAGTCTTTTAATTATAATTTATAAAATATAAAATAAATATATAAGAAAAATTTTATTTTAACATAGAATGTGTTTATAGATAACTTTAAATGTTATGTATGATAGATCCGCAGTTTATGGGCCTAAGGAAAAAAAAAAAAAATTGCTACTCCCATTTAATCCCTCCGCCTTTCCTAATAACGTGCCATGCGCACCCTTCCTTCCCGCTGTGATCGTAACGAGTAACGACGTGTACTGCAGTCGACGGCCAAGCGTCGACCAATATTAAATTATGTGTCGTATGAACAGCGAGGGAATGCATGTTCTGGTGATTGACGTACCTCTTATTAAATACTACATGGTTTTTAATATAAAATTTTATTTGATTTTTATTTTGGTTTAAATATAAGACTCTAACTGGTTTTATTTCTCATATTTTTTTTTTTCTAAAATAGTCATTGTAATAATGGTAGTTCTAGCCAATACACATTATTGATACAGATGTTTTAAAAAAAACAATATCTATTTATTACAAATAACTAATTTAATTATTTTTCTTAATATACGCAGATTAGTTGACCAACTCTTATATTAAGAATTGGTAATAGTGTCAAATAATGTTTATTTATATGGCCTCATTTTTTTTTTTTTTACAGTGAAGCTGAATTTCCCACGGCTTGAAGATGAAATTGAAGTTTAAATCGCAGTCAATTTTATACCTCAACTTCTTCGATTTTTGTTCGCCCTTCCGTCTCGGACATGTTAAAGACCATAGAGACTAGAAAAAAAAAGAAAGAAAATCCAATGCTTTGCGAAGAGGAAAGGGATGAGAAGGTAAAAACTAGTCAAGTTGGTTAGAGGTTGACAAGAGACCTAATGGAAAGGTGAATGAAGCAAGAAGGCATCAGTTTGCAGTGTCATGGGCGTAAGGCTACGAATGAACGGGGACTGTGTCAAATATGCTTCGCTTGGTTTTGCTCCGCGGCAAAGCAACCTCTCAAGTACAAATGTGAATGGGGAGTTAGGTGAGAAGAAGACGCGTATTTGGGACGAAGAAGCTGGGCATGCTTGTAGAAAGGACACCCATATAACTTTGAGCTCAATTTGGCTTGGCAGGTTTCAATTTTGTGGTGGTTGGAAGATGCGCTGTGATTTGTTTAATCGTTCAAATCTACGCTCATAATTTTATATTCGAAGGGGAATGTTCGTTCTGCTAACTTGTAACACATGTATTTCACGGAATCTACGTAACGGAGACACTAAACCTCAGGATTGGAGTTATCATCAGCTTCGATCGGTTTCATGACATTTCCTCCCACTAACTCGGTGTCGCCAGTTAATTGCTTGCTGCTTTGGCAAGCTAAAAAGTTTCGAGACTATTATGGTAAAATGAATGATTCGATTCTCCTGAACCGAACCATTGTTAAAAGGATTGATTGTTAGAGATGAAAAAAAATCATGGCTGAAGAATTCTAGTGCAAATATCTAAGAAGGGGACATCAATAAATGGGAACGAGGGTGAATTGCAGTTAAAATATCTGGGAAGGGGGGTTTGATATTTTGTGCTTTAAATTGACGGCCTCGAAAATGAAAAGTGGAACGGAAAGCAACACTTAACAAACCCCAAAGCTTTGCCACTAAGCTTAACCAGCAAATGAGCAGTGGATTTTTGGATAACACAGATCAGGCCAATCAAAACAAAAATCTCCCTCAATAGCAGATAAATGAGAATTTTTACATAAAATATTTAGAATTATTTGCGTTCCTACTTCCTGTTTATTCACTGTACTGATTGATTTTTTTTTTTTGGGGGGTGGAGGGAGGTTGTCGGAGCGCGATGTGGGGAAGGCGGAAGCGCGTGAAGGTGGGGCCCAAAGCCCATCAGGCGGTGCTCTGATGTTGATGCCACTTCAAACTGGGAAGTCGCGGCAGTTGCGGAGCCCCCACCCCTCTTCGCTTTTTCCGTTTCCATTCTCTTTTTTTCGATTTTTTTTATCAATCCTGTTCCCTTTTCCATTGCTTTCCCGGGGATCAAGCCAGCTGGTGGCTTTTGAATTAATCCCCCACTTTTCTTCTTTTCCACCAAAATATTTATTTCAACTTTAATATATCTTCTCTCTCCTCTCTGTCTTCCCCTCTTTCAATTTTGAATTTTTATGCATTTTACAGACATTATAAATATCTTTTTTGGCCTTTTTTTTTTTTTGCCAGGAAGACCTCTTTTCGCCATGAAAATCATCAATATCAGCACATTTATCTATTTACCGTAAAATGTAAAATAATTTATTTCATATAAAATATAGTATTCATGGCCGGCAACTCTTCCGGCCAGTCGCAACCGAGAGGTTATCGAGAAAGGAGGAGCTGAGGGAGTCTGATTAAAGCCCCGTTTGGATAGCAGGCCAAATCATAGTTTAAGGAAAAAACAACCCCAACAGGTATAAATTATCTGAAACCATGGTTTTGGGTTGAAACCATGATTTTGAAAAGTTTCGGGAGAAGTGAATCCATTCTGCTTCTGCTCAAATTAGAGAGTATGATTGTGCCTATTAGAATAAATCTCAACAATAATATGACTTTAATCTTATCTTATAAATAAATATACACATATTAATTATTTATTAATTACATTATCTTATGTATTATTAATTATGTTGGTAAAAGAATATATTATTAACAATTTATTCGTTCAAATTAAAATATATCATACAATCTATGTTTTATGTAATTATATATTAACTTATGTTTTTTTAATAATTTGTACATATAAAAAGTGCTTCTAATAACAACTATTCAAACACTTTCACTTCTCAAAATTACTTTTTCACAAAATCTATTCTTCATAAAATCTATTTTTTCCAGAATCTATTATCCAGAAGCTATTCTCTAAACCATAGTTTGGTTTCATCCAAACACCTCCTAAGATTGTGAGTGGAAGGAGCAGAAATGTTAGTTAATAAAATAAGTAAAATATACATATATTTTTTAAAAAAAAACTACCTTCATATAACTAACTAGAGGGACTTCCATAGATTTGGATAGAAAATCGCTTCCATTATAATATCACCGGTAGGTAACATAAAAACTTATTTAATTTATTTTGATCTTAAATATAAAACTTTAATATATTTTATCTCTCATATTTATCTATTTTTTTAAATGCAGTTCATATAATAACAGTAGTTCTAGGTAATACACTTCATTAATAAGGATATTTTAAGAAAAACATCACTTATTTATTACAAATAACTAATCTAACTGATTTTCTTAATCTATCTAAATTAATTAATTAGTTTTTATATTAGAGAAGAAAATAGCATCTAAGACTTTCATGAAAGACAGCTTCCCTTTTCGCAACAAGACCACCGACATGAGAACCTTAACAAATTCACGGCATTGGAGTGTTTTTTAATCACAACTTGGTGTTAGTCTTCTTAAAAAGGACTCGTTCCAATTTTAACAGCCATAGAAATATACACTTCGACATGCATACGTTTTATCATTCCCCCCTTCAATATTGGAAAGCTGGGCTTTGAATATTAAATAAGAAATCCAGAGGATGCTTGCCCTGGCATTGAAGCCTTCAATTACAACGTGGGTTTCGACCTGGTCCCTGTTTTGACCACAAATAAGCCATCAACTGATTTCGTCCTCGGTGGAAGGCTATTAACAATCGTTTGATTTCCCTCTGCTACGTCTCAACTCCCCTCAACTTGTTAATTCATAATTCAATAAACCCTCCGTTTATCGAGAATGACGTTATGCCCGATTCTTTGCCCATACAACAAGAAAAGATACAAAACCACTCTAACCATGAGATTTTGATTTTAATATTCTCACTTGAATCACATGAATTAAAACTCTCAACACTCCTTCACAAAAAAAAAAAAAACTCTCAACATCTCAGCAAAACAAAACAAAAAAAAAGGAAAGGAAAAAGAGCTCAAGATACTCAAGTTAAAAAATTCCAGTGGATAGGTATAAAATGGCCCGTGTGTGTGCACGGCCCATCCCATATCAATGAGAATTTAGATGGGTCTTCACTGTAATGTTGTGTGTCAATTATCCAAGAGGCGTTTCGTTTACGCGAGATCCTCGGGACAGATGATGTGCCGTAGCCTATAACGAACCAGCTGAGTATCAGCTTGGGCTTGTACTATGAAGGGGGCACTAATAGGCTAACTACATTGGGCTTTGGGAGAAGGGACGGACTGGGAGATAGTTTAGCGTATGGATGGCTGTACCACAAAAAAAAAAGGACGTCCGAAAGCGGCGGAGATAAATCATAAAAGTGTCTCATATATGATCTCTCCTTCCATTTGGCCATAGTTCTTGAGCATCTGGAATTTCTTTATCTGTTTCCCTAGAATCCTCGTACTTAGCAAAAAAAAAAAAGAAGGAAAAATTTCCTTTCTGAGTGTTCCTCTTTTCCTTTGCGGCTCTTCCCTTGTTGTTAACTAAGATCGTTCCATGACTCCGAGGATAAATTGAATCAGAATAATGCTCCAGAATTCTTCCATGTTCATCACTCTGGCGACTTCCTCATTCGGGACATCAAGTTCATGACGCGTGAAATTTTTTATACTAACGTTCCCACTAAAATCAAAAGACAAGGACGACAAAAACAAAAAAGTCTGTCCCGATCAAATAGTTCTTCTTTTCCAGCACAAACCTTTCAACGTAGTCGAACTACATATACATATCCACATTCCTCTTGAAGTAAACATGAAAATTTTGAATTCAAGTTAGGAAATATGACTGAATTAAAATCTGTTCTACGGGAACCATGCGCCCAAAAATTCAATGGGACATCACATGGAAAAGGTACAAGAAGGACTGCTAAAAGGCAGAATGAGAAGTACGATTGATGACGAAGAGCAGACTATACGCGGTGGTAAGCATATGATTTGCTGAACAGGCGACGAATATATATCACTTGGAGGATGCTCGTTGAAGCAAATAAAACATACTCCGTAATTGTGTAGAATACAACCCGTCTTCTAGTGCTTTCATTCGCTGCACTTTCAAATTAATCAAACCAGTGAAAAAAATTACAGCAAAATCAATGTTCAAAAAAGCTTGACAATGATCGGACTGAATGTATAAGGATTGGAAGAGCAGCACTATTCGTGTGGGAGAACAAAAGCAACTTACTGTGTCGATGCCTAGCCTCACGTGCTTTCAAATACCTTTGCTCTGCTATAATAGACTCTAATGCCTCCCTCAACTCGGCGATCTTCACCTGAACAGGGTCTAAATGCTCTGAATTCACAACCACAATTCAAACATAATGCGACTGGTTAACAAGACGAAGATGATGACGGTGTATATGATAAAATAACTGAGAGAGGAAGCGGAGGCGACCATGCTTGGCAAGGTCGGACTCATTAGGGATGTGGCCAACGTGAATGTAGAAGGATACGGTCTCGGGCGTTGAGGAGGGGTTCTTGAAACAGAAGTTGTATATTCCACCTTCTCGGGCTTTGAACTCGAACTTGTCCCCCGATGTGCCCTTCAAAGCATACAGCAGATGACCATTGGGAGATGTGGCCTGGGCACAATTCATAATTTCAACCACAAGCACCATAACTAACGCTTATTTCAACAACAACGAACTCAAATCATTCTGAAATGATTCACATGGAGGAAGGGAATTACAGTGAATTCAATTCCAGGATGGTCAGAGCTCCAGAAGATGTCATGGTCCATCACCACAAAATTCCCGGAAACGGTGTCGCCTTCGTGTAAAACGTTCTCTGATACGCATTCCATTTCGATGAGACTGATGGAGAGGGCAGACCCATGGCAGATTATGCTTCCCAGAAACACCAGTGCTAGCGTGTAGATCGTCGAAAACCAGGACGTTTTCCTTCTATCCATTTCAGAGTCACTTGTTTTCTGGATCTGTACAGAAAATGCACGGGCTGAATCATCGAGTGCGAAAATATGACGGCTCAATTTCTGGAATTGAGCGGTTTAAACAGGTCCTTCCTTCGCTCCATCACTATAAACTCGCATTCCTCTTCCTTAAAATAAGACTTGGAGCGAGCACGTGCGAAAGGTGCACGAAAAATAAACCGTACATGATCCGTCAACTTTTTATAATTAAGTTATTAAATTCAATTTTCAAAAATTACGTAAACAATTTCACAAGCGAAGTTTAGGAAGCTCGTAGCAATTTGAGGCCTTCTTTTGTTTTTAAGCAAAAATTTGGTGAATTGAGCCTCGAAAACTCTTTTAAACTGACTCCTTATGAATTAGATTGATTCTTGTTGGTAATTTGAGGCCTTTTAATAAAAAGAACAACGTATTTAAGTTTGAGCCCATGAATTCTGAAGAGTTTGGACTAGAGTCGGCCCATTAACATCGGCCCACTTAGAATCGAAGGTTCCCGTGCTTAGATGATGGGTCCGTTCAAATTTAGGACGTGGCCGAGTCACGTCAGGTGGAGAGAAGAGTGCATATATTTACTCTCTTTTTTCTTTGTATTATTCATTCTACTACCTCTAGTTCTAATTATAAGAGCTAGTTAACTAATTTAAAGAGATTAAAGTAAAAAATTAAGTTAATTATTTGTAATAAATATGTATTGTCTTTTCTAAAATATATTTGCCAGTCAAGTGTATTGGTTAAAACTACTATTGTTAGAAGGACTGTCTTGGAAAAAAAATACATAAATATGATAGACAAAATAGATTGAAATTTATATTTACGACTAAAATAAAAGGTAAACAAAATCTTATATTAAGGATAAAAATAGTATATCTTTTTTACAAATTACGTAAACAATTTTAGTACTTTTTAGTGCCCATCATATTGTATATTGTATTAAAGACAATCCTATTTAAGTGTACAGCCTCCTGGCTTATTAATTTTCCTCAAGCGGTGAATTTTCTGCTCATCAAAAGATATGAGCATAAAAAAGAAGATGAAATTCGGGTGTGTCAGTATTATCTCAGAGGCAATCATTATATTACTTAGCTTTGATATGAATCTCATGTTTCTTCCATTATGGATCCATTTGGATTAGTTGTAAAAAAAAATAACTTATTTGCAATTCAAAAATTAAATTAATAATTGAATAATGTGAATTGTGCTTGGATTAAATTTTATAAGACTTGGTTTGTAAAATTTAAATTGAATAAAATGTTATTTGGATTATAAAAGAATAATGGAAGAAATGAGAGAAAAATAATGAGAGAATAATGTTACAAATATAATCATAAGCATGATTCGTACTTCAAAAAGTCACCTCCCTCGGCATAATATTAAGTGCGGAGGCCCAAAACTCTCCCAAACAGGCTTCACCTTTTGCAATGGGCTTCTGATGAAAACTAACTGCTTGTGGCTGAAGAATTGCTCTCCCAGACAGATAGTATATGTTGACCCCGTATTTCGAGTCTGGTAGTAGGGTTTATTCGTATCACGCATGTTTGACCAGAGCATGTACGACAATTTTTCACGCACGTCACATTTTGTTTGGCTCCAATTCTCATTATGATCGTCTGACCAGACTATACCTGCTTTTGATTTCTTAGTATCAAGTTATCCGGGGGATTTTGAACACAATGGCTCTTTTCTTCTTTCCCATAAACCCCCCCCCCCGAGATAGTCAGGCTCCCTACACATACTCTAATGATTACATCTTTCTCTTTTCAATTTTCTGCGTCATCACTGCCATCTCAGTGCATGAGTTTCTACTTTTCACGACTCGTCATTTGCATTATAATCGAGAGTTTCACTTTCTTGTGTATATGTGTACAAAATGAGATACAATACAAATGCGCAGTTTGGTCATGAGATCTTTTTTCTTTCAAAAATTTTTTTTGAACCAAGTAGATATATTCTCCTCACACCTAAAGATCACAGTGAAATAAAGCTAACCATTCAACATACATATATCGAACTTCTAGGGAAGATATACTGCAATTAATAACGGTGTCCATAAATATGCGGAAGCGAGGTGGATAACTTCTAGGGAGGCTTTTTTATGCTGTTCTAAAGTTTCTTTACCTTTATCTGTAAGTCTGGATACCGTTTAATGCAGCGTATAACTAAAGCTCAGCCAAATAAAAAGCTAATGCGGGGGGGGGGGGGGAGTGAAGTTAAGAAACAGTAGTCATTGGTGATTGAACCCAAGTTGACGTCTTCCTAAAACTTTCTTTCAGGAATGTTATCCGCCTTGACTTCAAGATGAGACGAGACGCTAGTGGAAGATGATGACATAGGAAGCATGCTGAAAAGAGGGAAGAGAAGACAGGCTTTACGGAGGAAGAGGAATATTATGAAAAGAAGTAGTCTTTTTTAGCAAGGCAAATGGGACGTTTTGTGTTGTGTTCCATCTAGCACTGCAAACTAGTTATATAACTTTATAAATTTTAAATTATAGATGTACTTTTGAAAAAGCTCGGATCCGGGATCTCCTTTCTTTTGTAAATCCCTAGGCTCTTTCTCTATTTTTCTCCCTTGCTCCCTGGTGAAAATATGCTCAAGTTCAATTTTTTACCGTGACCATACACTTTCTCCATCCTTCAATCAGGCAGAGGTAATTAATGCTGAGCCTGAGAGCTCAGCTATATACATAGTACCATCTTATACATGCATGCCTTTGGGTTTTGCCTACTTTATCCTCTCTTCGCATCACAATAACCAAAATCGAAGTGCCAACATGCAAAGCATATAACAAGCAGGAAGAGAGTTCGAATTGTTAATAGCTGTTTAATGATAAACAACATTAATGATAAAAAAACAGAAGATCCTTTGCGGAACAAAATTAGTAATAAGCCTGCGATGTGGGTCGCGTGCACAGAATATAATAAAGCGCAAATCTGCACACACGCTGGAGCAATTGCTGAGGAACTTAATTCATTGATTTCGAGTTTCATTGAGTTTCTTTTATATATATGACCGTGCGCGTTGACATTTTTCTTCCCTTTTGGTTTAGTACCACTATGTATACAAATGACGTCGGACCACCTTCACGCTTGGCACAAATTCACATAAACCGTGAAACCTTTTCATTCCCGCTTATAGCAGCTACCAGGTTTAAATTATACACTGCTTCCTCTTGCTCCTGATCTTCAGAAGAAAAGGTTCCATTAGTCCATTTACTTTGTTTGAGGCCGCTCGTGAAAAAAAGGAGAGAGAATTTCTTGGGATTTGAACATAATGCGTTAGGGTATATAAAGTATGTCCACTACTTCCTGAAGTCGCTTAACCATTTTTGTTGGGGACTTTGCAGAGCGCCCGTGGTTCAAAGAGGAATTTAGGAGTAAAAGATTTACCGTGAAAGAACACATTCATGCAACTATACGTTATTTTTTTTTTTAAAAAAAAAACCTAATGCACGTATGTAGAGCCAATTTTTTAAGTTGTCCTCTGGCAAATCATGGCTTGATTGCACTATCTTCTAATCATATTCAACACTAGTTTAAGGGATCCATGTATGAAACATAGACAGCTTGTACGGTTTAAATATCCGTTGGTGGTGTGTGTTATAATAAGTTCGGAATCTATAAATGAAGTCTTATAAAAAGATCGGAGATAGTGTGTGATATATATGCATGAGGTTCGAATTGCCACTCTAGCATTTAGATTATCAGATGATTAAACTTTTCAAATGAAATGGAAGAGATGTAGCAACATAAAAACCAATCTGTAATGAAGATATATATAAAATAGAGCAGATCAGCGGTGGCAACAAATGAAGGATCCAATTCAATTCATCATCATAATATATTGCATGTGACATTTCATCTGTTCAAGTATATAATACCGACAAGAATTGAAAGGCCCCGCAATGTACTAACTCTCCGCATGCAAACACACACATGCACACAGTCTCCTCCCCTCCTTGCCCCTGCCTCTGATTGAAGTGACACATTCATTCTATACGTATTATATATATTGCGCACCGCTGGATTTACTGAAGCTATTATATGATTTATTCAAGAGCAAGCTCTGATCATAACCAATTAAGCGTTACACTTCCTTAACAAAAAATAATCATAACATCCAAATATATAAATAACGCACTGAGTAAAAGAAAACCGACAAGTTTAGAGAAAAAAAGCAGAATCTCGGTTGGCCATTTTACCCTCCTTGTTTTGGAAGTATTTTCTTTTCTGTCTCAAGAGCTCCCCCACGTCTCCGGCGCAGTGACGGTCCCAAAGAATGCAAAATCTTGTTGGGATCTGAAGAGAGACTGATGATGGTGATCGTATGGAAGATACTGATCATGCTCTACGCCCCCCGTGAACATCAGCATATCCTTCGCGTTCAGCTGGCTAACGTCAACGGAGCCACAGTTTCTTCCGCCGTCGACATAGGCGTTCAGGCCGAGGAAGTCCCTGGTCAGACTCTCACTTTCATTCCGGCTCATGAGCCCTCCAATGTAGTCGTGACCCGCTGAGTCGATCTGCTGATGAGTCCCAAGTCCAAACTCGCCCATGCTTGGCTGAGTCACGTGAGCCATTGTTGACTGTGGTCCACCATCAGCTGCAGCGGCAGCGCCTGGACCTGTGAGGGCAGTGGAGCCCAGAGTTGCAGCCTTTTTGAGAAGCGCAGTGGCTGACAGGTGGGCCGACGTGGCGGCGTTTGAGGGCACATGGAGAGTTCCTAAGAATGGGTTTATCATGTTCTTCTGATTATTCTGCTGCACTTGAAGAAATGGCAGGGAAGAGAGGGATGGGACCTGAAAACACTGAGCTTCCGTCTTGATTTGGACGGCATCAAAGTTGCTAGGGTTAGGGTTTTCCTGGGATGGGTCCCAGGGATTCATCATGATTTGATTTTGGAAAGGGAAGAGAGGTTGAAATAACATTGGGTTCGTGGAAGCTAGTTGATTAGCCGCCAGTCTTGCACTTTCTTCAGCCAAGGCATCGCAAAATGCCCTGTGAGTTATGAAGCTGTCCTTCCTGCGGTTTTCACACACAATATTAATCAATTTTTTTAAATTAAGGTTTTAATCATAAATTAATCATCTACAAATAAGGACATATTATTACGTCTCGTTTGCACGGTGATTCAAGTGTCGAAATGCTGAAACGCAACAAACCATAATCAATAATTTTTGTTGCAGATAAATAATTCGTGTTGCAGGTCAAACTCAAAGGAGGGGAGAGAGGGAAGAATGGCCATTATATTGATGGATGATTGCTTCATGCAGGGCTCAAATATTGATAAATTATTGGGAAACTTGCCATAATGACGAAAATGTCTTTCGAAATAAGAGCTCATGCATGTCACGAATATGTGTGTGTGATTGAAAAATTGAACAAACCCATATGTATTTCTATTCTCTACTGATGAAGCAGCAAGAAAGCAACTGGCATGTCAGAAATGTTTTCAGACTTATCAGAAATCACAATGATGAACAGCTCGAAGACAATCCTCAGCAAATAACGCCCTTCTCTGGTAAAATATAAGAAGAGAAACATAACTCTTCCAAATCCTTCAAGGATTATATGTACTTCTACTTCTTTTTGCTTAACAATTATTACAGCAAATAGAGGAACTTGACGAGGAAGAGATGGTTATGGTGAAGTCGGCCATAATTTCTGCGTTTTTGGCCTGAATTAATGAAATTGAACACTATCTAAACACCCGAAAAATGTCCGTGTTGTCTACAACATTATTAAATTGGTATGCATCCATAGGCCAGACCCAGAATTGTACGGTGAGGTTAAAAGAAAAAACAAAATTACCAGTGAGCCACGACTCACGGGCAAAACAGTAAAGCAAACAAACGATGGACATGTCGATTGTGCTTTTTCGTGGTTGCCGCACATTCATTTGGCAGTTTCAGGATTCAGGAACAGATGGTTGTTCCGTTTTTCTTTTAAATATATAAAAACACGCATATATATGGCGCACTAATTATCCTTCAGCGACAAACACTTATATATTAGCTGTCTCCAATTTCATGCAACCTGTTATATATTATATTGCATCAGAGAAGCAGATGTATATCCCAAGTCTAGATCTTACCATTCTCGTGTGTGAAGACAGAGAAACCACTTGAAAACAAATATTAAAGAGGCCCTCTTTTGACATATGACTGTGGTGAAGCCAAAAGCAAGCCCATGGCTTACTCTCGATCAGAACCATACCAGAAACCCATCTAAAGTAAAACTAGTTAAGAAGAGAAAACTGGGTTAACCTTCAAATCACGAGCAAGTCAGTGAGGAATTACCTGGAGAAAAGGATTCCGCAATCACATCTGTATTCTCTAGTTCCACAGGTTTTGGAGTGGGCTTTCCAATCTGACTGAACAGCGTAGATTTTGGAGCACTTGTGACATTTCCACTTCTTCTCTCCATGTTTTCTGCAGTAGTGTTTCTTAATACCCGTGAGATCTCCCAGAGCTCTCGAGGGATTGTGGTGAACACACGAAGGCTCGGGGCAAACATAAACTCTTTTTTTCACCTCCTTGTTGCTCCTTTGTTTCAGCTTCCATGGAAGGTTATGCCCTCTCCTGTGTAGCTGAAGGTTCTGATCTCTCTGAAAACCCTTGTTGCAGATTTCACACACATATCTATTGGTGGCCAGAAGGGTCTTTGGCGACAACGCAATCACTTCAGCATCTGGGTCTGAAATTAACAAATTAAGAAAACCTAGGACGTACGCCTAGCTAGTAATAGATATTCGGGGGGAAAAAACTAAAAGGATTAATCAATAATTACCTGGATTTCCGGGGAGGCTTCTTTTTTTCTTTATCTTTTGAGGCTGCTGATGAGGAGAGCTCATCGAAACGATATGACTTGGTGCAGTAAAGTTCTGAACTATAGTACCAGAAGAGACAGTGGCTTCTTGAGACAAAGAAGCGGAATTGGACATGGCTGCAGAAAACATTTGTTGTCGCAGAAAAAGTAATATAGATGCGATATTCTGATATGTATTTGCCGGACTATCTAGAATCCTGTAGGCTTTTGCACCTCGGAACAAAACTAAGAAGTAGGCGACTCCCCGAAGAAAGATCCTAGCGTTGCCCACAGACAATTAAGCAGGTAGTGAGCTAGCGGAGCCCACAAGACAATCAACTGGGGTGAGCAGGTGGGAGGGAAAGGAAATCATTCACTGGGGATGCCAAAGCAAAACTCGTCTCGTGAAGGGATGATGATGATGGTTGATTCTCCAAGCCGCTTTCTTTTAGGCCATGGATTGCTTGTCTAAGCTACTCTGCAATATCACCTCAGAAGAATATATATCTCTTTTCACTACAATTCATCAAGACTCCACAGAATCCACCATGCAATCAAATATGTGGAAAACAGATGTTAGCGAGATTTTTCTTCAGCATAATTATGGTACCCATTAACCTTCCCCTTACTTTTTCCCCTTTTCTCTCTTCTAATTATAAATATTAGTGGTTTTAGAGAGAAATAGCAGGAATGAGTGTATATATATATATACACACACGAATTAAGGGCCTGGTGTTTTAAATATAGCGTGGGGAAGATGATATGACAAGACTGTAGGAGGAGGCGGCAAATTGTAAAACGCACTGGAAGAGGCTGCGAAGTTTAGAGAGAGGGATCAAGATGATTGATGAGGAGCAAGGTCTAGGAAGGAGGCATCCTGTACCCTCACTTGATCCTGCTAACTTTCTTTCCTTCTTTTTCTTTGTGTAGTGTCTTTTTTTTTTTTTTTTTCCTTCCCCTTTTTGTTCCCGTAAATAAAACACCCAAATCCCATGGGCCCTTGTGAACAGATATATCGATAGTTCATGTTCATCATATGGCTTAAAGGATGGCAGGCTCCTCTGATATTAATTAAAATTAAAAAAAAAAAAAGACAAAAAACAAAAGAGATGAAGAAGGAGGAAAATTGAAAGTAATGTGTGGCCAATAAGGGCGAATTGTTGAAGACAAGTAACTCCATGACTGACATGATTGATTCATTGATTGACTTTTAGCTTACGTAAATTCATAATCCGTTCCTCGGCTCCGTTAATTTGTTGCTTAGAATTAATGAAGGGCTAGTTACCAGCAAAATAAGTTTCCCGATCATCATAGTTAACTATTCGCTAGTTTGCTGGTTGTGATTTTTTTCAAGTTATAATAATTTAATTTATTCAGTCGATTCAATGATGGTGCGTTAAATCATCAATACGCGTAAAAATTCAGGTCACCAAATGTATAAAAGTCAAAAGTACTTCACCACCATATACACTATCATATCATTACACATCTTGGTGTTTGATCTTATTTTCTTGTTTTTCATACGCTATCGAGGATTTTTAACTGGGCAAGAATGCGAGGTGTGGACAATTTTTCAGAAACTAAATGTGGGCCGCACTGTTGGTAGTATAATTTGGTTCATGTACAGTGTATTACTATTGTTCGACTCATCGTAAATTTTCTTCTTGGTAAATTACTGTAGATATTTTACTATATATTTTTTTCACGGAATTTTATAGGATATGTTAATAATTGGAGTTTTGAAGTTTACACTTGTAACACTTTTGTGTTTTTTTTTTTTAAACTATATGAACCAATTGAATATCTCAAAATAACTATAATCATCCAATCCTTTTCTACACCAAACCTTGATATGAACTACGGCCCATTTAATCCAGGGTCCGCACCAAACCTTTTGGAGGCTTTTGTTTATTCTCTTTCCTTTTTACCGGTCAATAAGACCTCATGTATTTCGTTAATAAGATATTATACGCGTTACTGCATTCAGCAACAAAAGAGAATTGTTATTGAATAATGTTTAATAATTTTTTTTTTAATTTTTGCTCACGCAACATCCTGATCTCGTCCCTCACTGATTTTAGCAGCTGAAATGTTGCTTTTTACACGAGTAAACTCCCTCATGTAACGTAATCTGCGGTGTTAATTTTTTGAAGGGAAAAAAAAGCTCAGGAAACCTGGCAGCAAATTGATAATTATATAACGAGGTAAAGGGGTAAAAAAGAAAAAAGTAGGGAGTCCTGATACGCTAACTCTAGAATGCAGATCTGATATTGACTAATCAACTAATGTTATCTAATTAATTAAACGGGGGCGCCTAACTTTCATCACGAAGAAAATTCAGAATTTTACTATAGCATACCCAGATAACAAAAGACAATAAATAAATAATTTCAATATTTCCTTTATAGCATGAAACTAAAACAAATAAAAATGCGGAAAGTTCAGATCAAGCTTCAAGGACCATTGCTAGCAGGCTTCGTAATAGCCCAGGGCCTCCTTGGACAAAAAATAGGAGCATATATTATATATACAATATTTAAAAAAAAAAGGAGCAAGAGATAAATGTGTGTGTGTGTACAGAGACACATGTATATAATGGGGCCGGGGGCACGCTACTGATCAGTGATCGATCACGGGCTATTCTCTATATTTCGAGACTCTCTCTCATCAACTTATTAATGCCGTGTCCTCCTTCTTAATTTCCTACCTCCTTGCTTTTCACTCTTTCAACGCATATTCTTCATTCTTTTACGCACGAACCCTCGCACGGCAATTATTGGATTAAGTTTATGTCCAGCACTTTAAAAATATTTTGTGGTTTTGTAGTTCATTTAGTATTCCGAGATATTATTTTTTTTAAGTTCATTCAACACTCTAAAAGTATACTATTTCTGGTCCTTAATATAAAAATTAGTTTAAGATTCAATTTAATTCTAAATATAAGACTCTAATTCACTTTGTTTTTTATATTTTTTTTTAAAATGTAGTCTTTGTAGCAATTATACATATTAAATCTACTTTAACCTATAATTATTTTGCCCAGCCCCGTCAAAGAACCTCACGCACGCATACGCCTGTGAATCTGTGCAGATATATATGCGCGTGCGTGAGCAGTAAAACTTTCATACTAGTATTTGGTCACTTGGCGATAGTTCCGACCAGCAATGTTTTAACGAGTAATTCAGTTCAGTGATGGGAATTAGTACGCACTGCATTCTAGCTTTTCATTTTCCCCTCTAACTAGTAATTCGACGTTAGCAATGCACTGTAGATGCTTGCAATTTGCGCCGGAGGGAAATGTGATTTGAGAAACAGGCACGTATTTGTCATACTGAAAGGTAATTATAAACAAACGCGTGGTTAGTGGAATACTGAATTCATGGGAGGCAGAAATATAGGTCCAGTAGACCTGTGAGACCTGTGATACTTGACAAAAACAGAAAAGTCATCATATATGGGGTATGGTATTTCTTCCTGTGGCCAGACATGGTTGCCAAATTGGCAATCTCATGCCGTCAATTTTTTCCCTTTGAAAGCTACCCCGTTATTTAAATGCTTTAAAGAGTCACCACAGTAATATCATCTTCCGTCTTTAATATAAGAGTTAATTAAATAATTTAAATAGATTAAAAAGGTTTGTTAACTTAGCTATTTGTAATAAATAAGTATCGTCTTCTCTAAAATACATTTACTAATAATGTGTATTAATTCGAGTCACTATTTAATAGATTATTTAGCATGTGCAATTAGTACAATGATTATTTTTAAAAACGTAGTTAAATATGAGGGGGGGAAAATAAATCAGGATCTTATATTAAATACTAAATGAAAAATTAAACTAATTTTTATATTAAAAATTAAAGGTAGTGTTATATTTACTGACGCTAAAATTTAAATCTTCCAGCAGTCACGTGCATCTTCATTTCATCTCTTGCCATTCACAGGGCAGCGACGCACAAATATTCTTCGAGGCCCAACTAAAATCTTAGTGGGTGGTGGCATGGGCCTAGGCAGAAGTTCTTTTTTTTTTTTTACCAGCCTAGGCAGAAGTTCTTTTTTTTTTCGGTAAATAAAGCACTAGACAAACAAACTACAAATTACCCTGGGGCAACAACAGATGCCCAATGAAATCTGGCGGTGACACTAAAACCGTTAACCCACTCCCCCTCTGCAGCGCCTCCTTTGCCAACGTATCTGTGACAACATTTACGTCTCTACTACACCAGTCCACTTGCACGTCCCAATCCTTATGCAACCAGTCGCTCACTTGTAGGAGGAGATTCCCCTCTGGGTGGTCCTCTTCCCATCCTAAATTAATTAGCTGTACTAATTCCCAACAATCAGTTTCGACGATCACCTTCCTCCAATGCGACTCCCACGCCCTTTTAAGACTCCATAGTACTGCCCAAATCTCTGCATGGAGGCTACTTCCCCTTCCTATATTAAACATAAAGCCATCTTGAAACCTGCCACTGTGGTCCCTTGCTATACCCCCACATCCAGCTAGGGCACCGTTTTGAACACAAGCACCCTCGGCATTGTATTTAATCCATCCCATATAAGGTGGACGCCACAAAGCTTTGTGCTTCTCGCCAATATGTAACCTGCACAACTGGTCCTTAGACCATCGTGTGAGAGCTCGAGATTGACTGACTACTTGGCAAGCACCCACTGCCTGGCCTTGAAAAACACCAGCATTTCTGTTCAACCATAGTTGTCTGCTAATGATTGCAAACCAGACACGCCATTCGACATATGCAACCACAAACCTTTGGGTAACGTTCCAATCAATCCAGGCCTGCAGTGTTGACAAGCTAAAGAACTTGTTTCCAAGGTGCACCGGTAATACTAGTGCCCAACACTCTTTAGCGACACAGCAGTCCCGTAAAACGTGGAGGGCCTCCTCCTCCCTACCGATGCACAAATAACACTCCCCACTAGAGCTGAGGCCTCTAGCATATCTCAAGCTATTCGTAAGTAATCTCCCCTTACGGCATACCTAGAGGAAGATTCTACAACGTTGTGGTGCGTGAATTTTCAAAATCCGCCTCCACGCTCCATTACTGGTTGAGCCACTGTTATTGCACAACACTTGGTATGCCGACTTGACCCAGAACTTACCATCAGAAGTATGTCTCCAAATGGGACAGTCTTCTTCACTCCCCGGGACTGATGGGTACGCTCGGGCTATACTGGAGCTCACTGACGACGGCAGCAGATGTAGAAACTTGTTCCAATCCCAACTGCCTGACACGGTTAGAAAATCTAACACCTTTTGACTACGCGCTGACTTCTCCACGTTCATGGTGGCATAGTTGATGAGCTTATCATGATGCGGGAGCCACCGGTCCTCCCAGAACCGAATGCGAGTCCCCCTTCCGAGCTTCCACCCAATACCCTCCTTTGTCACATCCCATACCTTCCTTATGCCCTTCCATGCCTCAGAACCGCATTTGGTTGCTGCAAGTCCTGGGATAATATCGGCACCGCATTTGTACTTCTCCCTCATAATTTGTACCCACAGCGCATCGCGTCTTTTGATCAAGCCCCAACCAAGTTTCATCATGAAGGCCGAGTTTAGTGTGCGAGCTTTTCGAAGACCAAGGCCCCCTATTTCTTTCCTACTACACACGTCATCCCATGCCACCAGGTGAGGACGCCTTTCCGATGTCGTGCTGCCCCATAAGAAATCGCGGCACTTAATATAAAATGGAGAAAGGGTTAATTAATTTATAAGTCTTTACAGTTTCAATCAATTTTGAATTAAGTTCTAACAATTTTTTTTATCAGGTACTCATACTTTTACCTGTTTTTAATTAGGTCGTTGTATTTATTTTTTTTTCATCAAGTCCTTATAATTTCATTAAATTTTTAATCAAGTTCATGTGGTTTTAATTTTTATTTATTAATTAAATATGAAATTAATTAAATATATTAATACCAAAATATAAAATATCAATAATTAAATTAAATTAATTATTATATAATAAAAAATAAGTACTATAATTAATCAATTCAGGAAATTTTTTTAGGACAATTAATATTTTCTGCTAGAAAAAAATTATTATAATAATTCATTATTTTCATAATATTATTGTTTATAAAATAATATTAAATAATATATACTATTTTATATTTATAGAATAGTACTATTAGAATTTATAAAATAAAGAATAAAAAATTCAAAGACTTAATTAAAAATAAAGTGAATTTATAAGGACTTGATGAAAAGAAAAATAAATACAAGGATCTAATTAAAAACAGGTGAAAGTACAAGAACCTGATAAAAAAAAACTATAAGGACATGATTCAAAATTGGTTGAAATCATACGGACTTACAGATTAATTAGCTCATGGAACAATCATAAAAAGTGGAAGTACTATGAAATCTCAAGAAAAGAGTATAATTATTAAAAAAATATCAATAAATAAGTGGCCTGTAATGATAAGATTATAAGTTCTAATTAGAAAATGATAACCGCTTAATTGTTATTAAAAAATTTTTAATCATTGTTTTATTTTCTCAGAAGTTTATAGTAGTTCTTCCACACTGTTGTTGTGTTGACCAGAATGGCGCCTCTTGCACAATGTGACCGCCCTTACCAAACGAGTCCGGTCATTCAGGGATAGCCTCCCATTATTGACCTTGACTTTAGTTACAAGTTTCATGAAACACGAATGGCAAAATAGTAGGATTTGATGGGGAATAATATTAAGGGAGTTTCCACACTGTTTGAAACCACTCCTTTCTCCTCAGAGTCCAAGGGGCTGCCCAGGCCGGCAGGTTCGAGTCAATGTCACCTGCCGCCTTCGCATTACTGGGGTTACGAGCGTTTTGAAAAATACCGATTTCGGATATTTTCCTTCGCTTTGTGAGGAGTTTGTGCTTATCTGTCAGTCTCTCTAATATCTCCTCCTCGTAACATTTTCTCTAAAAAACTAACCCACCGATTTAAATTTTCTAATTATATCGATGAAGTTATACATTCTTAAATAGATGCGGTATCTTTTTCTTAATTATGAAAGCGATGCAAAGTGTGTAATTTAAATCTCCTTTAATATTTTCAACAGCACTTATGAATTTTGAAAGTCATGCCCTATGTTCCTGACCGAACACGCTGGTTCATAAGTAACTTCTGCCTTTTCTTTTTTTTTTAAAGAATCTTTTGTCTTCAATTTTCCTAGTTTCAGAGTTTTAACTATTTTTGTCTTACTTCAAAATGTTCCAAACTGCCACTTTGCATGGCTGGGACATTACCCAATCCTTCACCGGTCAAGCAGTCGTTGCTTTCTGCTAAGCGGCCATAGGCGCGAAACTCAAGAATCCACTGTGACTAGCCAGATAAAACATGGAAATTTTCCCTGAGAAATTAATAATAATTAATAATTTTTAAATAACTTCTCTTACCTTCTTCCTATTCAACTATGGCAGCTATCCAGTAGAAAGTTTCATTTTCAATATTTAAAATCACAAGAACAAATGAACAGCAAACTCTATGTAATACATGGAAAACGATAGTTCTTCAACAATCAGATGCCTCCAACTGCTGGAATTGTAAGATAGTAAGATGAGGTATTGGAACCCATCCATGTCTTCGCCAATGACCGCACAACATGAAGAAGCTTAAAAGTAAAATCAAGAGTATGAGAAAAAACAAAAACAACGATAAAATAATGCACTCCTAATAATAATAACAACGCTTTGATCATCATACAGAAGTCAAGAAGCGCTCCGTCCTGCTTCAGGAACGGACGTGGTACCCCATGCCTAACCATGCCCGCGGTACCGAAAGGAAAACTCCCAAGTACCAGGCATGGGATAAGGTCCACATCAACAACTGCGTCGTGTTCTCTGGCTTGCCATCTTACAGTTTCTTGGACGCTGCCATCAAACTACAAGATAATGCTATTTCCGGTCTTGAATATAAAATTTACTTTGTCATGTAAATTATACTTCAAAATAGACCTTATATTTAGAATTGGAAGTAGTATAATCACTTGGAATTATGAAAGTAGAAAGTGTGAGTGGGGGAAAACGCAAATTATGAGAGCTTAGAACTACCAAGTAACCTTCCTCGATAAACCATCAGTACATGTATTTCCACATCTTTCACCTGCAATCTGCAGCCTTGCGAGTTCAGAGAGAATGTCATTAAGCATGAGAAAAGAAGTAAAAGGGCTAGCTTTTTGACAAGATAATCAAACGGATAATGAACATTCCATAAACACATGCAATCTGGTGGCCTCTCCTAATGGAATTAGAATTAGACAAAAAAGGGGCTCTCTTCATCTTGGAAAGCTAGAAATACCCTTTTGATATGTTAACAGACCCCCCTCTTAAACTTTTTTCTCAAATCACTTCCCAGACGACTTGACCACGACTTCCCTTTTAGCATTCAAAAATCCCAGATTCATTCAACTACATCACTTGACTTCGCACCTTTTTCTTCATTGCTTTGCACTTTTAGCCTCACAAAACACTGTACTCCACAAAAAGGATAACAGAACAAACTGTACCACAGGTTTAAGCAATCTTGTGGTGGTGTAAGCCTTAGAAGACCAACAACAGCAATGACAATAAACCTGTTGGCTATATGTAAATTTTTCACATATATCATTTCCATTCGATATGATATCTTTTTTTAGTCCAAGCTAAGGAAACCACCACACAGACACAAACAAAATAAAAAATGATTCCTTTCATCATTTGATCATGCTTTGCAGAGGGACAAGTCTTTTGTTGAGAGCCCACTAATAATTTGTTAAGAAGCCGGCCGGAGATGAAGAGATGGGAAAATCATGCACAAACGTAACATCATGAAATTTGTCAAACTGTGGCCTCGCTTTTCCTTTCTAACCACGATGACAATAGACAAAACATAAAAATGTAAAAAGGGGCAAAAAAAATTCAAACCGACAAGTCAACCATGATCTGGTTCTTGGAGTTCAGCCACTTCTTGTCCACTTTACAGCATCTGATCATAATCTACAATCCCTAGACGGTCCAACAAAGTAAAATTACAAGAGGCAGATATGTGGCTTGATGCCATTACATGAGATGTGATTGGTTGAAAATAACTGAACCTTGAGATCAATATTACGACCGCTATCACTATCACAGATTTCTTGCACAAGCACCAGCTGCAACCTACCTAATCAACATTGAGAAAAGTGAGAAAATTGAGGTTTTCCAAAATTATACTGGAGGACACAGATAGATTAGGGTTAGAACTTAGAAGCACGTTAAAAAGTAAATTATTTCTCCATTTGCGTTGCTTCTTCCCTATATCAAGATCCTTCGCGATTCAAACTGAGCCTTCATTCAGTGGTTTACGAAGGACTCGAACCCAAGTAGCCTAGGCGATTGGCCAAGACATTGACATCTTCATCGTCACCTTCAGTGCTTGGAATGTCTATCTCACCCTCAAAATTTTCACTGAACAGTTCTTCCCAGAAACCCTCATCTAGTTCTTTTCCCAGCCTCTCCCGTGGTCCTTCTGCCGCCTCCTGTTCTCTTCTGCCCCTACCATAACCCTGCATTTCCATAGCTAACACTTCCAATTCTGACACTCCAAACCCATAGTTACTAAATTCTAAAGGCTCAGCTTTAATAGGGTACGTTGCTTCACCACCAGTGCTAGATTCCCCACCACAGCTCGGTCCTTGCTCAATTGGCCTTCTTCTCTTCTTGGTTATGGCTTCTTCAAGCTCCTTTCTCTTGTCTTTCTGTTGGAGCAGTTGCTGGAGAAAGGCTGGATTTTTCATAGCTCTGGCTAAGAAAGCCATCATGTGTTGCTGCTTTTTTTCCGTGCCTTGTAACCTTTGCTCCATTGCCTGAAGATATGATCTAGTGTTCTGTTGCTGTTGCCTAAGCCTCACCAGCTCCATCATTAACACCTGCTTGTCTCGCCTCAAACGGTCAATTTCTTCGTCCAGTCCAAACCTTCCGACTTCAACACAATGACCTTGTTGTTGTGCTTGTTGAGAAAGACTCAAATTAGCAGGTGCCTTCCTTCTCCTTATGTTCCTCAAAAGATGCTTGTGCCCTCTCAGAAATCCTTCATTTGCAAACTCCCATCTATCTGGATCAATTTTCCTAAAACCCTGAAAAATTGAATCTCACAATCAATATCAAAGACCAAAATACAGACAACTTAAAAACAAGAGTGTGTTCAACGAATCAGAACTATAGACAGAGTAGTCAAAAGAAAGAAAGAAAGGCAGTTGTTGAAGTAAAACTGAACCACGTATCTAACGGTCACAACCCCTCTGTCCTCGGGGTGCCATCTACTAACAGAAGACTCCAGTTATAGAAGATAGAAGAAAGGCTGAAGGCTATAACAGAAACAAAGTGAAATTGCGAGAGCGGCAGAAATGGGAGTTCATGGCCAAATTGACAGACGTATTCAAAGTACTCAGCGGAATCAATGGTTTAACTTTATTACAGGAATCGATAAGGTGGGGAGGTCGAGAACCCCTAGGAAGCATGATTTGTTTTTCCAAACAAGAAGACTGTTTGAATTAAATATATTTCATTATAGAAAAGGGGGGAAAGGGCTATACTAAATACGATTATAGTCGACACACAGAGGCGGGAAACCGGAAATGACACAACAGATAAACAAACATTTACAGTATTTTGACAAAAAAGTTAAAGAAAGTTGTACACCAGTGATAAAGAGAAAGAGAGAGAAGACATCACGGGGAATACCCCGTGAGAACTGAGAAAGGCAGAAAGCATTCGGAAAAATGAAAATTTTCTTTAAAAAAAAAAAAAAATTTGCCTTGTTCGAAGAAAACATTGGAACACCCTATGCATTTATAGGTTTGCGCGAATAAAATTCTCGAGAACAATCAAACGCAGATAAAGCTCTGGTCGAAACGACGGTTGAAGAGGATACTCACATAAGTGTTCAATTGCCTGACAAAGCTTGAGAAATTGTTATGCTTAAAGTATCTGGGAAGGAGACTCATGGAGAAGGCATGTGGATCCCAAACCACAAAACTAGTGCCCCCTCTGCTCCAAGAAACCATATAATTGGTGGCTGGGTCGTCCACCACGTCGAATGTCTTGATCAGAAATGGTGGCGGCCCCAGCTCATGAAGCCCCTCCATTGGCTGCGGAGGGGGAATTGTTGATGCTTCACCTCCTGAATGAGATGAAGTCGCTTCCAAGTACTCTTCTTTCACTGGATACGGGTAATCCATTCTCAAATTCCTCCGCAAGATGATTCAGACGTTTCTGGTTTGTTCAGTTTTCTACCTAGATGCAGAGTATTCTAATGAAGAAGCGTCGAGTCAATATGACAAAAGTTCCTTCAATGCGAAATTTGCAGATACAAAACTAATGAAGAATTTGGCACTGAATAAGCACATCATAAGTAGAACATGAAAGGAAAGTAAGCTGAAAATCGAAAGAAAATTGCGGGTTGACCTAGTGATGGAAGGTCAAATCCAGAAACAGGGGAGGGAAAAGATTCTGCAAAACTGATAATAAAATCGGAAACTCAGCGGCGGAATTGAAATGGGATTAGGTAGAAAGTTGGGGAATGATGATTATCGGAGCTTTGGATTCTTCTTTTCTAGCAAAGGTGAAGAATCAGGGTTTCCTCATCAGGAAAGTCATCCAGGCAGTTAAAACGAGCAGTTGTGAGGTTCGACGCCCAAATATGGAGAAGGCGCACGGTTGAGTTTGAAGAATTAAATAGGCCAAAGTAAGAAAATTCTAGACATCTAGGAAGCACTAATGGATTATTTTATTGAACACTCTCATGTATCAATTCAGTGAGAGAGGAGACATTCAGTTTAGAAGATTCTGGAAGTTACAGAGGCAGGCACACTGGAATGGCGATGAGCATTATATGTTTCCCAAAAGGCGGTTTTGCGGGAATCCTGATTTATTGTATTTAATTTATTTTAATTAATGGCCTGCAAGCTATGAGCAGTTATTGGGCGTCCCCGTTTGAATTAGAAAGAAAATCACAGAATAGCCGAAGCATTATGAATCATGCTGAGTTGGTTTTGACGGGTTGTTTCACTCGATCAAAGTAGTTAATTTGCAAACAGTTGATATTTAGTTGAGAATTCAATTGTATGCAGAGAGTTTTCGTAACCAGCACTAGAGTCTTTTTGAAAAATATAAGCTCGAGCTCAACTGAAAAAAGTAATTGATTTGCATGCAGAGTCCCCTCCCCCCCCCGGGGGTCCCCGGCCAGGCTCCGGCCGGCGGCTTTGTCAACTGAGGCAATAGGAACCATAATATCGCTTGAATTACTATCAGAGTTGTTCAAAGCCCTCCAGTGTTTATTCTCCGTATCCACCTTTTCTTCCAAAGAAAAATTAAACGTGACAACGAAAGGCGAACAAATATTCTGCCCTTTGACGAGTTAGCATTCCGAATTTTTTTTTTAAATATACATTTAGATATCTTGTGATGCATTCAATATCTCAAAATATTTTTAAGTCCATTTAGTACTTTAAAATTTTTTTGCCTAAATACTGAATGCATTAAAAAATATTTTTAAGTGTTGGATATACTTAAAAAAATAATTAAAAATATTGGATATATTAAAAAATATTTCACAGTACTAAACACATATAAGAAAGTATTTCATTAGACGCATTACAAAATCCGAAAAAATATTTTGGGCTAAGCACCTTAACCCATTAGGACCTTGTGCTTCCAACTACATTTCTCAACAATTTATAATCTGTACCAGAAAAAACAACTTATAATCAAAGATCCCATAAAATTACAGCAGTTTTCACGCTGTATTGTTTACCATTCTAAGCAGAAAAAAAAATGGCTTTATATTATAAGTAAAAATCAACCTTTTATCTCCTATTTATAAGAAAATTTTATGCCACCGCGCTACAAAATTGTTGGCATATGTAAATTGAATTGAGTTTCATCAAAACAACAATTTTGCTGGGCGAAGAGACGAGGAACAGGAAGGCGACACGTCAGCAGCTCCCACGGTCTCGGTAGGAGAGTCAGATATGGTGGATGGTGGATGCGGAAGCCCAGAACCATCTTGGGTTCCCACTCGTGGCAACTTGCATTTGTCTGTTCCTAAACCGGTGGGAGCCATATCATTTTTTTTAATTACTTGGTTTTAATATAATATTATCAACTTTTATCCAGAGAGTTAAAAAAATAATTTGAACGCAGGATTTGTCTTCACTTTTTACATTACATTATCATATTATATTGTTTCGCTGCTTGAAGACAGTGAAGACACGATTTCACAAGCTCTATTATAACGACACGTACCAAAAACAAATCTGCTAATCAGATATCTTGTGTGAATGAATTCCAGTGAAGGTTCTATAACATTCTGGAAGCTACTAGATTTTGTATTCTCGCGCCTACCATCGGCAACAGGAATTATTGGTGGTACTGGTTCTCTTTTATTTGCTTCTTGATATTTCATATCGATGAATCCATTATTCTTCTTTGGTTTTTTTCTCTCCGGAACCCTTTTTTAACGGCTGGCCTTTCACGGCCGGCCTCCATCCCATCCCACGACAAGTGATGTGTACTGATATGCATAGTTTTTGTTTTATTGAATTTTATGCGGGGGAGGCGTGTATATGCGTGTGCGCGTCTGTAATTTGCGGTTTGCCCTTCAAGTTCTGCTGCGATCCAGCTGTGAGTATAGAGAGTGGCTATATTCAACGATATGTACGTGTACGTAATGCGCTCTTCGGGTAGGCTCAGCTGTTGGTTGCGTTGTTTCCTCACTCCGAGTCTAAATTCTGCCTAATTTTATATTTAGTCGTCCCATTCTTTTATTAGTCACGGAAATCGGATATTCTTCAGAGGTTAATGCTAGATTTGTTGTTAATATAAAATTCAGTTGACTAGTTTGAGATGATTAAAAAAATAATATATCATTTTAAAGTATTTATATTTATCTTTTTTTTTTTGCATACTAGTTTACCTTATTTATAAATTGATATATGATATAATTATACATATAGTATCATGTAGTGTTATAGTTAAGTAATTCAATAACTTGTAAGTCTCTCAAAATTAATTGACAAGGTCTTATATTAAAGACCGGATGTAGTAGAATTTAGAGTTAATGTAATTTTTTATCTTTATTTTAGTTTTGATGTCTCGGTGAGCAAAATGATTTAAGGGGGTGTTTGGCAACAACAAAAAGTGATTCTCATAAGCACTTTTCCGCAAAACGAGACAAACTCCTTCACATATTTACTTCGTAAACCGTAAAAACACTTCTGAAACTATAGTTTGGTTTCCATCCAAATATCCTCTAAGTTTTAACGAAAACTGATCAAATAATATGTAAGTGTGCTCTTTGGTGAGGCTATAATATAATAATCGTCAGATACAGTGGTTGATTATAGCGGGGAAGCGAGTCTAGAGTTTCTTAACGTCATGTCTTGTTTCTTTTGGGAGAGCCTCTCGTGAAAACATTTCCGCTGCCGCGAATAACAAATCATGACTGTAATTGTCCTTAAAAGAATGATCCAACCATGAACTTTGAGCACCAAGGAATAGACTTCAGGCTAACAACGAGACAAGTTACAGGAAAAAAGGTATGCCTTGACATCAATTATGCTTCCAATAACAGTCGATAACACGTGGTGTGATGCCTGTACATGCATTGTATGAAATTTTACATAAGAAATCAAAAGTTGTTGATCACACTGTGACTTCCCAGCCGACACCTATGAAGTCGTGACTTATTTATCAGGGATAATCGTATTCAGCCATGTCTGATATTGCCCGTCGATGTGGCCGCGAAAGAAGAATTACAGGGAAAAGGGAATATACCCCAAATAAACATGTTACTTTTGCAACGTTAAATACATAGTTATCTTTTGTGATTTCCCGTATAATTTTTCTGGTGTATGAGATTAAGGGTTCATTTGGACTCCCCGTAGGAACGGTAACTTATTTCCAATATGATTTTTAAAAAAGCTAGATTGAGCAATATAATTTATGTTTAGATTGACTTTTATAAAAATTAGTTTATAAAATTAAAAATTTATTTAAATAGTTTGTAAAATGACTGAAATAGATATAGCTTCTATTAACTAATAAAAAATATTAAAAATATGAATTTACAAAATATAATAATTTGGAACTATTATGATAAAAAAAGTTATATCTAATGGATAAAATGCATTTGAACTGGAAATCATAGGAATATGAAAACTTTTTAACCAAATAATATTATATAATTAATTGGATGATATACCTTGTATAATTTATATAAATGTAAAATAAAAAATAATATTAGAAGTTAAAAATATTATAAAGCTGCTAAAAAATCATGTCAATTTAAAAGAATATTAAAAATAAATAACTAAAAGCTGACTAGAAAGTACAAAAAATATATAGAAATAATCCTAAGAAAGACATGAACACAAATGTAAAAATGTACTTTAATTTAAAAAAAAAATTTGCACAAGTTTTAAGTAAATTTTAAGTGATTTCGCAATTGCGATTAAAAAAACAGTTTTTCGACGCTAGATTGATAAAAACCTATTTCAAACAACTCTTAGATTTATGAATTGACATACCCCATTCAGAAGCTATTTGTGTGCTGCTGAGACCCCCGCCATACCGGCACCAAGGCCTGCTGGACTACGCGAAAGGGGACGTCTATCTCCTGGCTTGCCATTATTTGCACACGCACATAAATATACGGCAAGGACTAACGTCAAGTGTGCATAGCAATTAATTATACAGGGAGAATTATCAAGAAGTTTTAAAAAAAATAATTTAATTACTAAAAAATTCTAATGATAAATGATTAGTTTGAACATATTGTTATTTTTTGTTTTAAAATTTGTCATCATTTACTCTTTATTTGTCAGTGAATTTTAATTAAATCCTATCACTGGGGCTAGCTAATTATAATTCTCCCAATTATATATTACCCAAAAAGAAAAGCTGTGATATATTTTTACTTTTAATTAACTCGCATGAAAGAATGATGTGATATAGCGCACATGGCGAGCGGAGTGTTGGCATGAACGAGTCGTTTTTCCTTTTAAATTCCGCGGTCGACATGGCCTGTGAGTTGTCGTTTTTTCCTCTTGGTGCAGTGGAAAATTTTAAAATATCTCGAGAACCACTAAAAAATATGTTGCTTCTTCACTCAAAAAAAAAAAAAAAAAGAGGCGAAGGGAAGAGTTTTGAGCATTGAAATCATGGTTTTTTCCCCCATTTCGATCCACCGAAGTTTATTTCCGTCACATAACTAAATGGAATGGTGTATTTAAAAAATCAAGATCCTTTTTAATTAAGTCCTCATCCATCTCTTTTCCAGCCAATAACACCGACCCATACAATAATTTAAATTGCGCGAGAGTACCGTAAAAAAAAGTTTGTAATTACTAAATTTGAAATTAAGTTTAATAACAACACTTTAATAGATTTTAACAACATTAAATTTATAAATAACAACATATTTTTAAAATTTAGTAACTTCATCTCTATATTGATAAGCTATATACATTTTTTTTTTAGGCCAAAATAATATACGTATGCAGAAAAACTTTTCTGAAAAAACATAAATAGGATAATTTATTGCGAATTTTATATTCTACACTGATGTTCATTAAATAATGACCATGATCGTGGATTGTATTTAGGGACATTCCTAACCTGCAATACTAGCCACTAAAAAAATGAAATGATCTTACAACTTGCTGTTTGATAGAAATTGAATTTTTGTTTGCATTTATATTTAACATAAAGCTTACCAAGAGTTAGATTAATAATAAAATGGTTTACAATTTTTTATACTAAATATGGGCCTATAATCCATCCTTCTAAATACATCGAAATCTATTATAATCATTTGGCAGCGTTCTTCTTTTCTTTCTTTTTTGACTACCGTTTTCTTAAGTCGGTTGTCAAACTGTCAAAACACTTTCCGTTCCAGCCGTCCCGGCAATCTCTGGAAAGAGAACGAGCTATAAAAATCTACGCGCCTTCCCATCGCGCGGTCAGGCGTTCCGTGGGGCCGAGAATTTCGATCTGGTTGAAAACGCGCCAATTCTCCTTGGTCGCCGGCTTGCTTAAACCTAAATTATCTGCCACAGCAATGTAGCTATCGGCGAGATTCAGAGTTTGCGGATATGGTTCCCGGCCAAGGACTTTGGTACCTACTCGCTCTAGGGTTCCTGCTTTCCTTCACAATTCCCATTGCTTACGGGGAATCGTCTACCTGTCTGACTGTATACAAGAAAGGCGGTGCTCCGGCGGTTTTCCAATCCCCGAAATGTCCCCGCTGGAATCTCTTCGATTACGGTTCCCGTTCCCAAACCCCGGCGCGTTGTCAGTATGCGATGCTCCAGGGACGAAGAAAATCTCAGGAAGACCGCACGCTCTGCGTCCTTGACATTCGCATTCCCTTCCCTGGTATCTAATTTCTTGCTTTTCCTCGCCTTATGCATGTGACTGGAAAAAAAAAAGAAAAAGGAAAACACCCTGGGACGCGTATGCCACGTTCCATTCCTGCTCTGTATAAATACACACATATGAACCCTTCTCCTCTCCCTGTGTCAGATTCGTACTCGTGGCTGGTGGGAGGACCCTCAGCCACTAAACCAACATGCCACTCGAACACTCGCACACACACACGGGGACATCATTAGTTCTCATGTTGAACAGCTTATTTTCTCATGCTCTGCTGAAAAGACGGAAAACTGCTCTCTCTCTCTCTGTGTGTGTGACGACTGGGGTTGGAATGTACGCTGAAGTCTGCTGCTCTTTCAGAAAAGATAATGTCGCCTCTGAAGGACGTCACATTTTTTTCTCCAAATCAACACTACGTATACATTTTTTGTGCTGGATATATAATAATTTTAAATTTTTGGAAGATTGTGCTATTTTTCTAAAATTTAAATCTCGTGGAAATGTGTAGACAAAGATGGAATGAAAGAAGGAAAAAAGGTTGCATGGAGTCCAATGAAACGTGTGAAGAAATATTGAAAGAAAAAATGATCCTATGGTCCTGAGAGGATCCGTACAATTCATGACTATTACAAGTGTAACTCATTAAAGATTTTGTATCTTATACTGATTGAATCACGGGTTTAACTAGCGAGTTTTATGGTCGTAGAATGGATTTTTCTATATTATTATTGTTATTATTATATTTTAAACAAACGGAGATACTTGTGCATTTGGACAGGCTACTTTTAGCATTCCTTAAACGTTCAATTTTTGATTCTGACACAGGAAAAATGGGAATTAAGGAGGTTATGGTTGGAATTGTAGCAGTTTTTGATGGTCATAATGGTGCAGAAGCCAGTGAGATGGCGTCCAAACTTTTGGCGGAGTATTTTGTGCTGCATACCTATTTTCTTTTGGATGCTACGTATTCATTTCTATTGAAGACATCGTCAGGAAGACTGCCTCATAAGAGAGATTGTGACGAAGCAAGACATCTACAAAGGTGGGAAGAGATACTTGGCTGGGACGAACTGCATTTTGGAAGGTATTTTTATATCTCAAGATTGACATTTCCTGGGACAAAATCAAATATCAGTTGTTAGTACGCAAACTTGGAAATTTTCAGCAAATTCTGACTACTATTTTCAGGTTCAAGAATAAATTTTCAGCAAATTTAGACGATTCTTTTCACTTAGAAATTTTGAAGGAAGCGCTGTTGAGAGCAATCCATGATATTGACGCAAAATTTTCTGAGGCAAGTTTCATTTTCTATTTGTGGAACTTTACATACGCCTCTCTTCCCCTTTTCTTTTTTGCTCTTGAATTGACATCTTTCAATTGAACTTTGAAGGAAGCATCTAGAAGTAATCTTGATTCAGGTTCTACAGCTACCACTATATTAATTGCAGATGATAAAATTTTGGTTGCCAATATTGGAGACTCTAAGGCCTTCTTGTGTTCTGAGAAGTTTCATTCTCCCAGAGATGCTAAAGGTGAGAAAGGCACTGGCATATAATGAACACATCTGATATTTAACACTCAGGTTTATCAGGACATAGAATGAATTCTCTCACTTCCTTTTAGTATTTTCTAAATATGATGAGTGGCTTGTTTATTATGACAATCTCTCTCTCTTTCAATTTAAAGCTTGATTAATTGTGCCTTCTGATTTTCAGCATCGTTATTAAAGTTATACAGGCAGAAGGAGGGTGATAGTTATGTTTCCCATGTCTGGGATCGTGAAAAGTATAAATTAGCTTCCTTATTCGGATTCACTCACTTTGCAGCTAAGGAATTAACCAGTGACCATCACCCAGACAGAGAAGATGAAAAAATTCGGGTGGAAAAAGCTGGTGGTCAAGTTATAGATTGGGGAGGTGTGCCTCGCATAAACGGTCAGCTAGCTATTACACGGGCTATTGGAGATGTGTCCTTCAAAAGGTAAGTTTAATTGAATGTCCTTCGCATTTATCAACACCCCCCCCCCCCAAAAAAAAAAAAAAAACCTTTGCATAAACCCCAAGCACATAGCAACGGCACATTGTTTATGGGAATGTTTTATGTAGTTTTGATGGGATCCAAGATAGGTAGAGAGAAGGAAGTAAGAAAAGTATTAAGATATGAAATTAGAGGCTAACTTCATAAATTAATAAATATGGAGGAAAATCTCCGGGTAGAAGATGAGCAAGGTTGGGCCCATCCTTTGTTTGCACTTCAAGCCCAATGGCCTTTCATGAGACTTTTGATGCTAAAAATCCAGAATCACTGATCAAAATAATTTATGAGGCATCTTTTTACATCTGAAGCTTTTAGGATGGCTAATTAACTGTTTTCTTGACAATTCAAAATTTTATGTGGAAATTCTAATGCAGTTCTTTTTGCATTATCAATAGTTATGGTGTCATATCTGCACCAGAGGTGACAGATTGGCAGCCTCTGACTGCCAATGATAGCTATTTGGTGGCCGCATCTGATGGTGTTTTCGAGAAGATGAGTTTGCAGGATGTATGTGATATGTTGTGGGAAGTCCACAGTTATGATAACTCGAGATCTGAGCTTTCCCCTTCATGCTCCTATTCACTGGCAGATTGTATTGTCAACACTGCCCTGAAAAAGGGAAGTATGGATAATGTGGCAGCAGTTGTGGTTCCTCTGGAATCTGCTATTTTTTCTGATAATTCGTTTGGGAGAAGCTCTACTGAAAAGAGGGAAGTAGATAGCCCGCTACTTGGACTGCAGGAATTTGCCCCCAGAAGCTCCGGTATATTCTGTGGGTTTAGATGGTGATATTTTATATAGAAGTAATTCCTTGTATAGTCTGAAACTTTGAGATATGCTCCTTTACCTCGCGTTTGTGAATAAAAGGTATGCATAATTGTGAACTCTGGCAGGCCAGCTAGGTTAATTTGGTTGTTTTGGGAGAACATACGCAAAAAATTGTCTCCAATTTGACTGCAGATTCCACACTAGTGATTGTTTTATACTTGATTATTTTCTTCCGAAGATGGAGATATTATTAAATTGTTATCTAGGTAAAAAATGAAAATCATTTTTCATCATTTAAATCAACCTTGTACGCCTTTATCTGCTACTTTGTCCTTTCCATCATCTCTTAGTTTTTATGTATAAGTTATTCATGTATATTTTTTAGGGCATTTTGTCGAAATAATTACAATTGGATTGAAGTGTATATTCTGAAAGTAAACAGTTTATGTAATTTCTGCAAAATGCTGTAGCCTTTGTATTTACATTTTGTAATATGCATGCCTTACCTTCTTGTGTTTGTTCCACCCACTGATTATGTTGTGTAGAATAACTCTTTCTCATTGATTTGCTGTGCATATACCGTGGTCTACTTCAATGATGAGAATCACATGTAGCATGGGAAGGCCAAATACTTTTACTTTAAGACTTTTCGTGGTGAAACAGTACTTTAGTTTCTTTGACATGGTCATTAATGTAGCAAGGAATTCATTTATTTTTTAAATAAAAAAGACTGTTTGTTTTCGGCTAATTTGCTCTTCTTTTTCTTGCTCAGATAATGGCATTACGTCGGATCTAATGCGACTGGAGCATCTGCGTCCAGTGGATACTGGGTTTGAGCGTATATTGGTATGACCAAAGGTCTTGGAGGTCTATCACTGTCAGTTTTATTCTATGTTTTGCTTGTGTTGCTCATCATTGAATGCCATGAGGGCATTTGCAAGGCTTGAATCGATTTTTTCTGAGCGGACTGATAGCATAATGTCATGGAGTAACGTTATTGCTGCACACGTCTGGAGCTTCTGTGTTCTGGTGCTTGTGAAATGTGATCCAGTCACTAGTTCATTTTTTTCTTTTCCTTGTTGTTGCTCCAGTCATAGGAGGGGGAAAACTCAGTCTCATAAATGCTGTAGGTGTACTGAGCTGAATTTATCTCAATTAAATTCATTTAGTTTTAGGGGACCAACATAGCTGGAAGCAGTAGATAGTCTAATTGATTGAAATTTTTGGATTTGTTTTCCTTACCCTTCTTCCCTTGAGATAGCAAAATCATGTAATCTTGTTTTGGATTTAATTAGTAGTTCCTCTCTCTTGGGGTTATATGTACTTTTTAATATTTTATGTATGCAAAGTTTATTATAAGCACTATTGCTGAAACTTGTGAATATATTATGAAAATGAAATCATTTGTTCTACTTTTCTATTTTTAATCCTTAGCATCATGACACGTGTTGTTCTTTCCCCTTTTTGATAGAAATACAACTTGCCATATATTCTGAGATTTTTGCATTCTCTTTTTTATGCGTGTACTTAGCAATAAAGCTGTAACTCTCGGATTATTTGTTTGCTTGGTACATTTAGAAATTATTCCATCACTTTGGATTTGGAGCATAGCTGCCTCTGGTTACCATCAATCCGAACGGTTACCTCTGTAATTTTTATGATAGGCGGAAGTGAAATATGGTGATGATGCATGTTTTTATTTATCTGAAAATCTGGATGAAGCCATGGACTATAAGCAGCCTTCCACAAAGACCAACTGGTTAAACTATTTATATGAACTGCCAGAGCCTTTGCCAGATGCTCTTCATCAACGTTCTGGTAAGAAAAGGAGCTGTATAAATATATAATCACTTGACATTGGTGCTTTTTCTTGCTGCTGCTACCGTCAATGATCAGCCTGATATGGCCCAACCCGTACATTAATACCAGAAAGAAAAGAGCAAAAGAAATTAGTGAGCTGGCGCAGAGAGGGGAGAGAAAGCAATTGTAACTAACTCTTAACAAGGAGAATATAGGAGAGGTTGAGGTGGGAGGCAATAGGTGATGGAGAATATTGACCTCTTACATGCAAGTATGTGAGGATGAGTGTGGCTGTTTGCTGTGATTTACTTGGTTTAGGTCTTCATTTGTACACTGATAGAGGCTAACTCAGTCATTTTTTCATGTGTAATATATACCGCAACCATTTTTCCTTCATCTCTTCTCTCAGTTCTCATCAGTCATGCATTTCTTTCGTAAATTTTTAATTTATCTGCTGGCAATCCAACACTTTTTGGTGATTCCTTCATTCTGGATGTAGGTGGTCCTGTAAATTTGTACGACGACCAAAATTTTTGCTTTCACCTTGGCATGGCTGTCAATGGAGTTAATGAGCAGTGCATAAATCCTGAATTCTTTGCGAGTTTTATTGGTCTGCTTGAATCTATTCCTTTACATGATACTGGTTCAAATAATGGGTCTTTCAACTCTTCAACGCCTGATACGAGGTAAACTTCTGAGCTCAAGTTTTACTTTGATCTTACCTTTAACATTGACGAGCAACTGTAGTTTCTTGTGACAGTCAAGGTAGGTATATACCCTGAGGGAAAACATAACTCATTAATATATCCTTGCCATGTCAAAATCTTCTGAGTTTTGAACTTTATATTGAATTTCAATACTATGTGATTGACAGGATGTTTCATTGTATGAGGACAAAATTGGGAGAATATTTGTATTTTTGCCATGTCATTAACCAAATACAAAGTTGGTGCTTTAACGTGTTATTCATTAAACCTGACTTCTAAGTTAGTATGCATTTTGGTGTTTAGGTATGTTTTGAAAAAGAGGTTTGGCCGTGGATCATATGGCGAAGTGTGGTTGGCCTTTCATTGGAACTGTCAAGTTGGCAATGATCCAAAGCTGAGCAAGGATAACAATTTCTCTCTTAGCTTTATCAATTTTGATTCATACAATAGAAATAGCAGCTCAAGTACTCATGATTGCCAGAACGGTCCTTCTAACCACATGTACATTCTGAAACGGATAATGGTAACTGATCTGGTGAAGTAAAAGGCTTTTTTTACTGTTCAAGTGCGTGAGGCTTTGCCGCTTTGGTCTCTTTCATGTGTCAAGAATTATACAACTAGAACTAATGGGGATGACAAAGTATCTGTTGAAAGAAGACACGGAGAAAACAAAGAGCTGAAGAATTGTTCTACTTATTGTTATCTGAGTACTAAAATCAGCTGGAAAATAATTAAAGAAAAAGCTTTGCAGCATAAAACTTACTAATTACTTTTGTATTTCTACCTTTTCCATTCCAGAGCAGGAGAGAAAGTCACTTGTTTTCAAGCTCTTTTAAGTATTTTTTTTCCTCTTGAAATCTGCATTTAGGTAGAAATACCTCCAATAGGCTCATTTACCTATTCTAGATCCTATTCATTTTTCTTCCTCTATGATCAGAGTCTGGGCTCTAAATTTAACTGCTGATTTTTTTTTTGGGGTTAATATTTTGATTTCATACTTTCGTCTTCCAATAGGGCACTGTTCTTATTATATTTTTATATGAAAATCTCAGCCATCTTTAGAAATGGAATCTTTTGCTTGGACATCGGTACTTGACAGAATAGCTGATAGTGACTTGCTGCAAATTTTAAGGCCAACCGGGGCACCTCCCCCTAACTATTGAATGTGCTGAACAGGTAGAGAGAGGGGCTGCTGTTTACTTAAGTGGTCTGAGGGAGAAGTATTTTGGAGAAGTCTTTTTAAATGCTTCCATGTGCTTTGAAGATCTACTTTCGGCCGGAAACTCAAACTGTGTCTCAAAAAAAGCACAATTCAGATCTTATGACCAATTAAAAACCAATGATTCCATGCTATATTATATAAGAAACTCCTGGGGCTCTGAGAATTCGTTCACAAAAAAATTCCAGCCGCAAAAGGCCATCCATGAAGAGGGTCTGAACCATATTGCGAGATATGTGGAATCTTTTGAATCCCGATCAAATGAATTCTGGCTTGTGTTCCATTATGAAGGCATATCTTTGTCCAAACTCATGTATACTGTGGAAGAAGCTTATGATACTGCTGACAGTGAAAGATCTGAGCAAGTGAAACATGCTCAGATATTGCGTCCATCAAAGTGGTGGCATTGGTTGAAGACAACAGAAGAAGGGCAACAGGAAATGCGCAATATTATATGGCAGCTGGTATGGCTTCAATATGGGTTCTGCGGATTGATTGTCCCCATTATCCTGCATAATTTCTGTTTTTGAAATATTAACCTATCTTTAATGGTTTTTCCCATTTCGTTAATTTGTTTGGAAATACAGATATAGTTGTTTTAAAATCATGCAGATATGCTCCCTCATTTTTGTTAAAAGAGCAAAATCAATGACTTAAATTTACCCATCAAAATAAGGTGCTTTTACACTTGCATATCCGAACAGAACTCACCACATATCATAAATATTCTTGTGTCCTGAGGCATTTACTTTTCTTTTTCTCCTCTTCTGCGGTTTTCTACCGAACCTCCTTCATATGCTGTCCCATGAATGAGTTTTGGCAGTATTAAGAACAATATTAAGACCCAATCAGGGTTTAGGACTGTTTATCTTGAAAAGAAAAGAAGAGGAGAAAATGTCTTCTTTTCTTCCTAAAATAAACAGTCCTATACCCTGATTATGTTAGAACTGTTCATTTTTCTAGGATGTCATCTAGGAATTTCTAAATTTGAATTTATACCAATTACAATTTTTGATTATGTTCGTGTTGTTTGAGGGGAGAAATTATTACATCGACATTGAAAATTTTCTATGCCTCTAATAAGATGTGGATTATGGCATCTTTTGAATTTCACTCTTTTTGCCTTAATACTGTTCTTTATACTTGACGAGTTGTCTTATTCATTTGCTTAGTTAGTGGCACTGAAGTCCTGTCATGATCGGAATATCACTCACCGAGATATTAAACCTGGTAAGGATATTGGGCAATTTGTCGTTGAAAGTGATGTGCATGTTTGTCAATTTCAAGATGAGCAAAGATTCATACCTGCAGAGATTTATTTTGGCTCTATTATTTCAGAGTCTTTCATTTAAAAAATGATCAATGTAAACGGAACCCTGTATTTTTGTTTGCTGAGTTATCACTTTTCTAGGTAGATATTGATTTTTTACTGCAGAGTAAGTCCATTTGTTTAAAACCTTTCTGTCTGCTTTTTGGGCTCTTAATTTATCTTAACAAAATGCCGCTCAAATATGCATTTTTTTTAAAAAATATTTGGTCATAAATTTGTATGGTTTTACTGTCTTTTTTTTGGTTGGGTGAAGGATGTCTGGTTGTTAAAGGCTATGCTTACATTGACAGCCCTACTCCGTAATCCATTGAAAGCCTGAAAATCATAAACCTCTGGCGTGGTTGCTTGTATCTTAAATTTTTGTTTCTATATGATGCGTTCAAATGGAAGGAATTTTTTTTTCCCCGGAAATATTGATTGATTCATGGTATTTATTGGAAGAGAATATGGTGATATGCTTTGAAGATCACGAGACTGGGAGATGCTTAAAAGAGGTTCCAAAAATTATCAGGACGATCTCTACCAAAATGTACAGTATATTATCTTTCTTTCGTTATAGGCCCTTGCTTATTATTTTTGGTTGTTCTCTTCTGATGTTGAACATTTTAAACTTCTACATTATGCATGTGATTTGGAATATAAGTATTTTGGAAACTACTCCAGAACTCAGTTATTATTTTCTTTTTCTTTCGATTGCAAGGTTTGAATAGAATATCTTGGCATTGGTTAGATCTTTTTTCACTTTTTGAGTGATCTGCTTTTGTAAATTCTCCGCCACTTGGATATAGACATGTTGTTCCTCAGCTATATAAGTTGTGTTGGTGACTGACATTTCAGCAATATTGGAAGTGTTTGAAGCTATTTGAGTTCATTTGATATGCAGGAAAATTTGTTGATCGGGATTCTTTATCACTTTTTCAGATAATAATATCATATATGACAATAAGTTGCTGTTCTTGCTGCCTGCTGGTTGTTTAGGGATAAGTACTGGTTATTCAAAATGATTCTCTGCCCAATATTTATGTGGAAATGCAAACTTTGCTTAGTTCTTAAAGTGTTCTGATTTTTTTAGCAGATGAAATCTACTGACAGCCTAGTGATATGACGCATAAATTAAACCAAATTTGCTTTTTTGGATCTTGTTATAATGATCTACGATATAATAGGTTAATGTTTGGCTTTCTGCTTCCCGAAACCAATATCCACTCCCCTTCTTTTTTCCCTCAGACTTTTAGTCCGAGGTCTGATAATGGTTGGTTTGAGTTTTCTTTGGCAGTAATAGAACGGGGTTATCATGCATTTTTAAATTTTGATCTGGATATCCAAGTATTTGTGTCTGTTTTACAGATCTTATATACTTCCGCTGAGCCTTGTAGGTTACATGTAATTTATCTCTTATGCCCAATAAAATTCTGATGCTTTCTTCCAATTCTTTCAGGCGTATTATTGACTTTGGCAGTGGAATTGATGAATTTACGTTGAAGCACTTATATGGATCTACTGGGCCATCGCGGTATCCAACTTGTCTCACTATAACATTGAATTTTTACTGATTATCGTGCTAAAAATAAACGTATTGTTTCTTCAGAGCTGAACAAACTTGCGAGTATATGCCTCCTGAAGCTTTACTAAATGCTACTTGGTATCAAGGACCAACAGGCTCAACTTTGAAGTATGTAAATTTTTGTAAGATTAAATTCAACATCTTCTGTTCGAAATTGTTTTTGTAAGAATGAAATCAAAGTGTATCTTTGTTCTTTGGTTTCATCTGGTTTAAAATGGATAATATGCTGCGTTATTTGTTAAATTACTTGCAAGGTTGCAAGCTAACATTTTTACATGAACAGATATGACATGTGGAGTGTTGGCGTTGTGATGTTGGAGTTGATCTTGGGAACGCCAAATGTTTTCCAGATAAGTTCTTTAACACGTACTCTTTTAGACCGACATCTTGAGGGATGGAATGAAGGCATAAAGGAGCTGGCGTACAAGTAAGTGTGCTCTGCAGAAAGCTGTAATGTTATTCTAACTTCTTACACACGCAAGCGTGTCCACACATCTACAATCAAGACCTTTATGTTCCCATTATAATTAATTTGGGCATTTGGGCTGCTTAGCCTTTCTATCTTCCATTCGTCAAAACTCAAAACATCTACAATCAAGACTTTATGTTCCTATTATAATTATTTTAGGCAGTTGGGTTGCTTAGGCTTTCTATCTTCCCTTCGTCAAAAGGTAAGGAAAAAGGTTGGAAAGGGATTTTTTTTTTCTTTTGAGAAATTCGGTGTGGAGCATCTGGGATTGTGATTTGCAATCGCCATTCTCACGGTTCAAAATTACATTTTAAGAAACTTCGGAGGATAATTCTCCCCAATCTTTTAGGTTTAATGTTGTGCTTTAGCGATTTCGAAGCTTGTTTGGTCTCCTTGAATGTGTAGACAGGCACGTATTTGCTTGGAACTTGATTTTGGGGAAAGCATGCGTTGTGAGATGTATAGATGTTGATTTAGCCTGGGTAATTTGTCTGTGGACTTGTGAGGTTGATTTTGTCCATGAAGGAATGAAACTTGCTTTAATTCTCTTGAATCCCTGGACTGATAATTTTAGCTGTTGTTTTATATTTCTTCTGGCAGACTTAGATCTTTCATGGAATTGTGCATATTAATCCCTGGGATTTCTGGCAGTTCCTTCAAACAGTATCACACAGGAAACCAAGTAAGTCTATCAGCTGGCCTTTTGGTTTATAATATATATGTCACCTAATGAAACCGTATGTGAATCAGGTTGGAGTCCCTCCTGCATCATGGATATGCTCCGAGGATTTCTTTTCACGCCAAATTAGAAGTCGGGATCCTCTTAAATTAGGGTTAGTTGGCAGACTTCTGAGTTCTGATGTTTTCATGCTTTTCGTTTATATGGTATGTTGAGCAATCTTGCAGACTTCTGTTCTTTGTCATAAAATTTTTCTTACTACTGAAGGTTTTCAAACATCTGGGCTCTACGGTTAGTGCGTCATCTATTGCTCTGGGACCCAGTAAGTTTCCTGATTAAGCTTGATGTCTCGTTAGTTTTGTGACCTGTATTACGTCCTAATTTTTTTCACTGTTCAATTGAAAGGCTTGATAAATTTTTACAACACCACGAATCTAATAAAAGCTTTTGTTGAATAATTGTAGGAAGATCGACCGAGCGTTGACGAGGCTCTGCGGCACCCCTATTTTCAACCTCCCCCAAGTGGCTGAGGGAGGCTATGGCAAGTCACGATCGAATTATTCAATTCTGGGTGCGTATTTTCCATCCAACATTTTACTAATCATTAAAATCTAAACGCTAAGGGTTGACAGGAAATTTTTTAAATTCAGGTTTATAATAAAACATGTGAATCAAAATCCAGGCCTATCGGAGCAGATGATGGAGCGGGTGATATGGATGAGGAAAATTTAGATTCTCTAGGTGTAGGATCATCATAAATCTAAAAAAAATTTTTTGGTAATAAATTTAAAATTTTACCTGACGAAGATAGTAAAATTTCTTACCTGACAGGTGCCAAAATCATTTTTCAAATTGTCATCGAGAAGCTTTGTTGCTCAAACGAAGCAAATAGTCCTGTGTATATGGAGGAAAAATCGCCGGCCAAAAAAAAAATTATGGAGGAAAAATCAGTGTATACAGGGGAAAATATCAGGATCATGCCACTGTATATTGTATTATGGTATATAGACGAAAACTGATGTTTTGGTGTGCTCGTCGCACCCTTTATATATATTTTTTCCTTGAGCATGAGGTGAGGATGTGACCAAGTGCTCTAATGCCCCGGATGGTAGAATGGCAGTGTTTTTGAAGGAAGTGAAAGTGGACTCCCAGAATATGTTATATTCATATAAAAAGACGTAATGACCTTGCCTCTTTTTTTGGGGGAGGGGGGGGGGGGGGGGGGGAAGAAAAGGCTCCCTTTCAAGACTTGGAGAACCGCCTCCACCGAAGAACAGGAGCTACGATGGAGCCACCACAGCCGGAAATTGGAAACCAAAATCAAAACCACTGCACGCCAAAAATCAAACCAGGTAAAAAAACTCTGCATTACAAGTCACCCCTAAGGTTAACAAAGCCAGAAAGAAGAAACCCATCAAACGAAGGAAATCAGGACTTCCACTTATCCCGTCTTTGAGTTCAATTCAAGACTCCCAAGCAGGGCATAAACGATTTCATGCATTTGCCGAACTATAAGTATGGCTTGTTTTTATTTTTTTAAAATAAATTTAAAAACTTTAAACAGGAAGTTTAACGTTAAAATTTTGCATATGAAATATTTTGAATTTAAAAATCATGGGAAAATCTCAAAAACAAGCTTTTGAAATATAGGAAATTTCTGATTGGGTTTTGGAATTATCTAAATGACAGAAAGGGTCAATAACCCAATCTGTCATTTGTAAAATCAAGAGAAATTGATAATTTTATCCTTATTTGTATTCATTCATTACAATAATTTAAGGAATCACTATAAAAGTTTAGGCGTTACTTAGATTTGTGTAGAAAATAGTTACTTATTTTTTCGTAGTCAGAAATATCCCATGAGAAGTTTCATTGTAAATCAGTACGACTAATCATGTAATCACTTTTGCTTAGCCAGGCATGTGAAGGTGTCTTGTTATCAACGACAACTAATTATGCAATCACTAGGATAGTGTAAGCGTTACCTAAATTTGTTTAGAGAATAATTATTCACTTTTACTTAGTCAGGACAAAGTTGTTAATTCCTCTTGATTTTACATAAGGGTGTTCACGGTAGGCCCGTCTCGGTGAACAAGAACGAGATAGGGATTTTGTCCCGTGTCCTATCCCATCTCGATTCTATTCTAGTATTGTCAGAATCGGGAGTCCCGCTTCCCCTTTTAAAAAAAAAACCATAATTTTTTATATGAATTTTTTTATATTATAATGCTTATTTTTTATTGGGCTTCTAAAGATAAAAATATTGTTAAAAAATTATGTAAAAAGCTCAATTATATAGTATAAAAAAAGTGTAAAAACAATATTGTAAAAAAAAATATCATAAAAGAAACACTATATAATGACTTTATGAATTATTTTATTGAGGAAAGATTTTATTGAGATAATATTACAACTTAAGAGCTAAAAATCACCATAAAAATAAGTTATTATTAATAAATAAATTAAATAATCTAATAATAATTATTAATAAATAATTTTTAAAAGGAAAAAAAAATCCCGAGACGGGACCAGACAACCCCATCCCCTCCGGTCCTGTTTTTGTCCCTTTCCAAAAAACTTTTGTCCCGTCTCATCCCGTCCTGAACTCGCTGGGACCAAGACGGAACGACCAGAACAGGACAAATCGAACACTCCTAATTTTACAAATGACAGATTGGGTCATTTGCACAATTCCATGACCCAGGAATTTTCTATATTCTAAAGGCTTTTTTTGGGATTTTCCCTTAAATCATTATTATTATACTTATTTTGCTTGCGATTCGACCGTTCAGAAAGAAATAAATAACTCATGCTGCCTTGCTCATACCATCTCATTTTGATCCAGGAAACGGAGAAGACAGACGATAACATATCTGACATTCATAATATATCCCCCAAAAAATAGAAGAAAATTACAAAAATTTGGACCACCCCATTCCCCGCCTCCTTGTAAAAATTAAAAAAGAAGGGGGAAAAGAAGGTAAGAATACACAGGTTCATTATATAGACAGTGATCATATAACTTAACCATCCATCCTACAGACCTCATTTGCATATAGCTGATGGATGGCCGCTATGTTGTGTCGATCACCCCATTATCTATTTTCAATCAGAAAATTCATGTGGATTTGAGTCACGGCTCGTGGCTGTTAACTCGACTGTGAAGTTCCAACATTTCTTGATGGTTCGGGTCCACTGAGAGCGCAGCCCGACAGTCTCTGAGGGCACCTAACACATCCCCTTTGTGTTCATGGAATGCGGCTCGTAGATGTAAGAGGTGCAGATCAGCTTTAAATGCTATTGCTCTGGACAGTTCCGCAATGGCCTCCTCCTCTTTGTGATTGTCCATCAACACTGCAAACACAAACCCCCAAACATAAAATTGAACTCAGCTTTCTCTGGGAATGAGTTTAATTTCAGAAGAATCAAGCCGAATCGTTCCATCTGTTGCATAATGTACATCCTTTACCATGCAGATCATGCAGGGTAGGAGGGTTGAAAATACATAAGCAAAGTACCTGCAGCACGATATCTGTAAGGATATACTCTCAGTGGATCTAATCGAGTCACCATCTCCAGGTCAGCCTTTGCAAGTTCCCGATCACAGTACTCGGATCTCTTCTCATAGGCAGATGCATTGTTTTTTGCCTTCTCAATAAGCTTGGTCATTTCATTGTAAGCAGCGGCCTTATCATTTTTGAAAAAATAAACACGAGCAAGACCCTGGTGCGCTCGGGTATGCCGGATTTCGAGGGCATTGACGTAACAATCAGCTGCTGAGTCTAATTTCCCACAGTCGACAAAAACGCTACCAAGGTTGTTCAGGGCCTGATAAATTAACACGTGCATAAGTAGTAAAACTAGAAACCCATTGTGCACAGAGTTGCTTGATTACATGCTACAACGTCATGCCACATATTTCCCAGCATATATAATGGCAAAAAAAGTCATTCTGATTTGTTAAGCTTCTTATACCCGTATGCTATCACTGTAAATTTAGAATTACCTACAGTTCAAACACCAGAACTTCTAAGTTCGCATGATCAAAACTTCTGAAGTTATCACAAGGTTACAACCACCATAATACAAGGCGGAGAAACATTCGAAAGAGAAGGTCATGGTAAGTTGTTTGAAGGCACAATGCTATCAAGGTTGACTACAGCATCAAAAGAAGCAGAATGAGGGGCGAATGGTGGAAAATGCAATTATAGAGATGGCAATGTCATGGGAAGACAAATAGCAATAACCTCCAACCCCCCACCCCCTTTTCTCCCTCCCTTCTCTTGGTTTGTGTTGACATTCATCGCAAAAGAACTAGAAGGAAAAGAGTTCAAAGTGAAATAGTGATACATTCAACTCATTAGAAATTGGTGAACAATGAGGATAACAACAGTAACAAATCATTCTTTCCACAAAAATAGGAGAGCCATACCTGACCTTTGCGAAGATTATCTGATGGACACTTTAATGCATCTTCTAAAAGTGAAATAACCGTTGAAGAACATGATGAATGCAGACTAGAGTCAGCCAATACATAGGCCTTCAGGAAGAAGGCCTCAAAGGACCTTTTGATACTAATAGATTCTTCAGCTTTCTGGAGCCCTTCTTCACAGTGACCGGTATCATACAAGATCCACCCCTCATATACAAGTTGTTCGTGCTTACTTGATGCATGTTGGCGAGCTAATTGTAAACTCCGCATGGCAGCCTCAGGACAGTTTAACCTATGGGGACGAAAATGTCAGGCTTTTGTTGTCCATAATAAACAAATGTTCCAGATAGTAATTTAAATACAAGGACCAGGAAGTGACTGCCTTTCCTAATACACCAGAGTGAAAGCAGCAGAAAATGATGTGCTTTCAATCATCGCAATATGGTGTCTCACGCATGTATAAAAACGCAATTTGTTCCATCAAATTTCCTAATAATACACTTGATAGTTCAATAGTAAAGCAAGGGGAAATTTAAACCCTTTCAATAATTGATGATTGCAACATCAAGTTACCAGACATTCGTAACGTACCTAAGAAGAAGCAATGACTGTCTGAAGTATAGGACACCCTTTGCTGCATCAGATTCAAGCATCTGATAGATAACAGAGAGAGACCCGATATCATCAACTGTCGACCAACAATCATACAATCGTGCCCAGCAATCTGCTGTAGTCCAGTGTTCAACATGCTCACGTACAAGTGTACGGAATTGGGATGCCGCTACTCGCCCCTCAAACATTCTATAATCAGGACGCAGAGTAAGAATTGCTTGAACGTCACAGAGGGCTGCTTTGTAGTCCTCAAGAGCTAGATTGAGAAAAAACCGTAGTTCTAAGCACTCCAATGAAAGTTTGAAACCAAGTATCATATTGATTTCTGCCAGGGCAGCTTGAACATTTTGAGTCCTCATTAAATTCACAGCCCTATACATGTAGGGATATATAAGCGTAGGGTCCAGATCTGTTGCTTTCTCAAGGTCCTGCCACCTATTGTTGCCTTCACAATATAGTGATCTTTCCTGGTACATCCACCCCACTGGGGTTACAGAGGAAATAACTGAGCTGAGTTTCTCATAAGATAAAAGCTTCTCACCCTTTATAGAATCCAATCTAGCTAAACCTGCTGCAGAATAAATATGGCCTGCATTTAAAGCACCCTCAAATAGGCAACGGGCTTCATCATATTCTTTCCTTAAAAGTCTTGCACATCCCAACTGATGAAACGCCAGCAGTCTCTGCTTGTCTGTTTCAGCAAAATCCACCAATCGTTCCAGGAACTGAACTGTTATATCTGAACTAGGATCAAGTTTCACAGAAACTTCACTTAATAAACAGTAAAGTGAAAATAAACCAGGCCCAACCATGACTGCCAGCTGCTGCCTATTAGCACCAGTAAATACCCCTACCACCCTATTGTCATTCAAACAGTTTGGAAGATCGCATAAAAGGACTTGCAAACAAGATGCCGCAAGGACAGGAGAATTCTCATCAAGAGCATAACCTATGAGTTCCACAGCATCGTCTTTGGAGGAAATTAAAGACGCTAGTCTTCTATCGCAAGCATCTTTGAGTCTTTCACAACAATACTTGTTGGCAAAAACTAATATCTCCAACAATAGATTAGGAGGAACGTCATATAAACTGCCTCTTAGACTAAAGTAACTTATTGCCCTCATGCCTGCAGGGGAGATATTGTTCTCAGACAAATCTATGGTCTCGGAAAGTGACTCACTGAAAGATCCCTTTAGCATTGCATGAAATGGTGCTGAAAGTTCAGACATTTTATGTCTGTCACAAATTATCTTGTCATTTCCGATGGTAAAAATAACATATTGTGAAATGTGGTTCCCATTCACCGAAAATCTCTCTTGCAAACCTTCATCAACATCAAAAGGAATATGAGATGCCACATCTATTAGCCCAAACTCCTTTGCACATTTACCACAAGTTTTCAGCAAATCAGCAATCAGCTCCTCCCCCTGCTTCTCATACTTTAGCCAAGCCCCAAATATTATCTTCTCGTGAACAGTGTTAGCTCTCTGCCAAGCTGCCCGGAGGCTTCTACGCATCGGTTTAACTTCCCCAAGGCCCCTAAAGACCTGGTATTGCAATAAATATAGGTTTGACCTGTCTTGCGGGGGGCATGACTCAAGTTCTTCATGAATTTGAGCAAGAACTTCCACATAATCAACAGGCTTAAAGAATGGTAGTATGGATGGCTCTGGGACCTTGATTAGAGACTCGCTACAATTCAGCAAACACCCCCCCACCCCCCAACCCCAAAAAAAAGAAAAGAAAAGAAAAGAAAGAAAGAGTCATCATTTAATTGGGCCAAAGTTAAAAATAAAAAATTCAGGGTAGTACTGTGGAGAAGAAAAACATACATTGACGCAGACGAGGATTGTGATGAGAGTTTGGGAAGTTTCCCTCTTTCAACTTGGAGCCAGGACTGTGGATTTAGAACATTTGGTTGCGCTTCTTTACAGGAGTCAGGAGCGAAGAAAGTCCTCATGGGGCATAGGACACGAAACAAGTCCCAGATCTCCACAATAGCGCTAACCAACCTTTACAAATTGGAGTGAACAAGGAAGTAGAAGAACAACTAAAAAGACCAGCCACCGCCTGCTCGTCACATTCCACTATCAGCTAAATTATTTCCATCCCCAGAAAGCAAGAGCTCCCATTACTTTTCCCCCTCCGAACAAACAGAACAATCAAAGAAAAGGAACTCAGCCTACGACAACGGTCTTTTGAACGAATGGATACATGAAAAAATCAATTGTTTCTTCCGACGAACAACAGCTAAATGAAGCTTCTATTTTCTATATTTTTCCCTTAAAAAAGATTCCATTCGACGATTCAACCTAGTCAGGGGGAAATTGATTAATAGAACAAGCAATAAGCTAGTGAAGAGCAGATAGATGGAAATGGCTAAGAAGGATCTTTACCAGAAAAATGACCACATTTTTGTGGCCAACTCAGACAAACACAGACAATGCCAAAAACCACAGAGAAAGATATATATACAGAGAGGGGGAGAGAGACAGCTGACAAGAGGCTTGAATCTGCAGACGCAGGCGATGGATTACAAGCGGAAGTTCAGAGGCCTGGAGATCAAAGTGAGGGAATCAAATTGAAAATTTTCCACTTTAAATAAATTTTCTTTTTCTCCTTTTGTTTGGTAAAAGGGAAAGTAATTTTCTTTTTCTTTTCTTCTAGCTTTTCCTGCGTTGGAGACCACAAAAATTGCAGCTACTGTTTGTTGGGAGTGCAAAAAATTAAGCTGGACCGGAAAAAAATAGAGAGAGAAAGCAAACTACAAATGAAAATAAAAAGGCACGAAACAGTCGAAACGAAGAAAGGTGAAGGCTGGAGCTCGCCGTCGGTTCAAAATGGGAGCGACCAATGGAAAAACCAGCGTGATCTGATTCATCTGAAAGCGGCTGGTGGCGGTACCAGTATCTATCTGTCCATTATTATCTTCCCAAACAGCCGCTTTAAAACAATTCTCTTATTAATTTTTATAGGTTAATAAGGGTTTAACTAAAGTTAAACCCAATCAGGCCAAGAAGAACAAAAACAAGACGGCAGCGCTCATTAGATTGGACAGATTTTATTGTTTAAACAACGATTACATCAGATTAAAAATTTCAACTTACTATTTTGTTATCACAGTTTGCTCGTCATCTTATAACAGCATTTTTGTTGCCTAATACACAGCGCGGCGGACCAGCTCCTTGATCCTACCCTCCTACTCACAAACTCGAGAGTACACTTTTTTATTTGAAAAAAAAGCCATTATAAATTATAAATATACTTACAAATGAAATCTGAAAAGGGATCAACTTGACAGTGGTCATGAAGGTCATCACTGCGGAGAACAAAAAGAAGTTCACATGAGCTTGGAAATTAATACGAGAAGACAAAAACAATCATTACAGAAAATGATGAGGGGGGTTCCGGCTACGGTCTGGTGGTTTGCTTAAGGTACATCCCCACTTGATGCCTTTAAAATTACTCTACCCTGTGTTATACCCAATCCTATGTCACCAACGTTTATTTTATATGTCCCTTTTTATTTTTGACCTAAATTTTATATGTCCGTTCAACAACAGCTTTTTGATGCCGTCCGTATTATTTTCTCTTAAAACCACACTAAAAAATGTACGCGTCTATTTACCTGATGTATGGACAGATTTTTGAATGATTATCCCGTGACACCTAGCATGTTTCATAACATGTCCCCTTCATGACCGTCTTCATCGCTTGAACAACACCCCCCCCCTTTTTCCTCTTCTTTAAAAAAAAAAAAAACTCTTTATTTCTCCAATACATGGACAGTAGAAGTTCGGCACAGAACATACATGATACATACAAGGTCAACTTCACCGAGGTTATGTGGCCTGACAGGCAATATATTCTTCATCCTCCCCAGAAGCACCTTGCTGCTTAATATAACACATTGTTTGATTTTTATTTTGATTATAAATATAAGATCTTAATTTATTTTGTTTCTTATATTTATGTATTTGTTTTCAAGATAATCCTTTTAATAATGGTAGTTCTAACTAATATATTTTATTAGAAAAAATATTTTAAGAAAGACCACACCTATTTATTACAAATAAGTAACTTAACTTTTTTTTAATCTTTTCAAATTATTCCACTATAGTTTTTATAATTAGAAACAGATGTAATATTTTCGTCACTTTTTGTTCCTATTTTAATTTGTTGGCAGATGGCCACGTAAATTTTGCAAAATTATGAAATGTGGATTGTCGTTTTATACTGATAAATCTTTTGGTTGGCCATAGCAGCCCCAATACGTCAAAGCCATACATAATTCTCCGTGAAAGAAGGCTTTTTTTCCGCCGACACGACCCTCGCTTGTTTTTATAAGCAACTCTCATCCCAAAAGGTACTTGCCCCTGACAAGATGTTTACAATGAATTTCAGCTTAAATATGATTACCAAACCAATAATCTGTGATTTTTGCTACATCGCGTGCAATCTTCATCTTGCATTTACAAATGGAAGTTAATCAATGTAAACTCGTCGATTTTGTTTTTGGGCCCCCCGGGGCTTCAACAATTGTAAGCCTGAGAAAATACAATACTTATTTATTACATATAACTTATTGAACTTGTTTTTTTAATATATTTAAATTAATTAACTAACTCTTATATTTAGAATCGGAGTTAGTATATTATAACACGTCTCATCTTTGCAAGCCACGTATCAAACACAGCACGATACAAGCGGAGGGGGCCTTTGAGATTTGACAACTTTCGCTTTATGTCCAAGCAACCGTCATTTCATTCCTTTGTCAACATCCTCTTTGGATATAAGCGGAGTTCAAATTTGAGAGGATCAGCTCACAGACGAATCAAATTAACGTAATCAAAGCAAACAACTGTTCAATTATGTACATGTGACCGAACTACAGCTATGGATTTAAAAAAAAAGGAAATAATTAATTTTTGGGTCTAGAGGGTGCGACGAAGATGGGAGACAGAGAAAGAATAATGTGCAATATAATTAGCTAGGGCAGAGCAAATGGAGGCTGTCCTTCCAAGACTGGCCGGACATTTGTCGGATGCAACCTAGTTTTAAGCATACCCCAATTCAGGTACAATGACATGCTTCGGAGACGCTCTTAGGCTCGTCTTCTCGTTGCATGGATGTTAAGCTTACCCCCAGATAAGAAAACTCAAGCTAGCTTTACACGATTCCCAAATTTCCCATCCGCCAACGCTGAAAAAGCTAAGATTTTTCTTTTCCTTTCCCTATGCACTCTAGAAACATTCGGTTGCGTACCTTGACCATTCTGCTTAGTCTAATCTTCATTTTTCACGTTATGAGGAGATTACCTCTTCAATATTTTCCCCCTTTTAATCATATACTCTCCAGCCCCCGGCCGGGGGATAGTTCAGGACCACATTCGACGTAACTCAAACGTCCAAAATTTCATCTTCATTTAGACGTGTTCCTCTCTTTTATTCTCGTAACGCTCATATATTAACTCTTTGTACGGCATATAGTAAAAAACAACTCGGTTTACAACTAAAGATGGGGTCCCAATAAAGTTAACCACTTGGACCGAAAGGTCAGGAACTGTACAATCATATATATAATGCACCGCAGGTCGGGCCATCGGAATAGAAGAAAGCATCGCCCCAGATCCCAAGAGTCCGAGAACGCGTGTGTGTGTGTTCCAAACAGTTTAAAAACTCAAGCACATAGTTTTGTGATCTCACCCAGTCATCCCTACTTGCACCATTGCTGTCATCCAGCTATTCTCTTCTGTTATGTCCAGCTTTTGTCCAACAAAGCTTGACAACAGTTGTGAAAGCGTTTGAAGCTCTCAGATTTACAATGCTTAATTAACAGCGTGTTAACACGCAAAGAAGGAAAAAAACACTGTTTGAGAATCTCATACTAATTAATTTATTCGCAGAGAACACTTGAAAACTTAGCTTATGGAAAAAGACACCGCCACCAGATGCTAAAATTTTAAAGATTAGATACATTCAAACCTCAGGAATTTAAAATTTGAAAAAGACAAGAGAACAAGGAAGGACTTAAGTGCCTCATCAGTCCTTTAGGGTGCTTTTATATACTTAGCAGGATCGAGCGTGGCAGGAGCAAGACTAGGGTTGGCAACAATGGCGTCCAGATCGTGAGTGTGCAGGTCCAAATGAGCCCTCAAGAAGGCAACGATCAAGCCACCGACCGTTCTTCTCATGCAGTCCTTATGACCCGTCCCATTCTTACACAAACAGTTCGCCACATCCCCGAGAACTCCTTCTAGGTTGTCATTTAACATGTCCATGTGACCGTACTCCTTGGCCACAAAATAAGCACAAGGAGGATTGCTGTCCAAGAAGAAATTCTTATGATTCACACCCTCAGGAGCACAGGGTTTGGAACAACAATAATCGGCTTTTTCTGGGCCCAAGCCCGTCCCAATTATAGCAACGGGCATGCTCAGCTTGAAAGACCCGGGCTTGCCATTGAGGATCCAAGGAGACGTTCTGCAATACTTGTTGGCCCCAGCCACAGGGTCTACACCAACTAGCGCTGAGATGCTGAGCTTGGTTTTGGCATAGCCGAGAGCGACTGCAAACGCCGTCTTCCCACCCCTACTGTGCCCTGCCATAACAAATTTGCCTACGTTTGCTATCACGTTCTCAGGAAGCAGAGACTGAAGCTTTTCGGCTATCCAGTCAGCTACTTGTCCCGCGCACTTAATCTCACAATATGGCAACATAGGCATCCATTCGTAGATCACACAGAACTGGAGAGTGAAGTCATCATCGATTTAGTTATATATTATATTAAAGATGAGAGCAAGAATATATAATAATGAGTAGGCATATTGCGGAGTCAGTTAACCTGAGGAGCGACGACTATGTATCCATGAGAGGCTATGTGGTGGAGGAGATCTGAGTAGAAGCTGCGGGGGAGGGCGAAACCATGGCAAAACAAGATTACTGGGTATTCGCCGGCCACGATCGGCGTGAAGATTAGTAACGGTTTTGGGGGTGAGGAATCAACTTTGAATTTCTTGCACTCGACGCCCCCAGGTTGAAAGACGTTTGTGGTGGCCGCAACTGGCTGAGCTTCCAACGACGCCATTGTTCTGGATCTGGAGGAGAGAAGCGCTGTGTGCGTAAGCGTGAAGTGAAGGGGGACGGGAGTGAGTGGCGTTGCTGCAGGCTTATCTGAGTTTAAGATTTAAAGCTACGTCTATGATGTGAATGCCTCGTACGTCATTAAGTGGCATTCTGTTTTGTGCGATGAACACGGCGTACGAGCCTTGGATTTTATTGGTGACATATACGACACTTTCAGAGGTTTCGTTTTCAGTACCAGAGTGTAAGACACAAGTTTATGGTCGACCTATTGATTTTTAATCTCTTGGTTTCAGACCATTTTTATATATCTTAAAAGTTTTATATCATAGCATTTTTATCCCAACTGTCCCAGCTACCAAAAAGGACCTCATGATAGTCGATAATGGTCCTCGCCATCCATCAATACATGATGTTCTTTAACTTATTGTTACTCTACATGGTGAGCATGTTATTGATTGCGAACCAATATTAGGTTATTTACATAGAGAGATGGAAAAAAATTACAGAAAATCAAACAATTATATAATATCTGTCTTAAATAACACGTTGGGATTATTTAGCTATTATGTTTATGGAAACAATAACTGTAATATTTAAGCATTTTTCCCTCTCTAAAGATTTCAACAACGCTACAAGTACGAACCATCCAAAATTTCACCCCACGCATTTGTGAGGGTCGATGGGCATTCACAGGAATACAATAAAGTCCGGTGCAGCTCCAATGCGATCGGCCAGAATAGAACTCTGACAAAGATTGATTCAAAGCTTGACCTGCTGACTCTTAGAACTGATACTCTGACGAGCAGGCTTGACCAAGTCTCTGATCAAGTCAAACAGCTTTATATGACTCTAACTTCTCAGGCTTATCAACTGGATGCAGATCTGAAGAGATTTATCGAAAAAGGATACATTGGACCAGAGTTTACCAGGAAAGAGCAAGAACTGTCACAAATCCGAAAGGATTTACAAAGAATCGAGTCAGACATCGCTAAAGATCATTCACAAACCATCTATGACCCTTATCCATCTTACCCCTCTAGTTTTCAACTCCCCACATATCCAGCATCACCTCCTTCTTATCCCAGAAAATCTGATTACAGCAAGGTTTTCAAAATGTCTTATCCTATTTTAAGACAATTGAGAAAACCCCGACAACCAACTCTTTCACCCATCCAACCAAACCCTCCTCCCAAACCTCCAGTATGACCACCTCATTTCCCTTCATCTGAAAGACTTTTCTACCCATCATCCTCATACACTAAACCTATTGAACCAACACCATCCTCTCAAGGAGTTGAAATAAGAACTCCACCATCATCTCCACCAAAACAAACTTCTCTTCCAGATAAAGAAAAGGGAAAAGAAGTTGCTGATCCAAACAAAACCATAGCCACTTTCCAATCTATGGATAAAGATCAGTCATCAACAGATGGAACCTCTGAACCTGAGTCTGATTCCTCTATTGAATACAGTTCTGATTCTGAGGCATATCATGCTGATATTTCTAAGGTAGCAATGGTCCAACCAGATCCTACAGTTGAAGATCCTATTGATGAGGAACCATCTATTCCTCACATACCTGAGCCAAGAAGAGCAGACTATAAACCTACTACAGGTCCATGGTTCACTTTTGATGATCTCCCTCCGGAAAAATGGAGAGATAGACTCCATGAGTTCGGAGCATGGATTGACCTGCAGCTTGCCAGGCATGATACAACTCTTGAGGAAGTTCTTACAGAATTTCTCTCAAGACTAACAGGAACACTAAGAGAATGGTATCAAAGTCTCAGCGATTATCAAAAGATGGCAGTAGCTAGAGTTGATAATGCAGGAACTCTTCTGGGACTCATTCACAAGGAATTTATTGGTGATTTCCAGATCATTGACAAAAGGTATCGCCAAGAATACTTTGAGATGAAATGCTGTTCTTTAGACAAAAGAGACTTGCAGAAACATTTCCAGAGAATGTCTGAAAAATACTATATGCTTGGAGGAGCTAATGATGTCAACCTCAGGCATACTTTTATTGCCTCTCTTCCAGATGAACTGCAACCAGAACTTCATAGAGCTATCAATGCACTCCATAGAAACATGGCTGACATTTCCATTGGAGAAATATATCAGTTGGCATTGGCAACTGTGGATAAGCTCTGTGAACAACAGAAGTTCTTCAAAGGAATGCTGAAAGGACAGTCAAAGCTCAGGCATGCTTGCAAGAAACCACATCTGAAAATAAAGTGCAAGGATGATAAAGATTGCTCTTGTTCTACCAAGAGAAAATCTCACTATCGTCGATTCAAATATCCAAAGGGTTCTTACTCCAGGAGAAGATCCAGAAAGCCTTTCCTGAGATACTTCAGGAGGCGCAGACCTTACTCAAAGAAATCTGACAGGTGCTACATATGCAAGAAAAAGGGGCATTTTGCAAAAAATTGTCCTAACAAGACAAGAAAGGATGTTAAAATGCTAGAACACTTGCAGACTGTTCTCATGATCAATGAAGATGAAGATGTAGAATCCGTGATCGAAGAACAAGATGCTCAGGATGAAGAGACACAATATATTCTTCCTTACTCTGAAGATGAGGAAACTGATTCTGAATCCTTTTCTCAAGAAGATGATAGTCCTCAAGGGTATTTATATTCCCTTGAACAGCCTGTGCATCCGTCTCCTTTCCTTAGTTCCGTAGCTTCTCAGCCAGAACACAACAAAATCACTCCTAAGCCAAATGTCAAAATTCATATCCTTCCAGGAAGATATGAAAAGCCAATTCCTGTTATTGCTTTTATTGATACTGGAGCATGCAGAACCATCATGAATCCTGATATTCTTCCCCCTGAAGCATGGATCCCTTGTGATCAACTTTTCCTTACTGCTGATTCAAAGCCCTTCAAGATTGAATGGATAACTCGCAGGAAGATTGGTATTCAATTCTTTCCAGGATGTGTTCTATGGATGAAAGTTCTTGGTAGTGATCTCCCTGGGAAAGACATTCTTATTGGATTTGATGCTTATAATCATACTAGGAATCTTCAAGTCCTGCCTAAAAGAATTAGATATAAAAATTTCTTTAGTGTATATACTGAAGTTCCCAATCTCTTTGAGATCCAACAGGCACCACCAGGATATGAAGATATTCGAGATCATCTTCTCAAGTTTTGTGCTGATAATCATCAACAGTTCTCTCATCCATTTCCATTATGGAAAAACCAAGAGTTTTTCATAAAACTCCCCTTCAAGAAAAATGAAGACATCAGCCCCACAAAAGCCTCTCATCCTGGAATGAATCCAGAAGATCTCAAGCTCGCCAAAGAAGAATGTGCTGCACTTCTCAAACAAGGCCTTATTGAACCAACAAAATCTAATTGGGCTTGTCAGGCATTCTATGTTGAAAAAAGATCAGAAATCAAAAGAGGGAAGAAAAGGTTAGTCATTGACTATAAGCCTCTTAATGTTTTCCTTCAAGATGACAAATTCCCTTTACCAAAGCCCAGTTCACTTACAGTCCATCTTAGAGATGCAAAAATCTTTTCCAAGTTTGATCTTAAAGCAGGATTTTGGCAATTGGGTATCCACCCAGAAGATCGACCCAAAACTGCTTTCTGTATTCCAAATGCCCAATACCAATGGACTGTCATGCCATTTGGGCTTAAGGTTGCCCCATCACTAGTCCAAAAGGCCATGACCAGGATCTTTGAACCTATGCTTGATAACCTCCTCATTTACATTGATGACCTTTTATTTTTCTCAAAAGATGAGGATTCCCATAAACTTTTGTTAACCCAGTTCGGGAAGATAATTGAAAAATATGGGATTATGTTGTCGGCAAAGAAAGGAGAAATAGGTGTCAAAAGCATAGAGTTTCTTGGAATGCACTTTGAAAATGGGCAGTATTATCCTGGACCACACATTGCAGAAGAATTACTCAAATTCCCAGACGATAATCTGACAACGAAGCAAATCCAACAATTTCTGGGGATTATTAATTATCTTCGGGATTTCATCCCTCATGTGTCAAATCATACCAGCCAGCTGTCCAAACTTCTCAAAAAGAATCCTCTTGCGTGGGGGACAGAGCAGACCTTAGCTGTCAAGACTCTTAAAAGAATTGCACAGCAACCACCTCCTTTAAAGATTCCTGACAGAGGGTTACGAATCCTCCAGACTGATGCTAGTGATGACTTTTGGGGAGCTGTCTTAATTGAAGAGATAGATGGAAAGAGATTTTACTGTGGACATGCAAGCGGACAATTCAAGGAGTCAGAAAAGCATTATCACGCTACCTACAAGGAGATCCTTGCAGTCAAAAGAGGAATCGAGAAGTTCAGCTTCCACCTCAGTCCTTATCAATTCAGAGTAGAAATGGACAATACGTCTTTTCCTAGAATGCTTAACCCCAAGGGAAAGATTTTGCCAGACAGCCAGTTACTCCGATGGAAAGATTGGTTCTCTCGCTATAAATTCACCATCCATCATCTCAAAGGTCACCAGAACATCATAGCAGATTTCCTCACGAGACCTCAGAAAGTTTCCCAGCCTCCGAAACTCCTGTCACTCTCCAGACCTCAACCTCTTTTCATCCTAACCATCTCTGAACCAGAAATGCCTCACAGAATGAGAGCCACCATTTTCCCTCCTGGATCCCGTCCTGAATCTCCAGCAGATGTCCAAAACCTTGCCAGAAGTACTATGTTCTACTGGCTCCACCGTGTTTTTGTAGATACTGGAATCCACCCTTACCCTCAGCACTTTGATGCCGATGCTCCTTACCTCACTGTTCCCATCATCAAAGGACCCATACCAGAGGAACTTTTATGGTACATCTGGTCTGTCTCAGCCAATTATACCTGTGCCATAGCCTTCTCAGCTGTAGTCGTCCATGACCACCTAAATGACTTCAGGAATGGAAATTCTCCTCTTACCACACTCTTTAAGATGCTTGCTCCTCTTCCCTACTGGAGAGGAAAACTTTGAAAAATTCTCAAGGAACATAATATTTGGAACTTACCAACTCCCAAACAAAAAAGATTTTTCTGTCTGTATACCTTTTTCAGGAACTATGGTATAAGTGATGACCAGAGACTCTACACAGACAACCGTCTGATCCTCCAAGTCACCACTCCCTCATGGCCAAAAAAGGAAGTATTACTAATGGAAAAAATTGGGAAAACATTAACTGCACTTAACCAGCCTGACACAGGAGAAGACACTTCATGTCTATCTCTTGGACCTTTCCCTCCTATCTCACCATCAGCCAGTAGCACAACACTTGAAGAATTCCAAAGAGATTTCATCATGAGTGCTGTCAGACCTCCACCAAATAGGTCACAGGTCCCTCCACAGACAGAAGCCTCTGAAGACCCTTATGAAGAAGACTCTCAGATCCAACTCACTCAGCCTGAAGGACTCTATCTCCCTCAGCCAAGTTTCCAGCCACAACTCCCATTCCTTGCAGGGGAATCCCAGGATCCTAACCAAGAAGACCCTGATCCAGAACTCGAAGACTACTACTACTCAAGAAGCTCAAGGAGACACTATGACTCAGATGACCCTGACCCAGAAGGCATCATGAACCTATCCCCTAGCCACGAGCCTATCTATAAAGACTAGGGAACATCATTATCAGAAAATCTCCTTTTGGGATACTCTGAAGATAAAGCAAGACCCGCCAGAATCCTACTTTATGTCGCTATCTACTTTTACTTTATTAAAGTAGTTTGTCCTGTAGTTTATTTCGTCCTCTTGTAATAAGTGGAGTAGTTGCCATTATTAGGTGTCATTATGTGAGTAGTTGGTAGTTAGTAGTTGTGATTATTAAATGTCAAGCCATAACGACGTCTACTATTACATCTACCCGTCATAATGAGGTGTACTATTAGGACTTTGTCATTTAGTGACCCCGAGTGTCTATATAAACCCCACTCTGCCATCAGTTACAGGCAGAAGGAGTTGTATTGACTTCCTTGTATAATACTAGTGTGCTTTTCTCATGAGCTCTCTCTAAATTTCTCTCTTCTTCTGAAAGCCTCACTTATAGTGTCTTTCTTCTGTCGCCAAGAGATTCTAAGTATGCTCTGCACTTGCCTCTTTAAGAGGATCCTGTGCATCAGAAAATAGAATCTGACCACGATCCATGAAGGAGTGTTTAGTGACAATCTTTCCAGTTATCCTAGATCTGGTATTCAAAGCTGAGAGTCCTAATGTGGCCCGTTGATGAGTTGAGAATGAGTGGCCTTACCTGGACTAAAGCCTTGAATATCAGACTATGTTACCTTGGTCCGGTGCAGCTAACACCCCCGAGTGACATTAAATGCTTTAATTTTAATATACATATGTAGATACTGTAGACTGTTAAAATGTTACTCTTCCGATCCTTAATATAAGACCCATTTAACTAATTTGATTAGATTAAGGAAGTTAGGTAAGTTAGTTAATTATAATAAATGTGACACATTTTTCCTAAAATACCATAATCATCCTTTTTAATATCTCCTCTCCCTCTTTTACTTGATTATGGTTGAGGGAGTATCTATAGGTAATTTAGAGAAAATTGATAAATATAAGAAATGAGTTTTATATTTAGAACCAAACCCAACTTAGAAATTGGGTCCTATATCAAAGATTGGAGGAGGAGTATAGTGCTGGCAAAAGAAATGTTAGTGCAAGTGTTATCATGAAATTAAATTAAATACTCCCTCTGGTCCTACATACGAGTTTCAAATAAATAATTTGCGTTTAACGAACTAGTAATTAAAACTAGTTGAAAATAATAAACATGTCAGAAACATATTTTTTCACATTTATTCTTATTTATCAAGAGAGTAAATGAGTGAGGTAATAAATAAAAAAATAATGAAAGAGAATATATAAAGGTAATATTAATGATAAAAGGAAGAGTACTAACTACAGTCAACTGATGTTAAAACAGAGAGAAAAAATAATAAATACTCAGACAAACTGAAAACATAAAACTTATATTTCGGATTAAATTTCTTTTTAAAAGTAAACTTCAGGAAAAATTGTAAAAAAAGACTTTGGAATTGTAAAAACATAGATAGAGACTCTTGACAACTTCACTATAGCTTTTGACAATAATAATGAGAAAGGGAGGGAGGAAGTTGTCAAAACCCAAAGCAAAATTATCAAGGGTCTTTATCTGTATTTTTACAATTTTAATGTCTTTTTTTATAATTTCTCCTAAAATTTATATATAGAGGATACCCATGACTAGTGACAAAAAAAAATTAAATAGATGAAATAATTGAAGAGCAGGAAATGAGAAAGGGCGGGAGGCGGACGTTTTGTTTTGTGCCGGATACGGAGAGCATGTCAATGTCATCGGGTTTCACGTGATTGGGGGGGGGGGGGATGGGCTAGGCAACCCATGTTTTTTTGGTTTTTGCCAACAGTGGCTCGTGTTTATTTGCTGCCTTATTGTCATTACTCTTGGACGATCCCCGCCTTGGGTTCTCCACATTTTGTCTCCCCCTGCCAAGATTCGGGCAATGCAAACGCATCAGTTTTGCCTGTTTAAATTTAAAAAAGAAAAGAAGAACCCCTACTAAAAGAGATACTCATATTTAGTGTCCAGCAGTATCTCGAATAGGATTATCTCTAAACTTTAACAAAAAAAAAGACATAATATGACATATACCGCAGGTTCGAGTTTCATTTTTCAGGTGCAAGAAAGTAGGAAAAAAGTTTTTGGTCTGACTCGTTGATTTTATTCTTTTGATTTCAGACCATGGAAAATATATATATATATATATATATATAAACATTTCAATAACGCTACGAACTTTCCAAAATTTCACCGAATCATTTGCGAGAGCGGCTGGGGACATTAATAGGAATATAATAAAAGACTGACATCTCGTATGTTTTGAGAAGGAAAAGAAGAAGTTTAACATTAAAATTTACAAGTGCTTTAATTAATACTACCTCAGGTCTTTAATTTATATTGTTAGAAGAACTAATTTAGAAAAAAAAACATAAATATGAGAGATAAAATAAGTTGGGGTCTTATAATTATAATCAAGCTAAAAATCAAACAGGATCTTATATTAAGAATTGGAGGTAATATACAGGTAGCCGTAAATATGTTAAGACTGTTAAAATGTTAGTATGGTGCTGGCCAAAAAAATGTTAGTACAAGTGTTGTCATGAAATTAAATTAATTAGATGAAATAATTGAAGGGCAGGGAATAAGAAAGCGAGCGGGGTGGACGTTTTGTTTGGGTCAATAAACTTTTAAATATAAAATCTAAATTCACTCTGTTTTTTATATTTATTTATTTTAAGATAGTTCTTTTAATAATGGCGAGTCTAGCCAATAAACTTGATTAGTAAGAATATTTTAAAAAAACATGTATTTATTACAAATAACTAACTTTATTTTTTTTAAATCTATTCAAATTAGTCAATTAATTCTTATATATAGGATCGAAAGTAGTATAAGAGACAAAATATTAAAATTTTATATTTTAGATCAAATTAAAAGTCACGTTTTATATTAAGAACGAAGATAATACTACCTCCGGTTCTTAATATAAGACCCTGTTTGACTTTTATTTTGATTTTAAATATAAGACCCAATCCACTTTGTCTCTCATATTTATACATATTTTTCAAAGTAGCGTTCTAACAATGATAGTTCTAGTCAATACACTTGATTAGTAAGGATATTTTATGAAAGACACTATCTATTTAGGACAAATAACTAACTCAACTCACTTCTTTAATTTTCTTAAATTAGTCAACTGACTCTTATAATTAGAAGCGGAGGTAGTATATCTTATCGAGGTCAAGTGTTGGGCTGATGTTTTAAGCCCACAGGCCTACACGGTTTATGGACCTTCTTCCTTGATAAACATGCAACAAAAAAGAGGACAAATCTGTTACCAAAAAACAAAAAAAGGACATATCCAGAAGCGGGAAGGGAGTTAGTGGAACCAGTGGGTTGGAGAGAAGTCCAGAACATTCCACGCGCCTCGCGTACGAGTTAATTCCCTGTTAGCCTGCTTTGCTTACCATGGTTTCCCACTCGTGCACGCGATGTCTCCATAAACTTCTTCTTCGCTGTGCCCTCCACGATTCCCCTCTACTTTAACTTCCTTCTTCCGTTATTTAAATTTCCCTCTCCCTCCCGTCAAGAATCTCCCATATCCAAACCTTCATTATCCCCCCTCCGCTCCAATTCCTGCCTTCCTTCTTGTTTTCTTCCCTTTGCCACCATGTGGAACCAGCCTTACCACAAATCTGACCTGGAGGCCGGAGCTAGGCCTCTCTACCCAACCATGCTCGAGAGCCCCGAGCTCCGGTGGGCCTTTATCCGCAAAGTCTACTTCATCATCACCCTTCAGATGCTCGCCACTATTGCCGTTGCTTCCGTCGTCGTCTTCGTTCATCCCATTGCCCACTTCTTCGTCAGTTCCGGCGCTGGCCTCGCCCTCTACATCGTCCTCATCATCACCCCTTTCATCGGTATGCACCTTGTTCCTTACTTTGAAGCCCTCTCTTTTCTCGTTTTATTCTTTCATGTTTCATTTTACTGTTTTTCTTACGGCCTTCAAATATTCCAGTCATATGCCCGCTGTACTACTACTACCAGAAGCACCCAGTGAACTACCTCCTTCTGGGAATCTTCACAATCTCGCTAGCTTTCGTTGTTGGACTGACCTGTGCGTTTACAAGCGGTAAGATTGATTTCCCCCTCCCCCCCATTCTCCCTTTTTTGGGTCAGTAGCGGTAAGAATGCATTATCTCTGTTTTACCTTCTTTTTCTGTAGTGTTAGGGCAAGAGGCTAACGAAATCTCCTTGACTTATAAGTTGTTTGTTTGGTGTGGACCGGCTGGTATGCTTTCATCATTCATGTGTGTATCTGCTTATCTGAGCCTAAAAATTTTAGGAGTAGAGTGGTGGTCCCCTTTGCACTTGTGGGCCCTAACATCATGGTATTGGGGTCCGTGTGTGTCAATGTGTCCTTCTCACTAGGGACAATTTTAAGCACACCATACGTGCTTGCACATATGACGACTAGAGCCCGCAACCTCTCTCAATGAGGGAACGTTTGATGCCATTGTGGCTACTTGCCACTGCCTCTCTCTGTTCTTCTCTAACTACATCATAGATACTTGAGAGTGTCCTCTCATTCATTATTCTGTCTAACGTCAGTTGTTATCAGTCATCTTCGTTTTGTAAATGTTGTGGACCAATTATACTCTCTCTGTTCTTTCTCACCGCATCTTTTCATTGAACATCCAAAGGATAGTTGATATATGCACGGCTAAAAGGTTTTGTGATGAATGTAAACAGGGAAAGTTATACTGGAAAGTGTGATATTGACAACGGTGGTGGTGGTCAGTTTGACTCTCTACACATTTTGGGCCGCGAGGAGAGGCCACGACTTCAATTTTCTTGGCCCCTTCTTGTTCGGTGCTGTGCTAGTTCTCATTGTTTTTGCTATGATTCAGGTATGATGATCTTCAACCATTTCTGGCCGATGTTTTTGTTTAGAATCCCAGTTTCTGAGTGGGTTTGATTTCTTGCAGTTACTGTTTCCATTGGGTAAGATAACAGTAATGATCTATGGGTGCCTAGCGTCAATTATATTTTGTGGTTACATCATATATGATACGGACAACCTCATCAAAAGGTTTTCCTATGATGAGTACATTTGGGCTGCTGTCTCGTTGTATCTGGATGTCATCAATCTCTTCTTGGCTCTGCTTACCATATTCAGAGCATCTGAGAGTTGACGAGAGCATGGCCGGCTGCTGGATATGTTGAAACAACGGGAGAAATGATTAATGTCAATCAATACTGTTTGGAGTTGAAAGCTTGCCTTGAATTGTAAATGCACATGCGATGCGATTGTCTCCTCATTCTTTGTGGTTTTGTTCTGGTTTCAATGCTTTTATGACTATTATTGCTGGCAAATGGATTGCAATTTGCTACCCATTCTCTTTTGGCGACTTGAACGGACAATTCATAGGCATCATGTTTTGCATCACATTCACGTTGTGAGTGGGCTAACTAGGCAGGGGGGTTTGTTCAAGGTTTTTGCACTTGCGGGATATGAGAGGTGAGTGGAGACAGAAACTTCTTCCGTCTTGGGATGGTTATTTCCATGGCCTTTTTATCGCAAGTTTGGGGAGCTGCCTAAAACAAAATTGACGATAAAGCATCTATTTCTTATCTCCCTTTATATTCATATCTAAGTATATAAATTCATAATAAATGGTCCAAGCTTCTATAGGTATTTCAAATACTAGCTCCGGTTGTTAAATATGAGAGTTAGCAGGTTGAAATATAAAACTTCAGTGAATTTGAATTTTAGGAGGGTATTTGTAAAAAATAAATACATTTTTTTAATAAATAACTTAGTTAATGTTTAGTATATTAGTGAGAATCCAGTTTAAAAGAATAAGATCGAATGGCCTTAGAAGCCAACGACGCACAGAAAAATCGATCGTCATATCTGCTTCAATCTGCCCCCAAGCCTGTATTTTGAGTGAAGGAGAAGGGACTTGTTACGCGAGAGATAATTACAAAAAAGCAGCCATGAGTCAGAAAGCAAGAATTTTTTTTTTTTTATAATAATAAAATTTGGGTAGAAAGAATGGAGGGCGGATGAATATGGGCCTTTTTGTGGGCTTGGGACGGGTGCAGGCCCACAGACGCTCTTCTTTCATCCTGTATTTTCTGGATGCTAACGGTAACGGATGTTTGTTGTCTGCTCGGTCAAACTCCGCCCCTTGCACATGCACCGCCTAGGCCTAATGTTGGTCAGTTGGGAATGATAAAGGAAAAATCACAACAAAAAAACTTTGAAAATAGTAAAATTATAAATAAGGACCTGTTATATAATATTAGTAACAACTTTAAAAACGGGTCTCTATGTGTGATTTTTTAATTTTTAAGGTTTTTTTTGTGAATTTTGTAATGATAAAAGATGCTCTTGCCTTGGGCATACGAGAATGAATAAAGAAGAGATTATTTTTAAAAGAATGAATTTAAGAAGGACGGAACAAGCGACAAAAGGCATTTCTAGTGTGTGATAAATGCGGGAGCTTCTCATTCTCGCTTCCTTTTTCTAGCCCAAAATGGTCACCGGAGTTTTCGTGATTTCTCTCTCACGTGTTGGTTCAAGCTTTCAATAGTGTTTGCTTACGCCGACATTGGGCCTCTTTAATATGTGGTCTTAAATGAGGCGATTTTGTTTCGCATTTTCAGCATTCTTGCCGTAGCCGATAGGTCTTAAATTGTAACCACCCCCCCCCCCCAAAAAAATAGGGCCTTAAATTATTACCAAAAACAAAAATGCGGTCTTAAATTGAGGCCCCGGGCATATTCTAACTTCTGAACTAATTTCCCGTGCACTTGTTCATTGATGGAAATTTTGTGGCCAAAAGATCTATTACTTTATCACACAACATATTAAAGATATGTATTACCAAAATGTGAAGAAAACGCCGCTAAATATCATAAAACAAAACGAAAACTAAACGCAATGTCCCATCGTTGAACCCAGAAAAAAAAAAAAACCCCCCGCTATACTGGCAACCTCCTCATACGTGCAGTACAAAGACACACCATATGAAAGTTCCATCAATTGCATTTTTGAAAATATTGATCGATTCCATCATATGTTTTATAGAATAAGGGTGAACAGAAGTTCTCGCTTTGAAAGATCAAGGGTGATATTTATTTTTTTGAAAAAAAAAAGGTCCGTGAGTTCTTTTTAATTTATTTTCTCCGTCTTCTGCTAATACAATGACGTCTCCACATGGGATTTGGATCATTTTCACAGTCTCCTTCAATAGCTCTATCCATACTCAAATTTCATTTGTCTAAGTTTTTTCTTCAATTCAATGGCACGTGATTATGGGAGAGGAATGTCTCCACTGACCTTTTTTTCCCTCTTATTATTAGATCAATTTCAACAGCTGAGATTTGTTTTTAAGAACATTAGTAAAGCTACATGATCCAAATAATCTTAATACTTGATCCAAATAGAAATTCAAATTCGCAAGCACGTAACAACCGGCCCCCATCCACTGCACTCGCCATCATCCTAACAAAAGCTACATGGCAATGCTGTAAAGTGGAGAAAGCACCATACGTGGCTTTAATTAACTCATGCAAGAATTTACCTTCCGTCGACCTATAAAATCGATGTAAGAATCCTGCGAAATCAACGTACTTGCTTACACATCACACAATTAATTAATAATGCACCAATGTTCTCGATTATTTATACTGCAAACATAATGAATAATAGAAAAACATAGCCTGATCGTCGCAGCACTCAAGAGACAATATATTGAAGACAATCTAGTTCTTCTCTGCAACAACTCATCCAAATGTCCTTCCCTCGTATCATAACGCTATCAAGACTAATTTAATCACGGGATCAATAAATGACATTCATGTTACGAAATATGGGAGTAAAACGCTTCGCTTCATAAAATCATATCCACAGAGGTAAGTAAGTGTTTGTTTGTTTGAAGCACAGTATTCAGCTACTCCAACTACAGTCGCAACAGACAGTGCACGCAATTCGTGTCACGTAGAATTCTTTGTAGTCACAAATGCTGTGGACACGTCATGCCTTAGAATGCGACAGGGAAGGACGACATGTATTCAAAATTACACTGTGCTGAAGACGACGAAGTTGGAGCAAGTGGGATTAAGGAATCTCTTAGCAGCAGAAGGGATAATTTGTTGTAATAGCTGGTTTGACTTTTATTTTGGTCTTAAATTTAGGATTTTAATCTATTTTGTTTTTTATATTGATTCATTTTTTTAAAAATAGTTCTGTAGTAGTGGTAGTTTTAGCTAATACACTTGATTAGTAAGGATATTTTAAGAAAGATAATACTTACTACCTTCGGCCCTTATATATAAGAACTTGTTTGACTTTTATTTTGGTAATATAAAGCTCCAATTCATTTTGTCTCTCATGTTTATTCTTTTTTTCTCTCCCTAAGATAGTCATTCTAATAATAATAGTTCTAACTAATACACTTGATTAGCAAGAATATTTTAGAAAAGATAACATCTATTTATTACAGATAACTAGCGTAACTAATTTTCTTAATCTACTCAAATTAGTTAATTAGCTTTTATATTGAGGATTGAGGTAGTATTTATTATAAATAACTAATTTAACTAATTTTCTTAATCTATTTAAATTAACTAACTAACTTTTATATTAAGAAACAAAGAGAGGTAATATAACAGATCTTCACTGGCTGTGTTAATAAAACAGTAGGCAAAAGAGCACCTTGACATTATATATACGTCAATTACCAGGTTAGTGACGCAACCCACGGCTTCTCCGAATTTTGACATTTTGGTGCGGTCCCTTGCACCACTCGATTGAAGGCTTGAATGAGTTACATATGGCTACAGTGCAGGATGTCTAATATCAACAAACATCTTTTGCCAATCCTATTTATTTCACCTTTTGAACCTTCTTGCTACGAGGATCTCTGGTCAATAATGGCTTCACTGTTCTCAATTCACATCTCTGAATACAGTCAACCAATAATTCAGATTAAAGAGATTCCGGATGTTTATTCGTGAAGTCAACTTCAACGCCCACTCATCGCCCTCCAATTTAATTAGTTGCTCACGTTTCGTGGGATTCCATTATTTTATCATCTGCAGCGGTATGTATTTATACATGCCGGACATAGTTGAGGAGTTGATCATGTTGGGCAATAAAATGTCCTATTGGCTTAAGTCATGTCAAGCGGCATCAAGTCAACAGGCCATTTCGCATATAAGATGCTCGATGAAATTAACAATCTTGATGATAAATAATAATCTGTATCATTCTGGTGATGGTCAGTTAGAAAAGTAACCACTGAAATGAGCAAATAGATAGATCCGAGTGCACTTTAGAGTGAGAGGTGAAGACGAAGCACAGAAGATAAATTTCAATTAACTGTGATTTTGATCGGCATAAAAAATAAACTGTCAAAACGTAACTCAAGAAAGAAATCTTACTGGGTCAAACAATGAGAGTTGTGGTGAATTTAGATACTGTTTTACCTTTACATGTATCACTGTATACAAAGACGAAGATCTAGCCAGTCCATGATGAGAAGGATAGAAAACAGAGGAAGAAAATGAGCGGCCAGAGGAGAATGAGATGGGCGGGTTCAGATTGAGGAGAGGACGTAGGATATATGTTGGATCACCACGTGTACTTGCATTTTAAAATTTTTTTTCTCTCCGCCCCTAGTGTGAGTGCGTACCACGGGAATTGTTCTGTTCGGTTTTTGAAAAAATGAAACTAGACGCAGGGCTTACGTGGACATGGAATTCAAAGAATAGATTATAATATACATTATTCACAAACGAAATGCATGACTTTTTATGAACTATATGTGTACGCATGAGATGGATAAAGAAAATTTATATTCAACTTGCATTTTCGCAGACGAAGAATAAGAACAAGAAGATATTAATTCAGGGGGGATATGGTGAAGACAGGAGGGAGAGCGGATGAGGAATTGCACGTGAGACATTTGGTTAATAAAAAACATGGACAGATGCTGCCGCCCATTTGTCTGATGCCACAATTCTCCTTCCCGTGACATCCTCGTCCTCTGCCCTCTGCTTGCTCAGCCCTCTTCCCCGTCACGGCATGTTTCGGGGCTTTTAAACGCATTAAATATCCACAAATCACTCTCATCAATAAGCTCGTCTTATCCAAATGTTTTTGCAAACTGAGATGTGAGGATGAACATACATATGCGCAATACGTAAACCCCGTTTAGTTTGACCCACCGTTGAAGGCCACGGCCCCACCTGGCAGAGCACGATTATACTGCTCACTTAATTACGTACCCGAGCATGCATAATTGATTACTGTTATTTTAATCACCGTTCTTCATTCTTTATTCCCCGCCCTAACCTGAGGCGGGGCCCCAGTCCCCTCCAGGCTCCAACATGACTGTTTAATTAATTTCCATGCTGTCTGGAGGAGGGAATATAAAGTGAGAGTTTTATTTCAATTTGGTCCCGTGACCGTATTAGCCACATGTATCCCATCCGACGCCCCATCATTTCCTGCTCTTCCTGTGCGTTCAAACTCAAATACGAGTACTCTCAAAGCTACGCTCACTCTGTATTCTCTCGTATAGTATTTGTCAATATATTCATTGCTCCATATATTCCCCTTATTATTCTTTTTTAGCTCCACAATTCCATATACAAATGCACCAGCAATTCATTCTTCTGTGCGTTTTCCGCCCCCTCAACTTTCTTTCTTTCTTTTTTTAAAAAAAAAGAAAACTTACATGTTACATTGATGAGAGTACACAGTTATAGCTCATGCAACACACCCACACACAGAGCGATCTTATTCTCCTTTTTTAGGAATAATATATATTGTTTTTATTGATAGTTAGAGTTGAAATTTTAAAAAACCAATTTGAAAATTTTCGAAGCCTCGATCGGGATACTTTTACTGAATTGTTTTCCTGTTCATTGTAATTTTCACAATGTCAAAAACTGAGCTGAAAAGGTTACAGACACAAGTTGAAAATGTTGGAAGTTTGTATATCTGAACAGGAGCGTTTCTGTTAATTCATTCTTCCTTAAAAATATTACGCCTCGAGAACCAGGATCCTTAAGTAAGGTGGTAAACTTAAAAAGGCCTTAATTGAACTACGTACGACTTGGACATTCGTTACACGTGAGACCAAATACTGTGGAAATGTTAAATGATGATTAATTAATTTTTTTGATATGTTTCCAATATTTATTATCTTTATTCATCACTGAGTATTTAGATTTTTTCCCCGGAGTCTTTCTTCTCTTCTATCCGTACTCCTCTAATTCTTCATTTCCTTCGGACTTTTTCTCTCTTCTCTTGATCTCTCTCTTATTCCTTTTCTATTTTCCCTTTTTAACTCTCCCTCCTGCATGGCGAAGTAAAACGGTGTGGTCAAAAGCCAAACGAAAAGAAACATGAGGTGGCGATTGGCTACCAATTTGGCTTCACGCTTTTCTCAGCTGTCACTCCCTGTGTTATTGAGTTGGGCCCCTCCTTCCGCCACTTGATTACTCAAGAAAGACCCCTCACCTCCTCACACATATACATACATATATACAGCTTTCTATATAAACTCATAGACCATGACACTTCACAACGCCTTCCTCGCCCTCCCTCATTTGTCCCCTTATTCTGCTCCAACTTGAGCTTTCCCAAGATCTGCAGAAATCAATAACATAACGTCAGGGATGAATGTGGAAGGTGGACACGGCGGCGTGGCCATACCGCCGGCTAAGCCATTCTTGAAGTGGCTCAAGTACTCTCTCAAGGAGACTTTCTTTCCCGATGATCCCCTGAGGCAGTTCCAGAACCAGCCTCCTTCTAAAAGGTTCCTGCTCGCCCTTCAATATTTCTTCCCCATCTTCCAGTGGGCTCCTCGCTACACTCTCCACTTCCTCAAATCTGACCTCATCGCCGGCATTACCATCGCCAGCTTGGCTATTCCTCAGGGCATCAGCTACGCCAAGCTCGCCAACCTCCCTCCCATTCTTGGCCTCTGTGAGTTCTCAACACCGGGCACATTCAATAAAAGCACTCTGTTTATCACCTTGCTCTGTATTCCTATTCATTTATCATTTATTTCTCTCTCTCTCTCTCTCTCTTCCTGGATTGGTATAACTACGCGGATCGATATTGCAGATTCGAGCTTCCTACCGCCATTGATTTATGCCATGATGGGAAGCTCGAGGGATTTGGCAGTAGGAACCGTGGCCGTCGGATCGCTTCTCATGGCTTCAATGTTGGGCAGTGTCGTTGATCACAACGGCAACCCAAAGCTTTTTCTCCACCTCGCCTTCACTGCTACTTTCTTCGCCGGCATTTTTCAGGCTGCGCTGGGCCTCTTTAGGTAATTCGCCATTTTTTCATTGGATCTTTTTATGGACATACATATAGGGCCATATAATACGTTAGGAAACAGTGAAAAAGATGTCTCATAGCCAAATATTTAAATGAGCGCAACAGTTAATTAGCAGCGCTGGAAGCTGTCTTTTGCTAATTTGTCTTCTTGAAGCACTGTGCATGGATCGATCCACCACGAGATTCGCCTCCGGGTGGGATGGATCTATTGCTCTCACATAAACGCACAATATGTGTATGCTTAAAAATTACTGCCAATATTCTCTCGAATCCTAATGATTCCTTAATACCATATTATAATAGGATGTCCGGGTTAAGTTCAACTGAATATTATGATAGTTGAATTGGGAGTGCAGGTTAGGGTTTATCGTGGATTTTCTGTCACATGCAACCATAATAGGGTTCATGGGAGGAGCAGCGACGGTGGTATGCCTGCAACAGCTAAAATCCATTCTGGGGCTGGAGCATTTCACGCACGACGCCGATCTCGTCTCCGTGATGCGATCCGTTTTCACCCAAACGCGTGAGGTACGAAGCTACCACCACACACAGATCGCTCTGACAGCGACTCGTCTTTTTCTGCAGCTTTGTCCACAAATTATTGCTCACATTCCAAAGAATGTATCTCGTTATTGATTTTATATTTATATCGGTATATAAATATTTACATGATAATTAATTTTGTTAATTACTTGGTAATTTGTTTCATTAAATGCAGTGGAGGTGGGAAAGCGCCGCGTTAGGAAGCTGTTTCATTTTCTTCCTCCTCATCACCAGATTCTTCGTAAGTGATCTTTACGTAATTAACTCCTGTGTACTTCTAATCCTAAACACGTATCTAATCTAAAAGGCGCCTAAATTTTAATGTTGTGTTTTTTTCCACGTTCCCTACCAAATAAAAGGAAGAGACGTGGACAGAAAGGGACATTAATATGCGACCCCAGCCCCATGATTTTGCGATTTTTAAAGAGAGCCAGAAGCCGTGGTTTTTAACTGTGAATGGACCAGATCCTAATCTGGTGCTGCTTAGCTTTCAACCCTAACCTGCTCCTCCCGCTTAATCTGATTTTTAGTTACATAATGCATCGAATGTCCTAAAAAAGAAATACTCAACTCTGACTATATTCAATGGGCCTATGAGCCGGATTCTGGTTGAAATCGTAGTTCTTTATCAAGTGTTTAAGAATAATTGCTGAACAAATTAACATCTGGCATGCATAAAATAACTACATGTTCGTGTTGTTCATGTCATATGTATATATTTAATACCTAAATATCTTATAAATAACTTCTTTATCTACCTCCAGGGGTTTAAATTTTTAAGGAAAAGTTACCCATAAATCCTAAGTAAAAAAGTTCAATAGAGAGGAGTCATAAAAAATTTATATTTACAAATCAAATGTAATAATTTATGTTTATAAATGTCAACCTTTTATATTTACAAGTAGAACTTATTATAAGAAATTGAATTTTTTCAGTGCCTTTTGTATTTAATTCTTACTTGAAAATATAATGTTGATAATTTTTCTTTTTTTCTTTTCCCGAATGCATGACATTTGCTTATATATACTGATCAACAAAAACGGTAGAGGATAAAAACAAATTCGTTTAGTCCGTAATCAACTCAGCCGAGCCCCATTATTCTATCCAGACAATATAATTTTTTTAAAAAATGAGTATGCATCCAAATGCAAAAACTACAATTTACAAATTCCAGAGTCCTCATTCCTGTCCTTTTCCCGAGTTGAGAGTCATCATCAACGTTCAAATTCAAAATCAAAACGCCCTCTGTTTCACTAAAATACCAAAACGCCTTGTGGGTTTCCTGGTCATTGCCTTTTCGACATAAAAAGAATACCCCATTCGGGTTGCGTGCGTGACTGCTATATTCTGATTTTTTTCCAGAAAAATGAATGGCGAAAGCACATTAGGTTTTAAGATAATGCAATTAATGTAATTGAAGTTGGATTTGAAAGCTGACGGTGAACGAAATGCAGAGCAAAAGACAACCAAAATTCTTCTGGGTGTCAGCAATGGCGCCGTTGACGACCGTTATCTTTGGAAGCATCCTGGTTTACTTCACTCATGCGGAGAAACACGGCGTTCAAGTGGTGAGCCCCGAACTCGTCTCTTTCTTCCCAGTCTTCCTTTTTCTTTTGTTCAACCTCTTTTCCCAAGCAATCAAACACAAGCATAACACACAACACAATTAAACCCCATAATGACTGTGGCCCAGATTCACATGATTTTGGGCCAGGCAAGTATAGTTATGCCATCTTGACTGGGCCCTTACGGCCATAATTGACATATGCTTGTTGTTGGTCCAGATAGGAGACTTGAAGAAGGGGCTAAATCCAGGTTCCCTCACAAATCTGGTATTCGAGGCGCCTTATATGAGCACTGCTATTAAGACTGGCCTTGTCACTGGCATCATAGCTCTTGCGGTATTCTCTTTGATCTTTATTGTACTGCCAATGCTTCACCCCAATCCTCTTGCCTGCCCCATCACTCTCAATTCTTTATAATCTGAATACATTTGAATTTGAACCCACTAGAAGTTGCCTTTACCAACTGGCTTGCTTACTAACATTGATGAGGTTTGAATGCCAATCTGTTTGCACTTTTCAACGTTGAGGTCCTGAAATTTGAATGGATGATGATGGGCGCAGGAAGGAATAGCAGTAGGAAGAAGCTTTGCAATGTACAAGAATTACCACATTGATGGCAACAAAGAGATGATAGCTATTGGGACCATGAACATAGTTGGTTCCTTCGCTTCTTGCTACCTCACCACCGGTAATTCATTTATCGAAAAAAGACACACTACCAAATGCCTAGACACGCAGTTTCCTTCGTGAGTTGCTGACAGATATAACGTCAAAATTATATGCTTCAGGGCCATTTTCACGTTCAGCTGTGAACTATAATGCTGGATGCAAGACTGCAGCATCGAATATAGTAATGGCAATAGTGGTTATGTTGACGTTGTTATTCCTGACACCCTTGTTCCATTACACTCCCCTGGTGGTTCTATCAGCTATCATAGTGTCAGCAATGCTCGGACTTATAGACTACCAAGCAGCCATCCATCTCTATAAGATTGACAAATGTGATTTTCTAGTGTGCATGAGTGCCTACATTGGAGTCGTCTTTTGCAGCGTTGAAATTGGACTTGTCATAGCGGTATCTATCTCTCTAGCTGACTCCATTCATTTCTGGATAATTAATTAATGTTTATTTAAATCATCCGAACGCTTTTCCCGTCAATATGCAGGTTGCAATATCTGTACTTAGGGTACTTCTCTTTGTTGCAAGGCCAAGGACATCTGTTTTGGGCAACATTCCAAATTCTGCAGTATATAGGAACGTTGAACAATATCCAAATGCAATCCACGTTCCTGGAATTCTAATTCTCGAGATTGATGCACCTATATACTTTGCTAATGCAAGCTATTTGAGAGAGAGGTGCTTTTCCTGCGCTACCTTTACCTTTTGATTGGAGTTCCATTTCAAATAAATTCTTGCCTTCTAAACATCTACTTAGAAGCAAAATATTGTCACTGTTAATAGGATCACAAGGTGGATTGATGAAGAGGAAGACAGGATTAAAAGTACAGAGGAGACAAGCTTGCGGTATGTTATAATCGATATGACTGGTAAGTAATGAACCTGAGATTTTTGAAGAAAACTACAGGGCATTTATAGCAGAAACACCAGCTCACTGTCATTTCATTGGCAGCCGTTGCGAACATCGACACTAGTGGAATAAGCATGCTTGAAGAGATCAAGAAGATTGTAGATAGAAGAGGACTTCAGGTAATTCTCTTGAGGCTTTGTTCCCCTTAAAAATCATATAACCATGGCCATGGGTTCATGTAATGTTTTTGGTTTCTTATTTGCAAAGCTTGTTCTGGTCAACCCCGGAGGCGAGGTGATGAAGAAATTAAACAAAGCCAAGTTGATAGAGGAGATAGGGCAGAAATGGATACATCTAACAGTAGAAGAAGCAGTAGAAGCATGCAACTACATGCTTCACACAAACAAAACCAACCCCACGAAGAATGAATCAGAGGGTTGGAACAATGTGTGAAAGATGCGTGCATGGGTGTACTAATTTCTGAAGCTAACAGCTTCTGTGTTGGAGCAAAATTTCCTGCCATAAGTTGTTGAGTCTTAATATGCAACTTGCTGATGTATTCAAGTGGAAAATAATCCGAGTAATAAGAATTGGAAAGTGTCAATTTCAAGGAACTGGAATCAAGCAGAAGTGGATGCTGTGTACAATATTGCATCTCGGAGGTGGTGATGGTGGTTAATTGAAAAAAAATGTCAGGTGCAGGTGACTGTTGACCTCTGAACCCGAACACATATTAACAGTTATAAGGCATACTGCCAGTGAAGAGGCGGATAACTTGGTCTATTTAAATTTGTCCTGATCACGGGAATTTCACTAAAAAAATTAACATTTTCAGAGTTCTTTTAAAAAAAACATACCTAACTATCATATTAGTCTTTTAATTTTTAAAACAACAAAGTTAGAGAACCAAAATGATAGTTAAGTCTAGAGGTACCTAAGACAATATATCATATAAAAGTAGGATGAGGGAGTGTTATTATTATTTTACCGTTGTCTTCTTACCAATTGACCTGATTTTTAATCCTTTTTATTTCAATAATCCAACCAATACAAATATCTGTATCTCCAAGCAAGTGCTTGAGGTTGAAAACTAGTTTGCTTAAAATTTAATTTCATAGTCCGATACTTTGCAAATACATTAAAGCCTTGTTAACGTGTAGATTTTGAATAATAAGAAATAAATAAATATTTTTGGGCAAAATATGAAATAAATAAATATTTCCTCCACAAGCGTTTGACCGGGTGAAATCTCCAATCCACAAATCCAAAAGGCTTCTACCCCGAAAAAAAAAAAAAAAATCCTTCTCAAGTTCTTAGCGGGGTTTGCCGTTGGGGGGAACAGGATCTCTTGCTCCATCGAGAAAGATGGGCAGGCTGCTCATCTCATTTAGGAGCCGTTTGATGTATTTACGGTCAAAATTTTCCTCCCCCATCACACAATTACGACACCTCCAAGCGCCCATTATGAGAAGATCGTGACCATTGATCTAAAATCTTGCAGCCCTTCTCGTCGGAAATCACGTTCGTCACCATTTGGGTCCTGTCCCCCCCTCACGCGAGTCCTTCGACTGTATCCCGACGCTGTCCGATTGGAGAAATCGTGTACGTCAACAGAATTCGTTGCTTACTTATTCTTGGGCCTTTCTCGGCCGGGGGCTTCGCCGTTCACAGTTCTGCTGCTGTTCACCTTCGGGGGTTGAGTGATTTTTCCTCGAATCCCAAATTGCAAGGTGTTTAAATCTTTGGTTATTTGCATTGAATCGCTATTGCGTGCTCGCTGATTCTTCATGGACTTCAATATGCCTTTGCCTTTTTTGCTGAGACGGGATTCCAGCCCTAGTTCATCATAAGGAATAACCCCTTCGCTATGCTTTTGTTGGAATTACTGGATTATGCAATGGAAATTACTGAGCTGTTGTTGGAGAAAGGATGTCAAAACACTAAACTTTATGGAATGCGGAAAAAAATCGTTGGCAGTGTTCACAACGAAAAGAGATACCAAAGCTTCGAAATTTACCCCATTTCCGACCTTCAATAGCTGCCGGCTGTGTTCCCTTTTTTCCCGCGTCCATGGAACCCCGTCAGTGAAGGGCTGAAGAAGGTCCTATTGAGCTGCAGGGGTTGTTATATATTTTTAGGGAGAATTAAGTCTCAAATAAAAAATAATAATTATAAAAAATTTTAAAATTATGATTTTCTGAAACTTATCTTTACATATTATTATTAGGATTTCTTAATAATTATTTTTTTAAAGACCTTATTGAAATTCTTTCATATTTTTACTCCATTCAAAGGATTTAATGGTTGGGATTGAAAATGTTTAACGGCCACGATTCATTGTAATCTCATGAATGATCTTGGCTTCGTATAACCGTCTGATTAGTCGGATGGCTGATATAATGTGTTAGCCTCCCTCTTGCTTCCTTTGGTGTGAGTTTGGACTCTGGAGTCTCAACCTGCCCTCGAAAACGGCCAATCTTGCCGCCACGGTAAGTCTCCTCCGTGTTTGTCTAGGCCTCCTTCTTTCTTCTTTCGTTTCATCGACGATGGTGACCGGAGTTCTCATTTCTCTCTCTCTCTCTCTCTCTCTCTCTTGCCATGGGAGTTCTCATTTCTCTCTTTCAAGTTTATTTTTTCTTTTCTAATTGTGGCGGACCCTAAAAGTTTCTCTTAATGATATTATCGTCTCAAAATCATGAAGTGAATACATAATTAATTGGATATAGGCAGCTCGTTTGTTCTTTCTTTGCAGTTATGTACGTTTCTCAGTGTCTATTTTTATGTTCGGTCGAAGCTGTGTAATTGGTTTAATTTTGTTTAATAGTTATAAGCTTTTGTGAATTTGAAACATTGAGCTTATATCTTTTGATGGTGTCAAGTTCTAAGCTGGACTGTCTTTTTTTTTTTTTTTTACAAAAAAAAAAATCGGTTTTATCTTACTTGTCATAAAGTTTAACTGGTGCTTATTTCAAAGTTTAATACATGACATCCTGCCTTAAATGGTTTCTTCTTTCAAGCTGATTAATTTCCCCATGTATTTTTTGTTCTGCCTAGCTGATTATTATTATTATTTTTTTTTTTGGGCCAACGCCCAGCTGATTAATTAGTCTCAGTTTATCTATCGCCAAATGACAAGAAGTTCAACCCTTGTTGAGGCCTGCATGTCTCTGTGAACGTTATTACTCTATCTGATGATCAGGCCCTCCTAACTTTCCATTGGGCGATCATTTTCCCTCTGGCACATAATTGTTGCAGAAACTTAACTTGAAGACACTTCCTAGAGATCTTTCTTTATGGAGATTGAAGCGGACATAAGAAGTGGCTCTCTCATTCTGCTGAAGCAAGGAGCTGAAGCCGTAAGTGCGATCACAGGAATTTTTAGGAGCTAGCTAAGAGTCAACCGTGTTTATTCACATGGCTTTTTTTTACATTTTTAAAACCTGAATAAGCTGAATTTTGAATTACAGTGATCAATCTCTTTTTTCCTTGGGTACACAAATAGTAGTTGGCACTTTCTTATAACTTCCTTGTCAAGTCATTTTGTTGATTAATCCACGTTGAACTTTCCTTGTGTTTTTGTTTTGCTATGTTGGTTACCTTTGACTTGCATAATTTGTAAATCCTTTTGCTGATTTTGGTGTTCCTTGATAGAGGGTTTTTGAGTCTGATTTTGTGGGAAGGAGATCAGTTGTCAAAGAGCGCTTCTCAAAGAAGTACAGGCATCCAATTTTGGATTCTAAACTTACTCTAAAGCGATTAAATGCGGTGAGATTCATAATGAAGTTCATTTTTTTTTTCCTGGTTAAATTCTTTTTTTAGCAATATTTTTTTCATTGCAAGGGGTATTATCTTCGAACTATTGTCGGAGCAGGAGGCCAGGTGCACGACCAAAGCAAGACGGCTTGGGGTTTGTACGCCGGTGCTGTATGCTGTGGATCCTGTGTCACACACATTAACGTTTGAATTTATTGAGGGACCTTCAGTGAAAGATGTATTTCTTGAATTTGGGTTACATGGTGTCAATGAAAAGCAGTTGGATGATATTGCATCCCAAATTGGCGATGCAATTGGAAAAATACATGATGGTGGCCTAATTCATGGTGATTTGACCACCTCTAATATGCTGCTGAAGAATGGCACCAATCAGTTGGTAGTTCGCTTTCTATTCATATCTTCTAAAGGCTCGTGCCTTCGTTACAACTAAGTTATGTGATATATGAGAATCTGGTCAATTGCAATTTTTACAGGTCCTCATTGACTTTGGTTTGAGCTTCATTTCAACCCTACCAGAAGATAAAGCTGTTGATTTGTATGTTTTGGAAAGAGCCCTTCTTTCAATGCACTCTTCATGTGGGAATGTGGTACGCCAATTTTGCCTTTTACCCTTAATACTGGTTTATGTGCTATAGTTATGGAGGAATGCAGAGAGGAGTTTGTATTTGTACTTTATTAGAATGCCAGTTGGAGTGTGCTCCATAGGATCTTTATTCCTTTTCATTCGCTTGCCTTATGTTGTATGGACTGATACTTGGGCTGTATTGTGTTTAGAACAAAATGATCTGTATGACGTGTTTCCAGGCTAACTCTTTTGTCATAAGTACTGAGAATGCAGAAAAGCAAAATGTTAGCGAAATAATTTTGTTCTGGCTGTCTAGTTTTCCCCTACGTTCATAATTGACATCGTTGCTTTATGTCTTTCACGTCATTTTTTGTCAATGAATCTGGATAGAGACTGTCAGAAGGTAGACACAATAATTGTGCTATCGCTGTCTTTTCAGGATTCCAAAGATTGTAAATAGACTTGAAATAACCGATAGAGTCTTGAGGTTAATAAGATTGGAGGTCAGAGGACAAAATGTAGGGACTTTTGATCATATTGACTTGCTGAAATTTACAGGCAGCAGCAAATAATAGGATTTCAGATGGCAAGGTTTAAGGTTTTATGAGGTTAACAAGAATGAAAGTCAGAGGATAAAATGGAGGGGCCTTTAGATAATATTGACTTGTTGAAATTTCCAGTCAACAGCAAATAATAAGATTTAAGATTGCATGGATTAAGGTTGTATGAGGACAAAAGAAAAGGTAGAAATTGGTGGTTTGGAGATGGGTATGATAATGCTAAAAGAATGTGTTAGAAGAGGGACATCAACAGTACTGAAGGAATGGTGCCTAAAAAGGGGGGAGAATGAAAAGAAATTTAACTTGCGAGATCTAACTTCAAAATCTCTCATATAGTCATATCTTAAGATTTCAACTTTAATTTTTGCCCATCTATATTTGAAAATATGGGCAAAAGAAAAACTAACAAATCATGCCTCCGGCTTCCACAGAGGCTGAGACTTGCCCAACAAGTTCATGCCGATTGGATAAAAATTATTCTGATGGAGCAAACAACATAATTCTGCTATGATTCAGTTTCCACTTGAATAGATGTTATGAACTAATGATTAACTGCTCATTATAATGTTATAATCTCTCTGCATAGATGGACCGGATACTTGCAGCATATCGCAAATCGTCAAAGCAATGGTCATCCACATTAAACAAGCTGGCGCAAGGTGAGACTTCCCCTCTTATCTGTTTGGAGTTAAGACTGTCTATAAGATGTGGCACTCAATTCATGTGTTTTTCACAATTTGTAGTGCGACAAAGAGGACGAAAGAGGACCATGGTCGGATGATTCTTGATCGATTTTCTTTTCCTCGGAGGTGAAAAGAGAGATTTAGTTAGCTAATGAATATTATAAATATAATTTATAATTCCCCTTCTATTTATTTGCATACATGCAGTGCGCAGTATGCACAAGTATACTATTAGTTTGAGCTTCTGATTCCCCTGTACTCCGACATGTATCACCATGTCAAAATTATTTGAAGTTGTACGAGACTATGCCTCTATTCTATTTCTAAGGCTACGCACAATGTTTGGTTGGGTGGGCCATGGGAAGCGTTATAATCGTTGGTGTCAATATCAATATATATAAATAAAATATACAAGTCTGGTTGTTCTTTGGGGAGGTGATAACTAGGTTCGACTAAGGAAACTTAACGACGAATTTCTTTAAATTATGAAAAATTAATTTATAAAATTCGAAGAAGTCCTAGAGAATGACGGTCATCCGGTAAGAAAAGCACATATTAACATTAGTCCTCAGATTTTCCTTGGGCTTTTTTCGGTTAGTGATAAAATTTACTATGCGTAGGTTAAAAAAACAAATTGCTTGGGCAGTAATACTTTCACTTGTTGCAGAGGGAATATCACGTCATGAAGGACCTTTTATTTCGTACGCCAACCGGAGGACAGAAATCACCATGCTTCATGCTGCCAAGCTTGACACGATTGGGTCTGGTTTGATTCTATAATGGATATTGTTTTAGGATGTGTTGGCTAATATGATTGGTCTTGCTCAGTGTTATGTTTTGGGAATCCAAAATTTTACTCCTTCTCTCTGTCCATAAGATCTAACGACGCGTCACGCATTTATATTTCGATGCTCGTTTAAGTGTGTGTATAGTTCGTCCTTGCTTGCTTGTTATTCTTGGATGTTGCATTTCATTATTAAGATTGTTGACAATATTTATGAGAATTCCATGGCGTGGTTATGTGCTGCAACTGCCAGGAAAGAGATATAAGGTCCAAAGTAACATGACATTCTGTAGTGCCTTTAATAATTTACCAATCTGCTTCCCTGCTCAGAAAGAGACAGCGTGATGTTCATTTGAATGGATGGAAAGCCAGGGACTGTCGTTGGGTCCAGCAATATTGACATCTGAAAATGGAAAGAAGTGGCCATCCTGAAACCTGGTTTTTCAAATGATTCCTTGTGAAGAGGGCAAAGGGGGGGAGAAAAAAAACTCCCTGACCTTGACTAATTACCTGCAAATAGCTTCTGAAATTGAACTTTGGCTAACCGTATGGCGCTTTGCCCTGTTCTTTCTTTTCCACAGGTTATCGGAGTAATAAGCCTTGTTTTGTGAATTTACTACAAGTGGGGAAGAAATCACGTGGTCTATATACAATACAATAGGCAGATTTAATTTACCTTCAAGTGACATAACTGGGAAGTAAACACGGGAAAATAATAGACGGTGACAAGGTGCTTTGCATGCCCAGCTCCAACCAAAAATGAGGAAAGCAACTCAAGCACAGCTGCTTGGGTAAAAAGTGAAAAAAACACAGCTTGTCTTTTTTTTTTTTTTTTTACCCCGTCGTGAAAAACTTCACATCAAATATACAAGGCTTCTGCTTTTGCTCTCCCACGCAGTCAAGTCCTCTTCTTACACAAACAGTTGTTCATTCTGTAACTTGAATTGCCAACATCCGTCTAGTATGCTCCGTTTGTCGTTAACGTTAAACTAGCTACTGTCCAAAATCAAGATATCCATCTCCTCTTAGCATTTTCCGATGCCTTCATTCCCTGTTTTCTTTTCTCAGTTGGTCCAGTTTTCGCATTCATATTCCAATGTTCACCCATTCTTCTATTCCAATATTATTGTGCGCTCTTAGCTCTACTGCATGTTTGTATCACAACCTTAGGCCGATAAATTTCTTATAACTATGATTATACCCGTCGCTAACATAGATTATTGGTTACTCGGATCTGACATGTTGGTCCAAGAGCGTGATTTGGGTAGTGCAGAAATACGTACATGTTTTTCCTGGGTCAAATACATACGTATGTGCAATTAGAAATTAGAAAGAAAGGAAAGGAGAGGAACAAATGCAGCGTCTACATCAGTATCTACATCACCAGGTACGATTGTGGAAGAGGGCCAGAGGGAGGCCTGCATAATTTGGCAGATTGGACGGAAGAGGAGAGAAGAAAAGAAATGAAAAAGGGTCAGAGTTGAGAGATTAACGGTTAAGAAAAGGGCGCGGCTTCATTCAAAGGTGGAAAGAGCAGAGCCACTCAGAAAGAAAATCAAATTGCAACCAAGCCAAGGTACAATTAAAGATCCATCCTTTGACTGGTTCGTTTCTCTCTATCTAGACCCTTTCTCACGTATTTCCATGTAAGTTTATTTCAGATTTTTCATTTTTTATTTTTGTATTTTTCCTTTATAATTGAACAAAAAAGCCGCTTGTTCGTGCATGCAGAGCTAGGTCTGGTTGTAAGTATAACAACACTTAAAAAAAAAAAAAAAAAAGGGCATCTAACGGCAAATTATAAGACTCATTCCTATGTTTTGGCCAATCAATCGTTCCCGTTCTAGAGTCAAACTTCCCTCACACGGTTGGATTTTTTTAATATTTTTTAAAAACCATTAAAATTCATTTTCATCAACTTTATTAAATCCATATTTCAAGCGATCGTATTTTAAATGGGATTTCATCTTGAAATCATACAAAAAAAAAAACAAATAAAGTATTTTTTTTAAAATTATACTCAACCCAATTGTGTATCGTCAGAATTTATTTTTTTATATAAAAAATAATCACAATTTATTATGAATAGTATGCAGAAATAATTCACGGAAGCGTGGCAATTATTAAATCTCTCACCCTCATGGATAGTCCAGTGAACATGTGGCAACCCCTCCAAATCATATAAAGAGTATATGAGTATTGAAAACCTGATATGACGGCCAAGGTGTCCCCATGGATGATGCATCTGAGTTTTTGTTGCTGAGAAGATTTAGAAAAAAAATGACTGTCAAATTTTAAAATGACAAATAAAAAATTTCTATAAAAATGTGTTGTTATTTACTTTTTGAATTTAGTAGTTTTTTTACAAGTATAATAACTAATACTAATTTTAAATTTTAAAATTCAACTGTTATTTTTTTTTTGAGATTTTCACTTAGAAAATGTTGGATTAATTAATTAGCCCCACTCCAACCCCACGGGACCCACTCTCTGTTTAATTTTGATACTGACCTTTCTTCCTCCCATCATTGGCACTCGCATAAGGGCAATCTACAACTCTCTGATTTTCATATATATATATATATTCCCACTCAGCAATTTTGCGTTATCCAAACTTGCCCCTCACACATCTTCCAACTCATCGCCCCTGCCCCAAAGTTAAACACAGGATGGCCAAAAACAACGTCACTTGAAACACACAAGCAATTATTATTACTCATTCAATCTTTAATATAAGACTTATTTAACTAATTTGATTAGATTAAAAAGTTAGGTAAGTTAATTAATTATAAGAAATGTGACACGTTTTTTCTAAAATACCATAATCATCTTTTTTAATACCCTCTCTCCCTCTTCTACTTGATTATAATTGAGAGAATATCTATAGGGGTAATTTAGAGAAAATTAATAAATATAAAAAAAAACCTTATATTTAAAACCAAAACTAACTCAACCATCGAGTCATATACCAAGGACAGAAAGAGTATTATTTATCAAGTGTTAACATTCAAGTACAGAACATGGCCACCACTTGATTTAGTTTACAAGACATGATTCTGCGTGCTTGATTAGATAGCTATAAACCTATTAGTGTAGCTCAGAAGCCATTTATATATATAATGAACAGCTCCTTCTGCCCCTCTAATCCAATTTTCTATTCCTACGTTCCCACTGCAGGCTGACACGTACTGACCAGAGATGGTCCTTTTGCGAACAAGGAACCCTACGAACCAAATGAAGATGAAGCTGAGGCTAACATGGCTGTGGGCCAACGGCTATTGGCAAGATAATTGGAAAACCAGTCTCTTAAGTTAAGAAGTTGCCTCAATAATCAGGTGCTGTTAAACTATGATTTTCCAGAGATTTTTTGGAGATCGCCTGGGCTTAACAAGTGAGTGCAGGTTGGAACCCCTGATGGCCAAACAAGACCCCACTCGTATGTGAAGCAATAAACAAACAGTTTGTTGGACTGCACGTCCCCTGAAGTGAACTATAAATACATCAATCCATGTGCGAACCAGAGTTTGCAATTTTTTTAAAATATAAATAACTATAAGGAGCCGGTTAGCTTTTGCAAGACCAAAATTTAATAACAGAGTAATTTATTTTTTTGGTCAAAAAAACAAATTAATGTATTATTCTAAATAACAATAACTGAGGTATTGCGCTTTGTTCCTCGCAGTGTTGGCGTGTGTCGGTATGTGTATTATATATATAAATTAGTATAAACAGGGTGAAAACTTCTGAGGGTCTAAAGCAGATTAGAAAACAGAAACATCTCTGTGTCCAAATTCCAAATGGTGACTGGGAATTAAGGGTGGAGTAATTTGCCGCTGGTCTTTCAAATGTGAAACATTCCCTTTTATAACCGTCTAGGCAAGGCTTATAATAAGATACGATAATCAGCCAGTCGTAATCAAAGCTATGATAGGCTTTTGACACCCATTAAAAAAAATCAATAAATAAACGACCTTTCTCGTGCGCATCAAGCAGACACGGTCAAACATAGGAGATGCTGAAAAGAAAGAGAATTTAGAGATTCTTTGGTCTTCCAAAACTGCTTTTCCAATCCCGCAACGCCGAGCTGAAGATCGGTTAACCTTGATTACACTGGCCGTTTCTTCCAAATTGGATTGAAACCTAACTTGCTGACCCCTGTCGAAGTTAGAGAGAGAAACCGGTGAATAATGAGTTGACTGCCTTGGTCAAAAGATTAACGGAAGTTTCAGTTACCTGTACAGGGCAAGTTTAATTTTTTCTGACATTAAGAATTCATCTGTCACATGTTTCGATTTCATTCTGATTCCCATTTTAAAGCGGTGAATATTACCACTATAAGTTTAATAAATAATCTTGACCAAAATCATGAAAACAAATTAAAGGCCAATGAATTCTGGCAGAGTGAGATCGATGTCGTCTTTTATAATTGAGGCGTGAAATCTCATGAGAGGGAAGTAAACCGAGAGAGAGAAAGAGAGAAGGCCGAGAGTGTTGGGTGTGAGTGGGTGACCAATATAAGCGAGTCCCCATGCTTGTGCGGGCATTGGAGTTGGGGTAAAAAGCCTCGAGAGAGAGCGAAGCTTGCCTGCACTTTATTCCCTTCAAATTCGATACTTTGCTCTGTATCTGTACCCACAACGAGGTTTTCCTCTCTTTTATGTCTTCCGCATTGTCTTCTTCTATCCCCAGATTCTCATACTCCTTCCTCCACTCCTACTTCGACGTATCATTCCGCCCTCTCTGCTTCTTTCCTTGGAACTTACTTTGTTTTCTCTCTTCCTAGTTCCTCCATTCTCCCCATTATTAGATTGAAACGGCCCAGTGCAAGTGAAGAAGCAGTAAAAAGCCCAAGTGGGGTTCAATTTCTGACTGTGTTTGGTATCACATTGGTTTGAATGCCGAGAAACTGGGTTTTGCTCTGCTCTCACTATTGTTCTCTCTGCATTATTTAGAAAGCGTTGATTTCCTCCATTGCTGTCTTTTTCCGCTCTGGTTGGTTCCTGAGTTTCCATCTCCTCGGTTTGATCACCAAAGTTGTTATGATTTTTTCGTCCGTTTCAGTCAGAGACAAAAACAGAGCCAGGAATCCGACAGAAATTCGTTTCATCTACATCCGTGAAAACATGAAGAAGGCATTGCAGAAGGATTAGCTAGCACTGTCCTTTCTGTAATCAGAGATAGCTATATGAAGTTCTTCCAACAATGGGAGATGAGAACTTGAAGAAAAGCAAGGTTTGAGAAAATGTCACCTCTCCTTTAATTTCGCTTCTGTTTATGTCGTGTCGTTGCTGATTCTTGCGTTTTCGCTGAAGCTTTCATGGACCAAAATATTAGTCAAGAAGTGGTTCAATATCAAGAGTAAAACCGAGGACTTTCAGGCAGACGATGTCCTTTATGGAGGTGATTGGCCAATTTTCGCATGATTTTGATGTAATTAGGGCTCTGCCAATTGGAATGTTAATTCTCTTAAAACAATTGATACTTCTCCTGCCTCTATTTAATTAAGTTATCCAAGTTTTACTCTTAACCGTTGCGTTAGTTCCCTTGGTCTTTGCGCAACAAATTTTCTGGGTTCAACGAATCTGCTCGTTGTTTCACGGTTTTCACCTTCTGCCACCATTTGCCTTCGCTGTTTAATTTGATTGAGTGGGAGGGTAAATTAACGGTGGGAAGAGCACAGCTTTAATAACTTTATGATCCTGCTTTTTCAGTTGTTGATGAGGAGTGGAGGAGCGACTATCCAGAGAGCGAGGCATGCACCATCAAGAAAAGCAAAACAGGTTCAGTAGCAGACACCTTGGTATTTCTTAGGACCACACCATTCCTAAACCCCACCAAGATAAAGATAAAAAAGAATCTTAGAAGACAGCTATGTTCTAATTTATGAAACCTTCCGTTGCTGCCCCTTTTTTCCTTTTTTCCCTTAACCATTTTTGCTCACCTGTAATCTCTCTGAAATCATAATCTCAACCTTAATTCACAGAGAGATCGAGCCGGAAGCACTTGGACAGAATGCAGCGAGGTATGACCGACCATGACACAGCTCAGGTTCCAGAAGTGAATAGTTATAGGTATGCTAATTTTACGCTGTATTTTGCTCAATTACTCTCATTTTTGTTGCCAATAAAATTTAAGAACCTGCGTCTCCATCATGCGCGTGCGTGTTTTTGTTTTGGATACAGAATTTTTGTTGCTACTTGGAACGTAGCTGGAAAATCTCCTCCTACTCATCTGAACCTTGAAGATTGGCTTCACACTTCTCCACCATCCGATATCTATGTTCTTGGGTGAATTACTGATCATGCAATTTGTCATTCATTTATCCCTATATTTTATTAAAAGTTCAGTCTGATATGTTTTCCCTCGTATTGCACTCAGGTTTCAAGAAATTGTACCTCTTAATGCTGGTAACGTTTTGGGCACAGAAGACAATGGCCCTGCTAGAAAATGGTTAGCTCTTATCAGGAAGACCCTGAACAGTCTCCCTGGCACGAGTGGTGGATACCATACTCCTTCACCAGTCCCTGATCCTGTTGTAGAGTTAGATGCTGATTTTGAGGGATCAATGAGGCGGAAGGCGACCTCTTTCTTTCATCGGAGGTCCTTCCAATCCTTGAGCCGTAGCATGAGAATGGACAATGATATGTCACTACCACAAGTACGTCTTGATCGCCGCCTCAGTGTCTGTGATAGGATGATTCTTGGTCACAGGACAAGTGACTATGATCCTAATTATAGATGGAATTCCTCTGATGATGAAATTGGAGCTGGTGATTCCCCAGTTACAACACAATATTCTCCGTTGTCATATAATGGTTCTTTCTCTATGGAGGATAGAGACAGGCAGACAGGACATTCGAGATACTGTTTGGTTGCCAGCAAGCAAATGGTTGGGATATTTCTTACGGTCTGGGTGAAAAGCGATATCAGAGATGATGTTCATAACTTGAAAGTCTCTTGTGTTGGCAGAGGATTGATGGGCTATCTCGGAAATAAGGTATATTAATGCAGTCAGCACTTTTCTCTGATGTTGAACCGGTACAGGAGATAATCTCATTCTTTTGGATGTTGCAGGGTTCAATTTCCATTAGCATGTCCTTGCACCAAACAAGCTTTTGCTTCGTCTGTAGTCATTTGAGTTCTGGACAAAAGGAGGGTGATGAGCTTAGGAGAAATTCTGATGTAATGGAGATCCTCAGGAAGACAAGGTTTCCGCAGGTTCATGGTACTGGCGATGAAAACTCTCCTCAGACAATTCTTGAACATGAGTAAGCTTTTCATCTCTGTTCATGAAATCTTTGTTCAATGTTATAACATTTTCTTTTGACTTTGTAGCGTTGTAAAGGCCTAAACTTCTCGTTTAACTGGTGTAGGCGGGTTATTTGGCTGGGGGATTTAAATTATCGGATAGCCCTTTCGTACCGTGCGGCAAAAGCTCTCGTCGAGATGCGGAATTGGAAGGCTTTGTTAGAGAAAGACCAGGCATGATACTTCGATCACTTACAAGTGATTCTTACGTCAGAAAAGTTGTTCCTTTTCTCATTTTATTTCTTAAACAGTCTGACAATATGAAAAATTTTGTCTTCCAGCTGCGCATAGAAAAAAGACAAGGTCGTGTGTTTGAAGGATGGAATGAGGGGAAGATATATTTCCCTCCTACATACAAGTATTCAAATAACTCAGACAGATATGCAGGTGATGAAAGACACTCAAAACAAAAACGAAGAACTCCAGCATGGTAACGTTCTTTTTTGGAAATGAGCACCTCTATGAATAACCAAAGTAGAGAATATATATGATCTGGAAAGGAGCAAACAGTAAAAGAAGGAAAAAAAAGAAGATTGATAATGATATTGAAAGGATTGTGATGGGCCTTTATGTTGAAACTACATTATGGTTTATGTAGTTATAACTGGTCTAACTTTTGTTCATGAAGGTGTGACCGTATCTTGTGGTATGGAAGAGGTCTCCGCCAGTTATCTTATGTTCGTGGAGAGTCAAGATTCTCTGATCACAGGCCAGTTTACAGCATATTCCTGGCGGAGGTTGATTCTATAAACCGTAGCCGAACAAAAAAGAATGCTAGTTCCAGGATTGAAATCGAAGAGTTGTTGCCATATCCACATGGTTTTAGTTACGCTGAACCAAATCTCTACTGAATGCCTAGCAACTCTTTGTTCTTTGAGATCAGCCTGATGATTTCACAAAACTGAAACAGCAAAGTGATCAAGGTAATTCACCCTCAACAACGGTCAAATTAAACGAGTGGAATAAGTAGTTAGGATTATCGTTTCATAGCCAATCAGCATTTTGTGTTAGTTGACTCAATCCTCAATCTGCATAATCTCATTGATTTCGTACTTCTATAAATTTCTTGATAGTAATGCAATTGACCTTGTCTGCCCTTGATGTTAAAGTCATTTGTTGACATCTCGTGCATGTCTCATTCTTATCCTTGGGTGGTCTCCATTTTGCAGGTGGGCACTAGTGTGAGAAACGCTAGCCCCAGTTGTGATGGAGACTTACTAATACCCACAATCTACTAAACAAGGTTCACCTTTCCCTTCTTTTCATTACTCAGCCATCTATATTTCTAGACCATATCCAGGCCCCCTTTTCGCTGCTGCTTATGCATGCACTAATCAATAACCATGATTGTGAGAAAGAGGAACTTTTACTACCTGGCTATGGGAAAGTTATATTTTATTTCGTCGTGATTTTGCAGGATGTGAGCTCAAGTTGGCGGCAACACAGGGTCGAAGATTCTAGCGTTTGGCTTATGATTATTCTTTAAGAAAAAGCAGGAATAAACACATTTGAAATTATGTCAAGCATTTATCATGTTTGATCCGAGGCAGGAACATAAAAAGAATTTACAAAAGGGATGGCTACTCATTGCCGTTGTTAGAAAAAGAGATGTGCAAGTTCTGACGTATCTGAACCTTCTTTTTTCGTAGCAGTTAATGATTTCAATGGGAAGAATGAGAGCTAAGGAGTAAATGTATATATGTTAAATAAAATTCCGTTTTTTCTATTTTTCTGAATAAGATGAAAATCACAACACAAGGAAAAAGGAGGTGCGCACAAGTTATACGGCTTTATTAGCTTTTAGCAGCAAGTCATTATTTGTTGTGTGTACCAAGTTCCAAAATTAAACAAGTCTTTCTTTTCCTTTAATATTGGCATGACTTGGAGGGGCTACATCCGTAGCTTTCAACAGTCATTGGTGTCCTCCATATAAATTCTGAGGACTTTAACTTTTCTACAGCCCATGCTTTAAAGGAATAATTTGAAACTGCATCATATGGAAAAAGCTAGGCATAATAAAAGAAAGATATGATTGTTTTTGGCGAAGAAAAAGACGTGGCAAAGTGGTGGGTTTCATAGACCAATGTTGATCCTTTGGAGAGAAGAAGATATTTAATGCGGTGTCATTTAAGTTGTCAAACCTGAAAATCCGGATCATTATGGACGAGGCTGCAACTGCAAGCAAGCTAGCAACTTCCTACTCCTGTTACTACTACATGAGAGTTATGGAGCAACAACCTCAACAACCCTCTACCTTTGAATCTGTCCTCTGTATTTATGGCACAATTTTGACTTTGTAAATTTTATCTTCCGACCCAAAGTGTTCAGCACTCTCACACAGACACAGCAGTTGTCTGTTTGAGATTTATGCATGGGTCTGTTTTAATGAACGTGTGGTTCCCTTGTAACCAGCGTGTCTTCCCAGATTCTCCCTATTTTCTCCTTTCCTTTCGAGTTTAATTCCCTAGGTCATGCCTGTTCCTTGAATATAATTCAGCCAAATTCACTGGTTTGGTTCTTTTGTCCTTCGAGATCTTTTAAAAGGAAAAAAGAAGGAAGCAATCAAACCTTCATTAATCAAGGCTTTTACAGTGATACAACATCTGAACTGTATATTTTGTTTCCATGAATAAATGGTACGGTCTGTATTTGAATTAATCTGAGAGAGAAGAGAGGGGTCAAATGTTGGTGGTGTAGGCGAAGAACCAGGATGAAGGAATTCCCGAGGTGACCCAACCATACACGCAGGTGAGTACGGACTTGAAGGAGCATACTATAATTCAATTCATATCCATGTCGTATATTTCAATTCTCACTTTTTATCCAAACTCCATGGTAAAAATTAAATTCCCAAAATAGGGAGTTACAAATAAACCCAAACAAACCCTGCTCCCAATCTGATTCTCTGATACTGCCACCTTCTCTTTTTTGTTCACCACACCCAATATTCCTATTTTTACATTCTTAAATTCATAATTATTAATTTCAGTATTCAAGTTGGCCAAACAAATTCAGTATTCACACATATGTAATATTATCTTTAGCTCTAACTGAAAATGAAACTTAATCATTGTTCACTTGCATGTAGATTTGGTACGAAAGTGGACGGCACGTTCGGAAACCCATGTTTAACTAATCGATTTACTTTAAAAAAAACATTGCAGGATTGGATTGGATCGGAAATGGAGTTCATATGGGATGGGAGGGCTCAATCATTGGCTTGTTTGGTTTGCCGTCTGATTAATTATGAACTTTTCGTTTCATTTCCCATTTCCAAAAAAAAAAAAAAGGACGGACAGAAAGTTTTGTCGTGACTTATAGGCTCTGTTAATTAAGGCCTTTATATTTCGCAACAGGCAGCAGTGATTTTACAGCTCTGTCGTAAAACGTTGAAGTCAGTTTCTGTCAAATCTTGATTTGCATGCCATTATGAGATCCTCATTTCAGCTACGTAATAATAGACAATTCGGCTTACCACATATGACCAACGAGAAAACCCCAAAATATGATAAAGTAAGTTGTCTTGCAACTTTTGGCCAAAAAAAAAAGGTTGTCTTGGAACTTGACAATTATCATCAGTTTTCAAAAATAATTTGGGGGAGCATGACTTTGGACCAAATAATGTTCCCATGCTCTTTGGGATGAAAAAGGAATGGGAGGGGGAAAAAAAAAGTCCATGTGGGGATATGGTAGCATGGCACCATCGTTTGTGTCTAGCCAAGCAAACTCTACGCTTTTTAAAGACAAAAAAACAGAGATATCAACCAAGAGAACCAAAAGCAAAAGAGCAGCAGTAAGTGGCTCGATTTCCCAAGGATCTAAACAGTTTTGCACTATTCCATTCAACTTGGATGTTCAGCTATGATTTCACGTAAAACCAAAAAATAACAAACAACGCAATTGAGTCCAATGCAATTGGCAGATAGCCTGAAATTTTAATTTCAAGTTTCTTATATGCTTGCCGCTTTTCAGGGACGAGATAGGTCATGGATGTCCAATTAGGGAATGGGTATTGCCCTATTATCAAGTTCACAGACCTGTGGATGAGAATTGAGGAGCAAGCATGCTTGTTCAAGACTTGCCTTGAAAATAGATGCAAACATTAAAGATGAGTCAAATTTGTTTCCGAATGTAGAAGGCTTGTCATCCAGCGCAGCACAAAGGGATTGAATGATAATGTTGGGATTTTGTTTTTTGGTGCAATATCTTCAGACTCACCCACGAATCAAAGTCACATGTGTCCCATAAATCTCACATCAACGTCCAAAATTCCTCAAAGGTAATTTCCAATGATCCCATAGCTAGTACTGCCCTAGCTCCCACATACTATATCCGAGATGGGTCTCAACAATCCCCACTTTTTCCACTAAAATTTAGCCAATTCAATTCTTCAACTGCCACCCTATCACTTTTGATCTCTCTCTAGCCCTTCAAGGACCACTCTGTGAAATGAGGGGGTGATGGTCCCTTAATCTGATTCACAAAACAAACAAAAAGTTAGAGACTAAAGTCATGATCCTCGGGGAAGAATTCGTTGTTGGTTCTACTTTCTGGTCTCATATTACCTTATTTTCATAATGTGGGGATGGTGGGAAGGCCATAGAAATACACGAATTACACATCCTTTCATTGAATGTGGCTTCCCAATATGTATATCCAATACATGAGGCCACGAGGGGGGATCAACAGCCATCATTTATTGATTATCTTGTTGAGGTTTTTGGCATACTAGTAACTTTGGAAGTGTCATTATCCATACACATATTCCATAACAAAACCGTATTTTGATTTGATTGGGATTTGAGGAGTGGGCCGCTTAATCATAACTAATGTGCTGAGTGACAGCTTCAAGCAGTCAATTTTCATTGCAGTTTTGCATTGGGATCAATACCAATTGGACGATGGGACACTGAAAAATGCACCTTCAACTCCTAATTATATCCAGTGAATTAATCAAGTTGTTGCTGATAAATGCAGTCACACGCGCCCCGCATTAACAATTTCATGGTACTACATCCTTCGATTTACATATCAGAGCTTCTTCTGGCTGAGCCAGTACTGCATTTATTAATGATTTGAATTTTGAATCGGGGTTGAGAGCCTTGAAAGTGGATGGGAGGAGTGATGAATGGACACTGTGATGATGCTTAATGAATTTGTAATAAGGATTGGGGGGGGTCAAAGTTTCACTGGGAGAGACAGACACATTTTGCAGAGTGAATTCTGACAAGGTTGACGCATGCACGCCCTTGAAAGCATAATAATAATATAAAAAAAAAAGTGCATTGGCTTTGGAAGGCGTCAAAGCTGAGTCTGACCACTCCCACTCTCATCTCATCCCACGCCATCATTTCACTCTTCTCTAGTTCTCTTTCCCCTCACACACCCCATTGCTGATTCTTGAACATTTACATTCTCTGCAAGCCAGCGTGGCCATTTTTATTCTCGTCACCAGTTTCTGCCACTCCGTATATTGTTCACTGCAGCTCAGTAAAAGAGACCGAGTAACTAGCATCGAAACAGCAAAAACCCAGATCAGAACGATAAGCTTGCACCAACAAGAGAATGGCTGATACATAATTATTGGTCATAAAGGGCACGTAAGTAAGGTACAAGGCATTGCCATGATGAGGATAAGCTGATAGAAAATCATTATATCATATTTAATCAATGTAACAGGTGATGTCACAATACTGATCAAGTCTCTGCTTGGTTTTTGCTTGTCAAACAAGGACAAGGGTGTCAGGGGCCAGACTAACAATTTAATGACTCAGATGTTAAAAAGCACGCACGAGCGTTGGTCAATTTAGGCCTTTTTTGGATTCATGAACGAGGCAAATTAAAATATAAGACTCACTTGGCTTTTATTTAACGTTACTGAGCGTGGCAGAGACAGTGAGTTAAGTAAGTACATGGGAGAGTGATATCACGGTTGGCGTGGGATTACTGTTTTACTTGCAGAAGCTCTGAGTTACTATTATGAAGCAATTCAAGTTTCTCTTGTTTGTTTTAGTGTTAGGTATGGTCGCGCTTGTTACTTGCAGAGTGGTAAAATGTTATTGTGCCTGTACAAGGACTTCCTCTCAGCTGATGACAAATAACGTCATGGCTTTAATCATCGTCGAGCAGTGTTGTGGAAAGAAGTGAGTTTGGGATATTCTCTATTGTTATTGCATCTGTCGCTTCTCATTGTCTCTGCCTCCACTGCCATCATTCATCAATGTATTTTCCTTCCTGGTCAAACGCCTGCCTATTCTTTTGGCTTTTATCACACTCCCTTGTTAGTTTATCACCTTTATATCAATAATATTATTAATATTAATATTCTCTGTTACTTTTCATTTTACTTTTTTTCCCCTAAAGATTTTAAGAAATTCTAAGCCGGCAACGTTCAAGATAATTGACGGAGAAAGCTACGTTATCCACTACTCGGAATTATTCAAATTATCTACTAGTGACTAAAATTAAGGGTGAAAATGAATGAAATATACCAAAGGTCATTTAAATTAGCATGAGTAGAATTAAAATGTAGAAGTGGTAATCAATTGCTTATGAAATAACTATAGTTAAGGATTGAAACCGTGATAGTGATTTGAGAAAAATGAGGATTTTTTTATTTATGAAACATTAGGATATCCACCAACAAATCTAATAACTAATCTTTTCGCTAGCTTGTAGACACCTCGATAGGTGAGACAGTTGGCTCAAAGTTTTAAAGCTTTTCTATACCCAAGGTGAGGATTGAACCCTCGACACTTAGTTAAGAGAGGATGAACCCACACCACTTAACCACACCTCCCGGGTTAAAAAAAATGAGGATACTTAATAGATATTTTAAGTAGATTCCTCCAAAGTTTCCACTGCATTTGTCTTTCCGATATGATAATTTGAATTGTCATTTCCCCTGTTTGCTTGGTCTAAGGCCGAAGCTCGGTTCATTGAATTGAAAGGAAGAAAAACTTTGGGCTCTACTCTACATGATACATAAAAGTGAAATTACTTGATCCCCCCAACATACAAGGTTATTCCTTAACCTATCACCCTCCTTCGGTTTATGAAGTTCTTCTAAACGATCACTTTCGCGTCTCCTCCGCCCAATGGATTCCCCACAGTGAGTTAATTCGAATTCAGAGCCCCGCCCCGCCCCACTCTTCGGGGGCCAAAAAAAAAAAATCAGGATAAACTACCACATCGCTAATCCTGAAGCAAGAGTTTACTGCCATAAATGATGTCATTTCAACTATTCATGGTAGCAACATTAAAATTTGAAAAATTATTGTAATTGAATTATTTGAAACACCAATAGGCACCAACAATACATGTTGGAAAACTCAAGCCCAGCCCTAAATTTAACAACTGAGGTGCGATTAATAATTTATTACCCCGTGGAGAAACCCTGAGCTCAGTATTAGTTCACACTTCACATAACTACACAGAGTGGACAATATTTGAGACCTTTTTACATTTTAAAAGATGACCTGGTGCTGGTTTATGGCTTAATATGCATTATTAACTGCTCCACCAGGCAAGGGTGGAGAGACCAGGGATTAAACTACATTTCACGGAAGCTGTAGAATCATTTTCATTATTTAAATCGATTCAACTATTTGACAACCCTCTTTTCTGGGTGCCTGGGTGCAGTTGCTTTGAGTCCGAGCATGGGAGAAGAGCAATAAGGCCAATCTTTTTAGACCATAGCCATTCAGAAGCGATTTACCAATCACTGCGATAGTATAGTACATAATCTCTTCAGAGATCAGGCATGCCCCTCCCTGCTTTGGCGTCGTAAGTCTTCTCCACCACAACATCCATCGGAGTATCTTTGGGACCAACTGCAAAAAGAATGATAAATGGAGTTTGATGCTCAGCACGATGATTACAATTTTCTTTTAAAAAAATTGATAATCAGCGCCAGCGTTGACTGAAACTATATAAGCATTCTTGCTCACATTCTCTCCAACTAAGGAGCATGAGGTCAGCTGTATATATGACGAAAATTTAAGGTCAGCTGTAAGTGTCACTCTTCAGAATATGGGAGCATAGTGAAGAAGAAAAAAGGGGTTGTGTGTGTGTGTGTGAGTGTATGTGTGTGTGATTTTGGCAGGGAAACAAAAAAGCTTGAATATGAAAGAAGCATGAGTTTTGGGTACATACGGACTGTAGGTCTTGGGGTAGTTCTTATCTTTAAGATCTCAGGCCGGGCAATTATGGACCCCGATGCTCCTATGCCTCTGGATACTCTGACTTTAGTACCATCTTCAAGATATCTAATCCCAACTTTGCAAGGCTTCCTGAACCACAAAAGAAAAAACGGTTTATCATTTTACATCATCTAACTCCAGCCCCTTCGCATGCAAACACCAGTTCAGTATTTTAACATGTGCATACCCCGTCACTGGATCAAGAACCTGCACATTTGAGGCGTGTAATGGGGCTTCAACGGTAAAGATCCCCCCTTCATGACCTTGTCCTTGCTTAATATGTTTCTTCACCTAAAATAAAATAACAAGCACTTAAGTGAATATCTATCAAGCATGTAGAGAAAACTAGATGCTCAATTCAAGTTTTCACAAGACACAGCAATAGTGAAACTATGAGAGCACATGCACAAATATTAATACTACCTCTGGTCCTAATTGTAAGTCTTTCTTTGCAGTCTACAAACTAAGTCTTATCCGTAGGTAGTAATATACAAATAAACTATTGAACCTCATGGGATGCGACAGCCCAGAAATTAATAAAACAGAAGGTCTAGTGTCATAATTTTCAACTAGCATCATAAAAAGCGTACAAGTAGATCCATAGAAACAGAATCAATAAAATATTCCATAGAAACAAGTTCACCAATATCATAAATCCAGTAAGCTTTGATATTTCAAAATTTTAATTGCCCGGCTGATGAGAGAAATTGCTCGATAAGCCCAACTCAACATGTTCGCTATGTCACATAACCATACAAAGACAGAATCGAGACTTTGTCTCACCAGATTTTTACCCTCAACGATAACTCGATTCTGAGAGCGGATTACACGCTTAATAATCCCACCCTCGCCCTTGTCTTTTCCCCGCATAATCATTACCTGTTCAAAATGACAACAATAAACCCCTTTCAAAGCAAAATGACAAAGAAAAATATATATCAAGAGACATAGCAAGGATGCGAAGGAAATCATGTTAGCTTACGTTGTCCCCTCTAAGAATCTTCCAATGCCTAATGAGTTTCTCCGCTGCCTTCCAGCCCATTTGAATGGACAAGTCTAAGCTACCGTTCAGTAGAAACAGAATTAATTAAGAATCTAACCTTGGAAAATTAATATTAATCACTCGAAACAAAAGCAAAAATGAGCAAGAACACATATTCGTTACAGTTCGCATAGAAATCCAAGGGAGATCATTTAAAGCACTCGAGATTCAAGACCTTCAGTTAAATTCGAATTCAGGTTCACTCTGAGGTTCCTGAATCTGCTATGACGAATAGTGATTGTCTTTAGCTACTGCGACCTGCGGCGGGGCCAGTGCTACGACCCGGGAAGGTGCAGGGTGACTTGGAGCCAAAGCGGGAGTTCGCCTAGGGCAAGATCCTTAATCGAGGAAAACGGTGCCGTTCTGTGAAGGGATCCGTGTTAGGCCCCCCCTTTTTTTTCAACCTCAGATCCAGGTTAGCTTGATGCACCGGAAAATCGTATGAAAATTTTAAATATATATTTCACAGATTGATATTATTCACTTATAAGAAGTTATAAATGATGCATTTCAATTTGAAAATGTCCATTGTAGTATATAAATTTTTTCTCAATATCAAATCAAAATATATAATTAAAATTTTGTCTTTATATGATTTCAGTTTTTCCTCTGGCTAGAAATAAAAAGGGAAAATCATAAAAAAAACCGCTGAAATTAAAAAATTGCACACAAAGATTTTAATGTTGTAACAGATTTTAAAAAATTATAAAAAATGTTATTGAAACTTATATTATGGTTATCAAAACATATATTAATGTTGTAACAGGTTTTTATTTATAATTTTTTTATTTCAGCAGTTTTTTTTTGACAATTTTTCCAAATAAAAATGAGCATGCTCCATTGGCACGCTAAGTTGGAAATATAACGGAAGAGAGGTTATTATTGTTATTATTATTTTTTTTAAAAAAAATCCGAGGAGAATTTTTTTTAGCATCGCATGAACAAGTCGGAAAGTATGCACATGGGGAAAAAAAACGACACATAGATCATTTTACGGTACTGTCTAAAAAAGGAAAGAAAATTACGGTACTGTCCCCTTGTCCATTTTCACGAAAAAGACTCTTACGAAGCGATCTATCGTACGTTGTCAATTGGCAATGAACATACGTATAAATTAGCCACGAACATATATTCTCAATTAATCAAATACTCCTTTTAAAAAAAGGAAAAGATAATTGCTATTGGTTAACTTTTATTAAATGAATATGGGATGTCTTTGAAAGGCGGACCAGAAATAGAGATACAGAAAGGAACAAAGGAAGCTAGCTAAACTGCTGAAGTACAGACACATAAGATGAGACACGCAGGGTAGAAAGCAAGCATTATTGGAGAGGCAAGACTAGTAAACGGTGGCAACCATGATTGAGAGTGACATGAAGAGAAACGTGAATGGGGAGAAGGAAAGGAAGGATGGAACAGAAGAAGAGGATGGTGGTGCAGGGAGGACTGGTCGAATTCCCGGAGTAGTTGTGGTGGGCTCTCCCATTTCCATTGCTGCTGGAGCTGGGCCTTGCGCTTGTGTTCGTGTTTGTGCCAATCTCCGGCTCATAAATTTGATTTCTTTAGCTTCCACCATATCTTCAGACCCTGCACGCCCTCGGTTCCATTTTTCAGCAATATTATTTTCACGGACTAGAGCTCAGCGATAGACATTACATTATTACAGACTAATTAATGAGTTACCATTATTAACTTGTTACCTTGAGGACTCAACGGAGATGCGGCTGTGGGTCCAAGTCCTGGGCCATTTCTTCCGAGCACAGCAGGGCCTGCCCATGCAGACCAAATTATACATACATATTCAAAAAGCATAGACGCTAGACCAAGCAGAGAGAATAATTTGGCTGCAAACGTGAGACCAAAAGAAAAATGAAACGATGAATACCTGGAGCTGGTAGAGGGGATCCAGAGGCTGCAATACGAAAATGTCAACCGTTAAACCCATAACTGTCGTGATTATGATTTGTGAAGGGGAAAATGAAAACTAAATTGTAGGCAGATAATGGACCTTTGCATTGGGCAGGCGCTTTTATATTACATGCTTGAGTGAGAGAGAGGGCGAGAGCTGAGGTGAACGGTAGTTGGAAGGGAACATTGGCAGATACTAGCAGACAAGCACAATTCACACTCGTGTTCACCAAAGATCTCAAAGATTCACAACATGTGGTGGACGGTACAGCACCATTGTTGGTGCTTCCTGTAATCAAATTCGCGCATGGGGTGAAACTACTTATCACCGACGTCGTGCATGGCGTGTTAATCTGCCCCTTCACTGAATTCCCCACTAATATCACCATCAACACTGCTGATATCACGCTCACCTCAAAAGCCCTGTGCTGTTCCATCAGTAGGTTAGTTCACACAATGCTGCAAGAATTTAGCGGTGATATCCGTGTTTGTAGCTTCATTAATATATACATGCAATCTACTGGTTTAACAATTGTCTGGTAGGTCGGAATATGATTCTGCAGTTCAACTACCTCGACTAATATGTGCAGTAAAAGAATTTGCTTGTTGATCAGCACCCTCGTTATAGTTTGGTGTGTGTGGTTGGATAGAACGGAAGCCTTCTCTTTCTACGGAAAATATAAAGGAATATAATTAACTTGTGCGGGATACAAAGAGATGTTGAGGTCGTTCGGTCTCGATACTCCCTTTCAGTGTTGTTGATAAATGAGTCTCGCGGTCTTCTGAGTAGATAGGTTGATTAGGAGAGCCTTATCATTGGTGTTCAAAGAAGGGTGGAATTTAATTAGATAGAGTGGGCGATCTGCATTGACTTGTCGTTTCTTGAGCCTCTCTGTAACCGAACCTTCCATTAATTTTTCTCAATTCTCACGTGATAAATCAGCAAGTCCAAATCTGGATTTAGAGGAATGGTGATGGGTCTAGTTGTGATGTTAATGGAACAGCGCATGCACGCACGGGCCCCTGCCTGAATCCGTTATTGGAAAATTAATGCGTTTGTTCTGATGCAGAATTTAAGCGGGGATCATCAGCGGGGTACGGTCTGTTGGTGGCAACAACTAAATTTTCTAAAAGTCCAGCAGATCTTCCAGCTCTTTTGTAATACTATGCAAACTCTGTTTGTGGTAACACCTGCAGAGAAATGATAAATCTGAATCATGTTTTGCGAACACTGTCTTTAAAAGCTATTCTGCAACTACTGACAGAGCAAGAAGCGGTTCTTCCTAGGCTTAAACGAATTCTTCTTTTAAAAAGAGGGTGAGCAGAACAGTAAAAGATAAAAAAACTCAATCATACAGAATAGCAGAGGAGGGAAGAAAGTTGCCTAAAAGTTCAAAATTCAGTGGTCGTGAACTTTAATCTCATGCCTCATTTATAGACTGCGGATCACAATAGAGCATTGGGTACTTAAACACAAATAAGTTTCGGTTTCAAATCCTGCATCTGCATTTCATTTATTAGAGATTATGAGAATCGGTCCGGATACCGTGTTGTAAATAAGGTGTGTGGATATGTCAAAAGAAGAGTCTCGTACTGTTTGGGATTGTGTGGGAGGCGTGTCTGTAATGGAATCTCTATCAGGACAAGCTTCTATAAGGAGATGTCTCGTCCATGTGATAGACACTCTCGTCGTCGCCTCTCTTCAACCCATTTTGTGCTCCGTTCCTTTCCCTCCTTCTACTCCGTTATTGACTTATCTTTTTTGCCTCTGTGCCCAGTTTCTTTTTTCTTTGGAATACATCGGACAAGAGCCAAATTTGAGAAAGAAAAGCACAAGCAGAAACTAAGCCTAATGCAGCCGAGCGAAAATAAACAAGACTAAGTCAAAGTCTTTTGCCATTTGATCCAAGCAGCTCTGTGTCCAGTTTCTAGTGCGGAGAAGTTTTCGAATTGGCGTGGCTGGGGATTTTCAGGTGATTTACCGGCAAATAATATACTACCTCCGCTCCTTAATATAAGACCCCGTTTGACTTTTTATTTGGTCCTAATTATAAAACCCCAATCCATTTTGTCTCTCATATTTATGTATTTTTTTCCAAGATAGTCCTTCTAATAATGATAGTTCTAGTCAATACACTTAATTAGCAAAGATATTTTAGGAATGACAACACTTATTTATTACAAATAATTAACTTAACTTACTTCCTTAATCTCCTCAAATAAGTCAACTGGGTCTTATAATTAGGACCGGAGGTAGTATTTCTAAAAAGCTTGGCAATTTATTGGTATTTCGGTGATATCATATTAACAACGTTAATATACTTATGTTAGATTATTTCAAAACCGCATAAGTTCAGGTTTAACGGTGAGACCCAATGTATGACCCTTATTTATTCTACGCAGTTCCACAAAAACAATACAAAGCACGCACGAATATAATATTTTAAGTAAACTATTTAAGCATTAAATTTTGTGAGATATAATAGAATATGCCTAATAAATAATATTGATAACTTGTTCATTCAATTTAAATTTTCTACAGTTGATCTAAGTTAAAAAAGGTGTAAACGTGATTTGAGGATGGAGGGTCAGGCTCGAACTTGATAAGGAGTTCAACGGCCGTTAGCGTCAAATGATTGTGGTCGGATGCGTCAATTAATGCCGAACTCCATTCATGAAATCGTGATATTCAAGTCTACCCGATATGAGATTCAAAGGCTAATCATTCGAATCGACCTCCATTTTTCTGTGTCACCGAAAACGACATGGCTGATATTTCCCCACTTTTTTCGCAGCCGTTTTTCGGAGAAATATTTTTTTTTTTTTTGCCGGAATTTTGGAGAATTATTTATACTTACATGTACTTTAAAAAATATACTCTTATAATATTAATATTTATTTTAATAGCAAATTATTACTTTGAAAATTTTTTTCCCAGCTTGAAATTTGGTTTTTATTCTGCAACATTATTTTTCACTTCAAGATTATAATGAAATTCTAATTATTTTTAATACTTGTGATGAATACAATTCCGCATTGCCTGGTTTGGACATATTTGAGAAGTTGAATTGAGTGATAAATACCTTCTTACTGCACTTTTGTCTTTTTTGTAAGATTTTTTTTTTTGTGTGCACTCTCTTGATATTACTCCCTCCGTTCCTTATTATAAGAGACATTTGATGCTTATGACATGTTTCTATATATAAGAGACACTTAAAAGTTGTCTCTATTTTTTTGTATTGATTTTCTATTTTACTCCTATTTATTTTGTTTCCAACTCATACTCTCTCTCCCTCACACTCTCTTTCTTTTAATAATTTAATTGTTCTCTCTCATACTCTCTCTCCTTATTAATAGGGGCATTGTTGGAAAAAAAACATTATACTTTTTACACATTAATTGTCCTCAACTAATTTTAACTATTTTTTTGATCAACGTAATTTAGTTATTTGTCTCTTATAATAAGGAACGGAGGGAGTATTTATTAAATTCCTTCAACCTGTTCATATCTTTCTCGATAAATGAGTCATCGGTCGATTAATAAGCCACCAATCAATTCTCTCGATATCATCACTAAATAAAATCATGGTATTTCTGAAAATCTGTAACTGATTATAACTAATTTCTTTAATTCTAATAAGCCGCCGGTCGCGTCTCATAAAACAATAAATCAATATTATCAAAAAAATGATGGTGGTAATAATATTAATACACCACTCATGAAAACATTAATATTGCATAGGATTTAAAAAAGTTCAAAATTAATAGTAAGATCTTAGGAGGGGGGGACTTTTAGCATTAAAAATATATTAAATGATATCAAAAAAATTTTAATGTCAGTAATTCTATTACCAGTTTGTTATTTCTTACAATCTAAATATTTGTTATTGACCTCATATATATTTTATTTCATAAGTTATTACCTCGTGCCCCCCATATATTATAACTTATTATTTTAAATGTCAATGGTTATAATGCTTGTTTTTAGGCTGGTGGAAAAAAAAACAATAACTTGTTTTTACAATTTAACGTTTTAACGTTATATTGTGTAAATTTATTTTATAATTTATTACCCCGCGCCTTCATATGCATGCATGCACGCATATAAAATAAATTATGTCCTTTAGTTTAGAGTCGATCTCAACAAAAAAAAAATCATGGGATGATAAAAAGTGCTTGTTCGAAATGACAGTGGGTTGAAAAATAATTTTTTATTACGAGATAAATATATAACGAGAGTTTTATTTTAACTCTTATAAACATACTTATAGGCACTTATTATTTAAGAAGTATCAATGTTCACTGAAAAAAAGGGGAAGTCTTAATGATATGGTAATCATACCTCATAATGTTTGTAGACCTAATCAAGTAAAATTACCCAGCCATAATAATGATTTATTATTATCTGAGTTTTTGTATCTATAGTTTGAAACTATGCTTAAACCTCAGTGATAAACTCAATTCACGTAATTTTTTTAATCAAAATGATAATTTACGATTACTTGCAAATTGTATGCGTCGTTGTGATAAATAAGAATATAAGATCTCACATTGCCGGCAAAAAAGAAAAAGATTTCACATTACCGGAGTCTGAACACAGGAAAAAACGCTATGCATAAATTAATTATTTTCTCCTTTTCCACGTGGAAAATATAGACCCTGGAGCCAGCAAATAACACGACCAATCAAATACATGGCGCACAGCTCAGGCTGAGCTTGCTGATATTCTCGATTTTCTATTTATTTTCTGTAGTTTCATTCTCTACGTACGATTCACGTGTCAACCGTCGACCATTTGAAAATAATTTAAAAGTGCAACAAAAATGTTTAGAAAACTGGCAAGGAAGCGAAGGAACCAGTCATGACCCGGGATCAATTTTAACCGAACCAGTTGCCAAACCCCCGCCCGCCAAAAACCAAAATAGTCAATGAAGCAAACGAGAAAACGGAAATTTGCTGAAAAACCCTCATGGGAATGCATCAACGATGCCCCCATTTTGTGCAGGAATACGCTGCGGGAGGGAAACACTTTTCCAACCGCCCCCGCATCTTTCTTGATCTCTGTACATTGCAAATGGGGTCCCAAAGCACCGCACCACTGCAGTGTCTCACATGGTTTTTTTCCCCCTTTTAATTTTTAGCAGTTCTTTTTATTCTTCACGTTAATAAAAAGATAAATAAAACATGTGTGACCATGACTGTTTTTAGCATTTGGAAAAATATATTTTTCAGAATACATAGCGATGGCTTCCCTGAAATTTTTTCAGGAACGACCCAGACTGCACGCAAGCTGAGGATGTTCGACAGAAAAAAGGACGGGGAAGAAGCAAATGCGTGCCAATAGGATTTGACTCCCTTTCCTTTGTTTACTCCTTTTCAGCTCAAGTCATCAAGGGCAATTTAGTCATTTCACAATGAAGCTTTGTTTTCATAAATGATCCGGGTCCATTTTGAGATTTTTCTGAGTAATAAATTTTTGTGTGGAGACTTTTGGGAAAATTTCCCCAAAGTGTAGTCCCATTCTGATTTCTATCGTATTCATGGCTCGCATACGTCAGTCACCCAATTAAATCAGTAAATCACACGCATTTGTGCACACCTTTGGGTAAATGACTCTAAGGGCCCCAAGGAAAAAAATAAATAAAACCCTTTGAAATTTTGCCGAGCGTTTCCTCAGCTGTGCAAGCCATCTTCGTAGGCAAAACCCAATTCCTTCGTCCATCCCTGCTTTCTGCAAATATTCCATCCCTCATTTCTTCGCTCATCGTCTCCGTTTTCAGGCAAACCATCTGCGTTTACGGTTCGTCTCTTAGCTATTACTCGATTTTTCCTCCTTTCTTTTGTTTTTGAATCTTGGCTAAGGGATAATGCTCAATTGCATAGGTTTTGGTTTCATGCGGTCGTGATCACTTGGCTATTCCTTGTTATGTTGGATTCGAACTGGGTTTTGTGTTAGAACTTCATAATTCTCCATGTCCTTGTTGTCCGTTTCTAACGCAATGCTTGCGTTTGGGATCCTAAATTGAATTGATCAACTCTTCTGCTTGTGACTGAAGTGGTTGATGTATAGGAGATAAGTTCATTGCTCGTGATTACGGATTTTTCTCTCTAAATTTTTTCCTTACAACTTGGCCTGTTTTGCCCCAAATTCTTGAGTCGGCGCTATGGGCTTTTTCTTTCTGTTTCTTTCTTTCTTCTTTTTGCCCTTTTCCTTTGATTGAGATATTTCAGTTCAATAGCATTGGGTCATGCTTTAATAATTAGGAATTAAGCTTGTTCTACAGTTAAATCCTTTTTTCTTTGTTCTCATCTCGTGCTTCATCTCTGTAGCTGAATCCGTAAACAGCCTACTATAAAGGGGAAAAATAATTTTTCTCAACTTCTTTACTTTATCCAAATGACGATCATATCTAATATTTCTCTCTATTTGGTCCTGCTTTGGGTTAGGGTTATCTCTGCTCTGCATGGGTCCATGATGATAATGAAGCTAATTTTGATATGTCCCCCGTGGGCACAAAATGTCCAATGAACATCGATTCTCGTAGCATCTTTCATATTACATCCACAGGGTCAATTTAAGCTGTTCATTTCGCAGATTTGTTATTGTAAATAGTCAAGAGATGTTTGTCTGCAGTTTTATGCTTGGTCTAAAAAGGGTCTTTGATTATATACTGAATTATTGAGGGGACTAATTTAGTAATCACGACATTGGTATTTCCTTCCCTGCTAGCCTTTTACTTTGTTTCGTTGTTTTGCTGCTGTCATTGGGCTTAGACAATTGCTCTATATTGTATATTCCCATCCTGCTAGCATTCTATGCTATGCCAGGAATTGCAAGCTGGGAATGCATGTATGGAAAGGCAGCAGATGCTTTGTCAGAATTAATCCTGCAATGCTGAGATCCTTTTCCCATTTATTATCACTCTTTAAGTTGCCAAGTATACAACTTGGAAATACAACTGTTGAGCTACAATGAGTTTTTTCTTTCTTTGTATTTTTGTTTTGCATAATGCGGGCAAGAATGTGTATCTTAATTTATAAATGCTCTTGACATGCCATGTTTGGGTGGACACATGGATCAATTATTTGAAACGCTTTTGATGTCTATGCATCTTTAAGGGAGACTTGATGCAGGAGGGAAAAGGTAGAATGCATCTTTTAAGTGCAGTTTGAGCATGTGCAAATGTTGTTAGTTCTGTGTATGTATAATTTGTCCAGTTCCAAAATGTGGAGGAATTTCCATGGCAAATTTAAAGGGAGCAAGAACATAGTAAATTTAATTGAACAGCTCTGGTTTGGTTGATCACATTTGCTGTCATATCTTGTCTCTTTTCCCTTGGAAAGAGGGGGGGTGGGGGCTGGGGGAGGCTGTTGTTCTTCATCTAATGAAATTGGAAGATTCTTTGGAGTCTATGTCTAAAATAAATTGTCAATTTTCTGTGCTTAACATACTACAATTTTTTTATTGAAATTATGCACATGCCATATTAATGACCATCCCGTTTCAAAACTTAAGATATTGGATATGAAACATTATTACATGTAACTAAATTTTTATTTTAATGTAGGTGCTCCTTCTATCTATTAAATAGCACGAGTTCAGCAGTTGTATTTTATCAGACACGGATGAAACAGTGGTTATTATGTCTGAACTGATTGAAGGACTTCCGGATGCTGTTGCAATTAGGTGCCTTGCACGAGTTCCCTTCTATCTCCATCCTAAGTTAGAGCTCGTCTCTCGTTCTTGGCAAGGAGCCATTCGTAGCCCTGAGCTATTTAAAGCTAGACAGGAGGTTGGTGCATCTGAGGATCTATTATGTGTCTGTGCTTTGGACCCAGAGAACTTATGGCAGTTGTATGACCCTTTACGTGATCTCTGGATTACACTTCCTGTTCTTCCCTCAACTGTCAGGCAACTTTCCCGCTTTGGTGCTGTCTCCATTGCTGGAAAGCTGTTTGTGATTGGTGGAGGAAGTGACGCCGTCGATCCATTGACTGGTGATCAAGATGGGAATTTTGCAACAAGTGAAGTCTGGTCATATGATCCTGTAGCACGGCAATGGTCCCAGTGCGCGTCTATGCTTGTGCCCCGTTCTATGTTTGCATGCTGTGTATTGAATGGAAAGATTGTTGTGGCTGGGGGCTTCACTAGCTGTCGAAAGTCTATATCTCAGGCAGAAATGTATGACCCTGAGAAGGATATATGGATTCCAATGCCCGATCTTCATCGCACACACAATTCAGCCTGTTCAGGAGTAGTGATTGAGGGAAAGTTGCATGTATTACACAAAGGGTTGCCAACAGTTCAAGTTTTAGACAATGCAGGGAATGGGTGGATGTGGACCGTCGAGGAATGGAGCTGGCTTCAAGGTCCAATGGCAGTTGTTCAGGGATCCCTCTATGTGATGAGCCATGGTATTATTATTAAGCAGGACAAAGAAGTGAGAAAGATGGTTTGTTCCGCATCGGAGTTTCGAAAGAGAATTGATTGCGCGATGATTGGGCTGGGTGATGAGTTATATGTGATTGGGGGCTTCATTGGTCCTGACAGGTGGAACTGGGACATCAAACCATTATCTGATGTTGACGTTCTCACTCTTGGGACTGAGAGACCAACTTGGCGTTCCGCAGCTCAGATGACACGGTGTCGTGGTCCTATCCTTGGCTGTACACCGCTGAGAATTTAGACCTTCACTTGTGCTTACGTGTGACTCTGCTTCTATTGAGGGATTTGTGTCCCTTGAACTGGAGGCAGAGAATGAGATGCATGATGGCTTCTTTGTTTTGTATGCAAGCCATAAAATTCGTCCTTGTTTTGTGTTGATTATAAATTCATGCCATCGAGAAGTGAGGCACTGTTTGAATCAAGCATTCAAGGCCAATTACCGGTGAAGAATTATAATCTTGTTGATTAAGGACTGCCTTCACAGTCGAGCAAATATCTTTCGACTTCTTTTCCCCGCATGGGTACTCAGATTGATTATAGCCCGCAAATTATAATCTTTTATGGTTTGGCAGCACGACTGCATTAGCTCCGGGTTCTCATTCATATATTAGGCGGCTTGCATTATATAAATTTGAAAATTTAGTGTTGCTACATGTATGTGGTCAACACTCTCGTCCTTCTCATTGGCCCTTTGCCAGTGTAAGGCAAGGCCTTCGGCACTTTGGAGGGAAGCTTCCGTAGGTTTGTACCTGTCAATCGTTTCACCGTTGAATATGATGAGAATGTCGAATGCACCGGGAAAAAAAAGGATTGAAAAGACGATTTTTTTTTTTGTTTTAAAGAAAAAAGGAGGAGGAAGGAGGAAAGTCCCGCATCTCAGGAAATGAAGGGACGGCATCTCCTACAAAAGGAATGGGAGCGCATCAATTGAAACATACCCCTCCACAAAGTGCAATGAAAGTCGCCTAACCCGGTCAACTGGACTTCCATCGCACATGGAAGAAGGTCCGCCAAAGTAGGGGAGACTACCTCATAATTTTATAGTCCCATTTGACTCAAATCTCCCGCGTTCCCAAGCCGGCGTTGTCTCGGCCCAAAAGCAACGAGATGCCATTTGTTGGGCCAACGATGAGCTCCCGCTACCTTGTTTTCGTCTTTGGCTGTAATCGTTGAGGTTTTGATTAATTTGAAATTGTATTCTCAAATGGCATGTGGATCTTTGTCATCACCAGTGCAACCGAGACCCTCGGATAAATGTTATGGCTGAAGGCAACGTAACAGGATCTGCCTTGTGTAAAAGGGGGAGTAGTCACTTGAAAATCTGGTGATCAGCTCAAATGTGAAACAAGTCGGGCTAGATTGGAGTGAGGAAGGTAAAGGCAGAGATAAAGATAGACGCAAGTGACGTGGAGGTGATGTTAAGGTGGGAGCTAGGTAAGGTTTTAGGAAGGAAGATGAATGCGTAAGAGTATAGAGCTCATACATTTGGTGGTAGTCATTCTCCATTCGCCCCCCTATTAAGGAAGAAGCAGAGGACAACCCCACCACGTACCTCCTTCCCATGGGAAAGTGGAACTCTGTTCACATTGATCCGGATAGGGTCCTCTGTTTTGCTTCCTTTGTAATTTTATGATTTTCTCATGTTTATCAGTTGACGCTTCTAAGAGAAATAGTTTGTTCTGCGCTGTTAATTACTTGGGGAATGGTTTATCAAACGAAGAACGCAGCTCTCACATGGATCACTCTGCTCCCGCGTGAATGATTTTGTTGTTTTTCCCCGCCTTCGCAGCTTTCGTTGCATAATTGAGGGGTTGAGTGCAGGATATATGGTGAAGCAAGGGCCATGTTCCTTATCCAATAATTTGAAGACTGGTAGTTTCCACTTCCACCCCTCCCCTCTCTCCATATTTTGCTCCCACAATTTATAACATATTCCCCCCCTCCAAAAAAAAAAAAAAAACCGAGAAAGAGATACACTTCCCCATGCTCTGTGTGGCTTCTTATTAACCACTACAATAAAATCTACCAACGTTGACAATCCAAGTCTAATCATGCACAGCGTAAACTTCAACGTAAAATTTACAATATGTTTATTGTCCAAAATTTTGCGTAATATACGACGCTCGTGTATGGTAACTGTGATTGCGATAATTTTGTGAAGCGGGAGAGCCTTTTGTTTTGATACTATAGACCGAGAGGCGGTGGTCCGGCACCTGAGGTAAGGCCCACAGTGGGCCTAAAAGTACGTGGAGCGAGAATTGGGCCCTTTCCCACGTGGATGAGGAGCGGCGTATGGGACGTATGATAGTGACATGGTTCTGGGCGGGCCATAATGGAGCAGGGTGGCCCCACCCTGCCCTCTCGTGGACCCCACCCACCTTCCAAATCCTTACCGTTCTGTTCATATTTAGTTTTCCGCTAATTTCTGATTAAGCACCAACGTTCCGTACTTTTGTCTCTGCTTTTTTTTTTTATTCCCCCTAATTTCAGTTTAAAGAGTGCGCCGATTAAAGCCTGTACGACGTAAATATGGGCAGTAGCCATGGTTTTGTACTGTAGTGTACGAAAAGGGTTGGAACTGGGTCAGACAATTCATAAGCATGGTGGGCGGTATTTATTTTTCGACGCTGATGAATTTGCATTGAGAGATTCTTTATCTTTATCCGCAAAACAGGTAGGATAGGATAAGCAAACTGAAATGATTAGAAAAGACAAAAGCCAAAAGTCAGCTTGTTCAATGTCACGGTAGGTTTTACTAGTATTTTACGGAGAGTAAGAGAATCACAACTAAAAAAATGGTAAGCTTTGGTTTCCATGCACACGACTCCTTTGATTTGTATCTTCTCCCTTTAAAAGGCATATATGTCCATACACCCCTCCCCCCCTCCCCGGCCCCCCCAAAAAAAAAAAAACCTCGAAAGCTCCCTCCTTTTTCTCCTCTCTTTCGGATGGCTCGCCATCAAGTTGCAGAACCTGCAGCATGCAAACTGAAAACAGAGCAGCCCACTGAGTGAAAGTCCATGGTAAGGCCAAACTTGCATCAAAGAGAAAGCCCGCTTTATGATCGTGATTTTTCTCGCAGCAGTCCCCTTGTAAATGATACAGCTACTCTTATAACCGCCACAAATAAATATCCCGTGTCGCTTGGCAGTTCTATATACAGAAACCCAGAAATATTCCCCGGAGGATATAAGCAGGCAAAAGAACTTTGTTGGCCTTTCAATCTGAAAGGTTTTCGGGAAGTTGTAATGATGTCAATCAAAAATTTCTGACAGAATCCGGTCTGCGATAATTTCCCGTACAAGCCTAGCCAAATTGGGTGAGTTCTTAATCGTAAGCCATACGATGTTTTTGCATCACTTTGTTGTTTTCAACTTTTTGAATTTTAGCTCTTTGTTTGTTCAGCGAAGATCAAAAAGAAGAGGGAGGGATGTTGCTGAGGAACAGATCAAGAGCAGTGACGAAGACAGGTTTGATGGCTGATCACAGTTCTCAGCCATCTCCAAAACAAAATTACGCGAGAGCTATTCCTTCTCTATTTGGTTCGCCCAAATTCATAACAGAATTGACCGGCAAGTGTGTCTCTGGAACAGAGGCTTTAAGAAGCCCAACTTCAATCCTGGACACCCGAGCGCTAACACCCTTCGGATATGAAGCTATATCTACCCCAAAGAAAAGCTCGTCTCCGAATGACAAGATGGACTCAAAAGGCATTGGCCTTGCTCTTCTGGATGCAACTGAGAATGGTCACACTGATCAGAACTCTGCTAAGGGGAATGTGGTGCATGGAAAGCAGCTCAGGGTTAAAATCCCACCCACCCCTCCAATTCCATCTTCCTGTGTGTATGAGAATTCTGGAATTCATACTGGTGTTATGTGTTTGAGTGAGATGGAGCTCTGTGAGGAGTATACTTGTGTAAAATCCCACGGGCCTAATCCAAGAACCACCCATATATTCGAGGATTACATTGTGGACACCAGCTCTGTTAGTTCTCCCCCTCGTGACTCCCACTCTGCTTCCGGGACTAATTTCCTCAGCTTGTGTTACTCCTGCAAGATGCGGCTCGATCACACCAAGGACATCTTTATTTATAGGTATCAACGTGAACTTGAAATTCGACTGACGTTTTGTTAGTTTAATAGTTAAAGAAGACTAAGAAGATGATTGATTTAGTAGCGTCGTGTTTTGCAGAGGTGAGAAAGCTTTCTGCAGTCGAGAATGCCGATACAAAGAGATGGTGTTAGACGGAGCAGAAATTTCAGAATTTGATAGTAATTGGTGATGTTGCTTCAGTCTGAAGGCCCCATCCCTTGCGTATTTCCCAGCCGTGGTGCCGCAAACGTTGGGTAGGGTGACAATAAAAAGTCAACATCTTCCGTTCTTGATCATCTCTCGAGTTCCTTTTCATGGGAGTGAGGACAAAAATGGTTGCATCATTGCGGTCTCTCTCTCTCTGTCTGTCTGTCTTTTTTCCCTCTCCACTGCAAATAGAGATAAGAGAGGATGTGTAGAGTTCATCTCAAGGAGTGACTAATTCCAGGGCCTTTTGTTTTCCCCCATTGTTTTCGGCTGAAGTAGATGAGGATCATGCAGTACTGAAAATTCCCCCTTTTTTTCCCTGGTTGATGATGATGAGGATGAATATTATTATAGATGGGGACAGATTAATTATTTCTCTCACCAAGATTCCCTACCTGTATTTTATTAGAATCCTTACTGTTGTTTCTCCGCTGAGGGGGAAAATAAATAAAGCAAACCAAGTTAATGAATAATGATGGAAAAACGGACAATGACAGATAAGAATGTATTGGTTTAGGTCACTTTCCTTACCCATTACTTCATTATCCATACATTTGAATAATAGGTATAGATTAGAGACTTTGATACGTATATAATAGAGAGAGAATCATTTTCAAAGGTTTGGTTAAGACAGTTTCCCAGTAGTCTTTCGGCAGCGTCAATGAGAAGGGTATTTGCACAGTATTTGAAGTTGAAAATGTCTATGATTTCCGTAAAAAAAAAAAAAGAATATATTTGCTTTTGAATAAAAAACCTATAATGCTATTTCTTTCGAGTCATTTTCAAATGTGATTTATAAAATACAAAACAAATATATAAGAGTAATTTTGTCTCGCCTTATGTAAAATGTACCTATAAGTGTTGTGGAATGTTATTTCAAACAAGCCGTAGATATACTCTTTGGATGCTACTTTCGATCCTTAATATAAAAACTAATCTGATTTTTAATTATTTTAAATATAAGACTCAAATTTATTTTGTCTCATATATTTATCTTTTTTTTTTTAAATAGTCCTTATAGTAGTTGCACATGTTAAAAAATTTCATCAAACGATAATTCTAACTAATATGTATGAATGCAAGGATATTCTAGAAAAAGTAATATCTATTTATTACAAATAAATAACTTAACAAACTTTTTTAACCTATTTAAATTAGTCAACTAGTTTTTATATTAAAAATCAAATATACTATTTAATTTAATATATTGGGTTAGATTTGAATAACTGTCAACCCAATCCATGAGTGAAAATAAGTCTATTCTGTTCAACCCAATCCCCATTAGTTTTGTTGTAGCTTTCGAAGTCGTCGAGACTTTCTTTTTGTATATATAAAAAACGGTTCAGTGAAGGAAATAGTTATTTATAGACATATGTATTAATTTGTTATTTAGATTATTGGCAATTAATTTAGATAGTTTAATTTTAGTTGCCGAATTCGTTTGAAAACCAGCAAGCGCTGAGGGGCATAAGAAATAAGAAATGACAAAGTGAAAAGCGGACACAATTGCGGACAAATGGTGAAACCCACCGAGGAGGGTGGGGTTCGACAATACATGTTGCTTTCTTGGAAGGACCAAGCAACAGTAAAAGATAACAACACAGCGACCTTCAAAGAAAGCACTATGGCCCCCCAAAATGCTTGAAAAAGTGGGCATATTAATCTGCCGAGATGCCTCCCCATTCATCATCACAAAGGACAAAAAAAAAAAGCAACCTCAAAGATGGCGACTCTTCTGTCATCGCTATTACAGTTTCATAGCATATAACACTTATCAAGCCACGCTCTGTAAAAGGGTGCCACATACATGTAGGTGAAAGCAACCCCATGCCTGAACTCTAACCGAGGTGAATAGGCCAAGCCCCTCATCCCCACAAAACTTCCCAAGGCCTCCCAGAAAGACTAAACAGGAGAATACCGAGCCTGCCCTAAAATACCCCAAATCAAGACCAAGAGCTCCGACTGGAGGATCGTCGCGGCGCATCTTCTGATAAACCCTAAAGGTAGGAGTAACTCGTTTATGGAAAACCTGAGAAACCGAGTACCAAATTAATAATATATTGCTTTGATCCTTAATATAAAGCCTAATTTTTGAGTTAGTTTTAACTCTAAATATAATACCTATTTCTCATATTTAATTTATTTTTTCTAAACTATCCCTATAAATATTTTCTCAACCATAATCAAGTAGAAAAAAAAATATTAAGAAAAATAATTATAATGTTTTAAGAAAAAATATATCACATTTCTTATAATTAACTAACTTACCTAATTTTTTAAATATAATCAAATTAGTTAATAAGTCTTATATCCGAAGAGTATCTTTCATTCGTTCAACGTTCGTAACCGGAAGTTCTGTGCGTCATCTTCGGGAAATTGTGTAACGTGGGGAGTAATCATATACAAAGCGCTGGAGTTTCATTTTTTTTGTCTTCGTAAACTGCCAAAGTTTTATTTGATAGTTCGAGTTCCAATCATCATTGAGAGCTGGGACTACATGGAACATGAGAGAAGCAAGCAATAGCGCCATAGCTTGCGAGGAGTGCTAGTCAATGCATTCGGCATCATATTTGAATCAAAGATAATAATATATGATGATAATAGTCACTAGATTTATTTCCGCGGACACTACAGTTTCCAGAAATTGAGGAGAACAAAACACAAAAAGCAACCAAAGGACAGATTTGCGAACCATAAATGACGCGAAAGAAAAACTGACTCAGAAATCTCGCAACACAACGGACCACGCAGAAGACAATGACCACGTCTTATGACTCCATTACGCTTCTCCTACAGTTTCCTGATACACCCATAATGAAAAATTATCAGTAACAAGTGATAAAAATAAAAAGACAAGGTAAGGGGAGTTCAGTAAGATTTTACCTTGAAATTTAGCAAAGCAAGGTCAACATTCTCCAATCCAAGGAAGATAGAGCCAGGCCAAGACAGAGAACAGATGCGTTACCCTAGGGCAACCATGGGACAGACAGCAGTTCGTTTGAAACTTACTACGAAGTAGTGTGACATGGTTTAACCTTAAATTGAAGCAAACGCTTACAAAGGACTGTAACTAAACCCTTCCAACTTTTCCTTGTAAAAAAGGCAGAAAAGATACAGAAGGGACAAACGTTCAGAGGGCTGCTAAGAAGTGAGGCCTCAACAGGCGAGGAGATAGTTCAGTGAGGTAGTAATTAGCATGCAAGGAATCATGAAGGAAAGTAGGGCAACTTTCACTGTTAATTGTTGAAGAGAGAATTTGACCGATACATGAATCAGACCATGAAAGGAGGAAAGAAAAAGCAAATAAATGAGCTCTAAAGGGTTAAAGAGTGGGTTGGGTTTCTATAAGTTTAAGATTCTACAGTATGTACAAAGCACCTGGAGCAAGAGGCCTAAAATTAAGATTAAAAGAAATCAACCATTCTATGTGGAGAAAACGCTAAAAACTACATAACTTGAAGATTCAACTTTAATGCAGCTTCCTTCAGGCCCAATGGATTAAATAATAGTCAACCAAGACTACACTGTACCACTCCTACGATTACTCTTCTCTGCCTCCCGATCATTTCTTGGCACCTTCCGTCCATCCCACATCACCAGCAGCAAGCCCTGCTCTATCTCAGGTTTACACATCATTACCCTCTCCACGCCAAAGCTCGATCCAAATTCCTCTGGAGATTGTTGACCAACCCCAACCCTAAATATCAAAGGCACCACCACCACCACCACTGAAGGCTAAACAAATGAACTCAAACTGACTCAGGCTACAAATTTTATTCGATTTCTATATACATCTATCTAACATCAACAGAGTTGCACAGTAGACTTTATTTACAGGAGCCCGACGCTCTACTTGCCTCAATCATCATTTATGTTAAGGTTGAGAATGCGACATAGAGTCTTAGTTGCAGAATCAGTACTACAAAACAGGTCTCTTTTAGAAGGGGAATGCTCCCTGGCAGGGGATGCAGGCGCAGACTTAGCAAGTGGGTGCATTGTGATCTCAGGGGAGGAACTAGGCAGATCAAGAGACACGGTCCTCTTTGGTCGCACAGAAAATTTGGGGATTGGCAAAGAACTCGGTGGAGGCGAATTTGAGTAGGTGGGACCAGCCCAAAGTTCTGAGAACAACAGATTTCCATCAGGGACTTCATCACTGAAGGGTCTCATTTTGTCACGAGCACCCACATTAATTGGAATTGGTGCGCTTTTGGGAGTAATTTTACTGAGGGTTTTCCTATCGGAGTTTGAATTGACTGGCGGTGATGGTGTTTTTGGGGAAGATGGGTGGGGCGGTTCAGTTAAAGGTGAACTGTAAGATCTGAATGGGGTTGGGAGGATACCTGTTCCCGAATGAAAAGTCCTACAATCGATCCCCCTAAAGTCCCTGGAAGACGATGACCCAAATCGAGCGGGACTGTGAGCCTTGGGTTTGCCGCAGTATTGGTTCCTGTGCTGCACCACAACAAGGGTTTCCATGGCAATAACAAGTGATTCAACAGTACCTTAGTGGCCGATTAAGTCTGATTCAAGGAGTATTCTACTTGATTCAACACTACAACTCAGTCCAACTTATCAGAAACAAGCTAGAAAACCAAAATTTTATCGATTCGATTTGCAAATTAAGCAGCTAGAATTCCTCCTCAGCAGATCTAAACTGACTATCTAACTGGACAATCCAACAAGTACAAGGTCCTCCATCATTAATTGAATCACCGAGAGCATCGATCTCCCCGATTCAGATCAACTAAATCTGCCCCGTTCCGAGTAATAAATAGAAATCAACCGCCAAATAAACTCCCTCTCGTGCTGGGGAAAAGAAAATGCATACATTAAGACAGGGAGGGGAAAAAAACAGAAATAGGGTTTCAAAATTAACGCAAACGAACAAGTGAAAATAGTATATGTTCAAATGAAAAAGAGAAACTTGCACTGTTGGTGCCCTTAAGATTTTTTGAAGGGGAAAAGAGTGAGAGTGGAAAAATTACCGGACAACGCCAGAGAAACTTTCAAAATGGAGCACCAGATGTAGATCTGAAGCAGAACAGAACGAAGAAAGGATCCAACAACAGTGCTGCCGCTTCTTCAAGCTGTGTACGTTTTTTTTTCAAAAATAAATATTATTTTTTTCCCAACAAACTGCTATGGAGAGGAAAAGAAAATGCATCCCAGGGAGGGTTTGACGAATCGGAAGGTACTATCACAGTAGCATTATATTGCCCAGCAACTCCGTGCTCCTCCATGGTTTAGGGAACTGGGCCTCCTTTTCACTCTATTTACAAAAATGGCACTTCCCTTCCTCCCTGACCTGACCTACTTAGGGACGCGTGGGTCGATAATTTAATAATTAAATCGCTCTTGAATTAAATATGAAGTTTTAGCTGTTTTAAAAATTAATTGAAATAAAGTGACAAATTTTGGAATTTATTTTTGCAAAAAACTGAATAAAATTTTTTTAAAAAAAAGAGTTGCCTTTTGGGGAGAGTTATGAGTTGAGAAATCATCTTTTCAGGATATCGGTAGCGTGTATCCATAATTTATAAGTTACGAGCCTGATGTAATAAAAAATCAGAGGCGTTTATCAGTGAATTGTGTGAAATATAAAGAATAAGCCACAATATTTTAACTCGCAAATTACATGCCTTTCATAAATTATCCAAACATCTAAAATTGAAATCAATAATATTCTGATTTTTTAAATAGCAATCTTTATCTCTTAATATGTGTTGATAATTTATCTTAGGTCCCATTTACTACCTATTTTCTATAGAAATAAATTAGAACGAACTATTTCTCTCCTCTGTCATGAAAGACGTATTTAGACTTAGATATAATCTAAATTTAATAAATAAAAAAATTGAACTAGGTGTAATTTATAATCGTCAATAAAGCACTATTGCTAGAGCAAATAAGCTTGATTGTTTATTATTAATTGGGGGCTCCTGAGGAAGGGGGATGATCTGCACAGAAGATATTATGATTGGCAGTGATGAGTGGGAGGATGGGCTGGCTGGGTCGTAACCTTATCATGGCCTTCGAAATCAAGTATCCAAATCATAATCATTCCCTAACACAAACTGTATTACACAAGTGGAGTACGGGTTGGGGCTGGGACCATCATAATGATGACATGTGTGTATGAGCTTTAAATTTGACTCTGCCTCCCCCAAAGTGCGTTTTTCTTCTCTGTGACAATGCTTCAAAATGTTTAATTACATTATTCCTTTTTTTTTAAAAGGAAAAAAAAAAAATCTGTGAACCCGATGCCTTACTTGGAATCAGCGACACAGAAAAGTGAAAAGGGCTTTACGCCGAAAGGTATCAAACCCCTTTACTTCTGTTTCCGCCACGAAAAACCTTTACTTTGCCAATGCCCTCACTCCTCATCATCACTGGCCCATAAACGTCTATAGGATCAACAATATATTTTTGGGCCTTATGAGCCCACAACATCAAGCTTCTGATCTGATCATACCGAGGCTCCCCTCACGTTTCTGAGTTCTCTCTCTCGGCCTTTTTGCACAGGAGCTTACAACTTTGGTTAATTTAATATATGCACTTCTAAGTGTATCGCTCTGTTATGCAGCCAAAGTCTCTCTCTCTCTCTCTCTCTCTCTCTATACACGTGTGTACATATAGTATTTGAAAATGCTGGCGATCATGATTGCAATCTGGTGTAAACACACGCAACCTGGGCACGAAAATATTTGGAGAGAAGTAGCAGTGATTTGTATTGAGATAAGGGGTCACTTTTCCGCAAAACGAGGTAACCTCCTCTACATATTTATTTCATAATCCGTAAAAGCACTTCTGAAACCATGTTTTGATTTCTATCCAAACACCTCCTAAACAGGAATAGCCGAAGCATGGAAGCATATAATTGCAGATTGACAGATGGATATGTGCAGAAAACTTGAATTCAAAGATATGCGGTGGCTCAGCAGATGTTGATCTCTCTCACAGTCCCGGTTCTCTCGAACTGTCAAATACACACAGTAACACTACACAACTGTCTCAGCTCTTGAAAACACTATCCCACCAACTCCCCCACACACAACAGACCGGCAGTGTGTGTGTGTGTAGCAAAATGAATATGTTTGATGATTCCCTGCACGAAATTATATGGCAGATACCAAGACTGGGAAACTTGGAACCACTCACATACTTTAATCGCTGCTTGGCTTCAACTAAATGGTCGATGGTTTATAATTACCAGATCAAGAGGTTTTGGAAGCAAGGAGGTGCGAAACACAGCTCGTCCACTACATCGGCCATAATGGACCAAAACACATAACCCCCAAACCACGTGACTGCTGCCTGAGATGGTTGCAAGGTTTGTTGAACCATCCTTATACCTCTTAACCGCATCTCATTGTCCTCTTTTTGTTTATTTATTTATTTTCCCCACGTACTTCTCTCTCTTCTGTGCTTGAAATCCTTTTGTTTACACGTCAAGTCGTTTTTTTGGGTATGTCAAGCAAGAAGGCCCCTCCATTTGATCCAGAGAGTAAAAATCTCAGTTGGTGACTGGACCAAATATTCGCCAAATCAAAACCAACAAGAATAATTGGTGTTTTGTTGGACCCTAATTTCATTTAATTTCCTCTGTCAACAAGCAGCTGTAATTTTTTTTGTTTTTTGGCTTCAGCTTTCGAGTCCGGCGGTGCATACAGAGTGCGTGGTACATTGGTGATATATATATATAGAAAATAGGGGAGGCGGTCAATATCTTGTGCACTGAGGAAATTGCAGGGAAGTATAGAGCTAGCTCAGCCAATAATAATAGCATGAACATGAACAGGCTAACAATGATTTAAAAAACGGATAAAAGATAGCGTTGTGATTGATGCTGATATGTATATAAAACCACCTGCTTGAACTTATAATATATATATATATGTATAAATGCATGAATTTAAAATTAGGGAAATGGAACTCGATGGGGACCCAACAATATAGGACAGGTCCTCACAGCCATATTATGTATCATGAATGATATGAAACCACAACCGTATGATGAATCACTTCAATTTCTTGTGTGGGGCGTGAATGCATGGAGTGGACCATGACGAACTATGCCACTCCATCATAAAATTGTCTCCTAGTACTTTGGAATCGTTTTTTTTCATAATTCTTTTCACTGGTGATTTAATACTGGTGCGTGTGTATAGCTAGCGATGTTGATTCAGATTCACAGTGACGGTTTGCAGTTGAAGGGGCTTGTGCTTTGCTTCTTGTCTGGTTCCCTTCCACTGTTGCCATGTGCGACTTGCTTCCACCTCAAACCAACCACTATTTGGTGGGTTTCCCTCTTTTTACGCGCTTCTCCTACCTTACCTATGCGTGTTTCTAATCTCAAATCCACATATACTTACGTACCCTGCCATTTTCTAGACACATCAGTTCCTTGGGGTTTACTGTTTCGAATTATCGAGACAATGCAATGCTAAAGAAGTAAAGATCATGGGGCGCCAGGGCACATGCCTAAAGACGAGAATGAGAGTTCGTAAAGACCATGGGCCCACGTACGAGACTGTTTTCGTTGAGTATTTAATTTACAGCAGTCAAAGTCGCCAGTCAGTCAACGTTACAAAAATCACGACCAGCAGATTTTTCTCGATCGACACATCTCGTTCGTTGTACACCATGAGTTTGATTAAAAACCCGGTTATTATTTCGACATCGCAGGTACATATGGAGGGACAGCCTCATTATTGTGGTGTTGTATCAAGAAAGAAGAGTGATAATAAGATGCGAGACATAGTTGGAAGAAAGCTCAACTTGTGCTTCTCAAAGATGATGCGCCCATTTTCACCAGAATCTCCTCCGAATCCTACGAGCCTTAACTCTGAGTCATCCCCAGATGATCATCCCTCTTCATCGTCTCCATCCTCCTCGTCAGTTTTGATAAAGAACTTCAACACGCTCTATGATCACACCTTTGATTCCTACGAGCCCGAAGCAGAACCGGCCGACTTGGCCATCGCCTTCGCCTCCGAACGCTTCTTCTTCTCGTCTCCTGGTCGCTCCAACTCAATCATCCAATCACCGTCGTCCCTGAGCACCCTCTTACCTACAAGCTCTTCACAAACAGCGTGGCCGTGCCGACGTACTCGCCGGACCCTTATATGGACTTCCGAAGATCTATGCGGGAGATGGTGGAGGCGCGTCCCGAGCTGATGGATGTCGAATCCAACTGGGACATGTTGCAGGAGCTTCTCCTATGCTATCTTGCTCTTAATCCGAGGTCCACCCACAAGTTCATTGTGGGTGCTTTCGCAGATCTTCTCGTGACCCTCACGCTGCCATCGCAGGAGGAGGCCGCCGGCGGTGAAGGATGTTAGATTAGGTTGTTGTTCATACATGTCTATTGATATTAATGAAAATGGAACGTGGGTGCCAGATAATGATTGTCCAATCTGCTTCCCACTGGTTTTCATGTGGGGAACCTCAAACTTGGTCCCCTCACCCCCATCCATCCATTGTCGTCTTCTCAATCTCAAACTCTTGTCCTCCATCACTTCCATTTTCCTTTTCTTAAACTTCTACTGTTTTGGTCTGGCTTTCAATTTGAGGCTGGGTTGCTCCTATATATTAGTTCATCGCTTGTGATGATTCTATCGCCTTTTCTTAGCTAAAGAAAGCAGTGACTGACTTGGATTCTTTCATAAAATTATTTAATTCTGAACTAATTAAAATGACCGAATCAAAACTTTTATCGGTGTTGCTATCATCTACATGGTTCCAGATAACAAATTCTGGGTGTGACTCTGGTTTCTTCTTAGATCTTGACTCGTGATTATTAAAACCCTCGGAGTCTTCATTAAAAATGTAAAGCTTTCAGAATAAGCAGCTATTAATTGGTCGGATTTATTTATTTGGTTGTGGGCGGTAGTGAAATTATGAACGGGCAAGAACAAGCCTATCGCTTACTCTGCTTTTGAATGCTCAGAATCGCTGCATCGAGACAACGGATAGCCAGCAAAAAGCCAGATACAAAACAATAATATAATCACTGGCAGACGCAGAAAGAATCGGGGAATCTCAATTTTGTCTCCTCTTTATTCTTTTTAATTCAATCGGATGAGTGGGCATGAGCCAAGCAGAGGATTCACTCAAGTGTGTCCTTTTTTTAATCTTCCTTCCAAGAAGATTCAGTCACACTGAAAATAGCTATTGTTGCCTGAATTTCCTGTGAAAACAGAGGCAGCATGTGGAAGGAGTTAAAGCCTAAAGCATTGTGTGTGATCTGCAGTTGTGTTTTTCGTGTTTCATAATGTGTTTTCTATAGAGTACATTGTCGCATATGCGTGAAGTAGAGTTCACGAACGTCGATTTATGCGACAAAATTTGTCAGATTTATTTTTTTAAGAAACTTTTAACCGAAAGTCTGAAGTGGAGTTCTATTGGATAACAAGAAATGGATCTAGCAATCATATGGCCCCAGGTCCTCATATAGCCTACTACAAGTTTCAGCCCAATAACCATTCGGCACAGTATAGTAACATTATCTGCAGTTACTCCTTTTTTTTTTTTTTTGTGAATAGAATTCATCGAAGGAATTTGGTCATTGGGTGATGAAGCAGAGGTAATTATAGCTGGATTATCAAGATTAAGTTTAAGTGGAAATTCAAGATGCACTAATCGACTTGGAAGGCATGGACCGTCAGATTGATCAACGGTTATTATGGAGAAACGAGTAAGCTACTCATCCCGAAAGATGGGCAGAAAAGATGTTTATCTCTGGTCAGATTTCTGACCAAAACTGTTATTGATTCATTTATATTGAGAATTCTTGTACAGAAAAAACAAGAGGTTGAGCAGTTAAAAGAATATCAGCTGGATTCACAACAGAAGCATCGCTACGCTTTTATTCAATTTAAAATACAATAACCATGGGGAACTATAAAATACCCAATCCTCCTGACCTTCTAATTCTAATCCCACCCTCGCAAGAAATAATAAAGTATGGAAGTAGAAGAATGCATATCCTATCGAGACATCTTCATCCAAGGTAAGATCGCTGGGCTTCTCAAGCAACAATCTCCACACCATTAGAATTAGGAGCATGCTAATTTTTTATGTGTCCTTTCTTTTGAGATACTCTTCTTCCAGAAATGTTGTTTCTCTCCGGTTCTCTAATCGCTTCTAAGATCTAAGCCCCTCCCCCATTTTTCATAGAACCTATTTCTACAACAATGTTTTGGCTCTGCCAAAAGTGAAACTAAAAACCACAAGCGCAAAATTCCCATTTATTAATAACCCAAACCTTCGGGTCTAGCGTAGAGCAACTCATCTAACAAGCCCAAATGTATTTTTTAGGAGAACTACATCAAATTCGGGCAGTGAACGATATTGTTTGGAGAGGGAAACAAAAAAGGAAAATGGAGGAAAGCAAATGAATATTGAAGAGAACGATCAAAGCAATATCAAGATCATAGCTTACCAATGCACCAATTGCAAGAAACTCTATAAACAATAAACCCTGGGAAGTTAGGCAAAGAATTAGATGCGTCCGTTGATGAGAAGAGACCTGTCATTGAGGATTTGTGTTGGAATTTGGAAATTGGGGTTTTGAAGGATAGAGAAAGGGATTAGTAAAAAACACAGACATGCCAGATCCGAATGCCAACGAACATGATTAAAGTTGCGTTTTGTAGAGGAAAAATTAGTGAATTACCCACCCAATCTTTGAGTCTGAGTAGACTCCTATCTTCTAGTTAAGAAGAGAGAAGAGAGAGGAGTAAACTCCTATCACGAAATTTTATATTTTTTTAAAAAGATTACTTGAACACCTTGAATAAAAAATAAATTAAAAAATTTACTTTTGTTTTAATTTGACTTATAAATTATAAATTATACCACTCAAATTATAAACATTAAAGTTTGACTTATAAACATGAATTATTAAATTAAAATTAAAAATATATAAATTTAATTTAAAAATTCGAATTTTTTAGATCTTACTATATTTATTTTTCATTTGAAATTCATGATAATTAATTGTTTCTATTTTTGTACAACATTTATAGATTGAAAAAAATATACCAACCTGATTGCATGAGGTTGTTAGAGTGGAGAAGGCGGATTTTAAGGTTTAAACTTGTATATCTTATAAAAGTACTGAATAAAGTAACACGTTAAACATGAATATTGTATGGTTTTCCTTAAAATTCTGATAACGAGGCTACTTACAACTCATGGATAAGATGACCTTTTCATGTAATGTAACAGGAAATAAACCATACATATCACAGTGGCGTGAATGGTATCTGGCGGTAAAAATGATAGTTTAAAGATATTTCTTTTTTCTTTTTTTTTGGGTGACAAGTTTAAAAATATTTCATTCTTCAGCGCGCCGTTTTTTAAGCATTCATTTGTAATTTATGATTATAATTTTAAGTTAATATTAGTATGATTGCTTTCACGCCAAGCAAAGGATGCCGGGGTACCATACTGCCCTTTCCACTCACAAGGGTGAAAAATCCTTCGATAAAAAGGAAAAAATAAATCCTTCCACTTGCTTATTCTGCTCAACAGGAAAACCAGCACGATGAAGGCAAACCCGAACCCGCCAGCGCGACAACCTTTGGATTTGATCCATAACTCACCCCGAACCGGAACCCCATGGTTCGTGAAAAGTGCCCTAGCTGTTGGACCACTGTTTGCTGATCTGCTTAAGCCGGCCGTCACCGTAGGAAATCGCGAAGGAAGCCAAGAATAGATCTGCGATCGCAAAGAGGGGAGAGGGTGTCACCCTCGACAATGGAGGTGCTGACGACAGAAGAGATCGGCGGCGTCGGTTGAGAGACGAGCACGTTAAAGAAAAAGAGCAGTCAAACAGCAAGGGTCGGCGACAGAGAGAAAGGGTGATGGAGAAAAGTATGGTAGTGCTGTAAATAGAAAATGCATCCCCAGGAATAACCAACCACTGCTACGGTTCATGACTCATGAGAGCGATGCTCATTGTAGGCATGGGAATGCTCTGTTCCCACTAACGAAAACTACCGTAAACCAAACAAACAGGGCCTTAGAGCATCTTGCTTAGCAATTAAATATTATCCCAGCAATTTTTTTTTCTTTTAATTATTGTATATACTTGCGTGTTGATTTTGAGGTAAGAATATGATGATGATGGACCGACTGTGGAAAAAGGTTAGTAGGTGCAAGGGGAATACATAAAAACTAAAAGAAAAGAAATCAAGGAGATGGGTAAATAGAGAATATCCTTTTATTTTAGGGTCTTGCTTCACTATTGCTTTCCATCTTTACAGACGATTTCAATTTTGTATGATTTTGAAAATCTTTACACTGAAAAATCCTTTGCGATTCAGAGGACATGTTCAAGCCCAAAAATCTTCTCCTTCACCACTTCCAGCGAAACACATTAACAGCAGACATGACCTATTTGACTACTGAAAATGGAAGAAGGCAGAGCTCGTCTAGAAAGCCGATGAAACCATTTCCACGGGTGCTCTCTTGTACTGAAAAAATCCAATCACCGAACACAAAAAGAAAAGGCCTAGAGCACGCAAAGTGAAAATGCAGTGTTATTGTATGTACAAGAAGGATAAGCCGCCCAGACACGTGCTTCCTCTTATGATTAATGCCCGGAGAAATCACTTGGGCTGCGAAGAAGCAGAAACAGAGCCAGACTCCACTAGGATGGACCAAAGAACATGAACATCTTCGCAGGGCAGGACTTGACATCCTTGTATAAGATGTATATCCCTGTACCTGTCGCACAATGAAAACCCAGATCTTAACATAACGGTACGAAAAACTAAAAGATGTTCTAAAGAAAGATGAGAGTGACGTACCTTTTCTGCGGGTTGAATGGAGACGATCCCAGAGCCTCTTCAAAGGGGTGAGGAGGGACTGGAACCATGCCATGTCAGGCGAGGGTTGGGTGGATGGTGAGAACAAAATGGTGAGCAGTTTAAAATTGGGAGGGTGGGTTTGCTTAGAGAGGAGTAACTTGAATACTACTGTTTCCCACGACTCATTTTCAGTGTGTTCATGCAAGAAAAACCTGCCCACTTGGTGCTCTGTCTCTGTCGCACATTTTCTCCCTCGCTTGCACGAGCCAACCCCCATTAGTATAAAAATCAAACCCTCTCTCACAGCCTTCACGCTTCCTCATTAATTCTCCTAATTTCTGCGAATCGTGTCTCTCAAGCCAAACTGTCTCTGCTTTTCTACGTCCGCTTCATGCGCTTTCTTATTATGTGCGGCTTGTACAAGAGACGTTGTTTACAGGGAAGATTGCAGCTTTAGTCCAATCTAGACATTTTTTGGTGAAAACACAGTTTATTCCATATTATCGTGATAACACAAAACAGAAGAATGTAAGCTATCTTTGATTTTTTGGGGGGAGAAAACAATAATCAAACAGAAGCATGTGGTCATTATTAAAGAGGAAACACATGAAGAGGGTAAACCAGAAAACTGGTAAAGGCGTATGACTTATTCCGGGTCGAGATTGAAAGTTTGGGACATCTCAAGGAAAAAAAAAAGTTTGATTTGGTCAGGTGCCATTTGCGCTGATTAGATTTGGGCAAGATAGGTCATTGGTGATGGTTAAATCTAGCTAGCCCTCCTGGTCTCTAATCTATTTGCATCATGGTTTGTTCTGAATCTATAACCGACCATAATATTTACTAATTGTTTACAGATTTCTAGATGAAAACGTGTTGGTCGAAGTTAAATCTCGTGTCATGGGTTGCCAGCTTTCGGTCAATACCAACTCTTGAAGCCGGAGAGAGTGAAAAACCGCAAAAACTAGACTCTTTCAAGTTTTGAGATACGGAGGAGTCTGGCAAGGCAACCCTTAATATGCTTTATGTCCGAATTTGTAAAATTGTTTTAAAAAACTAATCTAAACACTCTTTAGAATGAGGAAAAAACGATTTTGCAGATGAGAACCGTCATTTTGTGCCTGTGAATAAAAGACAATACAACTAATATCAATCAACTAATCATATTAAAGACAATACTTTAATTTTACGTGGAATTTTTATTTGATCTCTTAACTTTAAAAAATAATTTTTAATCATTTAATCTTAAAATTGTTATAAAAAATGATAATATTGAGATATTGAATGTTGATAAAATATTTTCAACTACTACATATTGAATTTAATTTTCAAAACAGGTGTGATTGTTCAAAAAAAAACTTCATTTAAGACTAATATTTTAAGATTAGGTGATTAAAAAATATTTTTTAAAATTAATAGACCAAACTGAAATGATTAAACTTTAACCATATAATAAATATTAGATTTCTCGATTTTAGTGGCGTGAAAAAATACTGCATAGAGCGTGTATTTAAAAAGATGAGGAAACTTAGAGCAGAACCATTCATATGACTCAACTCATATACTCTTTCCGGTCCTTAATATAAGACCCACTTATTGATTTGGTTTTGGTCCTAAATATAAGACCCATTCTCATATTTTCAATTTTCTCTAAATTACCCCTATAGATATTCCCTCAACATAATCAAGTAGAAGAGGGGATGTGGTATTAAGAAATATTATTATGGTGTTTTAGGAAAATGTCACTTTTTTATAATTAACTAACTTACCTAACTTCTTTAATCTAATCAAATTAGTTAATGGGTCTTATATTAAGAATCAGATGAGTATTATATATTGTACGAAATTATATACTCCTCCGGTCCTAAATGTAAGATCCTTATACACACTAGTATAAAGGTATTACATTTAGAAGCGGAGGAGTAATTCTTTTTTGTTGCTTTGAACCTTAAGAAATCGCATCATTCGTTAATTGTGGATAGTATGGTGAAATGAAACATCCTTTAAATTACGCGGGTGCTGATGATGATATCATATTATCATAAGTTAGCGGTGCTAGGTGCATGGCTGGGCCTGAATGGAAACTACCCTACCAGGCCGAAGGAAAGCGCCATCTGATCAAATCAGCAGTCCATGTAATTCCCTATTGCCCTTGGCCTTGTACCTTTTAGCTCCGCTATTTCAATTTATTTTCACACCGTTGCATTTTTTTTTAAACTATAAGACAATTTTCACCGTTGCTCGTTTGGGAATTATGGTCCCTTTGAATTGACAGAAAAAAAAATTATTTTTATAAAAAATTTAAATTAGATAAAAAGTAAATTGGGTAATGTAATTTATATTTGAATTGACTTTTATCAAATTAATTCGTAAAAATAAAATTTTTTGGATTATAACTGAATAAGTAAATTTATTAAATAATAAAAAATATAAATTAACACAATACAATAATTTTAAATTGTTATAATAGGAAGAATTTATATTTAATAAATAAAATATTTAAATTAGAAATCATAGTAATGTGAAAAAATTTTAACCAAATAATATTACACACTATTAGACATACTTTGCCCAATTTATGTAAATATAAAATAAAAATAATATTAAAAATTAAAAAATATTTTAAATAAATTGTGTTAAAAATTATTTTCATTTAAGATGGCATCAAACATAAATAAGATAAAATTGGTTGGGAAACACAAGTAATATGCAAAGAAGCATTGACTTTAAAAAGCTACTGTTATATAAGTTATAAGTAAGTTTTATGTGCTTTTATAAACGTACTTGAAAAAAATAACTTTTGACCCAGAAACAACATCGGTCAAAAGCTTATTGAACATATGAAAAATTGACAATCGTATGGGTTCAAAAATAGCTTATAAGCACTTCAATCCTGATGCCAAAAACATAGGGCCACTATTCCCGTCTGAAATTAATACAAGAATCACATGAATCTCAGGAAAGTGCTCCTCAAATTTCATCACAGAACACACGACGCAACCATCAATCTGCAAAAAAAAAAAAGTATTAGTTTCCTTTGAAAATCCCACATATGTTCAACTTAAAAAAAAAAGAAGAAGAAAATCCCACATTCGAAATGCTCTGGTTTTCAAAGGAATTTTCCCCTTAAAAGATGTTTAGACCAAATCATTTTCCCTTTATTAGAAATTACTTTTCCTGAAATAAGTAGCACTCCATGCGCATTCCCTGCTATAAATAATACGTTACATTTGCATCTATTTTAACTAAAATGATAATTTTGACATATACTTAAACAGTGGGAAATAATAATTTATTATGCTATAAATAAATTAATTCTATTCATGCAAATAAAAAAAATCAAAATGAGAATAACATGGAAAATAAATTTTTAACTAACATAAAGAATCATACAGTGGCTCGGCCAAACAGTAGTAAATGATGCAGGCCTTTCGGCAAAAAGCAAAGAAAGAAAACGTACGCCTTTATTTAATGGGTGAGGGTGACCCGTTCTGCCGAGAAGGACCCGGTAGTCCAAGTTTTGGATGGGACATTGAGGGGAAGAACAAAAGATCACATGGCAATTCGATTTAGGGGCCGAATCCCACAACCTCACAAATAACTATTTAACTCGAGAGCGTTTTGGGCCTGATTTCTGCGCATGCTCACAGAATCCATGGGCACCTAGTGATCAGCAACCAAACGATGTCGTTTCTTAAATGTAGAGGGATGTGAGCAGTTGAATGCAAAATATCCTGTTCGTTGACTAAATTAGGGGGTTTAGGTTTTTCTTTTTAGGTACAACTAGAAAGCTCACCAAAACCAATACACATATTCACACTCAGAAAACGCTTATAAAATTACTTATAGATTGCCTATTAATAAGGTCTTTATATTAGAAATGGGATTTAAACTTAGTGAATAAATTATTACTGTCGGTTAGTCTAATTACGTTAAGAGAATTCTACAAGCGGGACAAGGAAGGGAAGGGAAGTGGAAGGTATGAGATTGGCATCCTGCGGCGTCCGTAACAAAATGAGAATGTCAGAGACAAGTTTGACCGGCCATGCACCCTCACTGCTACTCGCATTTCATAAGAATTAACGCCTCACAGGTTCAAACTTGAAAGACAAGTCATCGACACCAGCAACCCATTTGGAAGATTTGACTTTGATATAAAATTTTATACCATCATTATTTTTCATAAAAATCTAAACTCTTAAAATTTTAAATTATGGGCATAAATTTTTTTTTTTTACCAGGGGCCTAAAATTTTCTTGAAGTTCATGTTCAGATAAATCATATCATATTACGTTATTTTATTAAAATACCAAGCAAATTAACAATGGGGTAGTTATTTATAGTAAAATAAAGGGAAAATTGCAAACACAAACCCCTAATATGTAAAATTATGATATGTGATCCTTAATTTGAAAAATAGCAAATAAAGACCTTAGTCTCGCTTTTACAAATATGAAATTGTGATAAAATGTCTGAAATACCCCTTAACCAAATGACAAGTTGACTATGAGAAATGATAAGTTCATTTTAACGAATGACTACTTTAGTAGACCAAATCACAAGTTGGCTTAGGGGCATTTCAGACATTTCACCCACATTTCATATTTGCAAATGTGGGGTCTGGTTCTTATTTGTTATTTTTCAAATTGAGAGTCCTAAATCGCAATTTTATATATTGAGAGGTATTTATTTGTAATTTTCCCTAATAAAAGTTTCATGAATTTATTGTAAAATTTCAAAAGTTAAATAAAATGTACGTATACAGCCCAAACTCAAGAGTTCATGTATAATTCAGTACTGAAAAAAAAAAGAATTATCCGCTTATTGTACTTAAATTAGAAAAAAATATAAGATTAAAAGGTATTTGGGTGAAAATTAAATTATAATTTTAAAAATAATATTACGGTATATAAAGTAAACGTATGAGAGAAATTTCATCTACATGAAAGTGCTTTTGAGGGAAATTAAACACCCACTAAATAAGCAGTATCTTTTTACCGTTCTCTCCTGGTCAAACGGTGTCTGTTCAGAGTAATCGAATATTGATTAGACGATGTGGCAAGTCCACCACATGTTCATGTCGCCGGACATGATTTTTTATGTAAATTTTTTCCATAACATTTTTAGTCTTTAAAAAATGATTAATTTCTCATCTTTTTAACAAACTTCGGGAATATTTCATATCCTGTTGAAGAGGCTTAATTAAGAAACTACATGCTCATCATTTGAATCGAAGAATGAAACGTTTTTAAAAAAATAACCGAATAACCAGATTGAAAAGTCACAGTTAAAACTTAAAACAACTAAAATGGGGGGAAAGAAAAAGTGAGCCCAGCAAAACTGATAATCTCCTCAATAGTTTCTCATAACGGGGGAAAGAAGATAACTAAAAAATAACAAAAACCAGACGATGCCGATGAAAACAGCGAAAGGTGACTAAAATTTACAGTGGATATGTTGGTAAGGGGAATAATAACCGAAATGTGCAGACAAGCGCAGGAGCAGCGGCACCTGAAATCTCGGAGACAGCATCAGTAAAAATGTGGAAATACCAACAAACCCGCTTAACTATATTTACTTTGGCTCCGCCTTTATGATTTTGACAGACACTGTTATTTTAACGAAGCAGTAAAAACAAACTGTAAGATCGAGGTTGTCTTCGCCCCGTGACTCTTCTCTCTCTTTCCATTACCTTTTAGCAACTTAAATATTCTCTCGGACCTCAACGATGTTCACTCGGGGCTGTCGCATGATTATATCTGGCCAGCTAGCTGCTTCCTAAATCCATGGGGAGGCCTCCTGTGAAGGCAATATGAGGAAGGCCTACTCTTTAATAATCAAATCAAATGCAGAGAAAAGAAGGGATATTGTATTTGATGCGACTGAGAATTAATGGCGAGGGACCACAGGGGCCTGAATGCAGTGTGTAGAAGCAGAACATATTTCTTGCAAGTTGGCTGCCTTAAAATGAATCCCCACATCACACGTTTCTGTGGATGCGGTGTTAATTGTGGACAGGTACCTTTGCATTACATGACTTGGGCTTTTCATCACATGGACGTGTGGAGGCATGGGCGAGTGATCCCAGATCTTGGTTTCCACTTTCGTCCAGTTAGGTCTCTGTTTGTGCTCCGCTTTTAACCCTTTCGTATTTATTCTTTTCCCCTCCACCTCGGAGGACAGTGACTACTGTTCCCCCCACTAACAAAGTTAACATTAACCTGCATTTTCAAGCAATGTTTTTTGTCTCTCACACTTTTCCTTTCCCTCTAATCATTCCATTCCTACCCATAAAATTCTTTCTATGTCGCGGCTACACTGAGAATATATTGTCTTTTCTTGGACGAGCTTTTTAAGATTCTCAGGCACTGCTAAGCGGTGGAGATGGCCACGTTCCTCGTCTTTGAATTAAAGTTAATGACTTTGTTTCCCAGTTAAAACTACGTATGGCAATTAATGGCTATGTTGAGATCGTTCATTCTTCTTCCAGATTCCGGGCTTATTTCTAATAACGGCTCCTCACCTTTCACTAAATTCTAGCAATAAAAGTTCTGATTCTGATGGGTCCTCACCTTTCATTGTTCTGATCAAAGTTCAATTTCTGATACAGTGTTCCTTTTCTGAGTAGTGCAAGTGATGAATGCTTTTATTTTTGTAAAGGGATTGCTCCTTTCTATTTTATATCCCTATGTTCAGGATTGTAGTAATAAAAAATGTGAAGCAAAAGTGATGGAGAAGTCAGTCGTGACTTGTGTTTCATAGCCCCTCGGGTAGCTTGTGTTTCACACTCCACTGTTTTGGGGTGCATATTCATTTTGCCCGTGATACACTCTTACATTATTAAACTTTGTTCCATCCAGAACGACCGCATGAATCATGATTACATTACACCTTTCCTTCCTCTATTGACTTCCCAACACAATCCAAAGTTATCCCACTTCAGCAGTCTCATTTTTCCTTTTCTAACGAATCCCAAATGTAGACTGCTCGAAAATTCGTAAAATAACATTTTGAATTTGAAATACCCAGGTACAAGAATTCAGTGGCTAATTCATAAAGCATGCTCATAATATTGGGATCACAAAGACGAGCACCTATCCCCACACTGCTTCCCTTGGGTCATAGGGCAGCCCCATAGTGAAGTACTTTGTGATACAGGAGTGTCAGAGAGAGTGCAAAATCACAAACGCCAGCGAAAGGTTTCTTCTCTTTATTCATACAGGTAAGGGAAAAAGATTAAACAGTCAAAGAATGGCATCAAGCAGTAGGGCCGTGCACAGTGTGATTGCCCCCAAGGTGGGGGTACCTAATCTTGGTTGGTTAAAGAAAGATGATCCATCGTGTCATGATTTTAATTATTGAACATGATGGTCAAACGGCCTGCCTTCTGCCACTGCAGCTCATGCGATCGACTCTTTCTGAACTTTGTTTTCAAAGCCAGACGGTTTAATACAACCCAGGATGGGCCCAGAAGCCAGTTGCAATGAATGGATCAACATGATAATTAATTAATGAGATGATTTATTCTTGAAGCAACCAAAGATTCTATAATTAAAAGTAATTCTCATTATTGATAGTTTACTTTAGTTTCTCGATTAGTAATACTGTTTTGATTAGTTGAAGAGTCGCTCGCTTGATCAAAGCCATTTTACTCGGTATTTACCAGCGTCTCACTCCGTAATCATTGATTCCGTTACTCATTTTTTTCCAGTAAATTAAAAAAGAAGTGCGTAAGAAAATTTCTGATACGGGTCCTGTTAGTTTTCAGTGACGTTAGTTCTCTATTTGCTGTGTGATTTGAACCAATTCGGATCCCGCGGAATGTGATATTTTTCAGTTAATCAATTTTACTCTTTGATGATATTCCCACGATTATTTAGAGCAGTGACAGAATTATCATTTTCTATTAAAAAAGTGGGCCTTTAATTATTCAAAGTAACAAAAAGACAGAAAGAAAAGAGTATAAGATAGTAGCCTTTCCAGCAAACACCCAGTTGTGAATTCGCTTCATGCATAGCCAATTCAAGGCTCCTCCTTAGTCTCAGCCCCCATGTGCTTAAAGTGGCCTTTCCTTCGCGTTCTTTTCACTGCCCACTACGTCGTATTCCTGCAATCTCTCTCTTCCCCCCCCCCCCCCCCTTTCGCTTTAGTTATTACCCGAGCTAGTCTTCCTACACAAACAGAATTGACAGGTAGAGCAAATCTACCTTTCGCCTTCTCTTTCTACTCTCTCTTTTGTATCCCACTCTGAAGATATAGATACCCAGCTAAAAAATGAAGATTTTAGGAGCTGATCTGGTCGCGTGAGTCCAACTCGAATCGCCAAAGGTTCTTTTTACATATTCTATTTAATCTCCATAGGCGGAAAAAGGATTATCAATTCAGAATCAGGTTGCTGCTCCCTGAAACCAGCGAGAGAAGTTAGATTAGAGGTCAGACACCAGTTTCCTGATCGTGTTACCATGAGGGAATTTCCTTCTTGCTTCGGTGAAAATGGTGTTCAGGTTGCTGATTCATCCTCATCAAGCACCGCCTCAAGAGCAGCTCAAAATGTGGTGACTTGTGTCTATCAGTGTAAATTTCGCGGCCGTTCTTGCTTAATCACAGTTTCATGGACAAAGAACCTGATGGGTCAAGGCTTGAGTGTTGGAATAGATGATTTACGCAACCAATGCCTGTGTAAGGTTGATATAAAGCCATGGTTGTTCTCTAAAAGAAAAGGGTCCAAGAATCTGGAGGTCGATTCCAGCAAAATCGACATATTTTGGGACCTAAGCTGCGCAAAATTCGGTTCAGGGCCAGAGCCTTTGGAGGGATTTTACCTGGCAGTTTTGTTCAATCACGAGACGGTATTACTGCTCGGGGATCTGAAGAAGGAAGCAAACCGGAAGATTGAGAGTGACTATGCTCGCTCCGATGCAGTTTTCATAGCAAAGAGAGAGCACATTTTTGGGAAGAAGTTTTACGGAGCAAAGGCTCAATTTTGTGACAAGGGGCAAGTGCACGACGTGACGATAGAGTGCGACACAGTGGGGCTTAAAGATCCTTGTTTGGTGATACGAATTGACAGTAAGATGGTGATGCAGGTGGAGAGACTGAAGTGGAAGTTCAGGGGCAACCATACCATATTGGTGGATGGTGTTCCAGTGGAAGTGTTTTGGGATGTACATAACTGGCTGTTTGGGAATGCCATGGGCAATGCAGTGTTTATGTTTCAGAGCTGCATTCCCACTGAGAAGCTATGGCCAGGCCACTCTGTTTCGGATCCTTCTGTCTTGAAATGGGCTTACTCTCAACATTTTAGAGATTCCCAGTTGCAAGGCCTTGGATTCTCTCTCATTTTGTATGCTTGGAAGAATGACTAGTCAATAAATACATATACAAAGGGAGAGTTGTTATATTCTCATTGTCAAGTCTCGAAACTGATTTTACCAGGCATAGATTTCAATTATGATGTGACCACATTACATGATGATACTGCTATAGTGTAGTCCTTCCTTTCTTCTTTCCTTTGTCTCTGCATGCCACTTTTCGATCACATCCATGCCTGTCCTGCCCTTCAATCCTAAGATAATTTAGCAATGTAGTATTTTTCATGTATGAATTCCATATTCTGCTTAAGCACGAGCTTTATACTGATGAATTCTCTTTTACATTTGTACATGGTGTTGGTGATGAACTCCCGCAAAAGAAGCCAACTCAAAAATTTTGTTTTCTCTTGGATCTGCTGCTGCTGTTAGCCCCTGCTTGCTGATTAGTCTATATTAAAGAGATCGAAATTTACATGCCTTGGTCCGCAATGCCCGGAAAATCGATTTCCTTTCATTCAAGTGAATACACAATCTTCTGCCTCTTTAAGGATTCGGATTTTCCTACATCATTGTAAAAGCTACTTAAAAGTCTGGTCTGATGTCGGATAAGGCCGATAAAGAGCAATTATAGCTCGAGAAGAAAAGCAAGATAATTCAAGATAAAGCTCCTGAGAAATAATACCAGCTTCCTTACAAAGGAAGGGATGGCTCTTCCATGACAACGAGACTAAAGCCCTTTGCCTCTAAAGTCAAGAACAAAAGTGATAGAAGCGATAACAGCTTAGTCGTCCACTATTGGTAGCGTGGGACTGAGCGTGTGTAGCCTAGACAAGAAGCAGTCATAAGCTTTTTAATCAATATTGTTGGAAGAGAGGCCCGTAATTTCCAGCGCCATTTATGTTAGGTGACTTTCTTTTTCACATAATTGCACAGGGTCTTGCTAGCTTAATCCTATCTTCAAAGGCCAACCCACATATAAATGCGCGCACAGAGAAGCTCATGAGTCAAGACTACTGGATTTTATATTTAATTTTGTTAAAGTTCGACGATATTCTTTATTATATAAAAATCCAAAACCTACACTTCCATTTGAAACATTGACTACACATCCCCAACTTCCTTCCCTCGGATCCAATTCTTAACACACAAATTCCAGAAAGAATTCTGAGTGGTGATTTAACTCAGCAAAGAGAGGAAGTAATTCTGAAGCTGTACACGTCCACCCAAAGCACGGTAAGACAAGGGAAAGCACCCAGGATAAGAGTTATTTGTAAAGATATGCCTCTTGATTTCTATGCCTGAAAACCTGTTATATTGTATTTGAATACGAGAATATCAGAATACACTCAATACAGGCAGAGGTAGTTACAGCAAGGAGAAAAATAAGCACAACAACGAATCATCCAAATCACTGCTTCTTCTTACGACCAAATGTGTCTTCTACACCACTTGTAACTCTGCCTCTCCGCTCAGCAATCATTTCTGAATATCCCTGACAAAGAATAAATATAGTTTCGTTAAGATAAACTCTTTAGCTTACTTTTCTCTTTCTGCTGCGTCTTATCTTTTAAATTGAATGAAAGTGTAGCAGAAGCTACTTCCAGATTCTAGATCACTGATCATGCGCAAATCAAGGGTGATCTCCGGTAATATCCTTGGTACTATTGTCCCTCATTTTGTGATTCGGAGAAACACAAGAAATGAATGATTGTACACTTATTGTAAGCTGCCTAGAATATTAGCAATGTTTCATTTGCAATAAGACATACAAATAAAATCAAGCACTTTGAATGTTGTCTTGTTACAGACATCTTGGACATGTCCATCAGCACGTCCATATCAACGTATTAGACTTCGGAAGTAATCGGGGAATATAAACCCAATCTCATCTCAGAAACCCATCGGATTAATGTAAATAAGCCACAGAAGGAAGGAGAGTCAGATACAGAACAAACTTTTAACATAAAATACTTATTTGCGTTCATGTCAAAGAATCTACATTTTGGAAGGGGAAAAATACGAAAAAGAAACAAATCCTTTTTTTAACGCAGGGCATGGAGCTTTAAATAATACGTTCGGACGATACCAGGTCCAGCTAAGCTCAGAAAGAGAGATAAAGGAAGCAACACAAATTGTGACTTAATACCTCACCTTTGGATAAGAATACAGAAAGATGTACCACCAAGCGCAAATTAGTAGCAAGATGACCGAAGTGACAGCCACAGAGCGCAAAATTAACCAGCTAGCGGCAATTATTAAGATCCCTAAGGGTTATTGTCCAGGGTTGACACCTGAAAAACCAAGGATGTTAGATCCAAGTCAAGAAGGCTGATTTAAACAACAGACCATGGCAATGGTGGCTAGGACAACAAAAATAAAATAGGAACACGACAGGAGGCTCACCATGACGGTTTAGTATCCCAGACAGAGTCGTACTCGAGGGAGAGTTGGTTGAGGTAGCCTTCCATATCCTCGACGGCGCTATTTTCGTCGAAGAAAGGAGACTCCTTGGGGTCATTGGAATTGAGACGGAACACTATAGTTTTGTTGGGGATTTTTAGGGAATTGCGTGTGGAAGGCGAATGGGGATAGAGAAAGGGATAGAAGACGTGATTTTGAGACGGGGGACGATGAGGGAAGCCCAGAAGAGGAGGCGGCAATGGGGCGAGTGTCCTCATTTTCCGTTAAATATTTCTCACTCCTCAATCCTCGCGGATTCCAAGTTTCTCGCCTTCATACACCTAGATATTAAGCTGTCCCGGGTCCGCCATGTGTGCATCTGATAAGCAACGGAGAATCCATTGTACAACTTCAAAACCTTTTTGCAGATTCCTCGTGCCAAGAATTTTCCCCCTTTTTTTAAAATAAAAACAATTTGAAGTGCTGGTGAGTTAAAATTGACAAATCAGGGATTTGATCATGCTAATTTGCCCGGATTGAGTGGACCATCGGTTACATAATTGGCAGAGGAGTCTGTGTTATAGCTGGCCCAATCTCTGAACTGAAATGTCTATAATGATACATAATTACTATAGTTTTCAGTAACGTCTACATATCTATATACATTTTTTCTCTCACCAGCGTACATATCTATATACTAAAAAATGCCTAGCTATACTTTTTTTTTTGACCAAGAATGCCCAGCTATACTGCAAAATGACTGGCGCTTGTATATATATTGATTTTAATTGCGGGTAAAAAATACATCGTTTTTTTTTTAAGTGAAAACTGAAGTTCATTACTAAACCAGACAGTAAATAAGCAACAAGAGCTATCCCTCATCAAAATATCCACCAATGAAAGTTGAAACTTTTAAACATAGTAATAAAATCAAATTAATTAATTAATTATAACAGATGTAGACATGATTTTTTCAAAATACCCTCATATATTATATATATCAGTTTATAAATTTAAGTAAATTAGTTTAAAAAAATAATAAATATTAAATTAGGCAGCATATCCTCATTATTCAATCCCGTCATTTTCTCAGTCCAAAAAAATCCCATCATTTTCTATTGGCACGGACATCTGTAGTTACGAATATATAACTTGATAATTCTTTCCACATATTCTGCCTGTGCACTTCCCAGTTCGATGAAAATACACAGCCATGCACATTGACGATCTTCATAATTATATATAAACTAATCCAGAGGAAAAATGATTTCATTATTTATTTTAGCAGCAGAGGAAGAGGATATTAGCCCCAAAAGTGCCAACATATTTGCAAATGCAAATATGAAAAAATAGAACAACTAAAAGGCCAAAAGCGGGTCTGATCGGAGCTCTGCGGATCCACGAAAAATAGGCCAACTACAAAAAGTAATCCAACCTCCAAGCTTCTAGCAGATTCAGAAGTCCACAGCTGCTAAGCTTCAATAAAGACGCTGCAGAACATGGAAGTTGAAGAAAAATCCACAGTCCACAGGTCAATGTCCTGGTCCTCCGCAGCTCACCTAGTTCTTAAAACAAAAGGCACAGGCATTTAGAATTGTAGTGAGGGGGGAAAAAAGCATATATAACCGATATTGAATGAGTTTTAAAGGAAACACAGACTGCAAGTAATACAACCGACTTTAAAGCATCGTGTTGTACCATTCATTCTCGATAATTGATATTGCAGGTGAAACCAAGTATTAGCACTAGTTTCCCTGGGAAAAGGGCTTCTGAACACCTTATTTATGGGGATAAGCATAGGAGATGCAAAGACTAGATGCAACTTGTCAGCCAAAGCATTCCAAAACATCTTATCTGTTCCCTGATAAGCCTTCCATACATGAGGCCCAAAGTCAACCTACGAAACAAAGCTAACCTATCCTTGTGAATGCTTTTGATAAACAGACAGGGGGGCCTTTGGCCCCCTTGAACTAGCAAATAGAAGGGGGGGAAAAAGATTGCAGAATTTGTTTTGCATAGAGATAGACAGATAGAGGGAGAGGGAGAGGAGAGTACCGAAATTACTAAATAGTTGCGTTGTGCGATAATTGCCATAGATTGAGCATCCCCTACAAAGTAAAATAATCTATCTCATCCGAACTTTCCCCATAAATCACATAGCTGGCATCTTGACCATCCTCGTTGCCACTACCTTGATCGCTATTGTAGCTGCTCTCAGATGTACTCATAAAATTCGACCCATCTGAAGTATGGCTACTCAATTGTGATGGTAGACTTATGTCACTATTTAATTCAACGTCAAACGGCTCAACATAACTGCAACACAATACAGAAATTCAAAAATTGGTGGCTATCATAAGGGAAAATAGAAAATACTTCCATTTCCACACTTGCACACAGGATGCTTGGTTGGCCAAAGACAAAATAATTAATATAACAACCAAACCTTCCTTCTGACGGAAATTCAGCAAGCAAACACATATTAGACCTTGTTTCCAAAACCTGCTTTATTGGCATGATGCTGCAGTGGCAGAATAGAGGCCAAAACATAAGCCATCCATAAGGTTAAAATATCGTGTCCACAAAGAAAATCATTACCTAGAGTTGTAGCACCTACGGTACCAGTCACCCTCAGATGCTAAGCCTTCCCTATTGGATATGTCCTGTATGAAGGCAATAGTACTGAGAACTAATAGCAAAACTATATACCCATTCATTCCCCCAAAAAAAGAAAAAAAACAAAACAAACAAAACTGACGCATAACATATATTTCTTATGTACCCACAAGATGTACAAGGGATTTAAAATCGCCAGCAAGAATTGCCATCAACAACCTAGCAACTTCCAGCTGCACAAGTCAATTGAGTTTCAGAATGAGTTGTATGGAAAAAATATAACAATTAAATACATGTCATTACAATCGTCACCTCTTTCAGATGCATGCAATCCCTTAAAATTAAGACTTCAAGCAAAGTCCCACTAGTACTGCTTCCAAGGTTTCTGGGGAAAATAAATGAATTCTGTATCAAGAGATGAGCTTAACATGCAAAAAGGATATCAAACTTTAAAATTCCTGTAAGGAATAAATGACCTCAAGAAGTTTCCAGTGATAAAATAGGAAGTTGAAAAATCAACATACTTCAGTTTCTGAAGTCCCTGCATAGACATACACAAATATTAACAAGATAAAGCCACGGCTATATGCCATTACAGACTTTTGTATGCAGACATAAAGATGCTATAGCGGGAAATACAAGGTTTCTATTTCATACTTTAGGATAAAGTGAAATAGAAGAATTCCATCTTGGCTAAAATTCACAGTCCAAAGCAAAAATGATGGTCTCAATTTTCAAACTGACACCATTGCCAACTTATTACCTAGTGAACGACATTTGCATGCCAGCTATCAAAAAGTGAAATGCAAGCAATAGTTTTAAACTATATTTTTGCATTATCTTAGAACTGGGGGATTAAAACAATCGACTAGTTGACGTCTTCAGAGCTTAGAAAGACGTAAGTATAGCACAGCTTGACTTGTAAGATTTTTCCATCCCCACTCTACCCCCTATTGACATGAAAGGTTTATAGACAAAATAACAATGAAAGATGAAGGAATTCAACTTTATATATAGTGAAACGAGGAAAGCATATATATCTAACAAATAAATTTAATAAAAAGAAAAATCACCCAAGATCAACTGGGGGCTGGCAAAAGTTAATCAAAATCTCCAACACATGCGCAGTACAAAAATTCTGGAAATTGAAGATGACAGTTTTCAGGCCAAAAAGAAAACAAAGATAGTTTCTGTGCTTATATTTACAGAAGCATTTAAGCATACCTTAACCAATATGCGAACTTTATAATCATGTAGCTTAAACCCTCTTAGTGACAAAGAAGCTAGACGAGGACACTTGCTTACAAGGTCCATGCAGGTTGGTGTTTTCAAACTGTCATCCCTACCTGCTAATTGAAAATAGATAAGTTGACACATAAATAACCTTTAAAGTCACAATACAGATGGAAACAAATCATACCTGTTTTTGAAGACTCAAAAAACAAACGCTCGATCAAGGGGCAATTCGCACTTATTGACGCTAATGTGTGCCTCAGTTCAACATGACTGACAGTTTAGAGAAAAAGCGTCAAAAAATGATATGAAAAAAAAAAAAATCTATGAGATTCCATGAATTAGGGGAATATATGTGAGGAAGACAAAGATGCTGATGCATATTAAACGCCAGAAAAGTTGAAAGAGTAACTGAAGACTAGACATTTTAATCTTTTTTGTGCGTGCACTAAACTTTTAAAAGAAGAAAGCAACAAATACTATGACAATCCCCACTACAAAATGACAAATGGAATTCCAGAGTTTATTCAAGATTAAAATTATATTGAAAAAAAGAGGCACACGTCTCTTGAACAAAGGCATTCATTTGCCCTGTGATCACAACAATCAATCAAAGATATTCCTATGTTCAAGAGTAGTGATAAAATATTTTTAATGAGAAGAGAACACAAGAGGTGTCAAAAACATACAGCCCAACAATTTCCAGATCAAGGAGAGATGGGCATGCTGATAATGCCCCAGCGAGCGATGTGTTGTCCATTCTCTCAATATTATACAGGTGCAACTTTCTCAAAAAAGCCCTACAAAATGCAAATATGAATGTTTATAAAAAAACAGGCCATCCATCTGCACTGATCAAATACCCATGCCAAGAGCAACATACCGTGGAGCACCATTTTCCCTATTTAAAGGGGTTAAACAGGATCTTGTAAGAATGGATGACTCTCTCCCTTGTCGGGATCTCTTATCATTCCATGAGAAGCTAGATACCTCTGCAATAGTATTTCTGATGGTGTAAGCCAATGGCTGAGATCCAGGCAAAGCAGTAGCACCAGGGACCACGCCAAGCTTAAGAGACCTTATTGCCAGTCAAAAAAGACGCATTGGGAAAGATAATTAGGGGGAACAAAAAAGAGAATAACATTGCAATGTGTACTCCGAAATTTTGCAGGAAAAAATGAATGATAAATCCTTTTTTAGATTTTTTTGCAGAAATAATAAATGAAAATAATACCACAATAAACACAGAAGTAAAACCATAAAATCATTTGCAATTTTTTATAGGAAACTGCATGTGATGCATCAAATGAGATGGGTGATTCAAAAACTACGGGCGCTAATGTGGATAAGGTAGACCTTCCAAATCAAATAATCCATATCCATCCAAACATTCATTTTTATTGCTTTTAAAAAATCAAAGTGTAGTCCCTGAGACAAACAGGGTCAGCTCACCAAGTAACTACTTATATCTAATACAAATTACGTCCCATTATCATCAACTGTGCTGTCGATTAAATTGTACATTTTACATGGGAACAAAGGTAAAAATAGCACATGAAGGATCAGTGAGGCACGAAAGTCCTTACCGTAGGGCCTTTCCAGCTCGCTGAACCATTGAGGAAACTACTGCATTGTTAATCTTTGGAACAGTTGTTGTCAAATCAAGATTTGCATAGCACAAAGGATCCTTAGCGCATTTGTTAAAGAATGAACAGGTTGCTGCAGCATGGCATAGGCTCTGGGTATCAAGTATTGAAAATACCTGTAAATCATTACAATGTATCAATAATAGAAAGCTCGCTTACTTACGAAGCCAAGTCCATGTCTTAATGAAGTTTCAGAAGGCAAATAGATTCTCTCCATGAAGACCATTGAACACCGAAGTGTTGCCACAAGTAGACAAGTGTTCTCTACAAATGTTTTTTTTTCAAAGGCACCTCTAGGGCTCAGACACACAGAAGTCGTATCTAATTAAGATTGATACGAACATATTATTCGTCAACCACACAGTACAAATTTCAGAGAAGGCCTAATAAAATTATATGAAGGAAATAAAATCCGAAATGTAACAGTCACAGAAACTAGCGCCGTAAATCAGCATATCCACCGACTTAAGCACACAAAATAGGAGAATAATGTTTGCACCAGAGGAAGATAGAAGTAATAGAAATGACTTGAAAGTCGTGATGACCAGCAGTCAGAAGCCTTTAAGTAATGGTTTTGGCCTCAGCTTTTTCTGGTAAAGAAGTATACAGAAAATGCCTCCCGCCAAAGCTGATGCCCCGGGCGCTAGGGGCTGAAGCACAGGCATCATCGCATTGCGAAAAAAAATATTGAGCCACAGACGGAACCCGAAATTTTTTTTAATTTCGTCAGGTCAATTGAAAGACACATCACTACGTTATATCCATAATCACGGTGAGAAAATGACATCAAGATGCAACACGGAAATATTGTTAGATTCACATGCGAAGGGGAACGAGGGGATTGATGAGATTAATAAGAAATGAGCACAAAATAAGAGGAAAGGAACTGCCAAATGGCCAAATAAATCAATAAATAAAAATCAGAGAAAAACATGAGCATCCAACGGAATAAGAAAAAAGAATGTGGAGATATTTGAATGCTAAGACCTTGATGGTAAGGTCAGGAGGAAGAGGCCAGGCGAGGGAATTGTGGGAGGAAGCACGCTTTCTGGAGGAGTGATTGGCGGCATCGAGAAGGACGGAGCCCATTTTAAGGGCGCGATCGATGAGAAGGGTCTGATCGGCATCGGCGGGCCATGAGTGGAGAAGCCTGTCCAAGGAGAGATGAAGGGAGAAAGCGGGGAATTCAGCGAGGGCGAGGAATGCTTCAAGGAGATGGTCCACTTGATGAAGGTTTTGGAATCTAGGGTTTTGAGAAGGACAAGGTCGCTTGGCCATTGATGAGGAAGCGTGGAGCAGGGTATCCATAGCTTGAGCGGGTGGTCGAGACTGAAGAGCAACACAACAGAACAGTTACTCAGAGCATCGCCTAACCCAACAAGACCAAAATAATAATAATAATAGTAATAATGTATCGGATTCCCAGATTCACCCAGCCAACAATGCCTTTGATGAGGCCCAACTGCACTGTGTGCCAGCCCGCGCCACGTGGACTACGAATCTGCTTGCCGTCACTTCTCTTTCCTACTCTCTGTGGTGAAATTAGCAAAGCCGCGTTTTCTTTCCTTTTGTTTTATTCTTGGCTTCGTTGCAGTTGTGTGTTTTCTTATACAGGCTTGATGACTCTAACGCTGTGTTTGGCTCGATGGAGGGAAGGGGAGGGGAGGGATTTTAATCAAGGAGAGGGAAGGGTAGCTACAAAGGGGAGGGAAGGGAGGGGAGGGATTCTAATGATCTCCTGTTTGAACTGATTGGAGGGGAGGGGAGGGAGCAATTTTAATAATACCTTATTTTGTTTTAATAAAAAATTGACTATTTTAACCTCATAAAATTTAAATGAATTTTCGCACTTTTTTATTTTGTTAAGATATAACTATATATATATAAAATACAATTCACCAATTTTGATTTATAAGACATAGTCACACACTTATAGAATATCAAGATAAAAAGTCATGAGTGATATATTTCAATCAGAGAAAAGACTTTGAAGGTGAAAGAAAATACCAACAACCTCTTGGAATTAGAAGAAGAGAGAAAAAAAAGTTTACAAATGCTCACTAATTTTGTAGACAATTATCTTAATAACCTCTTGTTAGATGCTCAAAAAAACTCTCTTATGTAGAAATGTTTACGACTAATTAGAGGTTAACAAATCAAAAGGGTATATAAGGAATTAAAATATTATCTCTCATCTCCCCTCCAAAAAACCCCACTTTTGGAGGGGAGGCTAGAAGGGAAGAGGAGGGGAGAAGAATCCCTCCCCTCTTTAAAAAATATTTTAACCAAACGAGGGAAGGGGAGGGGCTTCCCTCCCCTCCTAAAAAATTACACCAGCCAAACAAGGGGAGTGGAGCAACTCCCCTCCCCTCCCCTCCAAAAATCCCGTACCAAACATAGCGTTACGTTATGTTTGGTACGGGATTTATTTGTTTTTTATTTTTATTTTAAATATAAATCTTAATTTATTTCATTTTTTATATTTATCTATTTTTTTAAGATAGTTTTTATTATAATAATAATTTTAGTCAATACATTTCATTAGCAATAATATATTAAGAAAGACAATACATATTTATTACAAATAATTGATTTGACTAGTTTTTTTAATCTATTTAAATTACCTAACTATTCAAATATAACAAATTGAAAAGAAATCATGGCTCTATCGAGAACCATATTATACGACTACTTCAACGAAAAGGAATGACTCTGGTTTTCGTTCTTCCATTAATGTCGTTGAACTCTGAATCTAAAGACTTTGTTCAGTTTTTGTGGATACGGGGAACACAGCGCGTGGGTGAAAGGAATCCAGCAGAGAGGCTGGGAGTGGGGAAAGTTAATTATGGACCAAACAATTCAGAAGACGCATACTGCACGAGTATGATGCAACCTGCGACCCCAAAACGGTGGTCGGATGAAAATCCAAAGGCTAAATGTGAACATAAGATGACGTAAACAATGGCACCGAAAATCACGAAGCCCATCCAATATTAAGAAAATATTATTCGTTTCCATCAAAGAAAAAGCCGAGGGTAACAAATTGCATATCAAGATGCTTCCGCACATAAAATAATGCAAGGGAGTGAATAAAGGGGCAGACAGACGGGGACGTGTGAGTGGATGGACCATTACCAGCGTGCACTGGGCTTGTCGGCCCAGATCAAGCCCAAGTTTCTGGCTTAGCCCAAAACGCCCTTACATTTTCCTTTCAGGCCTCGTTGTTTAATCATGTCACATTTGCTTTTAACGCGTTCCTCCCATTTCTTTATGGGCATTTTCCATCAGCGGTTTTGAAGATTCCGTACGTATTAATTTAGTACGCCGTGTCGTGATTCAGTTTTCTCTCAGACTTGCCAAGATATATATATGTATTAGTGCGTGTCATCCGCATGCTTTGTACTTTCAGGACAGGAAAAGAAAGCAAGAAAGAGCAATTGCTGGGGGGAGAAGAGGAGAGAAATGCCTCTTGACTTCATAAGTATCGTTGAAACCCTCTCTGCCTGTGATGCGCCTCATTGCCTCGCGCAGCATTACTTTTCCACGCTAATAAATTCCTTTGTTAGTGGGCAACTGATTCATCTACTGTTTCTTGTCCAATCCCCCTTTTTGATCATTTCAATGGCTACTCGGTTCGTGGTCTGATTCATCAGTTCAGAATAGTCTCCTCTATGGATTATTGGGACCTCAACACCACGTGTGCTCCCCAGTATTCCTCTCTCTTTTTGAGCACATTTTGTATCTCCGAATCATCATCAGCTTCCAGTGTCATAGAATTTTGCACGCTATGCTGGTTTCATTGGCTGCTCTCTTCTCCTGTTTGTTACGGATACTGTGTATTACAGGCCGACATGATCTGCGAGTTCCTGATTTGCTTATCTTCTTCGCTCGATTAAGCTCTGTCCACTTCCCCGGTCTTCCCTTTCTGAGCAAGCATTCATGATTATTCATCCTGTTAGCTGCCATACTATTATAAGACCTCAATATAGTGCTGCTTATCTATTTATAGCTTCCGCGGAAAAGCCTCAATTCATCCGTGATGACGTCGATTCATGGTATCATCATTCATCCGTTATCTATATCCTCGTGTCCCGAGCAGGTCTTGTGGAGAGTATACCATAGTGGGGCCTTTTGTCCTTCTCGCTTTTGGATATTTTCGAACATGTGGTTACGATACATGCGCGTGTTTCTTCTGACCAAGCTCCACTCCACGACAGCTGTGATGGGCATAAGCCCAGAGAAAGAGCTCATTCCAAAAGATTAGTCTATTAGGAGGAAGAATCTCTTGAATTTATAAACCCCACAACATTTATGAGATTCTCCAATATAGGACTCATAACAGAAATGTGATGAACATAAACCCAAGGGTCTAGCTTAATCCTAAAAGACTAGCCTATTGGGAGGAAGAGTCTCTTAAACTTATAAAGGCATCGGTTCCACTCTACGGCACTTCACTTGGTCTTTTTACTTGTCAGAATCCTCAGCAAGTAGCTCTTTCCAATTGGCCGACTCTCAATAAAAACACCAATATAATAGGCATAAGCTTAAAGGAGAAAGCCTAATCCTAAAAGATTAACTTATTAGGAGGGAGAGTTCTTTAAACTTATAAACCCCACAATACTTGTGAGATTCGCCAACGTGGCACTCTTAACACCAACCCGCCAACTTTGTCACGAATTCATACCCCAGCCATTTCTGACGTTTTTACTCTACTTCCACTTAGCATGATTCTATGAGAGACCAACTGGCTCAAAAGGATTCTTATCTTATCGTGCTTTTCCATATCACTTCCCGCTATCTAAATCTGTGCAGACCACGCTCTGTCGTATCTTCATTAGGTATTTGCGACTCTCATGGGGATCCTATTTACTCAACATTCCACAACTGCTACTTCGAATTTAAGTTGTCTAAACGATATTGATTTGTACTTTTTTTTTACACAGCATATTTGAAACGGCCGGCGAACCGTTCATTCAGTCACTGGAGGATTATCATATTATACATCAGGGGCTACTGTGAACACAGTGGTGGCGATGACTAGTGTAGACAGAGACGATTTTAAGTGACTTTCTCGAAAAGAACTTTGGCGATGTGGAAGTTGATGGTGCTTGAATCACAGAAAGCGGCATAGTAAAAGCTCTTTGCAACTATAAGGAAAGTATTCTTGATATTGGAATCTATGCTGTTTGAAGATTCCTGGAGCACCAACTGAACAAGTTGCTGCATTTCTGACTCTGCTCCTGAGGTGGTGATGCGGTGTGTCTGCATGCCGCTGCCGCCACTCTGATGTGCCTAAAAATGTTAAAAAGAACGAGGAAATTATTAACGATAAGTCAGGGAGTACACCACCCTTCGATATTAAGTTGAATTTTTGGAGAATATGAAAAGACTAGTCAAGATAATGCGGCCAAAATGTCAAACTCCTAGGTAACGTTTCGTTCTGGACAGTAATTATAATACGTGTCCTGTCTCTCACCTTGAGCCTTTGGTAACAGTGGAGTCTGCGGCAGACCCCGTTGGTGAGTTCAGTGAGTTGTTGGTAACGAGGATTCCACAGCAGCTCCTCTGAAATCCAATTCCCAGCGCTTAGGTTTATTATTTTTACCAGAAGCTCTGCATGTCCTTGACACGTGTCCCCTCCACTTTGCCAATTTGATAGCCACTCTTGCCACTGTATATCACATTACAGTAAAATCATGAAGAAATATCGAACGTGAAAACATTGGAACCAGTACTTTTTTGTTCACTGTTTGACGTAGACTACACTCATGTTTTCATTTCATTTGATTTGCCGAGTTGAGCAGTGCGTGTCAGAGTGAGTTTCGCTGCAAATTATCTATTGCTAATGGCATTATAACGAGTTGCTATCATGTCAGAAGAATCCCGAGTATTCGTTTCTACCAGTAAAACCAATAGTGTAAGTTTTGAACAGAGGAGAAAAATAGCAAGACTCACGGTATGGTACATATCATAGCCAATTTGATGGTCATGAGACACAAGTATGTCCCACGAGAGCTGATCTATGGTTCCAACCAAAGCTCCGACGAGCCCTTCCTCTGTTCTGTTCCTGTTTAATCTCCTGCGCGTACAAGCACGGAAGAAGGAATGATAACAACCAGAAATTTGGGAAATTAATAAGGAGAATGATAAGTTAGTAGTATATTGTAACCAGGCAATGGAGTAGTCACGTTCGTTGGTGCAGTTGATGAAGTGATTCACAAAAGCTTTCCTCATTGGATCGTCTTTGACATAAGAGGTGATTGTGTGAAGCAAGGCAGAGGTTTTGGCCCATGCAAGCCTCTCTTGGGACCTTTCGGGCTCAAACATGCTGGCTGCTGCCAAAAAAAAAGCAAACAGAAGAGCCTTTCTGCTTAATCCAAACCCTCCCAATCTACACTCTGAGTGCCACCTGCAGTTACATATAGTTGCAAAGTTGAGTGCAACACTAAAAATTATTCTTCAAGCGTGAATAATTTGAATAATTGGTGCTCTTACCGCAGAATGCTGGCCCATTCTCTTAGGTGCAGTGCTTGGCAATTGTTGAAGTCTAATTTTGCCAGCTCCAGATACTTATTGTTGCTGAGATATGGCATCCTGTTATGCACACGAATTCATTTTTGTGAAAGCCCAATTTCATAATGCACTGGTTTTTTTCCAGTAAGTTGTTTTTTTTTTTAGGCATCAAAATGTTACTCCCTCCAGTTCTAAATATAATTAAGACTCATTTTATAATGTAAATTATAAAAACAAGAAGTATTATATTTAGGATTGGAGGAGTAATGTTTTGCTTTTCTTTTCTTTTTTAAAGTTCACTTCTTAACTGACTTGGCGCAAGTCATCAATAATCACCGGCCTACCGTTAAAGGGGAAAAATTGGGAACGAAGCACCTGATCTGTGTTCCCACTGCCACGCCTTGGATTTCCCTAAAGTCAGTTGATTTTAAAATGACATATAAGGACGGGTAATGCTTGTCAACGAAACATTCTCGTCAATTAATTTTTTAGGTTTATTTTTGTATAAGGATTTGAAATTTTATTTTTACAGGTAAGTTTTTTAACTATACACACACATGATGAAACATCATTTCTACCTACATGTGTTATATATTGTGCAGACAATTCAGCTTAATTGAAGGGTTGACGTACAGATCAACCATTTTTGAGGATGTAATTATTTTATTTTCCAAATAAATCATATTTTTATTCAAAATGTTCAAATCACGTGTGTCTTATTTCATTTAAAAATTTAACACTTATCCCCATGATCTTTTTCACGATGGGAGATTATCATGATAGTGCCTAGTCTGAATGTCTGATTATTGTAATGCACTTATATACATCATTTACATACTCATATAATGTATGTTATTGGTATTGAAGATGTATTTAATTAACCAAAGGTATTAAAAAAAAGAAGAAGAAGAATTACAATGAGATCAAAAGAAAAAATAATTACTAAAAGGTTTTAAACAGCTTGTAATAACAAGTTTTAAAATAGTACATGACAATTTCTGAGACTTATTTTGTATTTTTTTTTTAGCATCTTATCGTAATTCTCTAAAAAAAAATATTGCATTTTCCAATTTTAAAAGTATACTAATCTTTAACCACTGTCACATCTCACTGCTCCACTTCTTTTACCACGTGAAGACCTCAAATGGCTATTAGTTGGTTTCATCTGTGCTGTACGAGTGTCTGTGTGTTTTGATGATAATACAGACACAGTAACTTTATTTTGACACTATTATATTCAAGATATTAAACGATGCAGATTGAAGGGCGGGAACAGTGGGCCGGTGTGTGTGAGTACATATATACATAGATAGATAGATATAGAGAAAGGAGGGGGGAGAGAGAGAGAGAGAGAGGAAAGAACCTATAAAGAGTCTTGCCGATCCAAACGTCATCGTCACCACCATAATGATCCATATAAAATCTGGTTTCTACTCGAGGTAAACTTGCATACCAGGGTATGTCGAATGCGTAAGCCACCTGCAATATTCACTGTTTATCAGCACCAAGCTACATGCTGGGACACATTTATACCTGAGTGCCCCATTATGTATAGATATGATTATTAGTACTACCATGCTCTAGTCAATTAATTAGAATTAATTAATTAGCTTTATATGTGGATATATAATTTGGGCTCTCGTGGCAGCCACTAATTGAAGGATGTATACCTCTCCAGGCAGGTTCTTCATAATGATCCATTTATCTACGAGCTCATTGGCCGCTTGTTTCTCTCTCAGAAACTTGGCTGAGAACTGCTTCGCATCTTCAAGAACCTTCTCTCCCGGAAACGCCACCTCACTAGCTCTGTACAGATTAAACATTCCCGTCACTGCTTGCGTTGACTGCCCCGCAAAGCAGAAGAACTCTCCATCTCTCTCGAAGTTGTTGAACACATCTACTTCCAAAATTACATATCAGAAGTTAAAACAAGATCAACCATCAATTAGTTAACAAATACGATGTGTGTTTGTCTATGGAACTCACTGGACGAAACTTCATAGCCATGTAATCTTAGTAATCTGAATCCCATTGCTGTGTCATCGATATCTTGTACGTTCGAATTACTTGCCCAGCAGATGCCCTTCTCGGTCCAATGTCTGCTTCAAATTTAGCACTTTGCAATAGCTATCAGGGGTTAAAATTAAAGAAGCAGCTTACTAATAAAAGCAAAACTAATATTAATTTCTTTTTAGAAAATGGGTTTTAATGATAATCCTGACGTAGAAACACCACTGATCATTTCCATATATGTGTGTACCTATGAACATAGCTCATACAGTCCTTGATCTCGTTCTGGAAATATCTCGAAATTCCAAGGCGCTGCAGCCTATCAACCAGCCAAATATGTTCGAACAAATCCACGGGATAGACATTGGGAACTGGTACAATGCTTAAACCAGAATAAGAAAGTAATACGAACATAACATAATGCAATTCAAATCAAACAGTAATTAATGAAAAGATATAGAAAAGGAAATAAAGGAGTAGCGTGTGTGTGTGGACTGGGGGGTGGCCCATAAAGCTAGAATAGTACCTCCTCCATTGAACCTAGTGACAGCTTTATTCAAGTAATTGAGGCAATTTTGGTCTTTAGTCTGGGCGAGAGCATATGCAGTGGAGGACGGAGAAAACAAGAATGACCCATCTTCACACTGAAGCTTTAGAAGATCCTCCCATTGGACCCCCGCCATGCCTTCCAAGCTATGAAGCAGCGTTGTGGGCACTTTATGCATCAGCTCTCTTGGTATTCTATATACACAAATTAAATAATTAATGCATTGCGTTAAACATCTTTACATGACTTGGGAAAAAAGCATTCGTACTTTTTTCACAGAATACATTGTACGCTTTACAGCTAAAGCTTTAAGGTTGTCCCTCGGAAACGTACCTGGAGAGCTTTATGTCTCTCTTGGCAAATATCTCTTTCAAGACATGGGAATCGTCTGCCACTTCAATGTTCAGACTCCGGGCCAGATCTAGAAGCGAAGGGAAAGCAACTTCGAAGCCGATCGGCATATGCTCCGCCTTCTCACCCAGAAGCTTGCTTAGGTTCTTGTTAAAGAATGCCATCCCTAGAACATGCCAAGCAAAACTATAGCAGCAGAGCTAGTATTTTATAGTCAGTCACTAATTATTAATTAATATCTAATAATGCTACCTTTCTCGCACTTTTCGGGGTGGATATTCCATGATTTTAACGCAACGACGCAGGCCAAAGTGCTGATAATTCGATCGTGTGCTGAGAATATGTGAGCATCGCCCCAGGAACCGTCAGGAAGCTGATTGCTGGCGATCCATTCAAGACTAGAAGGAAATTGGGGAGCACCACTCCCATGAACATCTGGTACGAGAGCGACCCATGCAGTGTCATAAGCAGATATGGTAATCTCCCCATCTCCCAGGGAACGCAATATCGATCTGACGGCCTCAACTCGCTGTTTGATCTCGTGATCGGTCACCCAAGCCTGCTCATATATATAAAATGCGGTGACTTGTGTCCGTGAGCACGAAAACAACGAGGAGACAGAAATACAGAGAGAACGTTAGTTCAAACGAAAGAGAACAATAACCTCATAAGCTCGGTCCTCGTCTATGTCATCCTTCACAGTCTCTCGCCACTTTAACGTCGACAAGCCTCCCTGGACTGCAGAGTCCCTATATCCTGCACAGACATACAGCAGTATCTCGTAGTGTTACCCAAAGCTATAGGCATTCTAGATTGTTAATAAAGGCAAAAGAAAAGGAAAGAGAATGGGTGTGCATGCCTTGACTTGGAGGTTTGGAGATGGCGGTGCATCTGAGACTGGAGTGGAAGCTGCAAGGTTCTTTGGGTATGGACTCGGATGATAGACCACCTGCATGAAAAGATATAACTTTTGAAATGCTCTCGTCAGGTGAAGTATGGTGATAGATCGTACTAACTAACTAACATTCGGCTTACAGAAGGTCGCATGAATATATCACTTTTGTTTGCTTCTTTTTAGGTGGTTAAGAAAGTGAGAGAGGTTGAAGTGGATGCTAGGAATGTGAAATTAACAACTTGATAGTAAAATAGACAAAGTGAAGGTAAGATAAATGTATATACCCGGAGGGAGGAAGAGAGAGGAAGGAAGAGAGAAATGGGGAGAAGGAGAGAGACGGAAGAGAGAAGACATGATGAAACAGGAGGAGGTGGCGGTACAAGAGGTTTAGGAGAGCAAAGCATTTATAAAGGAAGAGAGACAAGAGGTTCCGACCGATTCGGGGGCATGTGATCTCCCTCCCTACTCTGTTTTCTTTATTTTTGCCCAAAAGTCACCAGCCTTTACTTTATTTTAATTAACGTAATGCCCTCCTTATTGCATTATTACATCACATTCATCCAATAATATTACTCACCAAAGATTAGCGCAACATCCTAAATTAACCACAACCATTATGGATATCTTAGATTCATACTCTCGTGTCAAGCACGCAGAAGATATCACAGTCGTCAGTCCCACGGGTCATGCCCATGCATCTGGTTCAACAGTGTGTGTCAGTTAAATTATCAGACCGTGTCTATTAATGTAGTCCTCCATGATCAATGGTGTACAATCGTTCGTCGCTCCTAGAATAACTTAATTATAGCTCCCTGATCCTAGGTAATGAAATTGCAATTAACTAAGTTTGAAGTGATTTGTGGGGAAGTAAATGAAAGGGGGTAGCATGTATAGAGAGAGAGAGAGAGATGCAAATTAAATTAAAGATGACAGAGGGACAGAGGTAACTGTAATAACGAAAAAGACAAGGAGGAATCAAAGGCAGGCGATCGCATAGTTTTGGTTTGCAGGGGGCTAGCTAGGGGCTGGGTGAGGGAGAGTCAGGCATGCATTCCACAATAACCATATAATGCTGATGCCTGACAGCGACCATGAATGCTGCCTCTGATTCACAGGACCACTCCTACATATTCACACGCATCACTGCATAAATCCTTCCACAACATAATTATTCTGTTCTTCTCATATTTTCCCAAGAAAATTGTCCAACTATCCAAAAAATCCATGCAGAAAGAAAAATGCTACAGTCATATAGATTTGAACTAATGATGACAAATCCTGATTTTCTTAACTCAAATCATTGGTCAGAATATAAATAATATGACAACAAGTGCCGCATCATGCATGCCCCTCACATTTGTGCTGTGTAGAGAGTTGTTGGGAGCGGAAATTTCATATGTGATCGATGTTGACAAGAAGTATTGTTGGTGTTATTTGTGCTACTCATCAATTTGATTTTTTGTAACTTTGTCCTGATTTTGATTTGAATCAGTGCCGTCTGTTCTTTGCTTCTTGGCATATGTTACTGCATTTGGATATTCTTGAAAGAGGATAATAAAGAGGACCACGTATATCTATTAAAGAAAATGTTTACGAGAAAAAAAACATTTAAAAAAAGGGGGGGGGGGAACCGGGTGGTGCTCTCTATTATACGATCTTCCTTTAATTTAGAATACCCTCCTTGCCCGATTCATGTTTGCGCTTAAAAACTAGAAAGCAAAATGAGGTTGTTTTGGTTTAATTAGGGGATTACGTGAGCCACGGGTGTGGGTGTGTGTCTATATAAATACACACACACGCACATGGTAAGCTCAACCATATGGATACATCATGTGAAAGGGCGGGAAGCCGGACGGAGACAGAGTTTGAATGTGCTTTGGAACCAAACTACGTTTGGAACACTCTCCTCTTTTCCTTTTATCCTGTTTCCTTTTTTTCTTTTTTCTTTCTTAAATGTTAGACTGACATATTTCAACAGTTTAAATTTTAATTTTTTTAAATTATTTATAAAAAGTTTTAAAAATATTTAGTGTACTTCCAAACCATTAGAATTAAATCTTAATATAGCTTATATTATCTATTTATTTTTATAATTTAATATTTTAATAATAGTTTTAAAAAGATTTAAATTTAAACCATTAAAATATTAATCTAATAATTAAAAAGGAAAGAGAAAGGAAGAGGAAGAAGAGGAAAGAAGAGATATTCCGAACCGCACCAAATTCTCCCTATGGATGCTTTTTCTCCCATCGTCCTCTTTCCTTCATTTCTTCTTCCTCTTTCACACACGCACACAAGTATATAATATCTCATTCCCCTGTCTTGCTTTAATCCTTTAAATATTTAGATTAGTCATGTCTATATCTCCCATCTTTTAGCTTCCTATAAAGTTTTAGTTTGATTTCTTAATTTTATAAAATATTTTAAAATTTTTTAATAGCTAATAATTTCAATTTTTAAAAACTAAATATCATATTTCATTGTTTAAAACATTTTATCAACATTCGAAAATTCAATGGCGGCATTTCTTTTCAATGAAACTATTAATATTAGAATTAGAAGACTGAGGAAATGCTTTGTAAAATTAAGAGACTGAAAATGAAATTTCGTGTGGTAAGGATGAGATAAAAAAGAAAACACAAGCTCACTTTTTAAGAAGCACATCTCGAGAGAGATGAAAATATTTTGCCCTCTAAATGTTGAAAGTGAAAAACCTTAATCAGATTTAAAAAAAAAAAATCTTATGTAATGCTCTCCTTACACACCTACCTACATACCAACATTTATACTCTTCCATGTCCTGATTATATGTCAAAATTAACTAATTTTATGGTTCTTAAAATAGTAGTACGTAATTTGACTTCTATAGGCTTGTAGAAAAATATCACTTTTTAATTTCGCCATTCACTAAAATTAATATAATCATAATAAAATAGTAATCAAAATCATGCCAATAAGAGGAGTAAGATTGCAAACAAAATTAACGGTTACATTTTCTTTCTTTTTTTTTTTGGAGAGAGATAGGGCGCTTTAGTTGACTCCCCATTCACATTCGCATTATAATTGCAGCTCCGTTGCTGTTCTCCCTCTCTCGCTCATCTTTTTCTTTTTGGGTTTCATGCCCATGTTTTACCGTGTTTAAAGTCATGCTAATCATGAAACCCAATTCAATTTATTTTCAATATTTATTTTTTTTTAAAAAATAATTTTTATGACGATCACATATGTTAAAAGTTTTTTATTTTAACACAAATGATTAACAAAAATATTTTAAAAAAAAACACTTATTCATTACAAATAACTAAATTAATTTTTTTTTAAACAGTCACAAATTAGTAATCTATCTTTTATATTAAGAACTTGGTTTATGGGAGAGTTCATTACCAATACCTTATTTACACGTGTCTTCTATACCTACTCAAGTGTACACCGTGGGCATATCCATTTGGCCTACATCCGCATTTCAGATTGAAAAATAATACACACGAACTAAACTGCAGTTAATCTTCCACTGGGTTCCCCGAAACACCCCCCCCCCCAAAAAAAAAAAAAAGAGAATTCACTGGGAGAAATGGAGGGTCCGTGTAACGATTGTTTAAGTACATGCAGGCACACCAATCAACATATTCATTCATACGCATGAATTCACCGTCTCTTCTCTGTCATTTTTTCCCCTTTTTTTTTGGGGGGGGGGGGATAAAAATGCAAGATGCTCATTCAAAGCTGTCTTGTGTGACAAAGTTACGCACCAACCATGCAACTCCAAACAAAGAGTAGACAAAATTTGACCTTCATTACAGACGAAACATTTACATTTATGTCCCCAAGCATCAAACGGTTAGCAACTCCTGAAAGACAAGAAGAATTACATCACTTAATAAAGATAGAAAACTTATAAAATATATGCTGGCCCGTTCTTTAAGCATGACTACGGAAAGGTAATTAAGCTTGCCCAAAGATAAGGGACGCCAAATGAATCTACAAGTTCCAAGTATACTGAGTTCCTCGCTGCTTTTCCTCATTGATACCAATTATTAAAATTCATTTAGGCATGAGGCTTTATGCATGCTTTAAGTAGAAAACATATGATACCTTTTCTTTTTGTTTGTAGACACTGTCAATCTTCTTCATATACTCATCAATCAATTTCTGCATAAAGATAAAATAATTAAATGGAGAACGAATGGAAGGCAACATTCACACAAGTTGGGGTTACCCCATCACCAGAACTATCCAATCTCAGAAATATAAGGAACCCAACCAAGTCCTTACTGAGTCCAATTACAAGATTTGAGATTGATACTGATCAAACTAGGGACAAAACGCGTAATTAAGTTAGTAAGCTCTTACTTCCAGGGGAAAAATTCCTCTTGGAAAGGGATAAAAGGTGAGATGGAATATGCATAGCAATGCGCAATCCCCAGATCCACATGGAATCAATATCGGGGGAAGAACATCCTCAAGATAAGATAAACGAAACTTTACAAGTATCTACAGCACACAAGACACTTTCTTAGATCCATATGCAATCAACAACTCACGACATTGAAAATAATTAACATTATTTTTTCATGGATCTATAACAATGGAGTTTGCAGAAGGACATTTCAGTAATTGGATCTGACATATCTATAGGAAAACATAGACATTTTTTTCTTTCTCTCATTCTCTAAGCTAAAATCTTAGCTAAAATGCTAAATAATCAAAAAATGTTGGCTGGCTGGTGGCTACTCTCTCAGTCTCTACGCACTCTTTTCCTAGGAACATGCTTGCCGCGTAGGTTGTTGCATCCCAAAGTAGGTTTGAGATTATTCTATCTCAAAAAAATGCCTCTTCCCATGCAAAAAAGAGACATGGCAATGCATAGTTTAAATAAGCTAGAAATTAGTACCCTGCCCATTTGACCGCATAGAGGATCAGGTTACCTGTAAATCACTTGTCAAGTCCTTCACGTTATCTTCTGAGAGTTTTTTCTCCTGTAAGAAAAATTCTAACAAAATGATTGACAAATCTTTGGAAAAGAGGGAACCAAAGGCAAGAAAACAATTAGTGAAGAGAGAAAAGAAAGGGGTGGAATTTTATACCTTCTCAAGTTTTTCATAAGCTTTCAATGCATCTCTTCTTATATTCCTCAGAGCTACCTATATCAAGCTCAAACATTCAAATGGAAGTAATATATGACGGAGATTTAGCCAAACATTGTATAGCTAACACTAGAATAATATAAATCTCAAATTCAGTTTTCCGACGATTGCAAATCTATTATTCATCCGGTTATAATTTTTGGCAAGAAAAGGTGAAGGAATTGTTCTTTTTTTTATTAAAAAAAAAATCATACTCTCAATTAAAACACTTGGCTTATGTTAATTGCCTCCGAACCTTAAGGAAAGTCACAAGAGGATTCATCCTGAATTGGGCAAAAAACAAGAGCAAATTACTATCTCAAAGTTTAGGTATTGTTACAAATGTACCTTCCCTTCTTCAGCTTGTTTAGCCACTATTTTTGATAGTTCCTGGAAAGTAAACCAATCATTAGGTTACACTTTGAAGTCTTCAGATAAAATCCACAGATTCATTTAAACTTCCAGAAGATACTTAGCATCTATACATAGAAAAGTATAGTGATAAGAGACACTCGTCTTGTAAACAGAATAGTCAGGTGAATTAAACAACCCTATTGGAATTATCGCCTGGAGCACCAAGTAAACTTTTTCTCAGAGAACCATCCTTTCTTATTAAGGCTAGGTTAAGAGCGGGTTCTACAGGATTTCTTAATGACTAAATCAGAAATGATAATCAACTATGAATATTACTTTCACTTTGTGAAGGTTAGAAATTTAACCTAGATACTACAGACTCGAGGGAATGACAAAATACCTTCCTTCTTTCTGACGTCAATGGTGGAATACTCAATCGTATCAATTCTCCATCGTTATTTGGAGTCAAGCCCACATCAGAGTTGACTATGGCTTTCTCAATAGCCTTCAGGCTGAAAAACATGACAAAGGCAAAATGAATAACCACGATTTTGTCCCCAAAAACATATTTAGTGCACGATAAAGATGCCATAAACACACATTCTGAAGGCCTCATAAGGATTTGTAGTCTATGATAGTGATATGCTCCACAAGAGATTAGCACATAAGGAAAAAATCAAGAGACAATAGGCTGAAGACAACAACATGCTGCGTAGAGAGTAGTATTGAAAAATTATTTATAGGACCATTTTGATGACTCCCATTTCCTCCACCTCTTCCAGTTTACAACTATAACTCACCTTGATTTGTCATAGGGCTGTACCAAAAGAGAACTGGCATCTGGAGTGCTAATTTGAGCGATGCTCTTTAAGCTAACTGGCGTTCCATAATATTCCACCTGCAAGCACATGGCGAAACAACTCATTTACAGGACAAAAACTGTACACAAAATTAAAGTTAGATATTCATTGCACAGATTGATAGCTCGCCTATATATCAAAATGGATAATAAGACACAGGATTCAGGATAACGATGAGCCAGATGATGAGATTGAACAGGCTTAAGAACAATCAGACTGTATCTTAGAGGAAGGGAAATCTGATTGGCTTAGTTTGGCTCAAACAGAAGAGCTTGAGACCGGAAAACAGAAGCGTCTGATAGATTCTAACAGTTGCAGAGATTTCAGTTATCCAGTCTAACAATCACTATACGATTCTTCATTAAATGCAAGAGATTCGTTAAAACCTAACCACGGAGTCAACAGTTTCCTAACAATCACTACACGTTTTCCATGCATTTTCTAGGAATGATGGTGTCTAATAATACTCAACAGCATAAGCCATCTCCCACATTCGTACCTCTATTTTGTCAAGCATAGCAGGGTTTGCTCTCCCTGTCCTTATGGAACTGAAATTTGAACGAATAGTTTCAATAGTCCTTTCCATGCGGTTCGTCTAAGACAAATGGTAAAGAGACACTGTCAGTGTAACCATCCCGGTACAATAGTACCAAATTTGAGCACCGAATTCGATCTATTTAACCACAGTATATTTTAAAATCGATCATCATGAGGCCACTCACAACATCTTTCTCAATGAAGGCCTTCTCAGCTTCTATTTCTTCAATAGTTGCGGCCCTCACAATTCCAGTCCTGGACATATAAATTAAAAAAAAATATCAACAGAAAAGGCTAACACGACACACCCCAATCATCACACTAGTCAATGACCATGGAGAAGAACGATAAGCTCACCTCCGCAACGACCTCCTTGGAACAATGAGTCTGCTAGAAAATCTGCGGGAGCACCGAGCTTCAGAGTCACATAGCTAGAGGCAGAGCTCCACGAGAACTCCCTGGAGTACTTCACGCAGTTCGACACTCCATGAAAGGATTCTGCAGAATTTCTTAAAACAAGTCATTTTCACAATTGAAGTGAGTGCGCATTATTGTATAATGAGAACACGCACCTCTAAAGGGTACGAGGGTTTTAGAAGGGTTTTGCTGGGGATTGACGACGGACCGGACGAGTGTAGCAGAGGAGAACGACGCTGCCATGCGAGCTCGGACGATTGACCCGGTTGAATGTTCGCGGAAGGATAATCTGTGGATAAGAAATTTCTCGTCTTTTCATTTCTGACTTCTGAGTTTTTCACCTACTTTTGGTCCAATACATTCGTACGTTTTTTCCCAGAGGTTTTTTAACCAAAGGCGCTTTTCTTTTCTTTTTTTTTTGTTGGGCCAACTCCCGTTAAGGGTTATACCAAAATAACAAGTTCAGTGTTTTGTACCGGAGGGGTTGGGGCCTTTGAAATTCATTATGGAAAAAGTACGGACTTTGTTATGAGTCGTGTGCTGGGTTCTTATTGGGCCTCAGTGTTTGAAGCAGAGATAGGCGCGTCTAAACCCATATTAAATTGCAGGAGCCATCCCAACCAAAAAAAAAAAAAAAGAAAGAAAGAAAGAAAAAGAACCTCCTGGGGGTCAACTACCTGTGATTCGGTTGATGGAGTGAACGTGTTAGGTGACTTTTGATGAACGAGGCATGAGGTATTTAAAGTTAGGTTGTTTTGGCATTTCCAAGTTTGTTGGGAAGAAATTTTGAGGAAGCTTATGCCTCATGGAGTGGCGGTAAGTAGATGGTCGGGTCATGATCACGACAGAGCTGAGTCTGAGCATAAACAGGAAGCACCAGCCCCCCCGCGTCTCTAAAGCCGATATTTCCGCTTCCTGTTGCCGTAACCTCCCTTCCTCACTCCCACCTCCGCCCCTCCTTGCACTTGTGTAATCTTCATAACGCCTCCAAATTAACTCTCCCTCTTGTCCGTTAACGAGCTTTCCTTGTTTTAACAATGAAGCTTAGATTTAAATGTAAGAGGAGAAGCTAGTTACTCATAATAAATTGAGATTTTTGAATTCCATTAGAATAAGTACCAACATTTCATTCCCAATGATACTTCGTAGAGGCTTTCAATGAAATGGTGTGGTTAGCAATATACTACCTTTAGTTGTTAATATAAGATCTTGTTTGACTTTTATTTTGATTCTAAATGTAAAACCTCAATTCAATTCATTTTGTCTCTCTCATTCATTTATTTTTTTCTAAGATAATTATTCTAATAAAGATAGTTTTAACCAATAAACTTAATTAGCAAGAATATTTTAAGAAAGATAACACTTATTTATTATAATAATTCATTTAACTTATTCTTTTTAATCTCCTCAAATTAGTCAACTAGTTTTTATATTTAGGACCGGAGGTATTAATAAAAATAAAGCCTCACTTTGTTAATGAATGCAGGTAGTTACGTTGTTACTAGTTGCTACCTGATGGCTTACTGGGGATGCTTATATATGTTAAGGAGAGTCTGTTTTGTCTTTTGGTGAAGCAGTTTGATTCAACACATATTCGATTGATCTCAACGCCCACATGAGGCCCCCCCAGGCCATCACAATTTATGATGATCATGTACAAAGTCGAGCCCTTTGATTAGTGTGTTTTAGGCTGTGTGCGTGTGTGCGCGCGCGTGTTTTTTTTTTTTTTTGAGGAGTATGCATCTGATTAAATAGGCGCTCCCTCCCTCTGATTCCATTGCTTCGTACGCATATGTATATTCAATAATTTAGTAGTTCCTTCATTATGATTCCACATTAATTATAATTGCAACTATACATTCAGTCAGTCAGTCAGTGAGTCAATATTAATTAACAAGCGTGATGTGGATTTCTGCTGGCCAACAAAGCCAGGGTAGTGTGCATCAAACGTTCACCACAAGGGACTTAACTGGAAAGTTGGCTTCTCTTCACTAGCTCTTATATTGACACTTCACCCGTTTAATTAAGAAAGGGAACGGGAAGCGTTTGGGTTTAGTTTATGAAGAAGCATTGGGGAGAGAGGGTTGGTAACTCCATTGAAAGAGGCATCCACACTTCCATGCCATCTTCTGACAGTCTTATTTACTGTTGCAGAGAGCTATCATTGAAGGAGCCCAACCAAGCTCAGCACTTACATTTGATGTGCCCTCCCCTTTTCCTGCCACACCCACCAAGACAACATCTCTTATATATGCGGATGCTTGTTTCTTATTTATCCAGCCTACTCATATATAAAACATAATATATGATTCTAAAAGAAAAAACATATATCAATTTACATACATTACTGTCCTTTTGCTTTTTCATGATGACAACTTTTATCAACCCCCATAAAAAATCAAGAACAAAAGAAACGATGCTTTTAGTTTGCAAAGGGATCGCTGCATATGAATGATCAAAGTGTATGAAATATATAGATATCAATGCTGCATCCATGCAGAGGCATATGGGTTGTTGCAGAAACCGCATCTTTCATGTACTGCATCCCACGGCAACCCTATATATGATTATGCGCTGCTTTTTTTTTTTTTTTACATTTTAAACTATATATCAAATGCTTCCAAGTGAGTTTAACAGCTCGATACTGCTTTCTGTATTCAGCTGTTTTTTTCCCCCGGCCTTTCTTTTTCCTGCATTGTCTTTTATGATGCATCTCATCACACTTTTTCCCACGTATTTTATGGTTCTTACTATAAGATCTTATTTGACTTTTATTTGATTTTAAATATAAGACTCTAGTCCATTTTGTCTTTCATATTTATCTTTTTTTTCTAAGATAGTCATTCTAATAATATAGTTTTAGCCAATACATTTAATTAGTAGAGATGTTTTAGAAAAGACAACACATATTTATTATAAATAACTAACTTAACTTATTTTCTTAATATACTCAAATTATTCAACTAGCTCTTATATTTAAAATCAGAAGTAGTGCTACATGTCGACATACATTAATTTTGCACATCACAATTAGAACTCTTGACACATATATCTTGACTTCTAAATATAAGAATTAGTTGATTAATTGAGTAAATTAAAAAAATAATTAAATTAGTTATTTAATATATATATCTAAAATATTATTACTAATCAAATTTATTGGTCAAAACTACTATTATTAAAAAAACCATCTTAAAAATAAAATAAACATAAAAAATAAAATAGATAAAATATATAAAATTAAAATAAAAGTCACTACTATGAAAGATTGGGGATAGTAACAAGCAATTAAACGAAAGGTCAAAGGGAGCGATGCTTTTTGACCCACACCAGAGCAGGGGCGCACCTTTGTGGACGATTGATTAGCTTTGAATGCTTTAAGGGTCATTAATGCTTCACTCTTGCCTTAATTTGCGTTAGATTGAGGCAGAGCTAGTGCGCACCTTTTTAATTAATATATCAAGATTGCGACTAATAATGTTCTACTAGTACTCGTATTTATTTTCATTGATTGTAGCCACCTTGGATTCCTTACATTTTTCAGGAGCCATTTATTCGGGAATCATTAAAAAATTTATAATCATGTATTAAAATATCTGAGCACCAGCGGACTTGAAAGGACCTCTTAACTTGATCCCTGCAAGTGCAAGGTTCCGCCTCTGATTCCTATTATGTAATATATAACTCAATTTTAAACAAACAAAATTTGAAAAAAGGGTGAATCATTGGATTGGGAGGGATTGAATGGGTCGTACATGTGCAGTACCTCAAGTTACATATATTTTGTCATTGGATGATCCGTTGCTTGAAGAAGTTGCAAACTTTTTCTTGGCGTGCTTCCTTTTCGCGGACAAGTCAAGCTAAGTTAGTATGCCCATTTTATTATTATTTAGACAGATATATAGATTAGACTATAATCCTGTTGAGTGGTGAAAATTAAGAGTTAAGAGTTGGTCTTGACCTGGATATATTTTGGCGAATTAATAAATAACTGAAGGGAGTTTTTGCTTTCGAGTCTGTAGGTAGGGTTGCAGTGGGGGTGGAGTAGAGTGAGAGTAAAAGAAGAAAGTGACCGAAGGAAGAAAGAGTTGCCATTTTAGGGGGAATCTCTGACACACAGACAAACTAAAATCCATGAATATGTAAGAGGTTGGTAATATTAGTCCACATTTTGCTGCTTTCCGTCACCCTCCAACCAAACATTCAGTCATTCACATTTATACATACTCGTTCCCGGTTGGGATTTGTAGTGTCAGTTGGCAGTGTCACGAGAGATTCCCCTCAAACTAAGTTCCACCCCTCTAACAAAACTAACACACCCTTTTTCCCCTTTGTTTTTAACCTTTCCCTCAATTATTTATATTATATGATCTGGGAAATGTGTGCTTGTTTGAGATGTAATTTGCATTTAAAAAAAATGGGCATCCAGATGTTGGAAGCTTTAGAGCTGATAACATAAGGAAGACGGAATAAATCACATGCGGAGACACATAAAGCGAACAAGCCGGCCCTAATTAAAGGCTCAAGCAAGGAAGGAAAGATAATTCACCGCGTAATATGGCATGGGAAGCTCCAACTCTAACTAAAAGCTGATGAAAGTCGCACCAAAGGGGTACAAGTCAAGTCTCAAGTATTATGTGCAGCTCGTAGTTTACACACATGGACCAAAAGAGAGACACGTGGCATGCATGCGGGGAGGGTGCACCGGGATTCGATGCAACTCGTGGTGGGGTGCAAATTAATAATTTCCCCCACTTAACTCACGCATCTAACCACACTGTTCGCCGTTATTAAAACAGGACAGTATCTGTGAGCATCGTAATTAATGTAATATGAGTGGGTTTGACTTTAGAAGACCACGGGGAGGTTGAGCGAGAGGAGAGAGTGAAGACATCCGCATGGGGGAGTAAGTGATTAAATGGTGTGCAGTGGATAAACATACGAGTCCCGTGAAGCAAGCTGCGAGCGCCAAACTTTAATACTCGAATGAAACTCTTAACTGGCGATACCAACCACTGAGCGCCAACACCCCATGGAACTCAGTAAAGTGACGCTGGAGATCTTCTCCAAACTCGAGCAGAAATGGCTCTCTCGCTGCGAAACCACCACCAAAACCCGCATTCTTAGCATTGACGGCGGAGGAACCACCGCCGTTGTTGCCGGCGCCTCCCTGGTTCGCCTTGAGGATCAGATCCGTCTCCAGACCCGCGATCCCCAAGCTCAAATCACCGACTTCTTTGACATCGTTACCGGGACCGGCATTGGTGCCATCCTTGCAGCCATGATCACTGCCGACGGCGGCTCCGGCAGGCCCCTCTATACTGCCAGGGACGCCGTGCGTGTCGTCGCACAGAGGAATTCTGAACTCTTTAAGCCTAAACTCCCAAGAGTTCTCCGCTGGCGTCGTCGTAGATTTTCTTCCAAGAGCATGGACAAGGTGCTGAAGGAAGTGTTCCGGAGAAGAGTGGACGGACGACCGTTGACCTTGAAGGACACGTGCAAGCCCCTGCTGATACCCTGCTTTGACCTCAAGAGCGCAGCCCCGTTTGTGTTCTCACGGGCAGACGCATCCGAGTCGCCCAGCTTCAACTTCGAGCTCTGGAAAGTATGTCGTGCCACCTCAGCCACGCCAAGCCTCTTCAAGCCCTTTCAGTTGACCTCCGTCGACGGAAAGACCTACTGCCGCGCCATTGACGGTGGACTGGTGATGAACAACCCGACGGCGGCGGCCGTGACTCACGTGCTGCACAACAAGCGTGATTTTCCGTCGGCGAAGGGCGTGGGAGATCTCTTGGTCCTCTCCCTAGGCAATGGGACGTCGATCATTGGAGGTTCAGGAAGGAAGGGGAGTGAGAAGGAGGAGACATTATGCTCGATGTCGTCGATGGTTGACATTGTGGCGGAGGGTGTGTCGGAAACCATTGACCAAATGCTGGGGAACGCCTTCTGTTGGAACCGTACGGACTATGTAAGACTCCAGGTACGTACGATGTTAATGAATTGAAATCCCTCTTGCTAATTAATTATGTTTCGGTTTTGGTGATTGGTTTCTGAGCCTGGAATGGTGGTTGGCAGGCGTTGGGTTTGGGGAATGGGGAGGAGGTGCTGAAGGAAAAAAGCGTGGAGTCGTTACCGTTTGGCGGGAAGCGGTTACTGAAAGAAACTAACGGACACAGAATCGATAGCTTTGTGCAGCGTCTTGTCGCTTCGGGAAAGGCCAGCCTGAGCCTCCCGCAGAGTGCTGCCAACGAAGCCGCCGCTTACCCCATCGGCGGCAGTTAGTTAGTTCTTTCTTTTTCCTTTTTTGCCCTCTCCACATCATGATGTTGCCAGTTAATTGTATTCAAAGTTTCCGTTCTTGCTTTTGCCACGCCCCTAGTCATGGTCAACCGGCACTTGATAGAAACTAGCAGTAATAATTAACTTCCCAATTCGCATCATGATGGATCTAACTGACGATCATAGCCGTCTCAATCAATTGGTAATTACTGTTTTTTAGGACTCCCCATCAGGCTCCCTGCCAAAATACAAACCCTAGTTATTTTGAACTTTGAGCTCAAAAGATTTCTCAAATCTCAAGCCCATCGTCCCTTTCTTAGTAGTAATGCACGTCCTGGTCACCAAGACTCGCCCATGGTCCAATGCGATTAACCGCAGTCACATTAACAAGCTGTAACTTAAGGGGTGGCTAATAATCAACGCAGAGAATCCGAAATATAATTCACAATATACATGAAAACACCTTTGGAGCTCTTGGAAAAAAAGTGCATGCTTTCTAGAAATAGTAAGAGGAGTCACGCGTGTCATAAAAATGAATGGATTGTGAGTGCGGCCAAATATTGAAACACCAGCTGCGACTTGCAAGAACTCATGGTGTTGTTTGTTACAAGGGAAGACAAGTGTGTGTATGTGTGTAGGGCATCAATAGTACAGTGGAGTGTCCTCCACTGTGATCGATCATGACTTTCTACTTCTGATATGACGGACGAAGCATATTGTCTGCTCAGGAACAAGAACAACCCGGTTTTGATTGCCATGTCAACTTTCACTTTTCAGAAACCAAATCACAGAACTGCTAGCAGCAGCAAATCTTCCCGTGCAAGAAAAAGGAACGGTCCTCACGTAATCAGATGGCAACTTAGGGTTGATCTGGATCATTAGGTGTAACAAAGTAGCTCTAGAATGTGCCTTTTTTATTCGCCAGATTCTCTCCTCGATCCTTCCTAAACTTACATTTCAGAAACTACCCGTTCTGGTTCCCCCTTGTGCGTTTCACTTCTCAGTCCTGCCTTTCAGTTTTATTTTGCTTTGGTATCAAATATTCCTGGGTGGCTTTAAGTATGTCCGACGAAGTAATATCTGAAAAATGAAAATCTTGATTTGGGAACGCCCTTGTGTTCTCTATATTTGGATTTTGGATTAAAGAAGAGAATCTCATTTAGTAGCGTCAAGAATCGCGAATGGGCTAAAATGTGGCTCTCTTCCTGATAGGCCTAATGGAGAATACCAATAACTTGCTTTAGAATAACTGACTCTGTAGCTTTTGTCTTCTATAGAAAATAAACGCTGTCCATTATAAAAGAAAAAAGAGTTGTCCATCATGCAAGATCCACAATGGTCAGGCAGGTCATGAACGTCACTCATTAATATTGACACAACAGTGTCAAGAGTAAAACAAAAAAAAACATAAATTAAAAACTGTCATGTCAATTTTGTGACGGTATAAATTGGGAAAATATTGAATGTCCAGAGGATTAAAGTGCATATTCTTCCTCTTAGTTAGGCAACGTTCCATTCCAGTTCAATGATTTTAGGCACGAAACATTCAAGCTTAGCTTTAGCACACAACGAGTAGGCTCTGAATATATGGGCCGAGTGAGACTAGGCGTAACTCGTATCCCCACGTTCTTTGTTGCTTCTTCTGGATCTCTAGGAGCCTGTCAAATCCTAGAGGGTGGAAATACTAGTGGTTATATCGAGATCATGGAAGCCTTCAGCGGCTAACAAGATCTTTCTTAAGGTAGCCCCGGGATGTGACAGCAGAACTCAGTAGGCCCCTATTTCAAAGTATGAAACGCGCACACACTGGAGTTTACTAAGGATGAAGTTTTCTTGGAAACTAAGCCTGTGTTTGACACCGTTCTTGTATTTTTGATTATCCTCCGCTTTATTGTCTTACGACAGTGAATGATGAAAGAAGAACCTAGAATGGCCTTGCTGTATAATTTGTTGTACTTTGAAAAGAATGAGTTTACTCCAGGCTTTTTAAAAAAGCTACTGGCATCTTATTTTGATATGTTAAGAGATTTCCCAACATGTACTGAGTTTTAAAAAAAACTGAGTAGCCTACGAGCAGATTTTTAACAAAAGACTGTTTGATTCTAACCTTGTCCTGAAAAAATCCCTTCTTGTGTGTCTTGGGGATTAATTACAGAATCACGTTGATCCAAAATAAGATAAATTTTGTGGGGTCGATGTTCTGATATGGAGCCGTTTCACCTATAGCCGCGTGAAAAGCTGCATTTACATCTGAATTTATACTCTGGTAGGACAAGTTGTTTTCAAACCCTAGCGTCTGGGAATGGTTCAAATGAAATTTACCCCTCTCGAACTCCTCTGGTACCAGTGTAGCATATATGGTAATGCCCCTCTCAATTTTTTAGGGTCCTTAATTATTCTGCTACATATTTTGGTGATCGCGCGCCCAAAAAGTTTGATGTCACAATACCAAAAAAAAAAAAGGACAAAAAAACAAAGCATGTAATATCGCCGCTCGTTTTATGTCATCGGGTTGGCCTCTTAGCTTGTTTCTCTCTTGCGGCCTTTTGGTGAGTGCGAGACAGTTTACCAGTTAGGTGGAAGCTATTCACAACGGACAGAGAGTAAACAGCTTCACCTTACTATCATTAATTGGGTGACAATGACAGTGACCAACACAACTCTCACAGCTTCAAATTCAATTCACAATATGCGTTTGATCACTTCATTTGATGTGGACTGATTCACCCTCACAATATTTTGAAATCTAATCACGAGTTCCCTTTTAAAAGTGGGGGACCTGGCCCATTTTTGGCTCTCTTCCCCTGGCTTTAATACTAGCTAGCCATGGAGGTCGAAGAATGTATCCAATCTACCGGAGAAAAAGGAGTGAAGCAGATGAATCGAAGCCAAGCTTCTCTATTTTTCTTCATTTTGTGGGGATCCTTTAATAAATATTCATTTGCCAGATTCCTTTGTCACCTATCGTAATCTGGACTACCACGGTTTGTGTTGAATGTATAATTGCTCGGGGCTTGATTCCTGCACCCATAGAACTTGCCGAACAAGGTCGGATATTTCGACGTTGCTTACAACAAGTTCTTCGCTTTCTTCGCTCCGCATTTGTATTAGTACCTCGGATATATTTCCCAACTATCATCCTGGTCCTTGTTTGTTTCCTTTAGATTTGTATTGGGGCTGCAAAAGTGAAAGAAATATCGGGAAAAAAATCGCATTCTCTGTGTTTTAGGATAAAATTTCACATATTAATTAAAAAAAAACTCACTTTTCTCGACGGTATTGAGCTTGAATTGAAAATAAGAATGACACAAAGGAAACCTACATTAAAATTAAAAACTTGCATTAAATCGTGACAATCACCACAATTTTTTCCTTCCCAACAAAAACAAAGGGATCATGGATACCATAGCCATCCCTGACGACAGCTTTTAAAAATCATACCTTCAAGCTTCAAGAGAACATGGACTGACTCAACAGTCTTCAATGATCAAGGCAAAAATAAAATTAATTATACGCCAATTTGGCATTCCGTTAAAATATTGAATTCCTATCAATCTTTCCCTGTTTGAATACTCCAAAATTGACCATCTTTCCGTTTGTCGAGGGATTTCCAGCAATAATCGAAGTGCTTCCTCATTTTCATCTCGCAGCAGGGGAAGCGCAAGTAGAATCATCTTTGCTGGACCAGCTTTCTTTAATTCGACACGCTTGCATTGGCCGTTCAATCTCAGAAAATTCCGCAGATTCCTTCTCCAGTTGTGAACAATATCTTCCAAACGTCTCCAAGTTCACTTGAAGTCTGAAATCTATGCTGAAAAGAAAGTTCATCTCCAACCTGTTTAACTCAGACGTGCTTACTCCTCCAACTTTTGCATAGTAAGCATTGTTAAAGAATCTGCAAAACCATGCGCAGAGAATGTAATTTTATGCCAAGCACCAAACTTCACAAGAAACAACAAAAACTGACAGCAACAGATAGAGAAAACATTCGCCACATGTCAAACTTGCACTTACGCATCATCCATAAACTTTGCTGCTAGCATTATGCTAGTAATCAGAAGCCTATGCACATTAAGCGAAGTCAGTTTGGCTTCTGTGCACTGAAGGTATCTATCAACATAGATGTGTGCAACAACAAAGCAGGAGGGGCTGCAGCCCGAGTATTTGAAGATCCGATCGACGTACTTACGGACACTTAGAGTTGGTGCTCTTAAACCATGAAACACAGTAACAACATCTTTTAGATGATTTGCCTCTAACAGCTCATCGTTTCTCAAAACTGATCTCTCAAGAAGTGAAGAGACAAGCGATAAAACACGTGGAACGCCTACAATTCTTTTACCCAATTGTTTAAGCCCCAGTGAAAGGTACACATCAGAGCTTTTGCTCTCACTTTCGAGCGCGCGTGTCCCCATACGCAAGCTGCAGATCAAGTCCAAAATTAGTATGACATGTCTCGTAATGTTCAATCGAACGTCATAAGAATGCATGATGATTCTATAATACAAGTTCTGTTCTCCATTATGGCAAGATTTGAAAGAACCGATACTTAATCCTTCAAAAAAAAAAAATTGACCAGAAAAGAAGAAATGCGAACATTGTGAGTTTCCGTGTTGCCAGTCTGGTCCCAATCACAAACACCATTGCAAAATCCCTTTAACTTGCCCATATAACTATAATGCAAGCCAATATGTCCCGAAGTTGGATTAGATCTAAGTAAACACTGCCTACATAACAGAAAAACGGATTATTTCTTCTGCTATCATGTGCCTTACAAGGAAACAACTTCAAGGGCTCGACCGCTCGAGTCCACTCTATTTCAATCTGTTTTCTATTCTCGAGCATCACAAGCTTTTCGGACAGAAAATCAGCTCCAGAAAAGGACTAAATACCCAATTTACCCATATGAAGCACGCCACTACGACCATACCTCGCAGAATCAGCCCCAGATCTCCAAATTAGCGGGAAAGATTACCGTGATTTACTTAATTAAACAATACGTCTACTCCACATTACTCATTACCGTAGGATGGAAAAATATGACATCTCCGCATACTTAAAACCTCCCCGACCCAAAAAAAAAAAAAACAGAAATAAATGCTAGCTTGTCGGAAAATGCAAATCAGAATTAAAAGCCACGCGTAACAAATCTAGGTCAGCAGAGAAACATATATCTGGATCCAAGAAACGGAGCAGGGAGAAAAAATTTCACTGCAATTGACAAAGCAAACAGAGCAGCGAGCTACACATTCAGGTAAGAAAAAAGGAAAGAAAGAAAAAGATGGAGATGAGAAAGAAACCAACGGAGTTAAGGGAAGACGGTCGCGGAGTGCCGGTGGTTGCTTCTACATAACGGTAAGGCGCGACGGTGAAACCCTGGATAAAGAGAGAAAGAAATCATGATTTGCGTGGACATCATTCTGGGTCGAGTCCCTTTTGTTGGCACTCACCCATTGAGAAGCAAATGCTTTATTTAAAGTGGAAATGACAAAAAATAGAATTTAGACAAACTAGGGAGAAGGGGGAAATAAAATAGCAATCCTTCAAGGACCTCACAGACTCGCAGTTAAAAAAAATACGATACGTTAAAAAACTCACCCATAAAAATTAAAAATTTAGTTGTAAATAATGATAGTTCAAAAATAAATTACTCGATACCAAAGTTTTTCTTGTTTTTTTAAAAAAATAATTAGACTTTAATTTCTACACGTGTTTATCATTTTATGAATAAATAATACAGTTAATGCTGGTTCTGTAATAAGGATAGCGTGGATACATGTAAAAATTCAAATTCTTTTAATATAATGATAAAACAACACATTTTAAAATTAATTTGGATCCTCAATATGTGCGTCCAATAGAATGGTTAGAGAATGCCCCTTTCGAGTCACCTTGATGCATATACGTTGTGTGATAGTGCCTTGTTAATTAATCTTTAACTGTAGTCCACCGATTAAAAATTATCCTTAATTGTAATAATCAAAACTAAAAATCCAGCATTAGTCTCCGCATTGAATCTAAAATCCACTCCTATTCTTTTCAACAAAGTCACATATAGTCAACTAATGACGCGGGAATATGATTCTTTTTATATGTTGAATAGCAACATCACGACACGCCAGGCTGCTAACCGTGATGTGATTTGAACGACTTATAATTATTATTTATAATTATCTTCTTCTGGCTCTAAATATAAAACGGACTTTTTCCAAGGATTTCTTTTTAAGAAAAAAGGGGCCACGTTAGTTTTGAATTTTTATCATCATATATACACCGATAAAATCCTTGCTGCAGAAGCGAAGACAACAAACCATGCGCAGATACCCAACTGGCAGAGTGTCGGTGCCGGAGCGAAGTACTGCGCCCGTTGTCAACGCGCTCTGGTAAGTCATAGGAATCTTCGTAAACCCAGATACTGTCCCCTAGACTAAAATACATATTTCGTCTTTTAATCTCGTACAATATTTTAATTTAGTTACTTAATTTTAAAAAATATACATTCAATCCTTTAATCCTAAAATCATTATATTTTAATGATATTTTTTTTTAACAATCATGAATATTTTAAAAATTAAAATTAAGAATATTTTATTAACATTTAAAATCTCAATGTCATCATTTTTTTTGAAAAAATTTTAAGATTAAAAAACTAAAAATATATTTTTTAAAATTAAAAGACCAAATTAAAATATTATACAAAATTAAAGGACTAGATATGTACTTTAGCTATTTTATTATTTCTGAACAAACTTGTCTATTATTCTATGTTCCCAACAGCCAGCTAACGATGAGCTTCCCCCTCGAGTCTCACCTAAGCATGACGTTCACCTCCAGTATCCTCGGATTAGAATTTTGACATGTGTAATAAAATTAATGTCCAATCGATTCCAAGATCGGCCCCAGCTTAAAACGCTCTCTGGTCACTCTCAAATTCCAGGGAAAGCGCCAGAAATTCAGCTCATATCACACCAAACACTGGCAAAATGACAGACGTTATACTTGGTATATATCGCCAAAACACTATCATTGCTACCAAACTACCAACGTGTTCAAATGATATCCACAGTAAGCAACACGAGTTCCAGTCTACCAAAATACAAACATCAGTCGTTCACAACATTACTATATTACAATAGCATGCCGGAAGAGGTTGAATATCGGAGATTTCAGCTTTTTCGGGTCTGTCTCTTTCTTTTACCACTGTAAGCCGCACAAGCATTTTGGATTGCTTGTACCGATGAATGAACAGCAGCGTCGGTACTCTTGGACAGATTGGAGATCGCGACAACATCCTTCCATTTATCCAATAGTTCAACCAACACGTCGCTCTGCTTCTCCAACTGCATATAAAGAATATCAACAATAATTAGGTCCGAACCGCATCAATAACATGCCCCCAACACACTTCACTAAAAGCTCAATTGATGCAATTTCCTGTTTTTCTTTCCTTGTTCCGTACCTATAAAACCATCAATCTCAAGTTACCTCCCCCAAAGGCTAATATATAATAAGAACACTCATCATGAATTTCAGTTATTGTGGACCACTGATTGTTATTTTCAGTCCCAGATAATGTAATTTTTGACAGATATTTCCTGACAACTTGAAAATTGACAACATCAGATAACAGGAAACTAAAGACAATCCGCTAATCTTGGCCATTGTTGGAAAAAGCAGGAACGGAGGATAGGAAAAGAAGTTGACAATTGCAGGCAGCTACAAGAAGAAACCTCATTATCGCTCTTTCAAACATATTACAACAATCATGAACAAAAGCTTTCTTGCTCCTCGAAAACATAGGAAAAATCAAAGACCCGAATAACGTTATTTTGCACAAACCATAAACTGAAACAGTTAAATTTAGCAGGGGTGCAGAAATTAGTGTTAGAGAGCTGTGTCAAATTGCATTCTTGTGTTTTTTTTTTTTTGGGGGGGGGGGGTTGAAAAGGTACATAAAATTGGGAAGGGGATATATAATTGAAGAAGAAGAATTACTTCAATATCAGCTGCAATTTATGGCTGATGTAACAATTATAAATAAAAATCAGGTTGTACGATAATACCACTAGACACTATAACGAAAGCGTACTAATGTAGCCCAGTTCTACTGTAAGCAGCTTCGTAACATACCACTTCAACTTTGGCCCGAGCACTTTCTAGTTTTAAAGTAAGTTGCCAATTTTCTTCTCTTAATGCTTCAAGCTGCATGTGCACGCACAAAAAAGGGTCTCCAGGGTAAAATAACAAATACAGATGTAACAACGGCCAGAAAGAAAAAGAAAATGGCTTAAAAGTGTAAGTGGAATACTAAATTAGACTTAACCTTATTCTGGGAGCCTGTGTAGGTCCCGTGCACAGCGGATGCTGGAGGTGGGGTTTTGCCTGAGTCGTTATTTTCATCCAACTGTTTGCATATTCAATACATCAGGTCATTAGATAAGTCAGTAAATCGCAAGAAAACAACATCAACATGTACTTTTATGCTTTGGATTGTTTAATACCTTGGCTTGCACAGATTCTATGATCTTTTCAAGAGTTTCTAATCGCTCTAATATGTAGTCAACTTTTTCTTTCAAGCTGGGTTCACTCTGGTTTGCGCACGGCTCTAAGCGCTCCAATTGAGTATCGGTTCTATCATTCTCATTCTCACTAACAATTACGTCTTCAACATATGTTTCAATGTCTCCATTTGAGGTAACCGGAACTGGAGTTTTACGTTGTGATCGCCTGAGACCAGGAGAATAATATCCGGATTTTCTCCTACGTGAAGTGGACTTCTGTTCCGGCTCAGTTTTTCCCTTCTCTTCTTGTCGAGCTGGACTTGGTTTAGACTTCCCCAGAGAAGGATTCACATTTTCGGGCTTTGAGCGAAGTAAGAATTATAGTCAGCAAAAGCATTAATAAAATATAAATCAACGACCAGCATTCTTGATTTTCTTAAATACAGTAATATAAATTCCTTACTCCAGAGGTGAAATACGGAAAGAAAGGGTCTGCTAAGCTATGTTTTACCTCACAAGTGAGTCGGAGCATTATCACAATGAGCACCCTGACATTACCACATTCCACACACACACACTTCCACCAAAAAAGAAAAACAGAACAAAAGCAGTATTACGTCCTCGGCAGCAGAATCGTCGAGATGGTCCATTTATGGCGTGTTAAGCAAGAAAGACAACTCGAAAACTGAAACCATGCTGAGCAAAAGGAGCCAAAAGCGACGGCGACAGAAAACAATTAAACAAGAAAACAGATATCCAATTAACCTAAACTCCAAGACCCAAACCAGAGCGCAACCCTAAGTCCATCAGCAAACGCAAGTTGGATAAGAATATTGATGCTATTTTCCATAGATGAAAGACAGAAAAACTCGAAATATGGCGAATACATGCAGATAAGATGCACACATAGATACTACAGGAGTGCTATAAAACAATGTACCGGCGGTCAGGCATCATGGAAAAAGAGGGCCCGGGGGGGGGATAAGCGAAGAGTTGAGTGTGGGTCTACCATGGAAGACTCGACGGGAAGCTTGAAAGCATTGGGTTTTCGACCCATTCTCAGGAAATGCGGCAGGAGAGAGGCGACCAAAGGGCTTTGCTGAAGTGAAGACGAGGGAAGCGTGAGCGGTAAGCTGGAACAGCGGGCTCAGAAGAAAAGAAGCAGAATCGAGGCGGTGCTGGTAAACTGGCAGTACACGTAAGGGTGCCTGTGTGGGTATTCGACTTTGGACCCTGATTTCATGCTCGTTCATGATAAGGCTCCTCTCGCGTGATTGGGCCGCCCTAACTATGCTTCCCACTCATTAATTATTAAGGGAAAACTATATTGGAGGTATCTGTATTTTGTGTAAATTTTTAATTTGGTATCTATGTGTTTTTTGTTCTTAATTAAATCTTTAATTTTACTCAATTAACATCATTAATCCTTATATAGAGACTAAAAATGTCAATAGAACAAAGTTATAAGAGCTAATGTTGCTAAAAAAGAAATTAAATATTTAATCAAGAGAAAAAAAACACATAGGTACCAAATTAAAAATTGAGAGAAAGTAGAGGTACCTATGATATGGTTTTCCCAATTATTAATGATTAAAAATATACACTGAAAACAAAAATTTCTAAATAGGCTAAAATATATTTTTATCTTTTAAGTTTACATAAAGTTTTATTTTGATCATTTAACTTAAAAAAAAAATTTTAGTTCTCTAATCCTAGAACCGTTAACAAGAAATAATGATATTATGCTCTTGAATGTTGATAAAACATTACTAAATACTATAATATTAAGTTTAATTTTCAAAACAACTAAGATTGTTATAAAAAATTATCATTGAAGACTAACACTTTTATAATTAAATGACTAAAAATATACTTTTTAAAATTAAGAGATCAAACTAAAACCTTATATGAGATTAAAAGACCGAATATATGCTTTAACATCTAAAATAAGACTATACTTTTTCTTTAAAATAATTAATTTCTACTTAAAATGCATAATAAATCAAAATGAGCATTATTTTAATTATAGCAACTCTCTTTAGTACGAATTGCTTTCTGCAGATATAAAAATAAATTATACAAATGTCTCGTCGAATAAATTTCTACTTTGCATTTCTATTAATTTGATAATTGCATGCTTATATTTTGACCTGCCTTATTCAATAATAATTTTGTCACTGCGAATGAAAATTTTTAATTCATAATAAAAAGTGATTTCACAGTTGATAAAAATGTCCTGTTAACTAAAATAGAGGATGTAACAAAATCCGATATTTAATATAAGACTTATTTAACTAATTTAATTAAATTAAAAAATTAAATAAGTTAATTGATTATAAAAATATTTTTCTTACAATAGTGTCATCATCTTACTTAATATCACCTCATCTCTTCTACTTTTGAAAAAATTAATATATATGAAGGATAAATTTAATATTTAAAATCAAATTCAACTTAAAAAAAGTATAATTAAGAAAAATTTAGATTCCTCAAGTACGAGATCATGATTTGATAACACTACCGAGGGAGTGTTTGGGTGAAAAAATACTTTTAAGAGGTGTTTTTAGGTTATCCAAACTCCCTGAGATAAAGTTTCAAATTATTTTTCAGAAATTAAATGGATTTTTTACTCGTACTTCCATACCATTTCATTCGATAGCTGACTTCTTGCACGCGAAGGGCCAAAACAAAAAAACATTGACGGGGTAGACTACGTATTCCCAGATCGCCGCCCCTCACTCCTTTTGACTGGTTTTTTTTTTTTTTTTGCCGATAAGAAGATAAAAAAACTTAGATCACGGACTATACACGGCCGTCTTGCCGATAAGCCTAAGCCGTTTTCTGTTGTGTTCCTAACTCCCTCCCTCTCTCCTTCTCCCTGCTTTCTTCTTTCATTCGAAATTCCATGGTACCTCTCCTCACCCCCCGCAACTTTCTAACCCCTTCACAGTTGGCCTCGCTGTTTCCCTGCCACACCCATTTCTCTCGTTCCCGCCTTCCCCTTCGACGACAACATGATTCAATTACTTGTAATTCTGTCTCAAACAGTTCCAGTGCATTCGACCAATACAAGCAACAAGTGAATCCTGCTTATGGGCAGCCTCAGCCCAGAACATTGTTCCCTGGAGGTTATAAGAGGCCCGAAATTAAAGTCCCTAGTCTGGTTCTCGAGTTGAACCCTGACGAGGTTTTGAGTGGTGGTGATACCCTTGATTTGATCGACAAGGCGGTCTCGAAATGGGTTGGGATTGTGGTGCTCACTAGCAGTGAAACCAGTGGCGGAAGGCTTTACGAAGCTGCTTGCACGTTGAAGTCGGTGGTTCAGGACCGAGCCTATTTGTTGGTTTCTGAGCGCGTTGATATTGCTGCCGCTGCTGGTGCTAGCGGTGTTCTGCTCTCTGATCAAGGTCATTATAGTATTCCTATTACTAGAACATGATCAAGACGCTTCATTCTTATTCTCTCTATTCAAACTTTTCGTCAGAAGCATCTTCCTAACAACCTTGACTATCCCATCTCATTAGAGGGAAAGAGGCATTGTTTGTCTGCTTGATCATTTGCCTATTTAATTGAATACCGTTAATTTGAAAAGTGCATACTTTGTCGACAATAATGATTCTTAACAGCCTTAATAAAGTACTGAATAGCGTGGACGGTGAACCCCCAGTGGCAATAACTAGTCAACAATTGAAAAGCAGTGTGTTCATTTAGATGTGTGAAGATGCTTCCAAGCTGACTTTAAGGCTTTCAACTTCTGAACTGTTTGTTATGTCTCTTGCAGTGCATTATCCCCCGCATGCCCTCCGTTTTGCATTTCTCGCAGTGATCTCCCCTCCCTCTAACGTCGATAATTTCAGGAACTGACAAAGATTATGCATTTCTCTCATTTCATGCAGGTCTTCCGACAGTCGTTGCGAGAAATACAATGTTGGATTCCAAATCTGAATCAGTGGTTCTTCCTTTGGTAGCTAGAATTGTGCAAACTGTAGATGATGCTGTAAATGCATCTAAATCCGAAGGTGCTGATTGTATTATGTATGGAAGTGCGAAATTGGAACATGCCAATCTGGAGGTTGATTCAATATGCAAGAACGTGAAGATACCTATTTTCATCATGTGTTCTTCATATGGAAAAGATATTTCCAATGCCGATGCATCAAACTTGTTCGCTTCAGGTGCAAGTGGTTTTGTTATCAATTTGGAAAGTTTTGGTTCATGTGATGATGAATCTCTGCACGCACTATTTGACAGCGAGTATTCAAATGATAAGAAAACATTTGATGGTCACGGTGGCAAAGTCAATGAGCGTAAGTTGTCAGACATTGATGATGACTTTCAGAGGGAAAAGGAGCTCTTAGCTGGATTTATCAAACTGAAAAACAGAGAAAAACAATTGATAGAAACAGAGAGGTCGATATTAAACGAAGCTGTGCAAGTTATCCGCAAAGCTGCACCACTGGTGATATTTTAATTTTATAAAATGTATTTGAAGTAACTTTATTTTTCACTATCCTGCATGTTGACCTGGATATCTTTTTACTGTGTTGAATTGGTATTGATTTCAAATGACAGATGGAGGAGGTTTCACTTCTCAATGATGCAATTTCTCAAATTGATGAGCCATTTTTACTGGTTATAGTGGTAATTGTGCGCTGAATCTCAAGAAATTCTGGTTCCTGGAATATACAATATTGGTATTAGCTCTAAATTTCAAAACAAGAAAAATCTTATTATCATGCTTTAACTAAGGACTAATTAATTTCATAATTTCTTTAGGCTTTTTTTTTTTAATTAAAATTCCTAATAATTTTTTAAATAGTTGGATGCCAATTTTTTTAATATTGAAATTAACTACTTTTTCCATGTTGAGGAATTCGTAAGAATGCTGCAGAAGTTTTTAACATACTATGCCTTTTGTCTGTTTTGAATCATCAATATTATCAGGGGGAATTCAACTCTGGTAAATCCACTGTCATCAATGCGCTTCTTGGGCAAAGATATCTTAAAGAAGGAGTTGTGCCAACAACCAATGAAATCATGTTTTTAAGATATACTGACTTAGACTCAGAAGAACAACGTTGTGAAAGGCATCCAGATGGCCAATATATATGCTATCTTCCTGCTCCAATTCTTAAAGAAGTAAGCAAATCAACTTTTGATTTTTCTTAATTCAGTCATGATTTATCCCTGCCCTTTTTATATGCAGCAACGCTTGATTTATGCTACACTTTGCCGTTGTTTTCTTTTCTGTGTGCAATTAGTTGTACTCTCAACAATGCTCTCGTTCTTTTGAAAACAGATGATCGTTGTTGATACACCTGGAACTAATGTGATTCTCCAGAGACAACAACGTCTAACGGAAGAATTTGTGCCCCGTGCAGATTTGCTTGTGTTCGTTATTTCTGCTGATCGTCCTTTAACTGGAAGTGAGGTATGTTCAAACTCCTATGCTAAGGGATTAAGGGACATAATATGGTGATTTTTGGTTTCGTGCTGGTACTTATTGTTCTTGCAGGGGGCTAACATGCACAATCCTGTGTCCATTAGCAATCTGATTGTTGCTGCTTTAATGGCTGTGTTTCAGGTTTCTTTTCTTCGATATTCTCAGCAGTGGAAAAAGAAAGTTGTCTTTGTTTTGAATAAATCTGACATATATCAGAGTACTCATGAGGTTCATCAATGGTTTAAGCTTCATATTGGTTATAGATAATTTCATATAGTCTTGAGTGATTAGGTCCATCCTATGCTTTACTGAAATTACATTGACAATTTGTTGCAGCTTGAGGAGGCGGTGTTGTTCATCAAGGACAATGTGAGGAAATTGCTGAATATTGAAGATGTGATATTGTATCCTGTGTCTGCGCGATCTGCACTTGAAACGAAACTTATGGCTACCTCGGATGTTGGAAAGCATAATGGAGAACTATTGGTCTCTAATAGTGATTCTTATCATAGAACCAGGGGCTTTGATGAATTTGAAAAGTTCTTGTACAGCTTCTTGGATGGTTCAACAATACCAGGGATGGAGAGAATGAAGCTGAAACTTGAAACTCCGGTTGCAATTGCAGATAGACTAATTTCAGCTTGTAACACTCTTGTGACACAAGACTATAGATATGCCAAGCAGGATTTGACTGCAGTGAATGATGTTATCAATAGTATAGATGACTTTGCTCTGAGGATGGAAAGTGAGAGCATCTCTTGGAGAAGACAAATTTCATCATTGGTTCGTTAAGCAGAATTAAAGATTTTTTTTTAAAAAATTGAAACAAAATTTATTTATTTCCTCTCATGCATTGTGTTTCTGATAAAACATGGCATGAATTATCAGATTGAGACGACAAAGTCAAATATTGTGGAGCTTGTTGAAGATTCTCTGCGATTATCCAACGTTGACATTGTGGCTTCATATGTATTCAAAGGTAAAAATTATGCCATGCCTGCTACCTCAAGAATTCAGAATGACATGATTGTTCCTGCTGTGGCGGCTGCCCAGGTTAGTAGCTGGATGTAAAGTTTGAACTATCAAGGATTCAAGTTGAATTATGAATCTAGATTATATTGCAAATGGTTTACTTTGTTGTTTTAATTTTTGCATGAGACAGACACATCACCATGCATCATATTAAGGCTGGGGACCATATGATTAGCATATTATGCCTAGAGTTACCTGTAATTTGAAAATAATTCCTTTATGTTCATTTTGACGTCCAGAAAATACTGGGAGAATATGAAGATTGGTTAGAATCCAAAAATACTGATCAAGGAAGACTCTACAGGCAAACTTTTCAAAAACAATGGCCATCATTGATAAATGCAGAGAGTCAGGTGGATTTTGAGACCTATGAGTTGTTAAGGAAAGTGGACCACACCGGAAGTCAAGTAATTGAAAAGTTCAGCAGCAGTGCTGCTTCCAAGTCATTTGAGCAGGAAGTACGTGAGATGGTAAGTTTGAAATTTATTGTGATTCTGGGGAACCTTCTTCTATCTTTCCTTCCCCCCCCCCCCCAATCTGGAATATTTATTTTATTGAATATCTTTAATTATATCCAGTTGTGCTGTCTATAAACAATCTGATCCAAAATGTTTTCCATTTACATTAGTTCTTAGGTGCTTTTGGTGGACTGGGTGTTGCTGGCTTATCCGCTTCACTTCTGACATCTGTGCTGCCAACCACTTTGGAGGATCTTCTTGCTCTTGGCCTTTGTTCTGCTGGCGGGTAATATGCCATACTTGAGAGTGAGCTATTATATGACAATTTGTTAGACTTAGTAGGTTTGGTGGCTGTTCATTTTTTGTGGCCGAAACATATTTCTTACAATGATCAAATAAAAATCGATTTTGCAACTCGTTTTTTGTTAATTGCTGAGGGGAGATCTGTCTTTATGACAGGTATCTAGCTATTTCAAATTTCCCAGCTCGTAGACAGAGTGTGATTGATAAAGTGAAAAGGAAAGCAGATACGGTGGCCCTTGAACTTGAAGAGGCCATGAAGAAGGATCTCGTTGAAGCTACAAGGAATTTGGATGCTTTTGTTAAAACCCTTGGCAAACCTTACCAGGATCACGCACAGAACAGACTTGACAGGCTGTTAGAGATTCAAGAGGAATTGTCAAATGTCGATAAGAAAATTAGAACGCTACAGATTGAAATTCAAAATCTTCACGTGTCATGAACTCCTTTTTTGAATTGTATATAACACTGCAGTTGAGTGAGTAGGCAAGAGGAATTCGTCCCTTTTTTTCCTTCTTCTGTATTACTGGCAATGCCAGTGGAAAATTTTTTGTCGTTCACGAATTCCAATACTATCTCACTAGATTTTTTATACTCCGTCGGTAGCAACTGAGCGGAATAGATTATAGATGTTGGTAAAAACATGTCATGTTTGCTCTGATTTCCCATCAAGTCATACAGAGCAAAGCTTAGTGAGCAGGCCGACTAAGTCCTTTTTTGTATCATTAATAACGTAAAGCATTAGTGATTCGTATTTCAGACATATATCTACCGTGTAGAAGCGCTCACATTGGAATTTAACTGTTCTATTCCTCTGATCTTCGTTCAAGATTAGACATGCCCCCTCCCCTTTTTTCCCACTGTATTCTCAAGTGTGGCCATATGGCGTTGCGTGCGTTAAATGTAGCAATAGACGTTATAGCTCCTCCATTCCCTTATTTCAAATTTGAGAAGTTGACGGTGCCTCGTCTCTTCGGAGTTCGGATATAAGAATTGCAGGTGCTGCAATAAGTTTTGTGAAACGAAACCATAGTCCATCTTCAAAGATGATATCTACTACTCTATCAACAAAAGCTTGCGACGGAATCACCCCATCTGTGTGCCTTGTTTTCCCTTTTGCAGTTTACGTATTATAAATGAGCATATATTGGTTTTGAAGACGGTTGTGTGGTCTTCGCCTTCATTTTAAATCTCACTGCGCGAACCAAACATGATGGATGCAATCCATGTACCATCGTGTGCGTTGGTGACGTTTCGTACTCGACACAAAAGAGAATCCCTTAACATTCTTTATTACAACACAAATCCTAGATTGAGAGGGTATTCGGTTTTCCTCGGAATACAAATTAAGATAAAATTTCTCACATATTTATTTTATGTATCGTAAAATCACTTTTAAAACGATAGTTTTTGTGTCTGCCTCACACTTTCTAAGTAAATGATACGCTAGGCAGCTGGAAAGTTTTTTCCTTTTTGCCAACGAGGCAGAGGCACAAACGCGGGAGGGTATTATTCAGTCAAGATTTGATAATCAGGTTTTTGACCCATTTAGACTTCAGAGATTAGTGAGGGCATGAAAGGTGCATATATTCTTGTCCCCTCTTTAATTTCCCTTCCCAATCTCCCTCCCCTTCCCTGCTTCTCGTACATTAAAACGTCAAAGATATGAACTTATTTCCTTTTTTGGCCAATAGAGATGCATTGCTTCAATGCGGTGACGATACGTGTCACAGTCAATATCCAGTTCAACTACTTTTTGCAAGCACAACAATCCGCATCCCCTAGGACGCATGATCATCAATTCTTTGTGTCCTTTTGCTTCCTGTGCGAGGGACTTGGTATCTTGCAATTGGGATTTCATTCTCAAGCGGGAGGAGGATATGACCCGGGGGAAATCTTTTTGAGAATACATAACTAGGCTATTTTCTAGCTATGCGTTAAGAGTGGGGCACAAAAGAAACCAGGAGAGTTCATGGTGGTAATCCTACTTGTCAAGACGGTGTTTTCATATCATAATATGACATTGGTGGTTGGTGTAGCACACATCTGTTTCTAATCGGCTATTATTATAATCTAAAACTTAAACTGCAATTCACCTTTTTATTTTTTATTTTTTTGCCTCGTTATGTTATTAAGAAGATGTTGCCATTGACTAACGTTCCCAACAAATTTCTTAATTAGCCGATTAGTCCAGAAAAGTTGCACGTCTTGATCTGTAAGACATCTCCTGTTGAAAATTTTTTTAGTGAGAAAAATTTATCAATTTTTTTCACATCAATAATAATATTTTTAGCTAATAAAGAGTTGATTTAGCAGTACAAAGCCCTACTGGATCTCTTTGGATTTCAAGTTCGAGTTTCATAAAAGACACCTTCACAGGGAGGGGAAGGGAGGGAAAGCCAGAAACACCGAATTGAATTGGCCGGATGATAATATATAAAAAATTTCAATGAGAACTTTTTTCCAGTTTTCCCAGTTACCTAAAGGCTTTGGTGTCTCCTGACCCTTAATTCTTGCCTAGTGGGTTGACTTTCTTAGATTATCCCAAATGAAGCTTATGGCCGAGTTCGTGGGTTTGATCCACTCGCTGTTAGTGCATATCCTTGTTGTTTAAAAAAAAAAAAAAAGACAGCGGAATGGGCTAGTCTCTCGTAACGTGACGAATCAAAGTTCGAATTCCTGCTAGGAGAGGTGTCATATTTAGTACTCGACAGTGTCTTGAATAGAATTGTCTCCAATAACAAGATATCTATGCTTTTAGCAAAAAAAATAAAAATAAGAAACAAAGAAAAGATTATCCCAAACGAAAGAGCTCTCCGTCGTCTTCTCTGCTACGACCACCTGTAGCCAACGCAATACCATGTTCTTGAGTTTCACATAAGTATGTTTGTGTTTTTTTCACATGGTCGTTTACAATTGTACAGAAGCTAACCAACTAGAAGCAAGTGCGGAAGTCAATTAATGAAGTGCTTTAAGAAGATTTAGGTAGTTGGTGTTATGTAGAGTATGTACTTGAAAACGGACTTAGACTAGAAGGAGAAGGTTTAGTAGTGCGTAATCATGCAATCAAGCTTCATTTGTCTCCATAAAGAAGTGGCTGAATTTACCATATACTCCTTATTACAAGAGATCTCACTATTGGGCACTGCAATAAAGTTCCAAACACTAGCGCTGTATTCCCCGAGCCTCCACTATAAATTCAGGTCCCTTCTTCCTTCTCTTTCCATGCCGTGCTTACTTCTCTTCCCTTTAATATTGTTTCTTTCTCTGCTTTCCCAGCCTTCCCATATTCGTTCTCTTGAGTCATACCAAAAGCCTCCTGCATTCCTTACTGGAATTTGGAAAAAAGTTCGTCCTGTGTCGTGCTGCTCTCCTCTGTTTTGTTCTGGGATAGCTACAATGTCTTCCTCAAGTGTCTGTCAAGGTTTCCAATCGTGTCTTACGGAACCTCGTGTTCTGTGGCTAAAATTGGCTCCACCCTTTGAATTGCCTTCCCTTTCAGAGTCTGAGACGCACCCACTTACCCCGCCCAACACCAACTGTGAAAAAGACTGGCAACAGGACAAAAATCCAAATGCTGACAGGGGTGGCTGGACTTTTCTTCAATCTCTTTGCAATAAAACTGACAAGTATGAAACCCAAAAAATCTATATCCACCCTCTGGTAAAGCGCTCCTCTTCCTCCCTGAGTGCCAAGAGCTTAGAGATGTGCACGGAGAGCTTGGGATGCGAGACGGGCAGTGATGGAAGCGAAGGCAGTGATGACATTGCCCTGTTTTCATTAGAAAAAAACTCGTCCTCTTTGGCTACTCCAGACGGTGACAGAAATCGTGTGTCAAAAAGATCAAATCGCAGTGTTACTAACTTTCCTCCTCCACTGTCTTCAATGAGTAAAGAGGGAGGGGTTCGAGTTAGGCCTCGTCGTGAAGATGGTCGTCTCATCTTGGAAGCAATGCCTTCCCCTTCTCATCCTTCTCGTTTCAAAGCAGAGCGCAGCGATGGCAGGCTTAGGCTTCAACTCTTGTCTACCGTCAACCATTCTCTCAGTGATGACGACGGATCAATTGAAGCAGAAGGAGAGCAAAAAGAAGAAGGGGCTGAAGAAGATGTTGCAGATGAGGTGGAGGAGTACTGGGATGAGAATGAAGGGGATGAAACGGGAATGAGAAAGATCCCAAGGCCAAGCAGGTGCAACGAAAACGGGAACTTGAGCAACCAAATGCTTGAATGGGAGCCATTCTGGGTGGCTACTTAAATGCAACTCTTCTCTCAGAATTTACTATTATTGGTATTGCTGCTGTTGCTATTGTCATTTCTACTTTCTTTTCTCCCCCTTCATAATTACGAATATCAGCTCCTTTGGGAGGGGGAGATTGGTGCTTGCGATGTAAAATTGTACTTATGGTAGTTATTATAGTTATTAGTTATTTTGGACGAGGTCCTAATACTCTCACCTCTCTTCCGTCTTATTGGGAAGTTGCTTTATGTTTCTTTGCTGTTTTTCTTATGAATGTTCCTAGTGACTTAATTCTGAATGCTCAAAGTAGTGCATAATCATAACAAGTTAGGCATGCGCAACAGAGAGCGTACAGCAGAGCTTTTATATATAATATCAAAATCATAAACTGGCAGTGGATCCAAATCCCACACGATAGTACTCTCTATGCGACTATAGGTGGAAACTAAATTAAAGCATAGAAGTAAATACTTAAGAATTAGAGAAGATGAAATGACGGCTGATGAAGAGGGATTGGTCAAGGAAGAAAATGCATGAGTTTCTGAAAAAGGTAATATGAGAAGAATCGGAAGGCGTCCCTTGTTTTAAAAATGCTTCATTTTATAAATATGAAATAATATATCAGAGTCTCACTGTCACATTGGAAAATGGGAAGACATGGAAGTAATGAATGAAATAGCAGAGAAGAAGCAAGAATGGAACATGCAAGTGGCTAGAGAAAGAGAGGCTGGGAAGCATCAGAAAAAGGAGGGACCCCAAAGCACAACAGTAACATGGACTGAAATCGTCACCAACGATGATCCATGTGCCTTGGCTCCTCTAAGCACAGTTCTGAAATGAAAAGCTCGATCTTTAGTTATATGTTTAAGTGATGTGAGCGATAAAGATTATGGAGGATAAGAGGGTTAAGAAGGAAGTAAGTGCATGGATGATGGTGGCAGTAATGGGTAATTAAGGGAGTTAGGCAAAGACGAGGGGCAGGGACCTGCAGGGATCTCAAAAACGAGCACATGCACCACCACTGCTCTTCAGCATCATGTGCCCTTTCGGAGGTGTAGAGGAATAGGACCTTCCCTCCACATATTCTCTCCTCTCTTTTCTTTCTTCATTCCATATACACAAGTGATGTCATGTCTTTCATCTCATTTTTTTTTGACATTCTTCGTATTTTATTTAGGGAGAATTACAATCAAGTCTTATAAAAAAAAAAAAAACAAAACAAGTCCCACAAGTTGTTATTTTTCATTGTAGGACTTATCATTACAAACTGTTCAAATTGCTATTAAACTTTTTAATAATTATTTTTTATGTGGAATTTGACTGTAATTCTCTCTTTTATTTATATACTCGAGGAGTATCGATCTGCTGATAATGATGTTTAGGGATTTTTATGCGATTGATTAGTCAGACTTGGGGCTTGATGACGAGCTGATATGCCAGCGTGGGGTCCCCAAAAAGATGGGCTTGTCTGCCTCGTCGGACTTGGGTACGTTTTTTCTTTTACATGTGACTGTGACTGTGAGCCACTTTCTCCATTTTATATAATTTATTAAAGAAAAGAGAAGTCAGCCATGTGATCAGTTAAACTTAGCAAACATTGCGACTTTTTGGGTGCAGGCAAAGTTGGTCTTTTTGTTGTCACCAACGCAAGTTTTATTCGAAACTATAACCTATAATCTAATCTACTCACATTACATGAATTCTATTCTAAACGGAATTTATTTATTTTCTCCCCAGAAAATAATTAAAAACTTGAATATGCTGGTCATAATATAGTATATAAATAGAACAATTAATCTGGAAATTAAATATCATTTATATTAGATACTCTCTAGCTACATTGAGTAGTGAGAATCAAAAGTTAAACTCTCGACAAAAGTTATGCTGGACATACTAAAAAATTATAATACCCAGGGGGAATAAGGTCGACAAATTTACATTTATTTTATGTTTGTTAAGTAATATATATATATATATATATCAGTGATGGGTATATTTCAAAAAAAGAAAATCAAATTATAAACGACGCCTTGAGGTGTTGTATATGGGACCCAGGGCATTCCAGGAAGGACACTGAAAGGGAGGATTCGATCTTGTTTGACGACTGCTATACTGCAGCCATCGCTATTTTTTTTCTGACACACCAGGTTTCGACTTCTGTTTGGTTCTCGTGTACATCGGCTTCTGTTTTCAGATGCCTTTTTGACTTCCCACTTCCCTCCCATTCGTACATTTCTCAGCTGCATTCATCGTACCATGCGGCGAAACAATTCCACACGTATCAATTCCTTTGTTTTGTTCATTTGTACACTGCATCTGTTCTGCCTCGTGCTCGTATTATACCTGACATTCAACAATATATTATTACAGGTATGGCATCACCACTAGGAGAATTGAAGTCAGTCACTTAAATCATTGGCCATCCAGGACCCAACTCTAGTCATTACACGCCGTGGCATCAAATTAGTGTTTCTAGAGTTGCATTATTATTGTGTCTCCTTGTAATTAAGATGATCGCAGACACTAACTTCTTGGCTGTCGTACACGTCTCATTGGGCGTGCACATATGTACTAAATGTGCACGGGAAGAAGTGCATATTTATGTTTAAAGTTATACCTATAATGTCTATTCTCAGATCGGATGAAAACATGCATATATAAGATTTAAGGTTCAGCTGCATTGTCGAATTGTGGTGTTCAATTTTGGAGAAGACTGGCATCTCTAGGAACTAGACACATATTACGTTAGCAGGTATAAGAACAATAGAGTCTGCGGGGAACAAAATATTCCTGTCTAAGTATGGTGCTTTGGATATTGCGGAGGTACTTAAATACCTTGTTCGACTATCGGGCGTTCTGTCGCTGTCTCGCATTTGGTAATTTTGCCTCTCAGTACGTAGGTAGGTAACGTAATCTGACAATGATGCATTCCATCTGGCACGGCACGAATTGGATGTTCCCAACGTATTCCTCAACTTGCCATTTTAATTTCAACAACATAGATGTTATTTCAGACATTTTCAGAAAAAACAAAAACAAAAATCAAGTAAATGGCAACACTGTGGAATACAAGAGCGCCATTACTTGCGACAAAAGGGAGACCAGTATCCTTGTCATTCTCAAAGACACCACATCATTGTGTCTGCTCAACATTGGACAGAAATGAAACCGCACATCTACGGAGAGATCGACGAGTCGACAAAATTAAATTGACGTTTCTCCCTCTAACTTGCTAGCTAGCTCTCTCTATACATATAAGGTGAGACATGCGCGGCAAAAGACAAGCAAACAGGGCGTGTTAAGTGGTGTTTGTTGTGAATCAGATGACCATTTAAGCACACACTTAACTACATATCTATATGATCAGCAACTTCTCCTCAAGTTGTGCCCTAACTGGAACTGGCACGCGATGAAGGCTTATATAATGCATGGCCAAAATAAGAGCGGTCGGGTAGAGTTGACAGGATAGAAATAGGATGGCTTGCACGCAAAAGACATATGTACAAAATAATCATTAAGAGGAGACCCGAAAATATAGGTTACAAGGATAATCATGGGAAAGAAGAAGGGGACTAATATACACAGGGCCATGGCAGGTTGTGGTGGTGATTGAAAAAGCTGGCGTTCTCAAGGGGATTTTCGACGATCTATCATCATCAACTGCAATCCCATGCATGGAGGAAGAAATCTAGCATCTATATATATAGCGGGACAAAACTCAGACACAATAATCACGTATGTAAGCCACTAATGAATTTGTGATCCACGCACGCAGCGGAGTAATTAATGCGTCATTGTCGGTATTGCTTAGTTAAATGCCTCTTGCATGGAGACACGCATGTGTGTGTATGCCTTATAAGCAGTTAGTTTATACATATAAGTCAGTTTTAATCAAATAAAAAAATACATGCACACTCAGTTAATTTGAACAAAGGAGTAATTAGCTTATTCATATAACGTGGAGAAGTGTATATGTGATCGGTAATGGAAAAATTGCCAAGGTACGGCTCAAAGGTGAAGAAGGTTTTGTGACGTCACCAAATCTAGCAATGATATAGCGGCAGGATCTGGATCTAGTATATCCTTCGGGGCCCCACATTTCAAATGCTCACTCGCGTGCTGCGGCGGGGTGCATGATTGAAGGTCGTATTGGTACAGGGTCCGTTTAGACAGTGATTAAAAAATAACTTATTGAAAAAATAATTTATGGAGAAGTAAAGTTGGGTAAAAGTCAAATTAGATAAGCTGGATTGTGTTTGGATTGGAGTTCAGAAAAACTAGTTTACAAAAATGAGATTGATAAAAAGTTGTTTGAATTATAGTTAAGTAAAAGTAAATTTGGTTGTAAAATAACTAAAATAAGTATGAGTTTTAATAAATAATAAAACATGATAAAAAAAATAATTTTACAAAAATTAAAATAATTTAATATGAATAAGTCAAATTTAATGAGTGAATTAAATTTTAAAATTTTAAAGAAATCATAAAAAAATTTTAAATATGAAGTGAAATGTGATAAAAAAATGAATTGAAATAATACAATTAATTTAATATAAAAAAGTAAAATTTAATAAGTAAATTAAAATTGAAAACATAAGAAAAATGAAAAAAATTACTGCTAGTGGTTGTAAATTATGGAAGATATTAAAAAAGGAAGACCGAATGAAATCCAGAGGCGAGAGAATATTATACGAGGACCCTTTCCGATTGGAAATAATAAGGAGGAGTGAGAAACAATGAGGAGGAATAGTGCCAGAAGGGAGAGAAAAATATGGTGGGAAAAAGTTCTTTGACACACTTGTAGAAATAAGCTCTTCAGACCGAGTCATAAGCTCCCTCCTCCAGCTTACTCCAACTGTGCGTTGAGCTAGCTTAAAATCCAACAAGCTAAATGTATCTAAAGCCCTGTCAAACATCATCAGAATTTTCAATGTGGCTTATCTTGAAATTAAGTACCCAAGTCTTCATCAAATGATTTTAATGAACAGAATAGTGTCGAGGAATATTTTAAGAGTATATTAATGGAGTTAAGAATTGAGACTAAAATGGATGAAAAGTATATGTGGTAAAGATACAACAAAAGGAAAGCCACTGCGCTGTGTTTTGTTCAGGAATAAGATGAACGATCAATGATCACAAATTTCACTATGCAGTGTGATGTGCGTGCATGTTTATGCCCTAAATGGATGGTCCAATTCAAAATGAATATCCAGTTTAACTAGTTGGGGGGCAATATAATGTTGCTTTTGCAGATTCCAATAGAGAGAAATGTGAGTGGGGATGTCAGGTTGGTTCTCTCTTGGGGATAGACTGACGTACAAGAATATGGGAGATGAGAGGAATAAAAACTTAGAAATAAACAAGAAACGAAGGACTGAAGCATTGGTGCAGGATGGAGTTGGAGGCAACCGGATCATGGGTACAGTGAAGTGTAGTCCAGCAATTATCAGCCACGTGTCGACCCCCCGCCAGTTGCCCTTATCTCTTGCTCATCTCTCTTCGTGTGGTCAACTATCCCCCCTCCAAAAAAAAAAAAAACTCAAAATGATAGGTGACTTTTTTCCACGTCTTTCTTTCTTTTGTGTCTTTTGAATCCAGTGCTGGGGGTATAAGAGTTTGAGCGAGCGTTAGTTTTTAAATCTCAATTTACTTTACTTTTTAAATTTATATTTTTTTTCATAAACCTTCCATATTAATTATACATATCAAAAAAATTTATAGGAGGTATTTTTGAATACAAAAAACTAAAAAAAAGTGTTTTTAAAAAATAAATAATTAACTTAAATATTTTTTTTAAATTATATAAATTAGTTATTTAACTTCTATATTTTAGATTAAAAAAAGTAAAATATTATCATATGAACAAATTTCATACCTTCTCTTTCATCTTATTGATGCCAGCAATAACTAAATTTTCAGCACAATACACAAGAGAGACTATCGGCTGGTGGCTGCCATAATTGAAAAGCGCATACACAACTCTATGGACCTGTTTAGATTAGTTTATAAGTAGCTTTTCAATCATGATTTATGGAATACGAAATAAACATGTGAGAAGAGTTTTGTCTCGACTTACGTAAAATATGCCTTAAGTGTTTTTAAATGTTATCACAAACAAGCCTTATACCGTTTTGGATTTAAATTCACGCTCTCTCCTTATCTTACATTTACGTATAAGATACTTTCTAGGGCATTTTAGTGATTCAAAATATGAAAGCAAGTTCAATTGCCGATCAATTAAATTAAGATAACCTCTATATTCAGAGTACTATATTTGGATCTAAATACGTACGACGCTTATAATTAACTCATCAAAAATAAAAAGAGATAATTAAATCATAACATGAGTTTTTGAAAATATGAATTGAAAAAAAAAATCTACAGAGTTACATGGGACGATTTTGTTTTTTGATAACATGTATGGGTGATTTTAGAATATACTCTACATTTTTTATGCAAAAATACCGACACATAGGACGGTCGAATTGTTCTCGAAAGCAACCAAGGCATAGGAAGGATCGGAGGGGTTGGCAAGGAAGGGAAAGGGAGGATTACAGGGAATATTAAAAGTGTTTCAGTAAAACATCAGGGACGGAGCCTGCTGAGCGCAGAGAATGCGAATAATCAAATGAACCTGGAGTAAGAATGTTTAGTGTGTGTGTGTGTGTGTGTGTGTGTGTGTTTAATTGAACAAAATACATGAAATGTTTTTCACGGAAAAAGGTGCGGACAAACAGGCACTGGTACATTTAAAGAGAAAAGAGAGAGCCAGAGAGGGATTTTTGGGATGGCGTGATGATTCGATGACATGATAATGCATGGCAGGGGGGATGATCTTATGTGATGGAACGGTGGGTGTCCTCCAATCAGAGTTCGACAGATGCGGAAGCTTATAAAGAGCCTACGGCCTACCCTATAATATTGGCCCCCGGTCTCATCAATTAATCAGTTATTACTTATTACAACTAATTTTTCAATTTGGAATGAGTTATAAAATAGTTCATAGGTAGCTTAATTTGATGTAATTCAATTTTTATAATTTCTAATTAATTTAAATGCAGTTTTTAAGTTTTAACTCAATACGACTTAATTTTCATAATTTACTCATTTAAAACACAAGCTCTGGGAGGAAAAAAAAAACTTTAATGTTATTTGGAATGACTTATAAAATAGTTTACAAGTAGTTTTTAATTATAATTTATGAATATCAGATAATTGTGTAAGAAAAATGTTATTTTGATTTACATAAATTTGCTCATTAAATATAAATCTAAACAAAATGTCTTCTACGTGGATAATACTTAAAAAGGTTTAAAAAGACATTTATATTCTAAGTCTCGGACGAAGCTAAGTGCCTTGTGTAAGAATTTAATCAACACGTTCATAAACTCTTGTTTGGAGAATATTCTGATAGGGCTTCAGGTAAAGGACCTAGGTAGGAGGTTGCCAATAAATTTGAAGGCCCCATAGACTTATGAATAACTGTTTAGTCCAGACCAACTGAATCATTAAAAACAATGAATGCTAACACAGATTGAAGAAACGGAGCTCAGATCAGCTGTTTGGACTGTTTCAACTTAATTATGAATCTCAAATTCGATAGGTGGGAATATACTCCTCCGGTCCTTAATATAGAACCCAGTTCTTGAGTTGGTTTTGGTCCTAAATATAAGACCCATTTATCATATTTATCAATTTTCTCTAAATTACCCCTATGAATACTCTATCAACCATAATCAAATAGAAGAGGGAGATGAGGTATTAAGAAAGATGATTATGGTGTTTTAGAAAAAATGTGTCATTTTTTTATAATTAACTAACTTATCTAACTTCCTTAATCTAATCAAATTAGTTAAATGAGTCTTATATTAAAGACCGGAGGAGTAGTATCTTAGAAGTTAGGAGTGTCAACCTTAATAGTTCCTGTCATGTCTCAATTCGAATTAATCTAAGCCTATTATTATACCTAAAAAATGGTCTGACTCAAAATATCATGTGCTTAAAAAAAAAAAGGAGCCCACCAGGGGCATATCTTTGTCCATTATCTCTCCTTCCTGCTTAAAAGTTAAACTGATGCCGTAGCCGTCCGATGGAACCTATCTAGTTACCCCCCAATTGTACAGTTCGTACGATCGAACACAGATAACACGGTGATCAATGTCATGCTATCGTGTGCCCAGCTCTATTTGACCCTGCTTTCCAGCTTCTGGCTGTATCCGTCCCGGGCGAAATCCCTCAGTATATCTTTGGGGAAGAGGCATGCGACAGGTCGAATTCAAAATCACTAGAAGATCACCACATGATCTGACACAACAGTCCACCAATTTTGTTGGTGGCCTGATATGATTCTTAAGAATAGTTACGTTGCCGCGAGTTTCCACATACATGAACATAAGCCATGACCTTTAATCTCAAGCAGCACGTGGCTCTGGTTGTTGGTAAGTAAAAAGTTCGGATCACTTGTTCATTTGGCAAGGTTCAGGTTCATCACCTAAATAACAGCAATCCATTTTGAGAAGAGGAGGTTTGATTTACGGAATTGACGGACATGGAGTGAGAAGCACAGTGCCAAGAATTACTGCAGCGAGCCCAGAGGATCTGATGAGGAAGCTGTTTACCCAACCCAACCTGCATCCACAAAGGCCCACGGGCAAATAATTTAGCCGAGAAACAGATTTACGTCATTCTCCCTCCTACTATTGCAAAATAGAAGACACTTGTCTGCCGATCAGCCATCGTGTCTGTTCTTATTCCAAAATGGACTTCAAAGGCCCATAACACTATAAAAGTCCGATGCTTCAAACATCAGTACTGGGCTTCTTTTATACCATTATTATATTTTGGGCCAACTCTTCTGCTGCGCTGGCAATACCCGCAAGAGTCACCAAAAAACCATTTGTGCAGATTAACGGGGGAAACGATGGGAAAAAAAAAAAATTGAACTTATTAGGCGTGCTTGTTTCAGCCGCCGGGGGATGTTAGCTTTGGCGGGGATTTTCTTTTATTCTTCTCCCATTTTATAATTTTTAGCCTCTTTTGTTTCTAAAAACGAAAGTCGAGCAATCAGCAGCGTGACCCCGGGAAAGTGCTTCGGCTGATACACCTTCTCGAGTCCTAATGGAATGACGCGGAAGGCCCGAGGAGACCTGAACGGTAAAGCTGCGACTGCGAAGCCCTAATACATCAGGCCACTACAGTAGGTGCCTTATCCGATCTTATACCACGACGATGAAGTTCCCGATAGAAGATGTTACCGTGTACTTCCCCTATGATAACATATACCCAGAACAATACGCCTACATGCTGGAGTTGAAGCGAGCCCTTGATGCTCGGGGTCATTGCCTCCTTGAAATGCCAACAGGTACAGGCAAGACTATTGCCCTCCTTTCCCTGATCACCAGCTACACTCTCTCCAAACCCCAGAACCCAGTTAAGCTTATCTATTGTACTCGCACTGTCCACGAGATGGAGAAGACTCTCGCCGAACTCAAATTACTCCACAACTACCAGCTTCAGCATCTGGGTCCTGCTGCGAAGATCTTGGCTGTGGGATTGTCTTCGAGGAAGAACCTCTGTATCAATCCCAGGGTTTTGGCCGCAGAGAACCGGGACTCGGTTGATGCTGGCTGCCGCAAATTGACTGCTAGCTGGGTCAGAGCGTTAGCTGCTGAGAACCCGAGAATCCCGACTTGTGAGTTTTTTGAGCAGTATGAGAGGGCCGGCTCTTCTGCAGTATTGCCTCCTGGAGTATATACCTTACAGGTAGCTAAAACTTGATCGGGTATCATATTTTTAGATAGATTTAATGATGATTAAAACCTTGTTTCAAGCTAAACCACATTCAGCCTTAAAACACACTGGCTTTTTTGCTTTGAAATTTAGACCTTTTTAAATGCTCATGCATGCCCCCTGTGTTTAAGGTATGCTGGCAGAAAGGGACATTTTTATCATTGCTACAGTAGTGGAGTATAAATATGACATGTCTCATTAGTTTTGCTATATGTCCGGAATTCCGGAATCCCTAGAACTGATGAAGAAGCGCCTATTGTGTCATAGTGGTAGTGTGAGCCTATTGTCATGTAAATTTTAGTTGTACCTTATGGTGAATTCATCTTGCTTAATTATAAATGCAATTAATTTTTCTTTTGGTTCTCTATGATTGCAGGATCTGAGAGCATTTGGGAAGGAGAAGGGGTGGTGCCCATACTTTTTGGCACGACATATGGTGCAATTTGCAAACGTGGTTGTCTACAGTTATCAATATTTACTTGACCCCAAGGTGGCTAGCATAATTTCCAAGGAGATGCAGAGAGAGTCTGTCATTGTTTTTGATGAGGCTCACAATATTGATAATGTCTGTATTGAAGCACTTAGTGTGAGTGTCAGGAGGCAGACTATTGACGGTGCTAGAAGAAATCTCCATAAGATAAATCAGGAAATTGACAAGTATGCTTTGTTTCTAGCATTTACCTTTATTGTCGTGTAACTTGTGTGCAATATTTGTGTTTCCCCACATTGAATGCGCTAGAATAATTTGATATGGATTCTCTTTACTGTTTGCCCTGGTAGGAAGGTTCAAGGCCACCGACGCGGGTAGGCTACGTGCTGAATATAATAGGCTTGTTGAGGGTTTGGCTCTCAGAGGAGACCTACCTGGTAGGTAAAATGTTAATATTTTATAATGTTTAAAGGGTACTTCATTTTCCTTAACTAAACTTGTCTTCTTTGCTTAGCTACGGATGCCTGGCTTGCAAATCCAGCCTTGCCTGATGATATTTTGAAGGAGGCTGTACCTGGAAACATTCGCCGAGCTGAGCATTTTGTTCATGTTTTACGTAGATTAGTTCAATATCTTGAAGGGCGCTTAGAAACTGAGAATCTGGAGAAGGAAAGCCCTATAGCCTTTGCTAACTCTGTTCTGAATCATGCTGGAATTGACCAAAAAACACTCAAGTTCTGTTATGATCGCCTGCATTCGTTGATGTTGACGTTGGAAATTACAGACACTGATGAATTTCTACATATCCAAACTATATGTGATTTTGCCACGCTTGTTGGCACATATGCTCGAGGGTTTTCCATTATAATTGAACCTTATGATGAGAGAATGCCACATATTCCTGATCCTGTATTGCAGGTTAGTGTTATTGTTCTGACATGTCTTTTTATTAGTACTCTTTTGCCCATCTCAAGGTTACTCATAAGTTGTTGTTGACTATTAATTACTTTTATTAGTACGCTTTTGCCCATCTCAAGGTTACTCATAAGTTGTTGACTATTAATTACTCAGGGAACAATGTACACAGTGCAATGTATCGTATGATTTTTCTTTTCCTTAGAAACTATTTACTCAGCAAATACTTTTGAGAATTGGTTAACAAATGTTTGTGTTTATGTAGTTGTTGCATGTTACGCTCTTTTTTGTCATGTAGGGACGATTTCATTATCGGATGTGTTTTTATTATATTTCTCTTATTTTCTTGGTCATTGACATTTCAGCTTTGCTGCCATGATGCTTCTCTTGCAATAAAGCCTGTTTTTGAGCGATTTCAGTCGGTTGTGATTACATCTGGCACACTCAGCCCTATAGATCTATATCCTCGTCTTCTGAATTTCAACCCAGTTGTCAGTCGAAGTTTTACAATGTCCTTAACAAGAGATTGCATATGCCCTATGGTTCTTACACGGGGCAGGTATTCCAACTATTTTCTCTTCTCGTTGAGCATGCCTATTTATTGCATTTCTAATTTCTGTTTTCTGTATTTTGTAAGAGTGGGACACTGAATATCTCTCTTGTTTCCCCTATTTTGTGTTTCTTGTTAACAATATAATGTGTGTTATTTCAGTGATCAGCTTCCAGTTAGTACCAAATTTGATATGAGAAGTGATCTGGGAGTAGTGAGGAATTATGGAAGGCTCCTGTTGGAGATGGCTTCAGTTGTTCCAGACGGAATTGTATGTTTCTTTGTCAGTTACTCATATATGGATGGAATAGTCAATAGCTGGAATGAAAATGGAATTTTGAAGGTGAGTTCGCCTTATATGTTCTTTTGATTTATGCTATTCTTATGCTAGTGCTAGTTTCTTTTGTTTTATTGTCTGGTCGTACTAAAGGCATCTCTTTGGCAGGAAATAATGCAACACAAGCTTGTTTTTATTGAGACTCAAGACGTGGTAGAAACTACATTGGCTCTTGATAACTACCGCAAGGCTTGTGATTGTGGAAGGGGTGCTGTCTTTTTTTCCGTTGCTAGGTATGGTGCCGAAAAACATACCCCTCTGGATATATGTACTCACCATCTTTGAACTAGATCAACAGCATAAAAGACAAACATAGCTGAAGGAGAATTGAAGACTTATGCTAGGTTTTCTTTATTTGAAGAGCCAGGTTTTCTTAATTTATTGTGAACTAGGCTTTATCTCATCTTATTTAGGTTTAAATCATTATTATCATACTTATTTTACTTGATAAATAGCCCAAGAGTTTCATTTGGCAAACCTTTTGCCAATTGAATTGAGATTATTTGCCATCACATGCTCCTCCAAATTCTCTACTTATCTGTCCATTCTTCTCCTGTTCTCCTTATTTCTCGTTCCGTTCTTCCCTTTTCACCCTTGTCCTTCATCAATGGCACCAGCTGACCTGTAGGATGTTCGAGTTGTGGACTCCATGGTATTCGTCCGTCTGATGCTTTGATCAGTTGTTTTTTTCTCCCTCCATGACTTCTCAAATAAGAGAATGGGAATGGGAATGGAACTTCATGACAAGAACTCCTGGTCAAATAGACATAATTCAGTAATGTATTATGGCTTGTATATAATTTTTTGTTACATTAGAATTTAAACTCCGGTATCTGTTCTGTGTTTGAGATAAATAAGACCTTGTGAATTGGATTCTGACCTTAACATATGCAGACTTAGGACGTGTGATGTTTATTGTTCACAAAGTGACAATTTTATCCCTTTCATTGACTTATCGGGCAGTCCAGCATATTGATTGTTTATCTGTGTACCTTCGAGGCTAATGGGAATTCTGAATTCAAGAATGCACGTACCTTTTGCAGGGGGAAAGTTGCTGAAGGTATAGATTTTGATCGACATTATGGAAGACTTGTGATCATGTTTGGTGTACCTTTCCAATATACATTAAGCAAGTGAGTTGCCCTAGATTAAATTTCTGAATAAGGGCATTCTATGTTAGAATCATTATATATCTGAGTTAATCATGATTGAATTTCCTTTCCAATATACATTTACAAGATTTCTTTAATTTCAGAATTTTGCTAGCCCGCCTAGAATATCTACGTGATACTTTTCAAATTAAGGAGGGAGATTTTCTAACTTTTGATGCCTTGGTATGACTTGCTCTTCGCTCTCTTTGTATTTTTTTTCATGCCTGTGACTCGTTTGCTTCTATCAATTCAGCTATCTGACTCTTACAAGCCTTTGTAATGCTATTTTTGGTTGGAGCAGAGGCAAGCTGCTCAATGTGTGGGCCGTGTAATTCGGTCAAAGGCTGATTACGGGATGATGATTTTTGCAGACAAAAGGTTATTATATTCTAGTCCCCACACCATTTATCTTTCATAAACACCAGCACTTTAGGGAGAAATTGGGGGGGGGGGGTTCGATATGTAAGGTCTTGAGTTTGAAGTTTTGAACAGTGTAGATGGGGAAAAAACAAATCAAGAGAGCTGCCATTCAATTTGGGCTCAGCCCGCCTTAAATTCAGATTGATCGCTGATACTGGATACGGGATGGTTTTTAAAAAACACATAATATAAATCCAAATATATTTGATAATAGTTGCACATGCTACTTTGGATAATCGTGATTTTACAGAAATAGTTAATAATCTGTTACTGGCTTTATGCATAACACATATCTAGTTTAAACTTGATTACCCATGTCCTTTCCTGTGTATTTTACTATTGATGGGGAAAACATAAGCACCTGTGCACAACAATATTTGTAAGAAGTGGCCAATAACTAAAGGTAGTTTTGATCACAAGTCTGATATTACATGCATTCGGTTAATAGGTCTTTTTGCTTATGAGTTACATTCAAGGCATCCTTACCTATTTTTATCTCTAGATCTTTTCTTTTGTGCACTTACACAGACTTCTAAAATTTATTATGTGATTCTCCAAGATCTAAATTAGCACACCTTCCTTTGAAGGCTGCACCAGATATGTCACTGGCTCTAATACACTTTTCGTCTTTGGACAAAAGTGATAGCAGCATCTGAATTGTTGAGTATAACTGCCTACACTCTGCAGGTACAGTCGTCATGACAAACGTTCCAAGTTGCCTGGTTGGATACTGTCCCATTTACGTGAAGCTCACCTGAACCTGAGCACAGACATGGCTTTGTATATAGCACGTGAGGTCTGTCTTTGTAACTGCAAATTATCGTATCCAATCTTGGTCTCAGTACCATCACCATCAACATCATTCATGGCTAGCTCTTGGTTCCCGCAGGCATAATTTTGTCATCCTTTTAAGAAAAAAAGAGATTCCCCCTACTTATAAATCTTGAGTTGGCAAGAAAGTCTGATGTGGATGCCATACGGGCATGCTACGCAAGTAATTGTGCCATTAGATACTTCAGGATAGCAATTTTGCCTCTTGAATACTTTGGAGGTAAAATTGCACTTTAACCCTAAGATATTGTTTGGCATGAGGGAAGTAGAGGAGAGGGGAGGGGAGGGGAGGGGAGGGGAAGGAAAATTCTAATGAGCTCTATTTAAAAAGATTAGAGAAGTGGGGTTTTGGAATTTTAATAAAGAGAAGAAGTAATATAAAATAGGAATAAAAATTAGTTAAAAAATTTTAACCTCATTTTTTTAATTTTTTAAATCAAGCTTATTAAAATTTTCTCTCCCCTCTTCTCTTCTCATTTTTCCTCATACCAAACGCACCCTAAAGAAAAGGCAATTTTTTTTTTTCCGTGTTATGTCAGATATTTCATAATTGATTGCCCATGTTATTTCATCTGAATGAGTGTGTCATAATCCTGATTCGTCTAGAAGGGAATGAGGTGTGGATGCTTGCAGAACATCATTTTATCAGTGGATATTGCGGCAAACCTGTTTTGAGAACAGTTTTAATAGGATGCAAAATTATGTTTTCTTTGTTTTTGTGGTTAGTTTTGCAGGTAGATGTGATAATGAGTAATTAACGTCAGTTCATCTTTGGACGCAGTTTCTCCGGAAGATGGCACAGCCATATGACAAGACTGGGGGTAGTAGCAAGAAAACTCTGTTATCCCAGGAAGACTTGGAGAAGATGATGGTTGAAGGTAAATTGAACGATATGTTGCATTGAGACTTTGGCCTTCATGAACTGTTCCAATCAGTTCTTTCCGGTAATTTCCATTGCTCACACCGTGGTCGAAGAGTTGATATGGTGCCACGGAGAAGGTACCTCTGACTGTGGGGAAGATATGGCCGGGTGATTGGACAGTATCTTAAATATCTAGGTGTTTAAATAAATCATGCAGTTGTTGAGAACGTTGCGGATGTATCAGTTTTGTTGAGTGGGTGATAATATACATTATACAGTAATATTTTTTGGGAGCAACATGGAAGACTGTGTTAAATTATTGTTTAAAATATAATTTTGATTAGTAAATAATACTTTTCAAAATAAGTGATTTCATTTCTGCTGAAGAGAAAAACGGGTTCAATTGTCCAATTTACCACTGTCTAGGTTGAGTAGGCATGCCCGTTGTAACCCAGTGAGTTGGGTTAGCATTTGGTTCATGGATGAAGTGGGTTAATTCTTCTAGTTTAAATTTCAAATTATTAAGAAATGAAAAGAAGTTAAAGAAGTAAAGGGGAAAAAACTAATTTAATATTAAACATTAATATTTAAAGTCATTAAATATTTAACATTTAATATCTAACAAAGTTCAAGTATAATTACATATCTAATAATAGAGTAGTTAAGATTTTATATACTACTTTCTATTTTTAATATATTCTGGTTTTTAATATAAGACTTATTTAACTAATTTAATTAAATTAAGAAAGTTGAGTAAGTTAGTTAATTATAAAAATATGACATCTTTTATAAAACATCACAATAATTTTTCTTTAATATCTTTATTCTTTCTTCTACTTGATTATAATTGATAGAGTGTTGATAGAGATAACTTAAAACAAATGATAAATATGAGAAATATATTACGTTTAGATCAATATCAACTCAATAATTATGTCTTATATTAAGGATCGGAAGAGTACATTTTAGTTTGTAAAATTAAGAACTGAAAGTAGTATTTGTCCTTTTTCTAAATTTACATTTATCATAATTATTGGACAGGCTAAACACGCTAGCTGCTTAATCTAACTGTTGGGATGACCAGATCTGTGAGTTTAAAAAAATCTGGCTAATTTCATCAATTTTTTTAAAAAAGAAGAAGAAGAAGAAAACTAAGTCTTAACCCACAAAATTGATGGGTTAAAGAGGCTAATCCAGGGAGCATGATCAACTCCGATGGCTCTAATATTTGTGTAATTAATAGATGTGACAGGAATATATATCGAACCTTGGCGCAACCAAAAAAAAAACAGAAGATAATAATATATATCAAGATTATTAAAATGGCAGGACTTCATATTTGTAAAATCAATAATGAATAATTTACTCCCAGAATATGTTTCCCAGGGTTAAACCTCTGTTTGCGAGGAAACAAAAACTACAAAGACTGGAGACTGGAGACTGGAGAAGCAGCAGTTGATTTTATGAGTAGGGGAAGGATGTGAAATTAGAGAAGCACCAAGTCACTAAAAATGTGCTGTGGCTATCAGGATTTACATTTGGTCAGGGATGGGAGAACACCTACCTAAACTAAATTGTATTGGCCACTTCATGTCTGGGGCTCTTTCTTCAAGGAACCCTCGTCTTCCTTCATGCATCTTTACTTCCGCCTGCCAATTTCATCTGTTCTTCAATCAAACACTTATCTAATCCGAATCCCGCAGTGCTAAAATATTATATTAATCATCATATACAGAGTTAATCGTTGTGGGGTATGATTTGGTTGAGGGCCCTCTTCACTTCAACTATGCTGGTCTTCTTTCCGTTCGGACTTTCCTTCACCTTCGCCCTCAGCTCCGCCACGAACACCCCGTTGTTCAGCGACGATTGGACCGTCGTCACCTCTATCCTCATCTCTCTCAGCATCTGCATCACATCCAGCAACAATCCCTCCCTGTTCTCGCATTCCAATTCCAACAGCGCGTCACTCTCTATGATCGACACTTGCACCGACGTAACGACTCCCGACGGCGATGGCGGCGGTGACGCCTCCACTGACTTCGGCTTCCTCATCCCTCCGCTTCCCTCCACGATCCTCATCTTCCTCTTGTCCGAACCCACTCTCGTCAAGCTCCTCTGTTGCTCACGTGACTGTTGCTCTGCTTCCATCTGGCGGTTCCGCGTCTCCAGATCTTGGATCTTTTTACGCAACTGTTTCACGTACTCGATGGTGTCCCCTAATATGGACGCCTTGTCCATTTTGGTGACGAAGGGCACGAGCGATCTCAGTATGATGAACCTCTCGTTGAGCTTCTCGCGGCGGCGTCGCTCGGCCAGTACGTGGTTGGCGCTCAGCTCGTCCTGCGGCGTTCCCTTTCCACGGAGGCGCGTGACGGGATCGGTGCCATCTCGGGGGGTGGGCGAGTTGTCGTCTTGGTACTTGGTGTGGAGGAAAGGGACGGTGAACAAAATGTACTTGAGGAGCCACTGAGAGGTGCCGTCGGCGGACAGGTGGAGGAGGTGGTGGTCGGCACGGGTGTTCCACTTGGCAAAAGCCGACTGAGAGGAGCAGGCTATGTAGTCGGCGGGGGGTGATTCGGCCCACCGGAGAGACTGATTATGGAGGATGGTGGACACTGTCTGAGAGTAGTGGGTGTCCTCTTTTGTGAGGTCTTCTAGCTGAGCGCCTTCTGCATTATGCCAGCACCACATTAAGAATTTAGTCAGCGACGCCTGAAATTATGGTTTTTAGTTTGAAAATGAATGAATGAATGAAGACAACAAGGTAAGGGCCAGTGTCGTCGTCGTCGTTTCTAGTTGGGATATTTAAATTAGTTGACATTATGCGTCCGTGTTTTCCTGGCTGCAAATAATAGAGTTCGGATAATATGGTTTTGTTGCCATTCGACTATCCTCCTTTCTTGGAAAGGCAGCAAATTTTGGTGGGCCAGGTACTCTAATCTCGGCCACAACACGCACGCTTAAATGCGCGGGCGCGTGATTATAACATCATGGTTATATTCGTTCGTGTTTGATTTCATATATAAAAACAAACAAAAAACTATTTAGTTTCACCGAAGATATTAATTTTTATGGTTTTTATTATAAAACCAAAAAACACACCCACAAAGTTATAACCCATGTTTACTTTTTTGAAACTAATGGGTTGTATATGAAGCCAAAAAAAAAACTGTACGATATCGATGCCTCACAATTCACGAAGGTTGAACGCGTTAAAAACAAGGAAGAGAAAATGTGAATAATCTTCCGAATTTGTGTTAAATTCCTTACTAAGCCATGCACGGCGCGAATCTCAAAAACATATCCAAATTGATCCGGGGACGAAAGCAGCGGAGGGGTCTAGCGGGATTTACGACTGTGTATTAGGGGCAGGGCAGGGTTGGGTTGAGTCTCTATAACTTTTCATGGGAGGGCATCTTTCGGTATGCATGTACGGTTGGGGATCGTAATGGTCAAATTTGGAACTTGGGTGACCTAAATAGTTTATGTGGGCCCACCTTAAAGCTCTGCGTAGGAAGCGCAATTTATTGCTGACTGAGCCTACTGCTGCATGACGTACTGTTAGTAGTCATTATGATTCAATTACTCAATTGCGAGGGTGGATTCCCTCCGCATACTCACCATGCCAGCTAGTGTAGTGCAGTTCGAGTACAGTGCTACGATCCAGATTTGCTTTTTTTTTCTTATTCAATGCCAATTTCTCATTTACCCGTTTATGTTAGTAACTAACTACCACTGTACCTGAAACTGGTTGTTGAAGCCCTGGTTCGACCCACCTCCGGGTCGACTCGGCCCGGTACGACTCAGCTCGGCGCTCCTGATCGGCTGGGTGGCTCACCGCCAGCAGATGGAAATCTGAGTCCAGATTGTTGGAACCATCGTCCGGTGATCCTACTCGGATATCTTCCGACATCTCCAGCTGCATTAACTCGCTTGGTTCTGCTGCAGTGGCAGCTGCCACGCCAGACGCCTCTGGGGTAGACGTTGGGTGGCAGTTCCGGGCCGTTTCTGCCTCCGAGTCGGACTCGCCCTCTTCGTCATCCTCCTCCTCGTCATCTTCATTCATGTGGTTGTTAGGAGCGGGTGGGGTGGCGGGTGATGGGTCCACGGCGGAATACATGGCAACCGCGACTGGAGTGGACTGGAAACGGGAGTGGTCGGAAGAGGCGGTGGGGTTGGAGGTCGAGTGCTCGGAGAGGGCGGGCTTTGGCGGTGGAGGGTGGTGCTGCCGCTGGTGATCTGTGAAGAAGCTTTTCACGTGTTGGATAAAATTAAGGTCTTCCAGAACCTGTGACGTACACAAATATATTAAAGCACACCCTGTGCGTCCTCACTCACAAAGACACGTACGATTAATTTGTTCAACGGAAACCAGCAAGATTAGAAGGAAATCACTATATATGTGTGTGTTACCTTATCTGTTGTGCCCAACTCTACGACGCCGTCCAACAGAGGTATGCACACCACGGTCTGTAGTTTGCATGGCGCACATATACGCATAACATTGTCAAAATTTGTCTGTGAATTAGCTAGGTAGTCTGAAATTGCAGGTTACATTCTTACCTGTATGCGAGCACTCTGGCCGGGCAAGAAATTTCGAATCATTGACGTGTAGTGACAAGGGATCACAGAGATAATAAGGAGGTGGTTAGTAAAAAGGCTGTTGATCATATATTTATACATTCCAAATAAATTATCGATTAAATATTATGCTAAACGTTCAAATGGAAACCAAAGCAGTCCACCACGAGGCGTGGAAATTAATTAATGCATGAATTAATGACAATAATTAGTGTTAAAATGGTGGTGGAAGCACCTTGGCAAGAATAGCTCTTGAAAACGTTTTGCTGTCCACCTCGTTTGCACCGGCAAGCCATACGTGCTGCCTCCTCGCATATGCTTTCCCCGGTAGCCTATAGAAGTTGCCATTCATCGTTAAATTAAAGCGAACCCCTTAATATTTTTCTTTTTAGCGTGCACCATTTTTAGTTTCTCTAGCTATACACGTCTCGAACATCTCATTGCAAATTGCAAAACTTCATATTTAACTAATGATATAAATTATAACCTGAGAAACAATTTACATTGCTATTAATTGTATGGGCAGTAACTCCATTATAAATTGCAGATATTTGATGCCCTAAGATCCCAATCCAGCACCCCACACACCCACCACATGCTCTCAATTTTAGTTTCTTTCGGTTTTTTATCCTCCAAAATAGCGCGGGTAGATAAAACGAGTCTCAGATTCCTAAGTACTTCTTGTAGATTGTGTGAGTGTACATGTGTATGCATAAGAGTGTACTATATATCTACCTATAACAGATGTCTCGCCAATAACTAGTTGAACCGTCAGCCTATCTCTTGCATGATCAAGAATCGAAAGGGTTAACTTCTGGTAGTGAGCAGGCACGTGGGTACAGATAACCTATATATAGAGGAACCAGGCAACTATTAGAAACAGCTATTGACGGCCGGACATATGATCGAAGCCGTGAGCCCTAACATAGTCGAAGAAACTAGAAACAAAGAAGGTGTGAGAGAGAAATGGATCGAGCGTTGGGATTGGGGAAGCTTCCTAATGCAGAATGGTAGCAAGTAGTGGCAGCTTTTTGGCAGTTTGAATAATGAACACATTATCTTGTCTGGTTTCTCGAAGAAGCAGATTGCGGATAGCACCCGTCGTATTCAGGCATATAATGCGCAACTAATCACTTGACCAGCCGGCCGGGCAAAATGTTTTTGCACACAATCCTCCCAAATTTATTCCCCCATTGCGTTATAATTAGCTAACTCTACCTACATCAAGGTCGTCACATGGATCAACTTTCTCCTGTGGAATCTTTACAAACTCTCGAATCTCGCTAGGACAAACGCATAAAGACTCTCAGCTATCTTATTACCAGAGAAAATTTGAGACTAGCTATACGGCCAGCTTTTTTGAGCTTGTACTGTGTCTTGTTTCTTATTGATGTTACATGAAATTTTCTGCTGCTTCACCGAATTTCCTTTCTTAATGGGGGACATGGATACTTCCGCCACAACAAATTCCAGAGAAACATTGAGTAAATTACTAAATTATATTGCGGAAATTTCTACTCGTGCGTACGGCTTAATTATTTCTTGCTGCCACTATCTTAATTGCTGTTATTATTGCTGCATTCAAGCTCCCAACACACTCTCGGCCTCATCAGATAAATTTTTCTCGCAGCTGGAGCTAGTTCTTTAAATAAATAATAGTTAAAGCTAGAAATGGCGTTGAAGCTTAACTAATTAATGATTTTGATAGAGCTTATAGCTAGCTAGCAAGTGAAATTGTGGAGGACATACGTACCCGACGCCAGGAGGAAAGGAGAAAGAGACACACATCAGATAAAACCATTCGGATTCGGTTAGGTCCTCGGGCGACAAGGCAGCACAAGGCCGTCGAGCCGGAGGGTTGGTCTCCCCGGCAGACAATGATTCGTAGAGCTCCCTAAGTTGCTGGCTTCTTTGAAGAGACGCTTCCTCGGCACTAACTTCCACTGGCTGCACAGTTTTCCGGGTCTTAATTGCCCCATTGTAGTAACCATCCGCCCACACCAGGATCCTTGATTAACCAAATCAAAAAAATAAACTCTCAATTTTAATAAATCATAATTAAGCTGCTACAAGTATTATAATTAGGAACTGTAGAAGATTGATGAAGCGATGACTGATTAACGAAGGGATGCATGTTATTGTGGGAGAATGAAGAAGTACCCTTGTTGGGGACAGGGTTGCCAGAAGAGACTATAAGTCCACTGAACCGATTGCACCGTGGCTTGCAGGAGAGTTTGAAGCCTGGCTGTGAGAGGCGCAGCCATTGTTTGGGAACAAGGCAGCTGAATGGCAGGTGGTGAAGAGATTATATTTAAAGGTGAATCATGAAGGGATCGAAAAGGGAGGGGAAAACGGAGAAGTGGGTTTGCATGAAAGGTGAATAGAGAAGTGGGTGAATCATCATGGGAACTGAAAATCAACTCTATTTGAGGGGCGCATATAAAAAGCGGAAGGGGGAGGGAAGAGAAGGTAAGGAACAAAGGAAGAGAGAGGGGGGAAGGGATGGTCGGGGAAGAAAGAAAGACCCACAGATAGGGGAGATATACGTCAGGAAGGGGTATGACTTTGAGGTGGATGCGGGAGATATCCAAGAAACCACATTTGAAAGCTGAGGAAAGTGATGAGAAGAAGGTTTGTTAATTGGTAGATAAACGGAAATAGGGTTATGAGAGCAGGAGACTTGGGGGGTAATTGACTGGTTGGTCTACCAGACAGTTCGCGGGTTTTATATATGTGCATATATGCGTGTGTGTGTATATATATATAGAGAGAGAGAGAGAGAAGTAAGGGCGGAGCGCTGATTTGGTAGTTGTGGGAGAGAGGAGGGCGCGTGGGTGTGGGTTTTGGGGTTCATGAGAGTGGGGGAAGGGCAGCATTAGGTGGCAGCTGTCTAGCCGCAGACCAGGCCTTGCTTTTCACTTACTTTTTCATCCCCTCCCTTCCTTCCCCACAGCCCCCGTGCCGCTCCCCCATTTAGGCCTCCAGTTTACCGTGATAATTACCCTCCTACCCTCATCCTTATTGCTGCTGCTCTTACGCTCTCCACCCACTCCCACGTATTAATGTTTAGTACCGTATACAATAATAAACAGTCCCGTCGGGGACGTCCGATGCACAATAATAAACAATCAAAATATACTAAATTTTATTAAACTTTAAATTAGTTGCATATCTCCGGTCAAAAAAAAAAAAAAATTAGTTGCATATCACCCTATAATCCTTTAAAAGTTTAAATTTAGTACGTTACTCCCTCAAGTCATATTTATAAGCTTTAAATTGAGAGAGAAGTATGTTTGTCTTAATATTTTTATTTTATTTTATCACAAATATTTATTCTTTCTCTTGTCATAATCTTTCTCATCACATTTTTTCACACATTCTTTCTCTTTTTTCTCATTTATTACAAGAACATATTTGAAAACAAAAATATATTTTTAACCTATTTATTACTTTTAACTAATTTTATCTTATTATTTGTTATTTGTGAATTAGTTGTTTGAAGCTCATAATAAGAACAGGAGGGAGTAATGTTTTGTATTTTCACTATTATCTCCCTTGTTACTAAAAGTATGACTCAAGTTATTAGTTTGTAGTACATGTCATAATTTTCATATTTTTAGTTATGTGTTATGAATACTTGGGATTTGACGAGTAATTTTAAATATTTTATATTTTTATTTGATTTGAGAAAGGCCTGACCGTTCTGTATTCTCCCTCCAAAAATCCCTTCTCTCTGTAATTAGCTTCATACACACAACACGAGGCCAAGAGCTTAACATTAAATAATGTGTAAGAATGGAAAGTAGGAAGCAAAAAAATGTGTTGGCTTACTGGTGTAAGAAAAAGAAGAAAGAGGGCGAGATGCGCCCCTTGGATGTTTGACTTTCAGTTGCATCGGCTGATCAATCCTGTTGCCTCTTGCTCCCTATCGTCCCGTCCTCGTCGCCCCACCCCTATTTGCACATTTAAAATCTGCGGCTCTCTCTCCCACTACACTGTAAAAATAAATTAATAAGGAGCCACACACGAGGAGTAGTGAAATTAGGTGAATGCTCGCATGCAATGTCCTAATATCGCTAAAAATGTGAACTTGAAAATTATGATGAGCCGCCTGACCACCTGCTATGTCCGCGCAATTTGTTGGTTTACTTATTTAAGAACGTCATCTCAATTCTAATCTAAGTCCCCCTCTTTTTACATCTTAATGTCCATCCTTCCAGCGTTGCTGCTATACTATTCTCACACAAATCATCTTCTCAGCAAAGGTTCAGGCCTTCAAAAAAGGGCTTCACGCTTACCCTCCCTTTAAGTGTTCTTGCTACTTTTTAAACATTATAAGCGGAATAAATATACTTATTACAAGTCAAGATTTTAAATATTAACCCACGTCCTATTTATAAGACTCTATTTGTAGATTACAAAAGAGGTCTTATAATTAGGATCGGAAATATTATTAAATATTTGGAACCTGTCAATATTAAGTGAAATTCGGATAGATTATTTGCATTTAATGCGATTTATAGATGATTTTTCGTTGGAACAAACTATTAACACCCGCTGACAATTAGTAGCTTAATCCCTTGGTAACTTCTTTCTTCGCCGTAGTTTACAGGACACCGGAACTTCATTTGCACAAGCTACTACAAGTAATACATTCCCAATTGTAAATTATACCCAAAACAAAGAATTGACAATACTATGTATACTCCTCCGGTCCTTAATATAAGACCTATTTAACTAATTTGACTAGATTAAAAAAGTTAGGTAAGTAGTTAATTATAAGACATGACATATTTTTCCTAAAACATCATAATCATCTTTCTTAGGATCTCTTTTTCCTCTTCTAATTGATTATGGTTGAAAGAGTATCCATAGGGGTAATTTAGATAAAACTGATAAATATGATAAATAAATCTTATATTTAAGACCAAAATCAACTTAACAATTGAGTCCTATAATAAGAACGGAAAGAGTATAATTTATTATTTTTATTAGAAAGGATGAAAACTCAAAACTCTCTGAAGAAAAAGGGCGACGGGGACCGGGGGGTAATTTTCCCCAGTGGCGTTGGTTTAATTCTCGCAGTGCCAGATGGCTGACTCATGACTCTAGGCGGAGCCTTTTGGGCCACAGTAGCCTTTTGTCATTCGAAAAAAACAATGCCACCAAGCACTAAGGCCTCTTTGCATGTTACCCTAAAAACTATATTTAATTTTTTTTTTAGAAAACACTAATTTACATTTTTTCTTGATAAACAGAATCTTTTTTTTCTTTGCTTGAATGGACAGAATTGATTTCTCAAGCTTTACATATTCATAAATGGGTATGGATCGTGTTCGAATCAAAATGTTTTATATTGTGTAGAATAAATTTAAAATCCTTCAGGATAAATAAAGAGAAATTTAGGAAAAAGAATAAAGAGGGGAAATGGATTCACACCACTCAGTCACATGTTCTCCCCTTGGTTTCTTTCGCAAGTTTCTCAGCATTTACTGCCAGAGGATTTGGTTCAAGATAAAACAGCCTGGCAAAGGATCACTATATCCTACTTCAATTACGTAATCCGGGAAAAAAGGAACGAAAGTCTACGAAACCCCGTTCCTGAACGAGACGAAGAAACCGATTGTGCTGGGAAATAATGAAGTTGGTGGCCCTCCAAAATTGACAGGAATTGTGATTACTATGGTTTCTGTGTGGAGTATCGTGGAGGGTGTGGCCAACATTACCTGCAACGAGGAGAAGTATATGTCAGGTGATCCATTTGCTATTAGTTTGGCTTACGTTGTTCGTGATTTGGAGGCTGTCACTGCGACACGGCAAGATCGTGAGTACTACAACATTTCTCCTTATCCTAATGCCTTCGCCTATGGACATGCTGCTTGCAATCCTAATCTGATATCCTCTGAGTGCAAAACATGTATTGGTGTTGCTAAGACGGCCATGTTTGGAGAATGTCGGAAGTGCAAAGGGGCGCGCGCGGTGCTCCATGATTGTAGATCGGGTATGAGCAATACCCATTCGACGATTAGAGCCCCGTGTGGCTCGGCTGCCCGTGCACTTCTATGACAATAGTCTGGTTTAATATCATCGGCTGCATGCAATAAAACGGTATGTGCGATATCGGAATTCATAGCGCTGTTTTGATAATCTTGAAAACCATTGATTGGTCTAACTCCTAGACAAGTAAATATAGAGAGCGACGATATGGTGAGAATTAAAATCCTTGAAGCTGAAAGGCAGAAAGTTACCCGTTTAATGCTCTCTCCCAACAAAGCAGCTAGAGAAAATCAAGCAAAATTACCGTAAGCGGGAACCAGATTAAACCAACAAAGCAAAGAAACATCAAGTCGTCTGGCGCCCACAGGCAGGCAAGCGTATGTATTTAAATGGACTGAACAGGTACTATTCATCGTTTTATAATTTGCGCAACGTAACGAAACAAGTACGAATTTTGAAGTGGAAAAGGGGGCAACTTTGCCGCAAGGCGCAGTGCAGAACTCTGTTCAGCCGGACGACGCTGCTCATGTTACCAAAGCCTCGCATAATTCAATGGCAAGACACATTTCTCCATTGTTGCAGAATTTTTCCAGGCAAGGGGGATCCGTTTTCTACTCAAGAAAATATGCTGGGAATTACTGGCGAGTCTGTGCGCGCGTTTATAATATATATATATATATATATTAAAACAATTGGGCATACAAACCGTACTCTTTCTATATATCACATACAAACCTAAAGTACGAAGGAATCGGCTTGCATACTTCGACGGTTTTGATGATTTACAAATTCCAAAAAGTTGTGAAAAAAAAAATAATCCGGCGCCGTATACGCCTTCTCTCATCCGTCAAGTTTGTCTGCAAATTCATCCTTGGTGGAGTCCCCAACATTCACCCGACACATGAAATCCACGGTCCGGGCCACGCTGATCAATTGGTGCAGAAGTTCATAATGACTTGCAACGGCAGATCACAATAAAGAGAATCAGGCAATCATAACGAAGGAAGCAACGTGACTGGGATTGGAAAATTCTGGTGCAGCTCCGCATGGAAGTCCCGGCAAACTTCTCACATTTATCCGCCACACCGATCCTATGAATTTGACTTCACATCTTTATTTGTATAGACAGTGCGATTTGTCTCCCGCTTAAGCAAAAGCGCGTAAAGAATCTCATTCCAAGAATCAGGGACACCAGGTAAGCACCAATGGCTGCAATCTTCCCGCTGCAATGCGGCTATCGTGTTATTAGGCCCCAGATAGTAAATAGATGCATGCCCATCTTTTCTGCTTAGAGACATTTGTGTCACATTTAACAAGTCCAGATTCTTCGTTTCTGATTTGTTCAAGCGCCCTGATAAGGCGTCGATGACAATTTCAAAATGTTTGTCAGATAGTGGAGGCAAAGACCCAAAATCAGGGAGTGTTTCCAAGCGACAACTGCCACCAGTATTCCAGTCGCCACCTCTGCCACATCCTTGCAATGTGTTAGAATTCAGTCATTATGTTTTTTATTGGTGTTAATAATCGCCAGAGCCACTAGCAGATACAGATACGAGTGACTTAGCTTATAAAGTCATTTCCTTAATGAATAATGAGTTCCAAGAAACGAGGAAATCAGTCACAAGTTAACTTGAAAGGAACAATATGGAATATGTTATACAAGGAAACATGACACAAAAGCCGTGGAGTCGCAGCAACAGGCTACTAAAAGAAGGATGCCTTCATTTTTTTCCAAACTAATTCATAATACGTGATTCATTAATACTAGAGCACCCTGACCTTTGAAAAGGCAATGGTGCAACAGATATTTTATAACTATTAGTTACAAAATTACATATGTTTCTCCTCTATGTCCAAAATGCACAATTGTCTAGACTTGGCTTTAATGTTAATTTGTATTTATGGCGCAATGGGGATTGTAGCTCAGAACCCGATTAGAAGACCTATGGTTGGAAAATATCAAGCATCTAAAAATATAATAATCAGCATGCATGAAATGAACAACCTAAGTTTAGGCAAACCTGAAATGCACAGGAGCATAAGTTCGGAAAAGAACGTAAGTCTTGTTCATGTTTACTTCACCGCCAATCCAGTCCAATACTGTCTCCATTGATTTTCTGAATGCATCCTCTACAGTCATATTCATGATCACTTCCTTCCCTACTTGGAAGTAACAACCCCTAAAAACATAAATCAATCCTAAAGATTAGACAGCTAACCAAATCGGGCATCAAATTATTCTTGCAAACTTTTCCATATCCTTGTAAGAGACATGACAAGGGGGCGCTTTGAAGATTGAATTAGTGAGACAAGTAAGCCATCTCATCTAAAAACCTAAGCAGACGGGAACTTACTTACATTTTAGTAGTTTTCTCGTTATTCCACCAATGTCCAGCATTAAGAACCAATATATCTGCACCTCGCCACCTGGGAGAAGTCCAGTCCATTAGGTCAACTCTTAGAGTCATTTTTACCTCTTTAGGAGCTCCAGTTGGAGCCCGTCCCTGCACTATAAGAAACGGAGATCTGTAGTACTCCACAGTGCAATTAAAATCTTCAAACTTGAATGCCAAGAAGCCAGTGTGTTTTGTGATTGGACTGCCATTAACCTCATACACGGTGTTCTTGTTCGAAACAACAGAAGAGAGCATACAAAGGAGTGATTCCCACTGGTTCCTTCCAATTGAATCACCAACAAATACAAGCCGCTTGTCCCGCAGCTTTTCTAACATCTTCCTTGCATCAAACCTTTAATAAGAGTGAAGAGAAATCCCATTAAGATTGTAATCCAAAAACAAAACCAAAACTTCAGAAGTATTTAAAAATGTTTAAAAATCAAACTTCAGTTTATAAACTAAGGTTTCTTGATTGCCACATTTCTATTATTAACCTTGATTAAAGGCCATGGATCCACTTCAAAGACTCTAGACATAAAAAATTAAAATCATGAACAAAAATGCGGAGAGTGAAGGCCTTTCATAGCATAAGCTAAAAGGTGCAACAGATGAAGGCCTTTCATAGCACAACCTAAAAGGTGCAACAGATGCATGTCTATATCAGATGATGCAGCTGCTTACAGCACAATCCAGCAGAATAAATAGTAACGAAGCAGACTTTACGTTTGCGAACAGGAACTAACAAAATGGCAAAATATAGAGAACTCCAAGCATTGCGGAGCAATCAACGATTGAGTTCGACTGATCCACTGAAGAAAACATGGAATTGCCCAAACAGCCGAGGGTTGACAAAGACAAGTTGAGTATCAATAAAAGAACGAAAAGCTTTCTTTTACTTGATGGTGTGGGTGTAAATTTGCCGTGCCTTTCCTTGAGGTCTGGATCATAACCCTGCTGTTTTCTTACTATCAATTCTCTAAACTTCAGAATCAAATGGTCGATCACGTAATGCATTGAAAACAGGAGTAGTTTATATTTCAAGGCAAAACAAAAATGAGCGGAAACCTCGTTAATTGTAATGCTGTAACCACTTAGCTAAATCAAAATTCTCCGTAGTTCGTTTTCAGGAGAACACCAGTAGCCAAACACGTAGGGAAAAAGAAAATACTAAATTTTACAATATTATCTGTCGTCATTTCCTCAGTAACCGGAATCGGAATCTGAAAGTAAGAATATAGAGAAACCTGGGCAAGTTGCAAGTTTTGGGCTGCCAGCGCCACTTCGTGTAGAAGCTATCGGGCCTACCATTCTCAGAGCAGCGAAAACCTTGATCCAAGAATGAACAATTTGTGGAATGATATAGTGGATAGCTCTCATCCCAAATCCAATTGCCATCAAATACATCACACCCATCTCCCTCTTCACCCAGAAATTCAACCCGCGCACCCCCAACCAAAGGTGAAGGTGAAAATGAGGACGAAAAATGCAGTCCCAGCAAAGGAACTCCCCGAGAGCGTAGCCCCCTTATTGCAGCACCGTAGTCAAGGTAAAAGAAGCAGCTAACGAGGAGAACAACGATCAAGAAGAAGCCAACTATGCCCAAAGAAGGTTCGAGAGTGTTGCAGAGCTTAAATTTTTTGAACAAGTCCACGCGGGTCATAGCGTCCCCCGAGTCCTCCGAAGCTGCACTCTTGCTCACGTTCATGGGCGGGTTGGCGAAGGGTACAAAAGGCGGGGGATTTCGAGGCTTCAGAGACAGATGGAAAGAGGAATAAAGAAGTGAAGTGCAGGAAAACGGAGGCGTTAAGGGCAGAGAGGCACTGTGCTACATGGGCTTGGAGTTCGGCATCAAGCAGAGGACGGAAAACAAGAAGTTAGCTAAGAAATGAAGAACTGGTGAGATGAAGAGGAACAAAACCATTATGATGGTTGCAGGTTTAGGTTTGGGAAAGCAAGGGAGGTTCCAGCCTTCCAGCATTCTGCATTCCGATCGTGTGATAATGGTGACAGGGAAAAAACAAGTATTTTAATTTTATTTTGGGAATAAATAAAGCGGGGATGGACCCCTGACCCTGAGCCGCAGCGGCCAACCCAAAAAAAAAAAAAAAGAGTGGGAAAACGAAGATTAGATCGAAAATTAAATAATTTATTATTGTTTTTTTTTTTTTGATAATAAAGAGGGCATAGCCCGTCAACTCAGAAAATTACAAGGGTGGGGATAGAGATCCCAAAATATCTTCATGAACAAGGGTCCGCAGTGCGTCTGGGATCGTGTCTAAGAAAGAGAAACCATGCATATTGTTTAGACCCATTTTTGCAATCTTATCAGCAACTCTATTTGCCTCTCTAGGTACATGCCGCAGCTGTAAATTCCAATTCCTGCCTCCCATGACGATTGCCCATTTCCAGACTGAGGAAACACCTTGCAGATTGGGACTATGCTGGTTAAATCTATCAATTAACTCTTTGGAATCAGACTCTAAGATTATCTGGCGGAATCCCAGGTCCCAGGCTGTCCTCATCCCCATCAAAATCGCCCATTCCTCTGCTTCTATGGGGGAACATATTCCCAAATTTTTTAAAAAACCTGCAATCCAATCACCATTGCTATTCCTCAACACACCTCCACAGGCGGCTTTGTTAGAGTTGTGGCAAAAGAGTGATGATTTTTATGATAAGAAGATGGCCCCCTGTATGTACTCTTTTTGAAAAGAGGGTCAAATATAGACAATAACGCTACAAGTAGGAGGGCCCAAGTTAGTTGATGGCAGTGACTATTGTGGGAAAGGAATAAAAGCCAGATTTCCGTAATTACGTGCTTGGTTGGCAAATTAAAATGTTGAATTAGCTAATTACTGCTTATTTATTATTCATTTATTCGCATGGTCCATGTCGGGGAAGCAACTGCTGAAGTTCTTGGAACCCATAGCATGACAGCTGATCCGCATTCATCTCCCTCCACGTATCAAAAGGTCGTGACTTCTCATGAGTCCACATTTTTATTGCCCACCAATCATTGTTATTCTTCTCTCAAATAAATATAGAGCCCCTTTAGTTTAGTGTAAAGTACATTATACATTTCAGGTTTTTAAAAAAAAAGTACGTTATACATGAATTTTAAATAGCTAATGCTTTTAAGAAAATATATTTTGTGTGGAGCATGTCATGCTTTTAATTAATAAATAGAATTAATTTTTGAGCTTGATTTAATTCCCTATTTATATTGGTCTAGCCCAGCCTGGTGTTCCTTCTAAGATGATGCCTGCACGACTCGACACTGCTCACCAACACCGTAGTGGCATGGTCCCATTGACAACGACAGGAGTATTTACTATTTAGTAGCAAAATTTGGCGTTCAATCGGACGCTGGACGAATTAATTAAAAGCAGCATTAGCCCGATTGCCCTCAATCAAGTTGAGATGAGCATGGGAATTGTTTCTTTTGAATAGTTTTATAGCTAAATCATCACTTCCAAGAAAAGAAACAAAACACAACAAAGACGCTGAGGCATGAAGAAGTGGAAGAATGGACAACAACGCATTCATGAAAAGATAAAAAGTAAAAGTTGAGAGAAAATGCAGAGCAGGGGAGAGAGTGGGAAGGCAGAGGTTGCTCTCTGGCTGTCACTAACTGTGATTGCAATCATATTTATGACGAGCCAAACCAGCCAACAAAAAAAAAAAAGTGTTTTGAGGGGGTTAGGAGAAAGCATATCCTATATAAACGTGACATAGGAGACGCCCATCCATTACAAACAATCAAAGAGTATAATGATAGTATCCATGTGTTGGCGGTTTTGCAATATAGCGTAGCATAAGACAACCAGGAAACACCAAAGGAAATGATGAGACGAACAGTTTAAATAATTACGGAGGCCACATGCAAACCTGTTCAAACAAGAATGAACATGTAGGTGGAAAGAGTCCGTCTGTCTATTGTTTGATCATGAGCAGCAACACACACATGCTGCTCCTCTTATTTTATTGGGACAAATATAATAAAGCTCTAAAGAAAGGAAATAACTCCCAATAAGTTCCAATAACAAGTGAATATTTTGTCATTTTCTACATCATCACAATCTGCAATCTGCTCTGCTCTGATGTTACTGAGATTTTTTACTAATTATATTCTTTTCTTAAAATTTCATAGCAATTTTTCCTATTTTATTCCCCTCCTGTCGCCTCATTCACCTTCCACTCAGAAAACCCCAAACGCACATCCAAAGCCGAAGCCTGCAACTGCAGCGAACAAGAAGCTAAAATGGAACACCTCGAGAAGCCTTCCTTAGCAAGGGCACGCCGAGTGTTACCATTCATTAGAAACTCAACTACAGTTGCCCAGAAAATGCAAAATGACGCCACTCAGAGCAAGAGCAGTCGTTCAAAATGGTTAACGTATCTCCAAACTGTAGACAGTTTACCTAGCGTTTTGCCAGCATCTCAATTACTCTCTCGGCAACACAGCCAGCGCATTGCATTGGCAACCCCCTCCTCCTACTCTCGAGTCTTAACAGAAGCCTCCCCATTTACTCAACAATTGCTGGTCAACGGCAAGGAATTATCCACTATAACACTGAAAGCACTCCGAAGAAAATAGGAACCCCCCTCTTTACCGTAAAAAATAGAAAGATCGACAAACTCAACATGAGGAATTAGCATTAACACTCCTTTGATATACCTGATACTCCCTACAAATTCTAGCTATAACATAGGTTTACAAATGCAAGCCATAAAGACTAAATATGCAATTCAACAGCCACGTCCACGACCACGACCACGGCCTCGACCACGCCCACGTCCCAAGGGCTTCCCTGGAAACAAAACAGATAATTGAAAACCATAACATACTGATACCAGCTACGATAAGCATACTCATTAGCAAGTGTCTGCATTAAATATGTTGTGACAAAATAATGTACAGTACCAGCAGTTGGCTTTTTGGGTTTCACCCTAGGTGTCTCCTCAACGAGTAAAGTCTCAAGATTCAAGCTATCAGGAAGTATGTAATAACGGATATTGTTTCCCCTTACACTGAGATGATCCAGAGTCACAGGGTTTTTCCCCTTCAATGTCAATTTGACTGTCTTTAAATGTGTATTCATACTTATGTCCACACCTGTTATAAAGCAAAAGGTGCAGAGATCAACCAATCAGTTAGAGCCTACAGAGTTTAGAGACCAGGTCAAGCACTTTATTTCAGAAATGAGGATAAAATATATATATATATATATATATATATATATTCTAGTTATAAATGATCGGGAGGTTCATCCAGACTTTATGTATATTATGCGTCAAATTTCAATAAGAAGGTCCTCATAATAACATTCGCGCTTTCTCCAAATTTATTATTTTTTTTGAAAAAAGAACAGTAGGGATTGTACTTCCTGCTTCATTTGCCACCTACAACACAATGACATCTAATTATTTAGTGATTTTGAAGTCCACGAGTATGTATGGTATCTTATAACATAGCAGCTGCCCAAATTCTGAACATGACATAGCATAGGGGATTCCCCGCTTTACACGTTAGCCTCAGTGAGAAGAACTACTTAGATTCCCAGAAGAAGTGTCATGGAATGAATCGCAAGGGATGGAATGAATCATTTAAAGTGAATTGGGTCATTGTCTATGAGTTTTTCTAATAATGGAGTGGAATGACAAGGGATGACCTGTAAAACCGCTCCCTACCATCCAAAACCACAATGTTTGAGTGCCTCTGAATTGGGGTCAAGGTGACAACGAAGTGAATAGGTGACACAAGTACCACAAACCTACAAGACAATATTAGAAAAATAATGCATACACCATTTCTCCTAGCTTTCCTGATTAATCTCTCAAACAACAGAACAACCCATGACTTGTTATTCCACTCTCTCATAAACCCTCAGTTCTCAAACAGAGCCTCAATATTTTAACTTCCAGTAATGTTTAAAGGGTACAGCAATACATTGACCGAACGCAAAACCACGGAATCCTGCAATATGCTATCGTCAATATTTTATTATGAGTAATTGTTACTTCCAGGCGCAAAATAAAATCTCCAATACAAAAGATAGGATGTCATAAACCCAAGACATAAGGTCTAGGGTTTAGCAGGAGCCCCAGTAAAATGACAATGCCATCAAATTCCGGGAAAAAGAAAGTGATGAAGGAGAAAGAGTTAATAGAAGAAACCTGTGATGGTTCCATGAACAACAGTGCCGTTCTTGAGCTCGATTGATACCGTTTCGTTGTTTAATTTCATCAAAAACTTGCTCGTATTTTCAAATAAAGCGTTCAGCTTCTAATAAGAAAAATGGAAAAGAAACATCACACTCATTAAAGACGTATAAAAAGACTTAAGAGGGGGTCGGACCTGACGAGCTTCATGCTGGCTGTGACGAAGATGATGAGCTTCCGCACACCGCAGCGGGAGATGAGAGGTCTTGTGATTGCAGATCGCCGACGCGGGGTCTAAGCAGGATCGAGTAAACGACAGCGTATCGTTGTTTTTTGCACGGCACGTTCTTATGGTTCTCGAATTAATGGACACAAATATAAAAAAAATGAAAATATTAAAATAACATTTTTAATAGTACTACCTCTGATCCTAATTATAAGAGTTAGTTGACTAATTTGATAAGATTAAAAAAATAATTTAAATTAGTTATTTGTAATAAATAAGTGTTATCTTTCTTAAAATATCTTTGATAATCAATTATATTGGCTAGAACTACTATTGTTAAAAAGACTACTTTGAAAAAAATACATAAATATGCGAGACAAAGTGAA